TCTGGCAGTACGCCGCGCCCCTCATGCTGAAGATACTTGACGAAGACTTGACACCTGAGAACTTGCAATACTGGTTGACGTGTCTCCACCTCATCCTTGACTCCAAAGACCCGCGTCGGTCCTGCGAGATCATCGACGATCTCAAGACGTTCCGCCTTGACATGACCTCTAATGCGGCCTTTAAGGAGTCCTCCAAGATCCAGCTCCTAGAGTTTGCCGTGGCTGACGCTGGCTGGCATTTCCGCGGGGTGCAGCCCATTCTCAACGACTTCTTAGCCCACATCGACCACCCTTATAAGGCTGTGCGGGAGGCCATGGCTCGTGTCTTGTCTATAATTTACAAAACAAGGTACTACGAAGCGTTTGAGAATGTCCAGGTTCTGCTGGATACTAACAAGGAGGCGTCGTCTATTGGTCTGCGTCCCTACCAAGCCTCTGATGAGCTCAAGGCTACCATGAAGGACGTTTTTGACCGTCTCGAGAAGTGGCGTCTTGAACGTGCACCCGGCCAGCAGGAGCAGTCTGCGTACACATGCGGATCTAAGACGGTTCTAGTGTGGCTGGATTGCACGCTCTCGTCCCACGAGTGCACGCAGCTGGTGCCCTTCTTTGCAACCCCATTCATGGATCAGCTTCTGCACATGATGGACGTCAAGGAAGACCCCGAGCTGATGAAGCTGGCGTATCATGTCTATCGCCACCTCCCCAACATTCCTTTCCGCGACGGCGAGGATGCTGAGTTCATCGAGGGGCTCGTCAGAATCGGAAGGACGGCGGCCAGTTGGCATCAGCGCCTGCGCGCGTTGGTCAACATGCAAGTCATTTACTTCCGACGCATCTTCCTGACGAAGGAGCCGCAGCGAGACCGGCTGTTCACTACTGTGTCGGACATGCTCGGGGACAATCAGCTCGAGGTTCGAGCATGCGCGGCCACGACGCTTGCAGGAATGATTCGCTGCTCCCCGAGTCGCATTCGCAATCCCATGATTGCGCGTCTCAAGAGTCGCTTCGAGAAGGAGCTGGACCAAAACCCCATGCCCAAGCGCGGACCCAAGCTCCCGGGAACAGAAACCCCCGTGGATGTGCACAAGCAAATTAACAGGAGACACGCTGCGGTCTTGGGCCTTGGCGCACTCGTTGAAGCGTTCCCGTACGCAACACCGCCTCCCAAGTGGATGCCTGAGGTGCTGGCGACTGTGGCTCGACGGGCTGCGGGTGACCCAGGCGTTGTAGGCAAGGCGGCCAAGGGAATCCTCAGTGAGTTCAAGAAGACGAGACAGGATAGCTGGACTGTGGATCAAAAGGTGAGTCGTACTCAATTACTGAAAATCGTTCGAACAGAGAGATGCTAACCATGTTCGACAGTACTTTACCCAGGAGCAACTCGAAGACCTAGAAGGAGTCTTGTGGAAGAGCTACTTTGCCTGATTGCATCTTCTTTTCCTTGTCCATTTATCCCTCCAGAACAAAAGCATGTAGAGGGATGGTTGGTATTTTGTAGACGGATATCTTACTGCAACATTTGCATCTGTATTGGCATCGGTCTTTGGATGAAGGGCAGAATTTTGGTGACAGCAGGATTGGGAACAGGTTACGGAGTGTCGCACGGGCGATGCGGGTGGACAGCACGCAGGTCTTGCGCTTGGGTAGAGGGGGGCGGAAAGGGTCTGCCTCTGTTCAAACTGATCATCTCCTACTCTGATCGACGGGGTTGACGGCATGGTGCGGGAAGTGAGTAGCGAGGTTCAGGGGATGTGGACTGATGAAGGGGGCATGAATGAGGGGGGGGCTTTGCTGTCGAACGTTGATTGTAGCATTGAAACATGAAGAAGTACTGTAGAAGCCTGATGATGGATTCCCCCTTTCTTTTCGATAGTGGGCGGCTGTGGTGTCGTTGGGCGACCTTGTGAGGCTGAGTCGAGCAGGAGTGTCAAGTAGGGGGGGGAAAGGGGCTTGGGCTGCCTATCATGGCGACCCCTTTATAAGACCCTTTTGCTGAGATTTAGCTCGCAAGCTGAATCTTGTGTGGCCTTGTGCAAGACGCTTACGTAAGCAAGGCCCGGGTAGCTCAATTGGCCAGAGCGTGCGGCTTTTAACCGCAAGGCTGGGGGTTCGAGCCCCCCCTCGGGCGCCATATTGCTTTATTTTTGTTCAATTTTTGCTCTCTGATGTAAGTAACTTGGAAATGTGATTTGCAGACCTGTACTGTGACTATTGTTTTGGTTGTTGTTGTCCTTTGCTTGGGTTAAAGGAAAGGGGGGGAGGTGGTAGATCTTGGGGTTTATGCTGGAGGGAGGATGATGGGTGGGCATGTGATGAGGCATTGCTCGTGGAATGTGATGGATCTGGGTGGCTGCCGAGTCAGACTAACAAAGCAGCTGGTAACTTATCAAGGAAGAGATTAGGAGTTAGAATATGGGGTTGGCGACTGGTGAATGGACGAGAAACACTTCGTTTAAAGGGGAGGGGAAGGTTATGTGTTGGCAAGCTTGGATGCAAGATGTGGCTAGCGGTCATTTAGTTCACCTCGGTCAGGCGAAGCTTTGACGATACAGGATGTAGGTGCTCTTTTTTGGCGGCTTGATGGCCACGTATCTTTGTTATCACCAGGCTATGAGCTGTTGGGGTGAGCTGTCTTGGAGGCCCCCTTGTTCTGCGCCTCGCTAGGAGTTGCATCGTTTCGAGGAGGTTGATGGCCAGTGATGAGGATGGCGTTGATGAGGAAGAGTGACGGTGAGTGAGCGGTGAAGCTGGGGAGGGAAGCTGATGTATTGGTGTGTTCGTACTTGGTATGACTGGTGTGGCTGTGAAGGAGAGAGTCTGTCTTGTGCTAACGGTCATCGGTCTGATCTGACATTTCTGGGAGAATCGTCGAATGCATATGGCGTGTGGGTTTGATGTTTCGATGGGCCAATCTCAAAGGCTTCGAATCGCCATAAAGGGTAATTGCCGAGCTCGGAGTACTAGAATGCGCAGTCGGGGCGCCTTTTATTTACCCACTCTGGAGACGGTGCACATGTTCACTGCCGATGAGTCTGGTTTGAAGTCTCGAGTTGACTTGGCGGGAACAGGGCGTTGAAGGATTTGAGGCATCTTGCAAGGCTCAATGTTTGACAGCCCGGATGAAGTCACTCCGGGTGTAATACTGCAAATGCTCAATACAACCACAACACGGGCACCCTGTCGGGGCTGCAAGGGACCAGACCGGGCAGCTCTAGCGCCTGGAGGCCTAAAAAGTGTCCCCCTGAAAGGTCCAGGTCCCCTTCAAACATTAAGGTACTTACAGTGGAACTTGACCTAACGTGCCTGCCCGCTGCGCATTCCGGGGGGGCGTTTAGCGGTGATGTGGGGTCTGCTTCGGGTATGGGCAGGGTAGATACGGCAGGTACGGGCGACTTCGAGGTGGCATGCAAGACGTCACACGAGAGAGGGAGCGCATCTGATCTGGTAGATACTCTTCTGTCATCTTCACCCTCTTCGGCGTGTCTCCGCTACTTGCAAGGTTCCCGGCAGTTCGGTCTGGGGCGACGTCCAGTCTGCAGTCTGCGAGTATCCGCCAGCTGGCTCTTGCATTCGCCCACCAATCAATCGATATAGAGCGATCGGTAGGAAGATTCAGCTTCCCCCAGGGCGCGCGACAGTGGCCCACGCTTGGCTTCTTTCCTCTTTGTTCAGCGCAGACTAGGGACGCCATTGACCGGTGCTTTGGCTGCTTCAAGGCACTGCACAGACGGGATACGCATCGCCCTACCAGTCCAGCATCGAGTCAAGCTTCTTTCATGCGCCGCTGAGGCTGTTACAGCGGCGCTTCAAAACCCCCCTGTCGAGGCCAGGTCTGGCGGGGCCAGTGCGGTAGCTTGTGGCTCGCTGGCCGAAAGACTCGCATCTGCAAATCCATCAATCCAATCCAATCCACTCGCATTCCTGACCAGGTCCTCTTTCGGGCAAGGCAGGGCAACGTTGGGAGGTCGTGGGTGACCCGGGCGACTGGCCCGTGACTGCAAGCGCCGGTGCTGTGACCAACTGGCATTGATAGCATTTGCCTACGAGCAGTAGCTCCAGGGTCTGCTCGTGTTTCCTTCTCACCTCAGCCTCGAGGCTATTGCTCTCTTTAGGCTGCCAGAGTTTGTTTGCTGGCGGTTAGGCGATTCATTGCCGTCGTGGTCAAGCTTTCAGGCTCTCTTTGTCATTTTCTAATTTGCTTTTACCACTTTAGTGCACGACTGGCCGGGCTGACGCAAAGTTCAAGTCGACTATCCGAGGCAAACAGACGTACCTTATATATACAGGTAGAGCCCTTTGAGCAGCATCGAGCACACACGCCTGGCTGAGCGACAATGAAGAGTGGCAGTGACGCACCACAAAGAGACGCAAACAAGTTATCAAAGCACCATCGCGGCAAACACTAATCCACTCGCTCGGTCGTCTGCCTGCTCGCTCGCTACCTCGTGTTCGTCCCACCAGGACCAGCCCTACCTTTCACCCGCAATCCGCTCGTCTTCATGAACAAAGGTCCCCCCATGAGAGAGGCTAGGCTGGAAGCAAGGCTGACGACACCCCATCCTTCGTCACATTGCTCGTGCTTCGGCATCTCTTCATATTCGCCGACGTCGCTCCTTTCGCTCATGGGCTCCAAGTTCTCCAGACTCCCGCGGCGCAGACTTCGGAACAGCAGACGATCTACCATGCCGCAGACAAACAGTAAGCGCGCAAAGGGCCGTAGGCACCTCGTTGACGGGCTGCTGATTAGGCGCTCTCGCCAGCACGGTGCTTCTGACAAGGACGGCGACGGTGACGGAAACGGCGATGGCGACAACGACAGGGCCGCTGCGCTCCGGCTTGTCAAGGCACTCGACGCCGAGGTTGACGAGCGGCGGAGCGGAGATGCCGCGGGACATGTGCAGGGGCCGCCGCGCGGTCTCCGGGCCGGGGACGGCACTCTGGGCCTGCCACTGGACCCTGATGACGCCGGTGCCGGAGGCCCAGTATCGGTACCAAGTCTAGATGACTACGAGAAATGGCGAAACGAGGTTGTCTCGAGGGAAGAGGAGCTTTCGTTTGATGCCCGGTGCCGCTCCCGCGCCACGCCCCAGGAACTCCGAGTTGATGGCATTATCCGAAAGATGCGACGGCGAGACGACGCTTTCTTTGCGCGCCAACCGCCGCGAAAGGGATATAGAGGTCAGCTGCATACACGCTTTGCTGGCGACCACTTTTTGGGCAACGTCGACCTCATCAACAAGACGGCGCTGTTCCAGATTGCTTCCAAAATGCCCAAGGGTGCCCACCTGCACATTCACTTTAACGCCTGTCTCCCACCAAAGGTGCTTCTCGATATTGCAAAGGGCATGGATCGCATGTTCATTACGAGCTCTCTCCCCCTTGTCCGCAAGTCTGAGACTCATGGAGAGGATGAGTATGAAAATTTCCACAAGTGCGAGATACAATTTTCCATCATGAGCGTTGAGAAAGAGAAGGAGGATCCTGGCGACCTGTTTTCGGCCGACTACAGATCTAGACAGTCGATGAAATTCTCTGAGTTTTTGCGTCGGTTCCCGGATGTTTATACGGCGGCCACGCCTGACGAGTGGTTGCTGCATAAGCTCATGTTTGAGGAGATGGAGGCTCACCATCCTTATCAGACAGCCTCTGGGTGAGTTTGGTCTTGCCATGTCATCTTGTGGCATCGATCCATCTCGTTATTATAGACGTTTCAAGACTGACACCCTTTTCTCCGATGCAGCGCTTGGGAAAAGTTTAACGGGAGGACACGCATGATGAAGGGCTTGTTCAACTATGAAACGGCATACCGCGCTTATACATATCGCTGCCTCGAGGACTTCGCCCGTGATAATATTCAGTACGCTGAAATACGACCCAACTTTATGATGAGCAACCAGCTCTACCACGATGACGGCACCGGTCCCATCAACAACGAGGGCATCATGTCCATAATCATCAACGAGGTGGAGAAATTCCAACGAGACAGGGCCGAACAGGGCAAATATTTCGGAGGGCTCAAAGTGATATACTGCACGCCACGATCGATGCCTCGGCCAGATATCCAAGCCGCCCTCGCCGAATGCATGGAGTTCAAGAAGAAGTGGCCTCAGTGGATAGCAGGTAAGCAAGGCACTCGTGTCTCCCTCTTTGGAGCCAAGGCTTACTGTGTTTAGGTTTCGACCTGGTTGGGGAAGAGGCAAAGCCTAATCCTCTAAAGACGTATATTCCTGAATTCCTGGAGTTCAAGAAGAAGTGCGCCGAGCAAAACCTGGACATCCCCTTTTTATTTCATTGCGGTGAGACGCTGGACATGGGCACCGACACGGATGGTAATCTGGTCGACGCTCTGCTGCTCGGCTCGAAGCGCATTGGGCACGGCTTCGCCCTGGCAAAACACCCTTACATTATGCAACAGATGAAAGCCAAGGGCATCTGCCTGGAGTTGTGTCCGATTTCCAACGAGATTCTAGGGCTTACTCCACGAGCGAATGGACACACCATGTACCAGCTGCTGGCGAACAACGTGCATTGTACCGTGAGCTCCGACAACGGTGCGCTCTTTAGGTATGCCGCCTTCTCTGCTTTCTTCCCCGGACCTCGTGGCTAACCGGAGCAAAAGATCTACTCTGTCTCACGACTTTTATCAGGTCATGGTGGGCAAGGCAGACATGGGGCTGTACGGATGGAAGCAGCTCGTCATGTGGAGCCTCGAACACGCGTGTCTCAGCGACAAGGAGAGGGAGACAATGTTTCGTGAGTGGGAGCAGCTGTGGATTGAGTTTCTCGAGTGGGTAGAGAAGACTTTTGGTGATGTGGACGACGAAGCCAAGATTTGAAATTTGATCTACCAAATAATGCCGTTATCTTTCTTTGGTTATGGAGGCCCGCGTGATGGCGTTTGGTTCTTTCTTTTGGGTTGAGGTGTCTTGGGTGTGTTGCGACTTGAAGACTAGAGGGGGGCTATGCTGGGGCGTTGTTTGCTTGCACAGCCGGGTCGGCGGAGTACCTTGTGAAGATGAGGACTGAGCGCGATTCTTGTATATACCTAGATAGTTTTACCTACTTTGTGATATCCTGGGTTCTTGTCAAGAGTTTGATGGATTGGTCAATATGAGGTTATGAATGCATTTAGACCCTTTGAGGGTTGCTCATATATGACGACTGTTTTATTTGGCTAAACTTTCGCACTGCAGTCATTATTATACCTTGTTTGCACACAACATTATATAGTCTTTTGGGTTGTGTGATTTAAGGGGAGGTACAATGAGGTTTATGGAGAGCACTGGAGGCATTTGGTTGTCGATACCCCCGTTGGAGGCCTTGAGAGCCGCCCTCGCGCACTTACGTACATACATGGATTATTGAGGTCCATGGGTTGCTGCAGATTCGGAACCTTGAATGCACTGCACGCAGCTGCATGACATTCGTCAGTGGAGGCTTGGCGCTAGGCAGAGGATGAGAGGGGTTCGGACGGCGGCTTGATGATACTATCGTATTCTACTATTCTACCATTGAGTCTTTAAAGTCTGAGTTTGAAGAGCAAAGTTGCGGCAGGGTCTCCGACTTTCTATATCTTAATCTTACATAGATAGGTATGGTAATAGTATCCCTTGATGTATTATGGCCGAGATGTACTTGGCCATGACAGTTTTGTTGTAATGAGTCTAAAGCAAGCATCGTTCTCACAACACTTTGTAACAATTGGGCAATTCAGCCTGCTAGAACTGCACTAGATCTAGAAAATAAACAACCAAGACTCTCGAGACTTTACCTATAGCGGACTTTAAGCAATTAAAAGCAACTACTATGCCCCGTGGTGGAACTATCATTCTGATTACTATCTATATTGTTAAACGTCCAGCCTCATAGCCTTTTCTCGTGGATCACTAATCCTTCCGTAGTTCTCTACGTAATAACATCCAACTCTACCTGTCCAGATACAGCGTCTCTCACGACTGCATAGCCTCCTGCGCGTTGCGTGTTCAGCAGCCGTTACGGACAAGACGAGGCGAGCTGAAAGAGCCAAAAGGCCCAATGGCCTTTGAGATACCATAGAATACAATTGGAGGTGCTGCAGCATCTCCCACCAAATACCCTGGCCTGGTTCAACGGCAACGACGTTGCCCTGGCTGTGCCTTCCCAAATCTTTCGATCTACATGCATGTACAAGGGGACCACAATGGCTTCGACAGCACAAGAAGATTTTTCTCCTCGTCATCTTACTCTCTATCCTTTTTGCATCGTGATCATTGCCCAGCATCAGCGATTGTCGTCTTCATCAATCTTGTCTTTCAGCCCGTTCTTGATATTAGTCCGTTGCTGCTAATACCCCATCTTGCGAGTGTGTTTTCGTCTTGTCTCTCCTGTTCCCATCTCGATACTCATCTCCTCACCATCGAAGTATCATCACCACCACCACCACCAGCAAATGTCCAGCCCAGGCGACCCCGGGTGGAAATGGTTCCCCAACGACAAGCCCTCGTGGCGCCTCGACGTCGTCACGCTGCTGGCCGTCATCGGCGAGTCTGCCATTGCCGAGCACGCCCAGGCCATCACCGCGTCGCTGCTGTGCATGCTGCCTCGCCTGCTGCCCGCGCCCCAGGCCCTGCTCAAGCCCTCGCGCCCGACTCGCCTGCCCGAGACGCACGCCAAAATGGCCGGCGTCTACAGCGGCACCATCCTCGACTCGGTCGGCTTCTTCGCCAACATCATCACGCCCCTCGACGCCCTGCCACCGTACAGCTTCCTCGTGCTGGACATTCAGCATGCGCCTAGCGTGCCGCCGCCCTTGACCAGTGCGAACCAGCACCACCATCACCATCAGCAGGGCAAACGCGGTCTTGCTGGCTTCTTTGCCGGATCTGTCCCTTGGCGCCGGAGACGGGGCGTGCCGGACGATTCTACGGGCAGCCTCTCCAGAGCTGGAGCCGCGGAAAAGGCCTCGCAGCATCGCATCACGCCGTCGACGCTGAGCGAGCCGCCTCACGACGTCGACATCGAGTCCCAGTCGAGGACCCCGACTGTTCACTTCAGTCCTGATGTTGAGATCGAAGGCCATCCCGGACCGATCCGGCGGCGCACCACGGAAAAGGTTCAGGATCTGCTGTCAACCGGAACCATGGCCGTGACCGGTGGTCGGCCCATTGTGCCTCCCAAGCTGCTGTCGCCTCTCCACCTCCTCTCTGCCTTTTCCTTCCTCCTCAGCGCCGGCATTCTTGTTGCTGCCGTCATATGGAAGGACGGCGTTGCCATCATCGCCATCACGCTCATCTCCTTGGCGTCCACCGTTGTCGGCTACGCCTCCTCCTGGCGGCCAATTCTCATGCAGCGCAGGCACACCAACGACGTGCCCAGCGGCGACGTCATGATACGGACGCGCGAAGGAGCCTTTGTTTTGGTTCGCTGCTCCGAGGACGTTGCTCGAGAGCTTTACTCCGGGACCGAGGAGTGCGAGTACTACGTTGGCGAGAAGGCCTACAGGGTGTGCATGGCGCTCGGCACGATTCTTCTCATGGTCAGCGTCGTGCTCCTCGGCAACTGCACCTGGAACTCGCAAATCTTCATTGGAGGATCGTACATTGTTCTCAATGGGCTATACTGGGGTCTCGGCATGCTGCCAAAGACGTACTTCTGGGACCTCTCGCGCTATACATGGCGCGACGCCACCGAAGAGGACGGACAGAAGGCCGATACCATCACGGACAAGGACGACGAGCGCGAAGGCCACCCAAGCTTCACGCGCACCTTGTGGTATGCCATTCGCGAGACAAAGGCCATAGGCTGGGTCGAGCGGAGCGGCGCCGCGCCAGGCACACCGCAGTGGCAGCAGTGGCTCAACGAGGCGTTGGAGAATGCGAAGCTGGGCAATCGCGACTGGGAGGCCGTCAAGAGGAAGAATGAAATCATGACCCAGGCGAGCAAGGACGGAGGCGACCCTGCGACGCAGAGAGCGCCGGCGACGGAGGTGCAGACCAACGGGTCAGCGCCGGGCAACATGAGGTCGACTTTCTAGGTGTTTTCTATCTATCTTTTTTATTTTCTTTCTTTCCTTACTTTTCCTTTTTTTTTTCTTCTTCTTTTTATCCTCTTCTTCTTTTCACTTGTTCTTTTCCTTTCTCTTTGGCTCGCTTTCCTTCTTCTCTTTGGTCGACGTAACTGGGCAAGCATGTTGGATGATCATACGGCGTCGTGATTTTGAGTACCATGTGGCAGGCATTGAGCGTTGGAATTTGAATTGGGCGTTTGAAGAGGGCATACCTATACAGAGCACATGCTTGAGCATACAACATACCTAGGTACCTATACATCGCATATACGTTGCAAAGATCGGTTTAACTTGGAACAGGTTTTTCTAAACGCAATAAGCAGTATAGAAGAGGTACTTGAACAAAGATACAACAACATGAAGGAAAAAGTCTAGAAAAAGCAAAGATTCGACTTTTCAAAACCAGACAATGGCCGCCCTAACACCGGCTGTAGAATGCATCCCCTAAACACTTCCCCCGTTGCCCCTTTCGTCTGAACAATTCATTCGTCCATCCATTACCACCACTCAGATATTTCCTTCTCTCTCTCTATCTCTCTAGTCATCAAAGTAGATGCTCTTCTTCTCAGTAATGTCAATTGGGCCGCCGCGGAAGCTGCCCTTCTTCTTCTTGTTCTTCTCCTTGGTGAAGCCCTTGCCCTTGGTCACGATGAGGTCCTCGTGGGCGCGCTGGGAGTAGCTGATGGGGACGTATTCGTTGGAGGCGAACTTGGGATCGACCTTGATGCCTCGGGGCACGCGGGAGAAGGGCTCCGTCTTGGCCTTGCCCTTGCCCTTGGCGTCCTTTTGGACGTCGTTGGGGTTGGGGGGCAAAGGGGGGTTGGGGAGGGAGTCGATTGTGGCGGAGGAGTCGGAGGAGGACGACGAAGAGGATTGGGATAGCTTGGAGACGCCATTGACTTCCTTCTTGGCGGCCTTCTTGTTGCTGTTCTTCTTCGTCTTCTTGTTTTTGTCTGCGTCCGAGTCCGAGTCGGAGGAGGAGTCTGATGACGAGTCAGAGGACGAAGAGTCTGACTCGGGGAGGGGGACCTTTGCTGCTTCCGCGGCATCGACCTCGGACTCGCTGTCGGAACTCTCGTCGGAGCTGGAGCTCTCGTCTGAGGAGCTGGACTCGTCGGAGCTGCTTGACGATGACGAAGAAGAAGACGACTCGGAGTCGGAGTCGGACTCGCTGCTGCTGCTGCTGGACTCGGGGGCGGCGACTTTCTGCTTCTTAAGACGGGGCTGTTCATCGGACGAGTCCGAGTCGGAGCTAGAGTCGTCGGACGAGCTGGAATCGGAGCTGCTGCTGCTGCTGCTGGAGGAGGAGTCGGAGCTGGAGCTGGCGGGCTTTTTGCGCTTCAAGTTCTTGTTGCCCTTGGGAGGAGAGGCCTTGCGGAACGAGGGCTTCTTGTCGGCCTCGTCGCTCTCGCTCTCGCTGTCACTGCTGCTGTCGTTGTCCTCGCTGCTGCTGCTGGAGCTCTCGCTCGAGCTGGAGCTGTCCGAGCTGGAACTCGAGCTGCTAGAATCATCGTCCATGTCGACGTCCCGATCGGCGGGGGTCTTGGATGACGCCTTCTTCTTCTTCTGCCAGGCCTCGAAGACGCTCACGAGGGTGACGCCTCCGTTGCTGGACTCAGAGGAGAGCTCGCCCCAGCCCTTCTTGGCGCGCTGCTTCTTGAAGGCGCTGTGCGCGGCGCGGAAGACGTTGTCGGCGAGGAACTGCTCGATGAGGTCGAGCAGCTGGGCGGGGGGCTGGGCGAGGGGCTGCTGCTGCTGCTGGTCGGAGGGGGCCTGGCCGCCCTCGGCGTCGCTGCTGCTGGCGCCGGGCTTGAGGGGCTTCAGGGGGGCCATTTCGTCGGTTTTGTTGGTTGTTGTTGTTGTTGGGTGTGCGGGAGAAGTGATGCTGCTCGCGCTGGGTTTGGTGGATGGGTTGTTGGAGTTGTTGGAGAAGAGCCAGGCGGGCGGTTTGGACATGTGAGGGAAGAGACTTTTTTGTCAGTCAGGATGAAGATGGAATCTCAATGTGAGAATTCCTGAACTGCAAGAGAAGAATGAATTGACGCAAATAAAAGGAAATTGATGGGCTACTGTGTGTCTATTGCAATCACTGCAAACTCATGACCTGCTGGTCTGTCTGTCTCTAGCGAAAGTTTTCCAGTGTCCCAACCAGAGGGAGAGGTTAAAAAAAAAAAAAAAAAAGTTTAGCCAGATTTTCTGCCGCGTGCCCAGGAACAGGGTGCCGAAAGAGGCGCGGGCGGTGAATGTAGGCTTATCGGCTATCAGTGGAAATTGGGCAGGGATCAACGATGCGCCGTGTTCCGGGAGCCTGTTGGCGCGGGCAACGGGGCTGGAGCTGCTGCTGCTGCTGCTGCTGCTGCAGGTGATGTCAAAGCTTCCAGGATTCAAAAGATATTATGACAAGCATAACTGGGATTTCGATAGTCCGACGATACATGGCAAGTCCCAGACAAGGGCTGCTCTTGACGACACTTGCTGAGACACGCTGACTGTTCTTTGCTTTCCTTTGTCTCTAACGTCATCATCATATTCTTTTTCTTCGCCTTCTACTCTTCTCGTTCTGTTTCTTTTTTTGCCTTACGTCGCCTTTGGATCGTCCCCCGGCTTTCCTTTGTTTTCACCTGCGCGTACCTATCCAGGCGCTCGGCTCTCTCTCATACCAACCCTTTGTCCCTTTTCCACGCCTCAGGGGACACGGACAACCCCTTGATGGGGCTTCGACAGCAGCACGGAGTAATCGACCGCCAGCAGCTCTGCTTTTAACTGAGACAGTCTCCTTTTGCCGTTTCGTCCTTGCTTCATACTATCGATATATCTGGATCAATAGCGTCACCGGCACTGCGCGCACTCTAAGCGCAAACGGACGCACGAGAGCCACTCGCCACCCTCCATCAACCACCACTCACCAGACCCTGTCAGCCTCGTCAGCCTCGCCAGCTCTTCACCACTCGTCACACTCTCTCCTATCATGAACTCGACCAAACGCAAGTTCAACGCCCTGCTCCAAGGACTCAGCAGCCCGCGCCCCAGCACAGACGACGAGTCTCCAGCCGCCATGTTTGGCCACCGCGTCCCCAGCGGCAGCAAGGTCGTCGAACACGAGGCCATGCTGCAGAAGCGCCGCCGCCTGGGCTTCCCCGACGAGACCGCGCCGCGCATGGAACCCCCCGTCTCGTCGGGGCTCACCAGCCTGGCCAGCTCCATTAGGCGCACCGTGTCCGATGCCACGACGCCCAAGGTGCGGAGGGACGGGCCGGCGCGGTACTCACCCGGCGATCGGGATGAGCTTCTCAAGAGGCTGGCCACGTTCCAGGAGATTACCGACTGGACGCCCAAGCCGGACAGGATCAGCGAGGTGGAATGGGCCAAGAGGGGGTGGATCTGCCAGGGCAAGGAGAGGGTGCGGTGCTTGCTGTGTCACAAGGAGCTGGTGGTGAAGCTGAAGAAGGAGGCTGCGGAGGGGGAGGACGGGTTGTTGACGGCTGCCGAAGTTGGTGAGTTGTTATTGAGTTGGAGCTTCTCATTCGGATCTTGGTCTAACATGTGACGGCAGAAGCTGCGTTGGTTGACAAATACGCAGAGCTGATTGTGAGCGCGCATCAATCAGACTGTCTGTGGAAGAGACGCGGATGCGACGGTAAGACTTTCAGGCAATCCGGCCATGCAACGTTTTACTAATTGTTCATCAAGACTCACTTCTTCGAATCTCATTTGTGAGCGCAAAGGGTGCCATCGAAGCTCTCAAGGGGCGATACGAGGAGCTTTGTTCCCGAGCAGCCTTTCTTCCCTACGAGTTCAATCTCCGTCTGCCGGAAGGCATGGACCTGGACGAGGTCATTTCTCAGCTGCCACCCGACTTCTTCACTGGGCGCAATCCCACCCCCGAACCAGTCCGGCCAGCGCTTGCCCTGGCCCTCGTGGGCTGGCAAGGCCTCAACAACACCCGCATCGGCGCTGTTCCCAACACGGCGTCTTGTCATACCTGCCAGCGACGGCTCGGCCTGTGGATGTTCAAGAGCAAGGAGGTGGATGCAAACGGCAATGTCGTCGTACCAGCGCCGATGGACTACCTCGACCCCGAGCGTGAGCACCGCTTCTTCTGCCCGTGGAAGAACCCGGCCGCTCAGAGCAGAGGGCACAGCATCGCAAAGGACGATGCGCCCGACATGCCCGCGTGGAAGATTCTGCTGCAGTCCATCAAGAACGAATACGATCTCCGACGTGTATACGAGGGCAGGCTCAAACCATCATCCAAGCCGGCTGCTGCTGCTGCCAACCCGTCGACGCCTGTTAAGACGCCGGCTCGACAGGCTCCCCATCACACGCCGAACGCCTCTGTGGATTCGCTCGCCATCAACGAAGAGGACGATGAGGCGACGAGAGACGCAAAGGACAAGGAACGGTGGGCGCGGCTGCGCAAGGTCAAGAGCTTGTTTGATACAAAGAAGCTGCGGAAATCGGTGAGCAATCGCCCAGAAACTCCGCACTCGATCAAGTCGCACAAGTCAACACGGTCGATTAAGGGGGATTGATGTGTCTCGTGATGACACAAATCCTGTGCTGCCTCTTTATTCCCATTGCGTTGTGTTTCTCAAATCTTTTAGTTTGGCTACAATCATCACTAGCTGAGGGATTCAGTTTTCTTTCCGGGGAAGGTTCTCTGTTTGCCTTTTCAATTTATCACATCTCATACCCCGATTATCATCCCATCTCTTAGATATACAAGATTGTAATACGCTCATGTCCATCGAGCAGCGTCCTTTACCTTTTGTGTCAACGAATCAGCCTCCTTTACCTTGTATGTCTAGCAAGCTATAGTCGCACATTTTCACCCCGTCTTCCACTTGATATCATCAAATGAAACCACCGGCCCGCCATACGTGACCGTCTCGTCCTTCCTCTTCACCTCCTTGTCCCGCAGGTCAAAGCCGGCCATCTCCAAGATGCTCATCCTGACGCCTCCCACGCCGCCTCCGCTGCCCAGCCGGGGTACGTGATCCATGCCCGCCGCCGTGACGTGTATATCCGGCATCCAGCCCGAGCCCTCACTCCATCCGTTCCCCACGGACTTCGAAATCTTGTTGAGCTCGTCCCGCACCAGGGTCGCCATGTCGCCGCACCGCTGCGTCCACGAGCCGCCGCCCTTGTCGGCCTTTGTCAGGACAACCAGCGTGCGGGTGTTGGCCTCGGCGAGGGTCCTGAGGATCCATCTGTCCTGCTCCATGAGCTTCTTCTCCGACGAAAGCAGCACCACGGCGCCGCGCAGCATCTTGCGCGCCTTGATGTACTTCCACACGGAATCCCCCCAGCTGGCCTGACTCTTGAAGCCGTACCCCGGCGTGTCGACAAGGACGAGGCTGTACCGGGGAAGTTTTCCCCCCGCTTGGAGAGTGCCCTTGGGGATGGTTGGTAGGGGGCCGACGCCAAAGGCGTTCATAAGGGTGGTTTTGCCGGGGCGGGCGCTGACGCGGGCGGCGTCGGGCTTGTTGACGAGGGCGTTGAGGAAGGAGGATTTGCCGACGTTGGAGGCGCCGAGGATGATGATCTCGGGGATGTGCAGGTTTTTGGGGTGGTGCTTGAGGGATTCGGCTGAGTAGAGGAATTGGAAGCCTTGGGTGAAGAAGGATGCTGCGGAGGAGATTTGGGCGTCTTGATGGGATTTTTGGGAGGTTGTGCTTGTGATTGTTGTTGTTATTGTTGTGAGATGGGGGGAGGAGGATGGGGATTGGATGATGACGGGGGTTGTGAAGAGGGTTTGTTTGTGGGATTTTGTAATGGGCGGGGGCCGTTTAGGGGGGGATATTGGTGGTGTGGCGGCGTGTTTCTTTGGTTGGAGTTGTGGCTGTGGTTCTGGTTGGGATTGGGGCTGTTTATGAGGAGTTGGTGATGGGTTTGTTGGTGTTGAGGGTTGTTGTGAGTCCGGGTGGTTGCTGTGAGGCTCGGGGTTGGTTGAGCGGCTGAGGAGGGATGGCCTTGCGCTTGGTCGGAGGCGAGGCCAGCGGGGGAGGGACGTGCTGAAGCATGCTGAGCGATGGAGAAGTTTGAAGTGAGACAGGGTGAATTGCGAGATGTGGCGTAGCGGAGGGGGTGTTGATGGAGGCATGTTTTGATGTGAGGCTTGGTGATGATGGTGATGAACTTTTTGAGTTGGATGAGATGAGGTTCAAGTTCTTTTGGTGGTGTAAGTAGGTAGCCCCACTATTTACTGTTGGATGTTAAGACGTCGTCCTAAGACAATGGATGTATCTTTGATCAGTGATGATGAGAGACTGATGTCGAAAATCATGAGAGAATTTGTTCTCTAGGCTTGATCATCTCATGTTTCTCTTTAGACAATCCTCCTTTTTACTTCTTTCTACATATAGACACAACGCACGATGTGGCATCATCATAGTGCATGATTTATAGTAGCTGGAGTTACAGTGTGTATAGGGTTCACACTGTAAAGAAATCCACTAAACGCAAACCACCAAAACTGGTCATTCAGTCTCTTCATGAGAACTCATACACAACCTCACTCCTTTACTCACTCATCCCACACTTTATTCATCTTCACAAACACACGCACACACACATACTCATAGACATATATATACATCCCATCTCTCAGAGCCATACATACAAGTCATCCATAGAGGACCGTTTCAGAACAAAATGGCCCCCGGCGCGCTCGACCTCGACGCCCACGAACAGCCATCCGACCAAATGAAGGCCGAATGGAAACACTTTGCCCGCCTCGACCAAGCCACTCTCCTCCGCGACATCCCCCTCGACGACCCCCGTCTTCCCCTCGAAGAGACAGAGTTTCGTCTGTCGGGACATGTCCCGCGATCGCAAATCGCAGAGGCCTTTTCGCATCTGGGAGCCGAGTATGTCGACGAGGGCAAGGAGGATGGCGATGCCCCTATCTTGCATCATCCCTTGCTTCCGGGTGAGTTATCACAAGAATCTACTGCTGCCATACTTATCTCATTACATACAAAGGCATTGAAGTTGGGCTAACTCGCATCATCCCGTAGGCCTCCTCATCATCCCCTCGCTCATCCCACCAGCTGTCCAAACGCACCTCCTCAACACCATGATCCACCGCGACCTCTCCAACCCAACCCACCAGACAAACCTCCACCTCCACTACAACCTCCCCTACCCTTCCTCATCCTCATCCTCATCCCCAGCACCATCAGCTTCAACAACATCCTTCTTCTCCCTCCCGCCCTCCTCCCCCACGAAATTCACCCCCAAAGACCCCTCCGTCCACAACCCCCTCTCCATCAACCAAGTCCTCTCCCGCCGCCTCCACTGGGTCACCCTCGGCGGCCAGTACGACTGGACCAACCGCGTCTACCCGGACGCCGCCCCTCCCCAGTTCCCGTCCGACCTGGCCGGCTTCCTCAAGGCGCTCTTTCCCGAGACGCTCGCCCAGGCGGCCATTGTCAACTTTTATACCCCCGGCGACACCATGATGATGCATAGGGATGTCAGTGAGGAGGTGGACAAGGGCTTGGTTAGCTTGAGCTTTGGATGTGATTGCTTGTTCATGATTGCGCCTAGTCCGGGGCCCAACGAACAACAACAACAACAACAACAATACACAGATGCACAAGGACAACCATCCACGGACAAGGCCGAGGGTGCAGATGGAGGAGACAACAAGAAGGGGGAGGACAAGAAATACCTCCTGCTGAGACTCCGCTCCGGAGACGCAATCTACATGACGCAGGAATCCCGCTACGCATGGCACGGTGTGCCCAAGGTCATGAAGGGCACGTGTCCCGACTATCTCGCGGATTGGCCTGCCGGGCGGGAGGACGGCGAGTTTGAGGAGTGGAAGGGGTGGATGCAGAACAAGAGGATCAATCTCAACGTGCGACAAATGAGATGAGTTGGAAAGAGATACTAGAGTAATAGAGTGTGTGTTTGGATACAATCATGACAATCTTGCGTACAGCCTGGCACTCCCTATCTAATAATCATCGCACAATAATAGAGGAACGGAACCGATACAGAGTATATGAATAAGAATATTTCAGACCGGCTGTATAATATATATAAATATGATATATAGATAGTGGATAAGCCCTCAGGTGACATATCCTACCCAGAGCCAAGACGGCAAATTCTAACGCTCAACAATCGCTCCATACCCGTCCAACTGTAGTCCAGATTCCACAGGGCTCACAAAACAACTACAGAAAATGAATGCAAAGGACGCTTAAAACAACAAGAGAAAAAGAAAAGGATGTTCCTTGCGAACCTCATCCCCTTACGCAAAGCCGAATCCAGAGGCATTCTCCAAAGCCATAGTCAGCCGCTGCCTCAGCATCTCCTTGTCCCTGTAGTCCGGTAGCAGCAACGTCCCATAGCACGTATACGCAGTGGGCAGCCGGTTCCCGCCGTCCTCGCCGTCGCCGTTGCGCTGCACGACAAACTGCAGGTTCCGCATGCCGCCAACAGGGACGCGGTCAGAGGCCGTCACAAACTCCAGCAGCTTGCGCTTCATCCGGTCGTCGTAGCGCTTGACAATGGACCAAAAGTCTCTGACCGTGTGGTGAGACGCATCCCAGCCCACGTAGCGGGTGTACCGCCGCAGCTCGGCAATGTCAATCTCCTGGACGCCTTCCACCAGCGACTGCAGTATCTGCGGGCTCAGCAGCGACAGTGACTTGTGGTCCAGGCAGCTATGGAAGCCGCGCTCAAACGCCTCGTACTGCGGGCGGATCGACACGTCCGTCAGGTAGCGGATGTAGTCGCTGACATACTGGTCGCGGTTCTCGTTGGTCACGAGCGGCGCCTCGTGGTCGCCCTCGGTCTCCTCGGGCACCGTGATGCGCATCTTCCAGTCGAGGTTCTGCGGCCACTGCGCCATGTCCTTGGTCATTTCCCGCGTTACGTTGCCCCCAATGTTGGGCACCGAAAACTCGTACGTACGCGCAAACACGTCCTCGACTGCGCCGTCCTTTTCGTTCCACTCCAACAGGCTCATCAGCCCGCTGGCAAGGTCAGGCCAGCCGTCTGCAATGTGGTAGAGCTCTTCCACCGGCTCGCCCAGCAGTTTCCGGTACAGCGCCTTGGGGAACGTGACGGGGAGTGTGAGGCCGTTGTACACTGCCAGCGACACGATGACGCCAATCAGCTCAAACTTCCACTCCTCGACGACGGAGCCGGGCACGAACCAGGCCATGCGCGTGCGCTCGTCTATCGTAAACGCGCCGTATTTGGGATCAAGCGCCTCGGCGATGGCCACGCGGAAGAACTCCTGCTGCACACCACCCGAGTCAAAGCCCTCCTCTCCGCTCTGTTCGCCTAGATGAACCTTGAGAGGGCGCAGCAGCTCGCGTCGCTCTCGCCTCCACAGCTGGTCAAAGGCATCTCGCAGCACATTGTCTCGGCCAATGTCCAGGATCAGATACTTGGACGAGGCCACTTTGAGCATGTCCTGCAGCACAATCTTGTGGTGGGGATTCGCTACCAGGCTGCCTGGGTCGACGATGGCGCTCATCCTAGTCTTTAGCGAGCTGCTCTCCTCAAACATGCGGCTCATTTTTGCAAAGTTGATGGATCGGAAAAATGTGACGAGGCATTCCGGGCTGAAGAGGTACGGGTAGTCGAGCATGTGCCCCTTGTTCCGCGAGGAGGGTGATTCCGCCCATGACACGGGCATTTCCATCGTATCCAGGCGCTCTGAGAAGTAGTCTGCGCGAAACTGAATGTCCCCCAGGAGGAGCCTGGATCTGTTTTGATCTGCAATCTGTCAGCATGAACAGGTGGAAAGGAACATGGAGCTTTTGCGACTTACACATGGTGGAGATGAGAGACAGTGCCCCGTGGAAAGCACCGGCGCACAATATCTCGGCATGGCCATCCCATTCGTGGTAGAGAACCGTCCTTGCCCAGTCGAGCAGGAGGGTAGGAACGCGGGTCTCGTGCAGCAGGCGTTCAGCTGTCGGGAACTCCAGCACGCGGATCGGCCCGGAGTGCACAAGGTCGAGCTGGCTGAGCAGTGGCTGGAGAATGTCCATCTGGCCGGCCTTGTTCTTGCCATCCATGCGCATCAGCGTTGCCAGGGACCGACGGGCGGACACGGCGGAGAACACACGGCGGGCCAGCCGGATGGCGACGTCGTTGGAGAAGACGTCCTCGTACTCGAGACATATCGCCTGCGGCTGTCTCGTGGAGAGACTGTTACCACCCAGAGCCAATCCAGTGGATCGTATGCGCGACATGTCGTACAATGTTTTGGAGTCTGAGACATAGGGAGCCACCGCAACGAGGGCGTGCAGACAGACTGACACGACGCAGCCGGCTTCGAAATCGGACAATGGCTTCCGACTCTTGGGCAGTGCCCTCGCGGGACGAGACTGCGAGGCTTGGAATGACTTTGGCGTTGTGAACAGGGACTCTGCCGCCAGCCAGAGGCTGTGGAGGACCAGGGTCGGCGCCGCTCGCGTCATCCGGAGCATGCAGTAGAAGAGCGTCTGAGAGTCGTACAGTTTGCCATCCCGGGAAAAGGACCGGACAAGCGAGTGAGGGTCGCTCAGCACGGTGAAGAGGGCCTGTTCGTTGAAAGCTTTCCACTGGCTGGCAGACGTGGCACGGGACGTCGACCGCCGCCTCACCAGTTTCTTTGACAGATTCTGGGGTTTAGGATAAGAGGCGTGAGATTCCAAAGGTCCGAAGAAATGGCTCTCGTAGGTCTGGTCTTCTTGAAAGACATCGCATATGAACTCGACGAGGTCGACATTCAGGGTGGACAAGGACTGGGGCAGCAGTAACTTGGCCGATGAGAAGTCGGCCTCGGGTAATGGTGACACGGGCCTCGGCTTCGCATGAGGGTCGACGTGCTCCTTTCTCGTGGTCGGGGGGGTGCTGCTCGGCGTGTCCTTCTCATCGACAGTTTCTGTATCCGATGACCCTGACTCGACCTCTTCCACCTCCGCGGTGGTGGTGGTGGTGGTGGTGGTAGTGCTGGTAGGGGTTGGAGGAGATAGGTTTTCGAAAAAGGCGGGCTTGGATGGTATTTCCGGCACGCCGCGAGTGATGATGGCGGGTGAAGTCTTGCCGGCCCGAGCCAACTTGTCGGGGTAGAAGCCGTTTAGGCTGGGGGGGCGTGACGTCGGCTTGGCCTCTTCGTTTCCTGCTGAGATGGCCATAGGATCCATTGTCCTCCTGTTCGACTTGGATGGAGAAGAGCGGAGAGTCGTCTTTGAGTTCCTCTTTGGTTTGGAAGATACGTCTTTCATGGGCGTAGGCGGTTCGGCCACATCTTGGCTCGAGGTCCTTGTTGGTTTCGGGGCCCTGTTTCGTTTAGGCTGTGAGGCTGGTAGGGAAACAGGTTGATGTGCGTCAATATGGTCTTTCTGAGAATCAGTGGCCTGTTGGGAGTCCGCCGCAGCAGCAGCAGCAGTATTGTTACTCTGCCGATAACCCCCCAGCTCAGAGATCTTGTCCGTCATAGCTTCAATCGACTGTGGTGTAAGCCACTCCAACATCTTGAATGCGACGGTGCCAAAAGTGGCCACGGCAAACGACCTGTAATCCTTCTGCACTGCCTTTTCGGTGACGCTAATCTGGGATGCCGGGATCTGACCAAGCCGCGAGGGGGTGCCATCATTCTTGGACTCGCCGGGCTGGCTGCCTAGGCGTTGCTTCTCCAGAGACGGCGAGCGGCATCTTGTTGCTGCTGTAGAACAAGGAGGAGCCTTGGCAAGACACTCCAAGCTTGGTTTCCGCCGGGAGGATGTCTGTGGATCTGAGGATTTACGGTTGCCGTGCTGAGATGGCGAAGGCCGAGTGGAAAAGATCAGGCTGTTGGTCGCGGGAGGAACTTCTCGAGGGGAGCCGAGGTAGGGACAGAGGCCGGAGTATGGATTGTCTTGGCTGGCAAGATAGACGGCCAGCGTTCTCGCGCTTGTCGGATTGTATCGGCGGATAGGCGCCTTGCCAGCGAGGCGCTTGCGGCAGGAGAAGCAGGTAGCCGTGGAGCAATTCGGCGCACCACAGCCGGTTCTCAACTGATAGATGTACCTGTAGACGAGAGGAAGAGACGGAACGTTAGCACAGCTGCTTACGGAGAGCCCAAGCAATGAAGCAGTCCTGGAACCGAGAGCGGGGATATAAGGGACGAGAGCACGTACTTGTCGACGAGCTGCTGGAAGTCGTGACGGCGGCTGGCTCGATGGATGGCATAGACGCGACGGGGGTTGTCGACATCCTGGACGTAGGCGCTCAGCTCGGGCGGCGCATCGGCCGGGAGACGAGCAAACGGCGCGACCTGCCAGAGCCCGGCCAGCAGATCCAGCTCGCCGCTTGCTTCAGGGCCTCGCGGGCGGGCGTCGGCGGCATGGCCAGGCTCGAGGCCCCTTGCTGAGGAGCCCGAGGGCTTTGGCGGCGCGCTCATGGCTGACGTGGAAGCCGCTGGGAGTTTGGGGCTTCTCAACAGCCCATGCTTCGGCGGTGGCGGCGGTGGTGGTGGTGGTGGTGGTGGTAACGGCAGTCAGAGTGCGGAGGAGAGCGTCGAGTGCTGCGCGAGGTGGTGGTGATGATGCTGTCAAGGCGTGTTAACGGAGCAGAGAACGACGGATGGCCGCCGGAACGAGGGGATGCGCGAGAGGGATGACGGACGGATCGAGTATCAGGTAAGATCAAGGATGCAAGGCCAGTGCTGGTGGCGGCTCGTTAGTAAACCGGCTGGAGATTAGCAAGGCTGAAGCGTGACGAGCAGGCCGTGGGCGGTGGGGTCTGGTGCTCTGCGGCAGCGGTCGCGGTACAGGGTACCTGCTGCGGGTGTTTGATGCTTGGGCAGTTTGGCTGCCGGCCAGGATATCACGGCATGTATCTCCTACCTTGGCTGCTACCATTACTACCTATCTACCTACTTACCTAGCAGTACCTTCGTCCGAGCTCCAGACATTGCCACAGGCGTCCAGTGAGGCGCCCCCGTGTTCCGTCGGGTTCCCTCGCGAGCCACTCCAGCCGCCCAAAGCCACTGAACCAACCCCAGGCCGGATCCGAGCCCAGGCTGGTTCCAGCGCCCCCCCGGCCAGTACAGCGAGCGCTATCTGCGCTGTTGGATCCCCCGGCAGATGCGCTGCTAGGGGACTGTTAGGGCCTCGCGTCAACGGGGGGGGGCGGATTGCGGAGTCCCGGTACAAGCTGCTCGTGGGTGGCGCCGCCATGGCCGCGGGCTTTTGCACGCAGCGCAGGAGCCGCAGCATGTACAGATACCTCGTGGCTTACACATGCTTTCCAACTAGACTTCCAGGCTCAAGTCATCAGCTGCAGAAAAAAATGCAGGGTACGACCCACCCTTGGCGGCGATGGCACAAATACGTCAGAAACCCCCGGCCACTCAAAATTTCCACCAGAATTAATAATTCTGGCAGAACCATCGCAGGTTCGAGTCACACTTCTGGACGGTCCGTCCCTGCTTGATAAGGCTGTGCCTCCCATTTACTTTGCTAGGAGAGAGTCGTTCAGTCACCAAATCTACCGCGACTGGTTCTGCTCGTCTCGCTTCTCACCATGGCGAGCGTCCAGCCCGCCACCGCCGGGCAGGCGACCTCGGGCTCGCACCCATATACGTGCAACTCTTGTCAGGTCGCCTATCGCAATATCGATCTCCAAAAGACTCACATGAAGAGCGACTGGCAGTGAGTGCGACCTTGGTGCTGGAGAGGCCGGCTGCTTGTGCATCTCCGGCTGTTTTGCTCCGTTGCTGACTCAATATCTCCCTAGCCGGTATAACCTGAAGCGACGAGTTGCCTCTCTGCCTCCCATCACCGCCGAAGTTTTCACCGAAAAGGTTCTCAAGGCGCGTGCTGATACCACCGCCGAAGCCGACAAGGCGCTGTTTGAGCGTGCCTGTGAGCCGTGCGGAAAGACGTACTATAGCGAAAATGCCTACCGAAACCACTTGCTGAGCCAGAAGCACAAGCAAAACCTGGCCAACCCGCCCAAGAAGCATGATGACGAGACGACTTCCGTGATGAGCTCGACGTTTTCGCTCGGCGATCCGGCATCTGCCGCGGGCGAGGATGTCGACTCTGCCGCCGAGGACGAGTTCAACCAAGTGATTGAGGGTCTCCAAAGGACAAAGGTTACTGAGCAGCGACCCTCGCCTGTGAAGCGGCCGTCAAACCCCCACCCCGCTCCAGAGAGCGAAAACGCCGGCACCGAATCTACCCCGACTCCCACTCAATCTGGATCTGACCGGGTCTGGACCGTCAACACCTGCGTCATCTGCAACCACGAGTCTTCTTCTCCTGAGACAAATGCTCAGCACATGGAGAGAACCCACGGCATGTTCATCCCCGAGAAGACGTATCTCGTCGATCTGGAGGGTCTTATCCGATATCTGCAAGAAAGAGTTGGCGAGGATCACCAGTGTCTTAGCTGCGGCAAGTACAAGAACAGCCTCTTTGCCGTGCAGACCCATATGAGAGACAAGGGCCACTGCATGATTCCGTACACGACGGACGAGGATCAGTTGGCTATTGGCGATTACTACGATTTCAGAAGCACCTATTCCGATGGGGAGGATGATGACGAGTCGGACAGCGGCTCGACGGAAGACGGCAACGGAGGAGCCAAGCTGGGCGGGCGACGAGAGGCCAAGGCCACCGGGGCTGACGGAGAAGAGTTGGAGGAGGGAGAAGACGCCGATGGTTGGGAGACTGACAGCTCGGCTTCGTCTCTCGACTCAGAGGACCTGACTGCAGTTCCTGCGGAGGGCCACATCCATCAGTTTGAGCGGCTTAGCAAGCACGCCCACCACAGCACAAACGATCCTCGGAGTCACCATCAGGCGGATGGATGGCATTCCAAGGCTCACAAGCACACCCACGCGGCCTTTTACGACGAGTACGAGCTGCATCTTCCGTCTGGGCGATCCGTGGGCCACCGTTCGTTGAACCGATACTACCGGCAGAACCTGTACAACCACCCGTCGGCAGAGGAGCGCGAGGAGCAGCTGCTGCTGGAGGCTGCGCGGCACGAGGACGGCGTCGAGCCCAACAGCGAGAGCCAGGTCGCCGTCATCAAGAACCGCAGACGCGAGATGGCTCCCCGCGGCGCCATTGGCATGGCTGGCGTGCACGATGCGGTGAAGCGCTCGGTGCGCAGGGACGTGGAGCGCAACCGGGACGTGGAGCATTACCGGGCCAGGAAGACGGAGTGGTCGTATGCCAAGAAGCGCAACAACCAGAGACACTACTACTACCGCGATACCGGCGGTGGTTAGATGACATGACCTTGTGTAGCTGCGAATTGATGTTTGTTTTGTCTTTGACTCCACGTGCGTCTGGTTCAATGACGCAGTCCTGGCTTTTGAAACACACATGCAAGTGAAATATGGGCTCATGGACAAAGATGCTGATGTGAGACGGCCCTTGATTCTCCTCTACCGTTTTATCTTGAACGGTATCATAATCGATCAACAGTACACAGGCTTATTGTACCTTAGCACAAATGCCCTCTTCTTTCAGTGGCTCAGTCTTGTTTAAAGCGCCGCCATGTGCTGGTGCTTCTAGCAGAGCAGGACGGTATGGGCGGGGTTGGCGATCCCCGATTTTCAGAGTAGACATTTTAGAACACAACAGAATGCTGACATTCTAAGTTACTACTACAGTAAACCTTGGCTATAACGATGCATAACAGCAGCCCCTACCCCATCGTTATAGTCAGAGTATTATAAGAACCAGGTTTTACAGAGATCAGGTACTGCATAACTAAAAATAGGTTAAAATCTTATATTAATATACGCCTAGTGCAGTAAGAAGGTACTGGTTAATAGTCTGTTATTATTTCACATTAACCTAGTTAATATGCATTTAGTAAAGAAATGCATAATACTACTAGTAAAGTAATTAAAGAAGTAGGAAATCTAGTATTTCCTACTATTCCTAAAAGTTAATAAGCTTAATAAATATATTAAATACTTTTACTATAAAAATAATAAGTAAAAGGAGTTAATTTAAGTTATCCTTATTATTATTTATTAAAGCTAATAAAAATTTTACTACTATTTAATCTAAATTATTATTATTAGTATTAAATATGCACTTTTTAACTAGGTTAATAAGGTTATTTAAGGTAGCCTTATTAAAGTCTATAATATAGTTAATCTGCATTAGCTCTTAAATATATATTTAGGCTAGAAGTTTATAAATAGCCTTATAAGATTTATTTTAATTAGTAGGCTTTTTAATAAGTTTACTAAAGCTACTAAATAGCTATAATTTAACCTAGCAGCTATTAATTATATCTTACTTAATACTACTAGACTATATATTAACTAGCTAGCCTATAGCCTATAATAAGGTTACTTCCTTTATTAAATTATAATTATAAAAGAAGGCATTAGTAATAAACTCTAGCTAATGCTTTTTATAATAAACCTTTAAATTATTAATAATGCCTTAGTTTATTAGCTAATATAAAGAGGTTATATTTATTAATAAAAATATAATATATATATAGTAAAAAAGGTCTTTTATAGCAGCTTCTTTAGCAGCCTTAATATAGGCACTAAAGTTATTTAATAGCAGAAGCACCTTTTAGCTAGCTATCTAGTTATTAAACTATTACAGCCATTTAATAAATATCTTACTAGTTATTTATACTATTTTATTACTTTAATAATATAAAAGGTATATAAAAATTTATATATTATTCTTACTAAATATATATAAATTAGCTATAGACCTTATAATTTAAAAATTAAGTTAGTAAAAGCTGCTAGTATTACTATAAGGCAGGATTATAATTTATAACTTACTACTCTTACTGCTAAATTAGGCCTTTATTACTAATATAATACTAAGTAAAGAATACTAAAAAAGGCCAGTCTTATTAATATTATAAATATTATTAAATTTATATTTATTAATAATAACTTAAAGGGCTTAAAGGTCTTTTAAATAGTTAACTTATAAGGCAGTATAAGCCTTACTATATTAATAATAGTATTAAAAGAAATACTATAACTTAAAGCTATTTAGCCAGCTAGTTAAAAAAGGCAGTACTAGCTAGCTAATATAGTTATTAAAATAGATTTAAAGCTTAACTATAATTAATTTAATAATATCCCTAGTTATAAAGGCACCTTTTTTATTTAATTAAAGCAGGGCCTTATTAAGAGCTTCTTTTAATATAAGGAAGTTACCCTGCTAGGCCTTTTTAATATCTTATAGCTTTAAATTATTATTAAGGTGCTTATATTAGCTACTTAATAACTTAGAAATTATTAACTATAATAGTTTATACTTAAATTTAATTATAGCCTAATGCTTAAGCTAGGCTTAGGTTTAAGTTAGATTTTTATTTTATTTTTTTTATAATAACTAATACTGTTTTTATAAAATTATAAATCTAGTAGCCTTAAGTATTAAAGGCATAATAAAAAATATAAAAAAATATATTAAAAGATATTAAATTAGTAATATTATTATATATTAAAGGAAGAAGGTTAGGCTGCCTAGGTTAAAATTAAGTGCCTAGCTAAGCCTAGGCTAAGGACTAATAATAATATTTATATAAGTTAGTTAGTAATTTCTAGCTAATATTATTATTATTAAGATTTCCTACTTTTTAGTGCAGAAAATAGCTTATCTAGGCCTTCTGATTAGTATAGGCAGATTATTATAAAGGCTGGGGTTTATTATAACTAAGGTTTACTGTACTAGTAGTAGTTGGTCAGGGGGGGCTTGTACGTACTGCTAGTTTTCCGAGGAACTGCTCCGTTCCGAGAGTATGTTATTTATAGATGCTATTCTGGGGGCTTCTGGGAGGGCTAGGCTGATGATCCGTTTGCATAGCTCGGTAAGTACCTACCCATATACATGTAAAGTTGTGATACAAGTGATTGTAGCTGCAGAAGTGTTTACCTTATACAGCAGAATGGCTGTCAATCCTCAATTAAAGTAGAGCAAAGAAACTCATCAAAGATGGAAACGGACAATAGAGGAAACCGCATAAACAAGGTGGTATTCTCGCATCAGGAGGGGCATCATGCCGTGGAGCATCAAAACAAACCCACGTCTTCCTTCTCCTCACTACACACACACTTCCTTTCTTGCATCTCGTATATACTAATATCGGTCGCTCGATCAAGTCCCAACAGCGGAAAAGCGTCTTGCCGTGCTTCGAGATCGTCATCGCCAAAGAGCTAAAATTGGCAGCCATCGCATCGTCTAGCACTACTATCATCGCCTTTTCGTTGCTGGATTCCCTGTTTGACTCATTCTTTCATCTGTCCGGGTGGCCTCTGACTGAACCCTCGTTGGTGAGCCTGCGCCCCGTCGGGCTGCGGCTGACGATCCCTGCAGCTTGTTTTTTGCCTTGCCCATGCCATGCCCTCTCTCTTCACTCGCTCTTCTGCTGATGCTACTGGCTGCTGTTCCGTCCCGCCTTATTAGTGCTCATACCTTGTTGTTCTACCTTGGATGCTGGTAAGTGGGCTGGACAAGGGCGGCTCGTGATTTGGCGAGGCGAGGGCATTCGCGGAGCACGCTTTTGGCAGCAACTGGACAGACAGCCCGAGCATGCATGATTGGGGCTGGGACGAGGGACGGAGGCGTCATCTGAAAAGGAACAGGTTCCGGTTGACTCTGCACGTACCGACCTACCTGATGTATCTATGATGTGATGACGGTGATGTGTACAAGTATGCTCATGCGGCTCTGAGCGAGAGGAGAGGAGAGAAACAAGTGTTGAAAGCAGGTATCCGTGCAGACCTCTCTCTACACACCGTAACACGGCTGGCCTTCGTGACAAGCTGCATGGTGTGTCCGCCTGCGTCTTGTGCTGTGCTGTGTGGCCTCTGGAACGCATTCTACGGGTTGAGGACTACTACCAACAGCTCTCCCGGCTCTCTACCTATCTTCGCTACTCTCTTCTCCATTTCTTCCTCTTCCTCACAACTGCCTCTCCTCTTCGCGCCGCTTCTTCTTCTCTCCTCCTCCTCTCAGTCTCACCTTTCCGCCCAACTCCATCCGCGATCCACCCTCGCCAGTCTTCTTTTTTTTTTCCCCGGTAATAAATATAGATAATACGACTCTAAATCTGGATCTGACGTCCCACGGACCGTCTGTGCGACCGCTCCTTGCCGTGCGTGTGTGCTTGGGAACAGCTCGACGTGCGCCCAAGCCGCCCAATACGGAGCTACGATACCAATACAATCTTCGCCCAGAAAGTCAGACCGACCTCTTTCTTACTCGCCTGTTTCTCCTCCTGCTCAATCTCTTTTTACGTGTCTCAGCTGGGCAGATTGCGACGCTGAATCGACTCTGCGGTTGCAACGACGGCTGAATACGGTTACAAGCTCTCCCACATGCGCCGAAATAGTCACAGCAACAAGGGTGTCTATAGGTACCTTGGGTAGAGCAACACAGACGGACGGAACCAACAACAGCGCAGAAGGGGGGGGAAACCAAGAGGACGACTCAATTGAGTCCCTTTACACGACAATACGAACGCAAAGAAACAAAAAGACGGAATCAACAAGAATCACATACGCACACACACGAAACATGCCACGCAGACGACTATGGGCATCCTCGCCCCTCCTCCTCCTCCTCCTGCTCTTCGCCCCAGCAGCCCTCGCCGTCGTCGAAGCCGACTTCTCCTTCTACCCTGCCAACGCCCAGCCGTGCCTGAACCAGGCGGCCGCGGCCTCCAAATGCATCGGCTCGACCGTCACGGACCTCAACAACTGCCTGTGCGGCAACTGGAACGACTTTGTCATCCTGGCGGCCACGTGCATCGGCAAGAACGACAAGGAGGACTCGGTGCCCGTGTATAAGACGATGGTGTCTGCGTGTGCCGACTCGGATACGCCGCTCGACGTGTCGCCGAGCGAGTTTTACGGCGCGGTCAACGGGGAGACCACAACAACGACGACGACGACGTCAGTAACAACAACAACAACAACAGCGGCGACGACACTGGCAACGGCCACGACGACGACGACAGACTCGGCGACAACACAGCCGACGAGCTCCAGCACCGCCGCTCCCACGCAGGGGAGCCTGTCGACGGGCGCGACCATCGGCATCGCGTTGGGCGCATCCTTTGGCGGCGTCGGTTCCATCGCGGGCCTGGTGTATTTCCTGCTGCGGCGGGCCAAGAAGCAGGACGAGGAGCGGCATCCGATGCTGCCGCCGCCGCAGTATTACGGCGACGACGCCCAGCAGCAGCTGTTCAGCGGCCGGCCGCCAGCGCCAGAGCCCACGCCGTCGCCGGGCCTGCTGAGCAACTACTCGTCCGAGGTGAAGCAGTCGTCGTCGTCGTCATTATGGGTGTCGCCGCTGCAGAGCCCGGACTACAGGTACTCTGCGGCGACGTGGGACGGCGCGCAGGGGGCGTATCAGGGGCCGCTTGCGCCGACGGAGGTGGGCTCGGAGATGGCGATGCTGCCGCTGCAGGCGCAGGGTCTGGGTGGTGTTGAGGGGAGTAGCGGTGGCAGCGGTGGTACGGGGATGGTGTTTGAGATGGATGCCACGGCATCGCAGGTCTCGCAGGTGTCGTCGGGGGCTGTCGAGGTGCCGGGCAGTGTGCCGTCTGGGCGGCCAGCAGGGAGGTGATAGTCGGAGGAACTGCGGTGGCTGATTTGATTCTGACGAGATGATTTTTTTCTTGTTCTTCCTAATGGTAGCCGGGAGTCAATCCATGAAGAGGATATTGCGTTTAGCATGGGAGGCGTTGTTCATTTCTGCAATATATATACATTAGGGTAGTCCTGTCCTGGATATACTGCAATTCCATTGTGCAAGCAAGTCTGAGTGGCTCGATCAGTGACGTTTCTCCTGCAATCTGTAACGAGATATGAGTTGGTACAATGACAAAGAATCTGCTGCTTTCTTCATGTCCGTTCCTGGCGTGAGTGTATCAAGAGTGTGTTATGGTCATGTTGATACCTTGATTGAAACGGTGTGGTCGTAAGCAAGATTGGTATTCGGTCGATGCCGCTTGTGAGATTCGCACTGCCAAGGAATCTGTCTAACACTGGATCTGACTCGCCGACCACCATCTGACTTACACTCGTAAACTTCTAAATTGTAGCCTCATCATCAAAGCAAGCTGCAACACGCAGCGGAATGTCAAACAACGGCCTACCTATGCAAAAGCGAAGCAAGTCAATGCCATATATATACGTAATATATGCGCTAGAAATCGGATACCCCTCTATCGGAACAGGCTGAGTGCGGATTATCAAGATGTGCCGAGTAACCGGCTTGATTAAACACGCATCGAATTGCATGTGCAGCAAGAGGAGAGCTTCACGCCCAAGCCATGCTCTCTGTCCTCCCCGCATCTCGACCCGACTTTACATGAATCTTGTACGACGAGATTGGAGAATCTGACAAAAAGATGGCTTCGGAGAAGAAGACTGTTCTCATCACCGGGTGAGCATCAACGATAATTGTCAATGTGTCCGTTTCTTCTGTGGATCAAGCCTCTCTGATGCGAATATAGCTGCACGCCTGGAGGCATTGGGCATGCCCTCGCCCTCGAGTTTCACAGCAGAGGTGCGTTTCTTGAACATTGAATGCTGCAATACAATACTCCTCTAGATGTTCGCTGACGATGAGACTTTTGGGGCGTCATTCATAGGCTGCCATGTCATTGCTACCGCACGCAACCCGGATGTCCTCAAGGGCCTCGCTGCCATGGGCATGAGCGCCGTCCAGCTCGATGTCACCAACCAGGACAGCATCAACGCCGCCAGGGACGAGGTTTCCCACATCACCGGTGGCAAGCTCGACATTCTCGTCAACAACGCGTAAGTCAAAACAAACAGGACGATCGATACATTACCATCATCTTCATCATCATCATCATCGTCATCATCGTCATCATGGGTACCTTATGGTAAATCATTCACTAACCATCACATCAACATCATCGTCATCACCCACCTCCAGCGGCCGGACTCACACCATCCCCGCCCTCGACATCGAGATAGACGACGTCCGCCAAACCTACGAGACCAACGTCTTCGGCCCCATGTTCACCATCAAGGCCTTTGCCCCCTTGCTCATCGCCGCCCGCGGCCTCGTCGTCAACGTCTCCTCCATCAGCTCCATCAGCGCCTACATCTTCGGCTCCGTCTACGCCTCCACAAAGGGCGCCATCAACAGCTACTCGCGCGTCCTGCGCCTCGAGCTCAAGCCCTTTGGCGTCCGCGTCATGGTCGCCATGGCCGGCACCGTCCGCTCCCACATCGCCAGCCACCCGCACCGCGCCCTGCCCGCCACCTCGCTCTACCTGCCCGTCAACGACTACTTCCAGCGCAGGCTGGTCTTTAGCCAGAACAACGCCACGGTCCCGACAGACGTCTTTGCCAGGAAGCTCGTGTCGGCGGCGCTCAGGGGAGAGGGATACTTGGGGGGTTTGGTTGGGGGCACGCCGGACTGGTTCTGGGCCGGAGGGCTTTCGACAAAGGTCTGGCTGTTGTCGTTTTTGCCGGCTTGGATGTCGGAGGGCATCATTTCCATGTTTTTCGGGGTTGCTGGGCTGAAGAAGAGGCTTACTGAGGCGAGAGAGAAGCAGTCTTAATGGATTGATTGCTATGGTAGAAGAATGAGTTCAAGGCACGCGTTTACTTGTGGTTTCGACTACAGTAGGCATACATAAGAGGAGCAATAGAATTGGCCAGAGGAATATCAGGTTCCCAATCAACTCTCATACGAAATTCATCTTGACTTCTAGTACCTTATAATAGATAGGGCTTCCTGCTATAAGCTCTATATTTCGGGGAGTGGCCACTTAGCACTCTGTCTCGGCTAGCAGATTGACCCAAGCTGGTGCTATTACTGCTATTGATGTAGATATAGTAGCTAGAGAACTTATACTGGAACTTGATAAAGTTCAATCCTCTCCCTCCTCATTCGCTTCGCTTGACGACAAATCGTTCATAATCTCCTCAAGCGATATGCCCCATTCAGCGGCCAATCCCTCCTTCCACGCCTCCACCGTAACCTCCTCTCCATCTTCAGCATAAATCGCCTTTAATATCCTATCGTCCTCCTTCACATCTATCGGAAGCCGCACGGTCTTGGCTTTGGTGCCCCTGAAAAGATCGTCCCCAGGGCACGGGAGTTGCAGCCACTTGTGCTTTGCGTTGCATACCGTGATCTTGGCGCCAGATGTCTCTTGGGGGTTGCGAAGCTGCGCGAGACAATCGCCGCAAAAGTTTCGATCCGCGCAATAGATGCAGTGATACGCGATGTCATGCAGTCCTGCCCCCCAATTCCGGCAACTGTTACCGTCTGGCGCGCGACCGTCACAGCTCCACGGTCGAGTTATAAGCCCAGTGGAAAGGCTTTTCCAAAGGGACGAGATGCGAGAGTGGACGAGGCGGTACGCATATGCCACTTCAATGTCATGAAGGCTCCGTTTCTCACCTTCGCCATTGGCATCGGCTCCAACTTCGATCGTCTTCGTTTCTGCTTCCGCAGCATTCACAAGAGCCTCGATATACTCCTTGGCAGTGTCGATGCGCTCTATCAGCTGCTCAGAGTCCGGGGCCTGAGCTTTGGCGTGACGGACGACCTGTTCAGCCAGCGCAGAGACCAGGCCCAACACTCGCTGTTTGCTCTCGCCGTCGACTTCCGTGATATCGCCAGCTTCAAAGCACAGCGCTTCCATCACAAGATCTGGCTGTCCTCGCAGAGACAGGGCTACAGCCGCATTCTTGTAGTCTAGATCATGCTCCAGCGTCTTCTGCACAAGGGCGAGCCCGGACGTGTCATTGTCGAGTATGTCATCGGAGAGAATCTGCAGTCCTTGCTTCATCCTCGGTCGCAGCCGAGATCTGGCAGCTTCTCTGTTGCCGCGCAGCACGGAAACGACTCCCAAAAAGCCGATAGCGTCGCTCTGGTAGAAGTTGCTGTCGGGGTCGGAGTCGGCAAGCTCGGTCAGCTTGGTGAGGGCATCGCCATGGTCCAGCTGCTGCAAGCCGTCCATGATGATCTGAAAGTAGTGGTTCGCCAGCGCCTCGGTAGCAAGTTGGCGTGTCATCAGCGCATTGCTCCCGCCGACGAGGGCAAGCACGTCGCGTGCCTCCGTCCACAGCCGCAGAGCCTCGTTGACAGGCTCGGCACCTCCGGACGTGACTCCATACATGTATGCCGCAAAGCCTCGATGGAAGAGGAGCACGCCGCGGGCCTCATCTTGAGCATAACGCTCGCCCTCTTGTGATGCCCTTGCAGTGCTCGACATGAGGTTGTCGGTAGCTTGCCTCATGGCGGCCACGATGGCTTTGAGCAGATTTGGATCCTCTTTAGTCAAAGTGAACAGCACTGGAACAAGGTTGCGATGCGACAGGTCTCGAGCAATCGTCTCGAGATTCGCGGCCATGTTGTCCTTTCCCTTCTCTGAAGCTAGCACGCCTTTGAGCCATTGCCTCACTTCTTCTGCGTCCGAGAAGCATAGCCTCGCCTTTAGCCGACCCAGCTCCCCTTCTCTTGCTTGAGCCACATCGTCGCTCTCGCAGGCGATCGAGTAATGCTGGTCCGCTTTCCTATAGTCACGATGGTCACGCGCGTACCGACCCAGGAGCAGATGCAGACGAACAATATCTGCTGCTTCCGGCTTTGGCGCAGCATCTTCTCGAATGGCGGCTTCCAGCGCAAGTTCCACCTGAGCAATGGCCGCCTCGTACTCATGGTCGTCACGATATGCCATAGCCAACCCCTTATGGCACAGCCAGCTGGGATCCTTCTCTTGGATGGCGCGCTGGTAAAGGGCTATGGTAACCTCTGGCTCGCTGTCTTGCGAGGCCGATGCCTCGGCAAGTCGCTCATACCACAACGAGTCCATGTCTGTGTTGACAAGGCCCAGGAAGTCTTGGCACCAGACACTTACTCGGCTCCAGTCCACCTCGCTGCCATCTGACGAGCCGGCATCAGAAGGCTCATTGTGGCTCTCGAGCCTTCTGTCGTCCTGTTTTCTCACATGCTTCAGTGCTCAGTTCTAAGAGGCAACTCGGACGAGACGTCAACTTACAGCCTTCATGAATTGCTCAAGCCAGTCGTAGGCGGCTTCGACCTCCCAGCTCCTCTCCCTCAAGAGGCCGCATACAACGATTCTTACCCATTCCTTCAGGTAGCCCCTTGTCGGGCTTGAGGCCAGCTGTACCTCGTCGCGCCACCTCTTATCGAGCCGCCGCATGACTGCCGAGTCCATCAACCACTTTTGCACGTCCATCATCTCATCCACCGTCCATAGCATGCGCTGGAAACTCTTTGTGTGACGCTCAAAGGCCTCGCCGCCCCTGAACAGCTTGTAGAGATTCTGACCAATCTCGAACTGCTCGCTCGGCATGAGCGCCCCTTGATCGTCGTCTTCGAGCTGGCGGAGGCGGCTCAGATGATACGGCAGCCAGCCGACAAGGTACGGCCCGATTCTCTCCGTCTGCTCTCTATGTGGCTTGCTCAAGTACTCGAATGCTCTCGTCACGATAGTATGATGCGCCTCAAACTCGTCTACAGCAATGGAGGCCCGGCTACCGCCGTGGAAGGCGTTTGCGGCTTCGTCATCGAGGTTGAAGTTGAACTTGTCCCGGATCGCCTTGTGTGCCAGGTCCCAGAGGAAATGTCCGCAGAGCTCCTGGTCCACGTTGTTGATGGTAATCGTCATGCTGATGGTGGCACGATCTTTGGACTGCGCTGACCGGCCAGAAACACTCACGTCTTTGCGCAAGTACTCTTTTATGCCGTCTTGACCAAACACATATCCATCATCGAGCTTCAGGACGGCCGAGTACTTGTTTCTGATGATGTACCCCATGGACGCAAGCGACTCTGTCTCAGAGCACAGATACTTGAAACTGTCAGCCTTCGTCACCGTTTCATAGGGGATTACGTACCATGGCACCTTCGAGCTTTTCCAGCGTCATGGGCTCGTTGCTGAACAACACCCACTTCAGCAACTCATTCAGCTCACTGATTTCGTCTGCCGTCAATGATCGCTGCAGACTCTTGATGGCTGCCTCGTGGCTGCTCATCGACTGGTCCAGCATCCGGTCCAGTTCCCGGATGGCCGTACGGGTGCTCAAGAGGCGAATGACGTCTTCCAGGCCAAACTGCAGCCGCGAGTAGCTGCCTTCGACATTCTGAGGCAGCTTATCAAGGATCTTGTCTCGAGCTCTCTCCTGGTCCGAGTTGGGCCTCGGATTCTGCAGCATGCCTCGTTGGTTGAGCGCCTCTTGTATGATGATGCACATGTCTGGCTTGTTGTGCTTCTCCATCTGAATCCGTAGAGCGCTCCTGGCTCCCTGCCAGCCTGCGAACTGGTCGTCTGTTCCGCTCAGTAAGATTCGCACACGGTCTCCCGAGTCCTTCGCCATCCGAGCACTCAAGACGAAGTCCAGTAGCATCTTGACTTGCCGATCGGGCAGGTTCTCAAGGCCGTCAAAGACAAGATAGTATGTGGCGTTTGAACCGGACGCCCCGATCTTCAAGCTCTCCCAAAGGCTGTCAAGGCTGTCGACGCTCGCTGACCGGCGGAAAGCAGCAGGCTCTTCGTCGCACGCCTTGTTCAGCGCCTTCTGCACGGCGACGTCAACGCGCGCGATCTGAAAGGCCATGTACTTGAGCGCCGACTGAATCGAGTTCTTATCGTCGTCTGCTTTCTTGGTGCTGGTCGGGAAGAAGTAATGCGCAGAGTATGTGCGACCCTTTTGCTCCTCTAGGCTCCTGGTGATGAGGGCAGTGGCGCAGGTCTTGCCCGAAGATGGAGGGCCGGTCACGAGCAGCAGCCGTTGTGCGTCCCTGTCTTTATCTTTGCTTCTGTCTTTGGATGATGTCCAGGCAGCGTATGCCTCGTGCGTCCAGATCCAGGCCCCCGTCTTGCTGCGGCACTTGTCTATGAGGTCGTTGCACGTCTGCGTGGTGTTTGTGTCGAGACGGACCGTCGACGGCACACCCAGAGTGTCGCGGATCTTGATGAGCGCCTTCATGCGATCGAGATCGTCCTTGAGGGTTTGCATTCCTTTCTGCGTCTCCTGCACTGCCTGGTGTGTCTCCTGGGCCGTCTTGCCAAAGACGATGGACTGCTCAAGCAGCAGCGAAATGTCTTGTCGCGTCTCCACGACCGCTGCCAGTGTAACAGTCCCTTCAACATCGCGCTGTTGCTGCAGAGCTCGTCGAAAGTCCGTCATCTGGGCGGCCAAGCCCGAGTCGTCGTCGAAGACGGACTTGATCTGCTGGAAGATGCGGTCCCGTCTGCGGCCTTGGCGATACTTGACGACATGGGCGCATACCTTGACGAAGTTGACCAGGACCAGATGAATCTGCTGGATGAGCCGAGGGTCGGCATGGCTAATCGTCTTGTAGATGTAAAACTGGGAAAGAGACGAGGACACTTCGCCAAAGACTTGGTCGATGGCGTCGTTGTAGCCCTTGATCTTGTCGGGGATGTCGAAGACGAAGCAGAGGGCAGAGCCGGTGATGTTGGCTGCCGCCTCTGGAATCGGTATCTAGATATATATATACATCTATCCATCAGTGGGTGCGACTTCTTGCCGGGACGAGATGCTGATATAGAGAGGTACAAACGACGACGCCTGGGATGCAGCCCCAACAAGCATCTTGAGGTATTTCAGGGACTCGAGGCCCACGCTCTTTGCCTTTTCCCACTTGGCATTCTGCTCTTCGTCGCCATCTTGGGGCGACCCCTGGTTGGCGTTTCTGATCTTGTCTTGCACGTCGTCGAAGCTCTTGACTTTGTGGCCCTTTTGCAGGGACTCTCCGCAGATGCTCTCAAAGTCTTTGGCTGCGGCATCCCACATCTGCTGCATGGATAGAAGCCCCTTGGGCGGCTGGTTAGACGATGCGTCGCCCGCCAGCTGCTGGCCTCTCATGCTGCTGCCCAGGCTGATGATTTCTTCCTACCTAGTGATTGTTTCCTTTGAGATGGAGAGTGAGCAGAATCCAGCCTTGACGCATGGCTCGACGGATCAACAAGCACTGCCTCTGCTACCCCGCAGATCGCGACTTACCCTATTGTAAGCATATAGGCAATAGGGTAAGGAACAACACTGCCAGTTGGCTACTGTAGGTTTAAGGAAGTGGTTATCCAGCTACATGGATATCTGATCTACCTACAATAAGACGGAGAGAGTAACTATGACTACACTGATGTAGCAATACGATTTTAGCAGAGAATAGAGAGAGTCGAATCTTTTGCTAGATAGTCACTCCTAGTTTACCTTTTCAAATCTGACAGGCAGCAGTGTGAATTTTTGGCCCCTTGGCAAGGTAGTAACTAAATGCACTTAGAAGTAGGTAATTTAATGGCCAGCCTCTATGCTTGGAGACTGAAGAGCATCTAATGTGGTTCCGTCTGGCTCACTCCCATGTTTGCATTCACATAAAATAGGTATATATGCTTAAGTACATGTCTATCGCCTACCCCAGCAGGACAAGCCATGTTGAGATCGCATCGGGTCGGGCCGGCGACCCTTTTACTCGCCGCTAGTCCTTGCTACTCAAGAGCTAAAAGAGACGCTTCCACTCTATTTTCAGAGACAAATGTTTGATGAACACAAGACAGATAACAACTGTGGTTACATGTCTCATAGTGGTGCTGAGAGACTCTACAAGATGCAATCCTGTGCTCTTTATATAAAGGCACCTAAAGGAGACTGCAAGAACAGCATGTTGGTAGAAGTTACATAAGCCATAGTGTCTATACAATCTTCGCAAATGACTTGATATCTAAGCGAATCCTACCTTACCTTGTCTACCTAGTCTGAACATGGAGACATTCAACACAAGGCACACAGCTTCAAGTCCAGACTCTATCACCTGAGTGTCACCCTAGTTTCTTACTTAAATGGCGTTGTCACAGAGATGAGCGACACTGGGAGGATAACGAAATCAATCACATCACATTGCAGCCCGAACGTGCATCACATACCCACGCTTGATCGCTTCCTGGCAAAGATCTTACTAGCAGAGACGTGACCTTGCAGCCTTGGTAGATACAATACGACGTCGGCTATACACTCATGCAGCCCCGTCACGATATGCTCCCCAGCCTCTCCACCACTTTGCTTATGCATGTGTCCCGAAAGGTACTGCAAGGACAAGGGCCTTGGCTATCCAATGCCGCCAATTAGGAGAGTTGTATATGACTTTACGCACCCATCACTCAAGGTGCAGTGTTGCTTTATATCACCAGCGTCACTCTTTGACGATTCCTTCGGGTGGAGCTGTATGCCTATAGCATGTAAGCTCTACTCCATTGGGGTACAGCTGCAACAGGGAAACTATCTACATCCGGGCATATATCTTGCAGCAAAGTCGAAAGGAGCCTGTCAGCTGTAACGCTGTGGCTGTTATACATGGCCATCACTCGACTTGGCTTCGAATCTAAAGGCTGCTTCCGTAACCCCCTATTCAAGCATATGTGCATGCCTTGGCTTGTGATTGGAGCAACAGAAGCAAAAGACGCAATAATCCTACATGAGGTTCTGCTCCAGCTAAACATCCCTGGAGGTGATGCTTACTCAAGGAAGTATCGTGACGCTCTCACGTAGACTGAGTTGTGATATAAGAAGGCACGGCCTCTCTGGACTTGATATGCTGTAGAGTTCAAGAGAACCAGCCTTCCAACTGTCCTCGTCTATCTGAACCCAACTCCATGATGAAGCTCCTCCTCCTCATCTCTTTCACCGCCCTCTCCTCTCTAAGCAGCATCACAGCCGCTCAGATCCTCAACCCTCCCAAGTTCGACCCCCTCGACCCCCGATTCAACGCCTGGCAAGCCCCCGGCCCAAACGACTGTAAGCAAAGCCCCAGACTTCATCAACAAGCCCCATCCAACTCTAACCAAACATTGAAAAACAGCCCGCGGCCCTTGCCCCGGCCTCAACTCCCTCGCAAACCACGGCTTCCTCCCCCGCAGCGGCAAGAACATCACCGTCATCGACCTCCTCCGCGGGACATACGCAGGCTACCACGCGCTCCCGGACATTGCCCTCGCCGCGGGCACGGCCGAGCTCGCCAAGTCATACCGCCTCGCCGCGTTTGACCTGCACGAGCTCTCGGACCACGGCTTCGTCACGCACGACTGCAGCCTCTCCCGCGGCGACGCCTCCACGCCCAACAACAACGACTTCAACGCGACCATCTGGTCCGTCCCCCTGGAAGTCCTGAAAAACTACTCCACCATCACGCCGCAGGCCATTGGCGCAGCCCGCGCGGCCCGAGATCTGTACGACATCGCGCATAACCCCGACCAGCAGTGCGGCGCGCGATCGATTGCTTTCGGGGCCCTGGAAAATGGTTTCCTGCTGCAGGCTCTCGGGGGGAATCCCAAGCTGGAGTGGGTGAGGAGCTTGTTTGAGGAGCAGAGGATCCCGACGCATCTTGGCTTTGTGCCCGGTTCGGTCTTGGAGATGAATCTCGAGACGGGGCTTGCTGTTGGGCTGGTGTCGCTTGTGTCGCAGCCTGATTTGGTGGCGTTGCTGGGCAATACTGTCATCAAGACTCCAAAGGTACGTCGAGTTCTTCTGTCCAAGTTGCTTTGTGTTGTTGTTGGGGGTTTTGACTAACCCTTGTGTAGGATCTTCTTGCTGAGGTGTTTCCCGTCAAGAACTACGATCTGACGTATCTCCTCGAGATTATTGGCCTGGCGGGATTTCCACCACTTGATTTGTCTCTGCTCTTTGGGAAGTAGATGAATTCAAGTACGGCTGGATGCAGTCCTTCAGTTGACCGGTGCACATGTAGGCACATGTTATATGTTTTGTTGAATATCAACTACCTTAACAAATTCCTCATCCCGCGTCATGGTAGTCATGAATGATGAATAAACGTATCTTTGCTCTCCTAGAAATCATATCACAGCCGTGCTTTGGATAGCCTTGACTCCAGACTGCAGAACCAGCAAATATAGCAACAGAGCCTAGGCTCCACGCTCATCAACAAACCAAAATCTTCACCACCCATCCCCTAACTCCTATAGACCTTCGACCCTGATCCTCTAAATCCATCCATAAGAACACACCAAAGGAAACACGATACTATCTCATCCTCCATTCCCAATCTAGGCCTCAGAAGATATACCCTCAACACCATCAACCTCCAATATCTTCTCCAAGTCCCCCCTCGCCCGACACCCCAACCCCAAAACCCGATCCCTCACCCCAACCAAAGCTCTCACAAACTCCAACCCCTCGCCACACAAAAGAACCGGAGACTTCTCCAACGGCCTCTCAAGAAGCCTCTTATGCCTCGCAACTTCATACCTCGCCTTGGCCGTCTTGAACAGCATCCCCGTGTTCACATCGCCCTCTTCGCCAGACCACATGACGACCGCCTGCGCCTTGGCGTAAACCTGCATCAACAGGCCGCCGATATGCTGGCTGCGGTCCGCCAAGTCCGTCCAGTCCACACAAAGAGCATCGATCCAAAACGTTTGCGTTTCCAAAGGATCTCGAAACCGGCGCAGGGCGCTGAACAGGCTCGTCGTCACACGCAGACTCGTGCCGTTAAGCAGAACCACGTTCGTTTCGTCCGCGGCAGCGTCTCCCCATACGTACGACAGGACCTCATACGGACCGGCATCCTCCAACTGAATGGATCCTAGCTGGAGGGCGACTGTGTCCGCGTCGGCAGCGGCGGGCAGCACCTTTAGGAGGCGGATGCTGCCAGGCGGGAGGGGACGATATATCCGCGACGCAGGTCGGGGCTTGGCTGTCCCGTAGATGAGGCTTGAGACGGGGCGCCTCTGGAAGCCGACGTGGGTAGTGGAGCTCATTCTGGATGCTGGAAGCTCAATATACGACGACGCTGAGTCGTTGTCGATGGGTTGGAGGATGATCCTGAAGTGTATCCCACGGGAGGCCAAGCATCACAAATTCAGGGGCATACTTCAATTTATGTATTGCTATTTCATGTTGCAATGTCGAACAGCCTAAGAGTGTCAAACTTCAAGGCGAATCTTGCGCAGTTACCTTGTAGGGGCACAATGAGTCGGAATAGACAGATAGGGCTGTATCTAAGGTTTTCGACGTGGCTTCGATATATCTCCGTAAGGGGGTAATGCTAAGCATGTTTCCACCTTTCAGCCCCAAACCTTCGTCATTTTCTACCCCTTATTCAAACAAGGTGCTACTGCAGACTGTTGTCATCTCGGTCCCAGGGCGTAATGCTCTGGCAAGACTCTTGCCATATCTGGTTGAAGCTTTCCCAGAGAGCACTCAGCTCATGGCGAGCAAATGGGAAATAGGAAACAGCTGCTTGCGCTTGATGTCTACATCAATTCCCCCTACCTATTTCGCAGCGTTTTTATGTCAAAATAGGTATGCTTACATCACGACATTGGGAGTTTATTCTGGCTTGTATTTTACCGCAAGAGAAAGAGAAAGGGAAACCCTCAGTGATGAAGAGAGTTCAAAAGGGGCGATTTCAGAAACACCATCCCCATACAACAAATCCATCATCAACCCAGCCCAACCCCCCTCAACTCACATGAATCAACTACTGTAGCCAAACACTATTCCATCCTCTTCAAGATGAAACAAACCACCTGTAATCGTTATTTTGACCCTGTGTTAACAAGCTGTGTGCCAACAATCGTGTCAAATGTAAACCTACCTCCCCCCTACCTTGCGAAGCTGTCAACAGTTTCGCTTTCAGCAAGGAGCTTCTATTATCTTTCAGGACAGCGCTATTGCATCTGACATTTCCCTGCCATTGATGTTTGGTAGGCAACCCCTTCTTCTATCCATACGTTCTAATAGTCCGCCTACCCTAATGCAAGGCCTGACAAAAGGAAGGGAACGAGGTTGGAGCCTCTACCATGACTACCGTGTTCCTGGTGTCTCTTGAAAGGTTCCGATAGGCTCATGTCTGACTACTCCCATAGTTACGCATGTATTCAGCACCTCTTACCTGCAGAAGATGGGAACAAGGGCCTGAGCAGACGAGGCAAATTACCAGGAAGCACCTGGTCACGGTAATGTTCTGGCGACATGGAGCACTCAGACGAATGCAATGAAAAGGCCAAGTCTATCCCATCATCACAAAGACTGGTTTCCTCAAGTAAAGAATGTGGCAGCCGACAGACTGCATCACACACCGGTAAACGGGGTGAAAACAACAGGCACAGAGGACATGTCGAGCAAAAAGGTTCGGAATCATGCATGATTGGAGCAATGCAGCTACATCATCACAGGACTCGTTGTACATTTTCCCCATGCGTCTTCTCTAGGTGATGCCTCCAATGCCCTCTCCACCCTGCAACTCCTGGCCCCAGCACCCTCATCAGTCCTCCTCCCACGCCTCGACATCATCATCCTCCATATCGCACAACTTCTTCACCGCAGGCCCGACGAGTTCTACACCACCCATCCTCATCAGAAAAACCCTTCAAGTATCATCTCAAAGAAAGAAAAGGAAAAAAACTCACTGATGGCAGTATTCAACCCGCAGGCCTCAACAACGCAATCCTTGGCCGCCTTGCCAATCTTGGTCTTGTTCTCACAGATACACGCCACGTCCTCCAGCGCGCACTGCGTCTCCTTCTGGATCCCGTCCTTTACGCACGGCACGCAGCACGGCGGCAGGTCATTGATGCTCGGCGGGTTGGCTGGCGGATCGTCCTGGGGGGCGGCAGTGGAGAGGCGAATCGTGCTGTTGGTGGCGGCGAGCGTCTTGTTGGCAAAGTCGTTGATGGTGACGACGTTGTAAAGGGGAGATGGGGTAGTAGAGTTGGAGGGCACGACGCCGGCGAGGGGGGAGGCAGAGCCCAGGATGGCGAGGCCGAGGACGAAGACGAATGAAGAGTGCATTTTGGATAAGAGATATTGTAGTAATAAGAACTGTGTTATAAGAAATGCTGGAGTGGACGGTAGGGTAGAGCTGGAGCGGCGAGAGAGGAGGAGGTGAAGAAGAAGAGACAAGTTTGTTGTTGTTTGTTTCGCGGAGAAAATGCTTTATATAGTTGCCGGTAAAAAAATGAGACGGAGAAGGAGAGCTGAGCCATTCAGGGGAGGAACAAGAGATGGGTGGACAGCTCAGAAGGAAAGCCCAGGTGAAAAATCCTCTCCTCTCCTCTCCTCTTGCCTAGGTTCATCAGGGAGGGCTGATGGAGCAAAGAGCCAATGACGAACACAGTAGAGCCATCGCAAGAGAAGGTGTCAAGTGCGAGTTCTCTGGTTTGGATACCTAAGGCTCTTGAAGTGAACTCGGCTCATCTCTATGGTATCTATCAGGGCAAATCTTCAGATAAACTCTCTTCTTGTTTCATCAGCACAAAAGTGAAAACCTCATCATCACATACCTATGCTACAAAGAACTGGCCCAATGGTCCCGTCCTGAATGAACGCGCTCAATATTCCAACAAGTCTGCACGACTATGTCTAGCCTAAGGGGCAAACGCCCTCCTCAACTGGGTATACTATCATGGCTCGCATGAGAGAAAAGAAAAGGAACAACACAAGCTCAAGGAAGAAACGAGGCGTTGAGATACCCGCGCTCTCCCCACCTCACAGCAGCCTCTTCTGCTGCGTAAACCATACACGCATATTATTAGTTTCGCTGGTCCCCCCCTTCCCTGATGAACCGCATCCACCCTCACCCTCGTCGTTTCATCCTTCGACTCCCAACGGCCAGGCATACTATCCAACCATCCGGCAGAACGCTCCCTAGGCTTCCTTCCATCCAGTCGGGCCCTCTGCCTCATACAAGCCCCTCTTCGAAATAACACGGCCAAGACCTCGGTGGATCTCGGCCTGGAACGGCTCAAACGGGATGCGCTCCCCATCGATGCTGATGTAGCCATCTTGCTGATTCCTCGGGGTGATGCGATACGCCGAAATCTTCTTGTACGAGACGATGGGGTTGTCAAAGAATTTGCCAGTCTCGACGCTGAGCAAGGCTTTCGTGACGGCCATTGGGGAAATGTTGGCCGGCATCATGACCAGATCCATAAGGCCGTCTGTAGGCAGGGCGGCGGAGAAGAAATTGGCATCCGGCGACATGTAAGCCATCTGTACCGTCGGTTAGTCATTGAAATAAATGGTTTTGATAAGATTCTTGAACTCACGTTTCCAACGTAGAATGTGCCAATGTTGTCGTATGACTGCGTCTCCCAATCCGCCGGCACCTCATCTTGAACCGTTCCGTATTTCAGCTGCGGCAAGCCCTCGGCGCCGTCCGTCACCGCATCCACGCTCAAAAGGCTATGGTCCTCGACGTGTTTTTTGTAGTGCTGCTTGATCATCTCTTTGCCGTCCACCTCCACCTTGACAGATAAGTCAAATGGATAGCACTTCTTCTTCAAAACGCGTGTTGCCAGGCCAATTTCGAAGCGCTTGTTGCCCATCCACCGCATGTTCTCAGTCCCCAAGTCACTCTCGGCAATGATGCCCAGGGATTGGGAGAGGAATGACAGGACACGGCGATCACCCTGTGTGATGGAGACTAGATCTAGCGGCATCACCACGCCTTTGACAACGGCCAAGGCAGACACCCCGGCGTCATTGCTTCCATTGCAGTTCAACGAGAAGGCATTGCCAGATCCGCAGGGAATGTGGCTCACCGCAATCTTTGCCAGCGCCTTGGCAGCATCCGGCCGCTTTCCGAGCCCGTTGAAGATTTCGTATGGCGTACCGTCTCCCGACAGCGCCATGATGGTGTCAAACCTCTCAATGTCCACCTTTTCCGAAAGTTCCGTAGCTTCACCGCCCCTGCTCAGAGTCACCACATCCAGCTCCATCCTCGCCGCCTCGAAGAATGGCTTGACATGCTTCTTCCACTTGCCCAGCGCCCCTCCAGGCCCCGAGTGGGGATTGATCAGAACATACGCTCGCTTCCGGGGCTTCGCTTCGCCATACGCGGCGGCGATGAGTGCGGCCACAAAGGCCTCGGGCGACGGGTCTCCGGTCTCGAGCTCGGGCGTAGGAAGCGCAAACGTCCACTGCTGCAGCTTCAGCGACGACTTGCGCGGGGCCGCATAATCGACCACCAGAGCATTGTCGCGGACCTCGGCCCACAAGACGTTGTACAGAGGGATCGTGTGCTTTCCCTTGCCATCTGCAGCCTGCCAAGGTAAGCAACCGAAGCAGGATATGTCCTCAGAGGGCTGCTTGCCGGCCTTGCCCTTGGCTGCCTTTTTACGGCTCTTGCCGTCTGGGTCTGTTAAGAGAATCATTGTCCGTCAGTTGTCCCATTCTATACTGGTCGCTGTGATGGCGGTGATCTTGCTCGTCATGCGTACCAAAGAGGACCAGGTCCTTGTCGCCAATCGTCAGCGTCTTGTTGCCGCCCAAGCCCAGACGCATGCCAATTGCCTCGGACGCTCCCATTTTCGTGGCGCCGTTCATGTCCGCCAGGCGTACGGCGTCCTGCATCCGGTGATGTTTGGCAGGGAGGAGGGAGGAGGAGATGGTTCGGTTCGCGTCACGTTCGGCGGCCGAGGGATCCGAAAAGGCGATTCGCGGGATGGTGGGAAATTGCAGAAAAGCGAACGCGGCTAATCAGAGGACGGCCCTTGTGAACGAGTGGAAGTGGAAGAGAAATGGAGGAGGGAGAAAGAACGGGAGGAAAAGAGCCAAGAGCGCCAGAAAAGAGGGAGTCTAAATAGGATGACGAGTAAGATGTTGAAGAAGCGTCAGCGAGCGTGAGATTTTGGTGTTGAAAAAGAGTGACAGTTTAAGGTTGGGATAGGGTCCGTCAAGAGGAACAAGTGCGAGAAGACGGAGAAACAAGCGGGAGGCAAGGGGAGAAGAACGGAAAAGAAAATGAGTAAAAAAAATAATAAAAGACGTTGGAACACTCCTATGTTAGTTATTACGCGTAAAGATGGACGGGACGGACGCGCAACGCAACGCAACAACGAGCTGGTGATGCAGGTGACAAGCCGGAAGCTGTCGGTGAGGTGCTCAACTCATACACAATTCATTCATTCAACCGTTAGGTAGCCCTCCAGCTCCAGCTCCAGCTCCAAGCAGCTCCGATAAGGGGCCCGGGATAAGGCGCCCGAGAGGATCCGCTAGCAGCCAGCTAGAGAGAGCACTAACGAGAGCCCTGCAGCTGCATGGAGTGCCGGATCTCAGGGCTTCTCCACAGGACAGGGGAGCCGCTGTTCCGAGGGGATGTTTTCCCTGTTGAAGCCGCGGTACGGCTATTCTATTGGAAGGCTTGCAAAACGTCGTGTCAAGTGATCAATCTTGGACAGATACCTCAAGGACCTATCAATGCACTGTTTGTGTCTTCTATCTACTCGCATATGTATAGGCTTTGACTCAAGAGGTCATCCAACAGTATCACCTAAGGTAGCCGCTGTCATCAGACAACATGAACAATGACGCAGAGCCAACAACGATCGAGCATCAACGGTCGCTCACGATGTCATCTTTCTGCAGCAAAAGACGCTCGGATCAGCCAGGTGCCTCTGCTCAGGTCCTCTTAGTCCATGTCCAATAATGTTGTGCAAACAGACAAACGCACGATACACTCGAATCTCTCCATCTTCATCTTCATCTTTGTCCTCATCTTCATATCCAGCCTGAACCCCAGTAAATGCCCAAGCTCAACTTTTATGTATTGCATCCGTCCAAGCCACCCCAAAGACAAGAAATAGCCTCCCCAGTAACCCATCTCTGCCCATAGAGTCGTCCGTTCAAGGTGCCCTCTATCGATAATCCACCGTTGACCAGATATGTATGCCGCGTCAATGTGGGCGTGCCTCGTACAAAGGTCTCATCATCCATCTCCCAAGTCCAGTCTCCTCCGGTAACCATTCCAGCGGAATACCAGACTGCAAACATCACTCTCACGCTTTTTCTGTTGTCCACCCTGATTGGCCGCTTCCTTCACGAACCAGAGTGTCCTACTCGGAAAGCCTTGTAACATTGGGCCACTTGGCCAATGCTGCCTGCCTAAACGCATTGACTTCTGCGCTTCTCCACGACTTGAGGGTCTCCAGAGCGGCTACGGCATGGGAAAACGTCGCATTGGCATGATCGACAAGGCCAGCAACCTCCTTCTCGCACTTTGCCAAGTCAACACCCAGCTGGAGCTTGGCCTTGATGGCGGAAAGCACATGGAGGGGACTGTCCTGGTGCTTTGCCTGGAAGGCCTCGTTGAACTTGCTCAGGTCCGCCGTCTCCTCGGAAGGCTTGAATTCCGCCTTCAAGGTCTCGACAACTTTGGGCGGGAGGTCTGACGGGGGGTTGTCGAGCAGCTTTCGGAAGGCTACGACCTGCTCGTGCACTCTCGGATTCTCGGCGTCGATGCCCAGGGCTCGGTTCAGGCACTGGAGTGCGAGGACATATTTTTCTGCTCATTCGTTAGCCGCGGTCTCTTCAGAGCGTTTGGCAAATTATGGCTTACCTCGGCGCATGTAGACCTCGAAGCCGGCAATCTGCGCCTCGATGCTCTTCGGGCTCGACTGCAGCATCGGTCCCAAGAACTTCATAGCCTCACCCAAGGGATCTGTCGTTGCCGCCAGTGTCAAGCCCAGAGGGTCCTCGTCCTTCTTCTTCGCGTCGCCTGCCTGGCCACCCTTGTTTGGATCCTGCTTGGCCTGCCTCTCTGCCTCCTCGCGCTCAAGACGCTGCTGCTCCTTTCTCGCCTTCTTGGCCGCCTTCTTCTTCTCCAGGGCGTCTTCTTCGCTCACTCCATTGGTTCCGTTGGCGGAAGGCTTCTCCGCCATCTTCAGGTAGAGATTGACCGCGTCGAGAGCCACCCTGGTGTAGACTGGGTGGTCCCGGAAGTGATCCTCCCAACGGACCATGTCGATGTAGGCTCGGATCTGACCCTTTCTCAGCGAGAAGCTGTGGAAGTCAAACTGGTCATCCTGCCAGACGTCAAAGATGTTGTTCAGGGCATGGAATCGCTTCAGTGCAAGGCCGGTGTTGCCCTGCCTGGCATAGGCCTCTCCATCCTCCGTCAAGAACCAGATGCACTGCATTTCGAGCAGGTCCGCAAGGGGGCCGCCGACGGTTTCCGCTCGCGTAAAGAGGCCAACCGTCTTGAGCGCCTTCTCGTTCTCGTTATTCCGCAGCTGGTACTTGGCACACTTGCTGTTGATGTATCGGTCCTTCAGGTCGAGCTTTCGCGCCGTGTTCATCATCTCTGCGGCCGCCTTGATGTTGCCCTCGTGCTTCAGTATCCTGGCCTTGGTCATGTGGAAATCGACGCTCTTGGGGTCCTTCTCGATGGCCCGGTCGACATACTCGTGGGCCTTTGCCAGATCGCGGCTCATGTGGTAGTTGTAGTGCTGGGCCAGGTAGTAGAGCGCAGCGGCCTCTCCCTTGTCCTTGCTCTCCGAGTCGATGTCCTGTGACGTGATGTACTTCTCGGCAATCTCCCTCAGAGTATCCTTCTTGAACGAGTCGGAGTACAGGTGCTTTAGGTTGGCAAACAGAGACGGAACTCCCTTGTTGAGCATGAGCGTTAGGTACGATTCCGCGACCTGCCGGAACTCGTCGCCTACAAACAACTTGTTAGACAGCTCTTCGTTCGAAACAGACAACTCACTCTCGGCCGAGATTGGTTACTTACCGCTGAGGAAATCGAGAGGGGCTCGTCGAGCAATGTCGCAGCGAGGAAACTTGGCAGCATACTCATCGTAAATGGCCTTTCGTGCAGCCGCATCATCGGCAGGAATCTCCAGGGCCTCTTCCAGCTTCTCGTAATACAGGGTGTGCTCCGAGTTGCGGTCGAGGAGGAGTCGGTAGACCTTGGCAGCCTCTTCCTTTCGTCCCAGCTTGAGCAGGTAATCGGCGCGGCACTCCAGCACCGCCAGGCGATCCAGGTTGTGCTTCGCGGCCGTCTCCAGATGGTCCAGGGCCCGCTGGTAGTCGCCCTGCTCGGCAATGATGGAGTTCTTGTACATGACCGCCTCGGAATGCTCAATGTCGTATCGGGAGGGCGGCGATTTGAGGGTGCCCTCGTATGTGGTGAGGACGTTTTCTGCCTCGGCAAGGTTTCCAGCCAGATGGTGCGCAATCGCCAATGCCGTCCAGCTGGACCGCAGCTGCGGCCTCGCCTGGAGCATAGCCGTCCGGCTCTGGATGTAACCCTGGTAGTCACGAACGTGCACCTGGAGAATGGCCAGATCCCGCTGGATCTGGGCAGAGCTGGGATCGAGCTTGAGCGCAAACTTGTATGCCTTGATCGCCTCCTCAAAGTTCTTGACCGATCGGTAGAGCAGGCCGTAGACGTGCCAGCAGATGTGGGACTTCATGTCCACCGTCAGGGCCTCCTTTGCGAGCGGGAAGGCCTCATCGGACTTGCCCTGGCTGTTGAGGATCAGGGCCTTCATGGCCATGGTGTCGCCATGCTTGGGGTGCTTCTTGAGGATCAGATCGGCCGTCTTGAGGCCTCGCTTGTACTGCTTGTCCTCGAAGCTGCGGATGATGGTCCGGAACTGCGCCGCTTCCTTCGGCGCCAGTGGTTGAGGCATCGTGACGAGAGTGCTGGCGACGGCTCAGACTAAGAGACGGTTGATGGAACGGGCTCGATGAGTGCGCGGTGGATAGTGCTGGTTGTAACCGGACAGGCAGGCAGTCAACCAAGCAGCACAAGATGTGTTGTCCTCGAGTCGAGACGAGGCGAGCTTCAGCCGAATCAGCCCAAGACGTTACTAAGGCTGTATTTACTGTCGCGTGGCTCGAGGGTCAGGCAGGCAGACGGAAGCAGCCAATCGCAATCTGGTAATGCAGCAGAATGGCGTCTCTTGTGCACAATCGAGGAGATGTCGGGTTTGCCCTCGTCTACGGCCGTCTCGAGCGTCGGTGCGGTTTCTCGTCAGGGCTGAGCGGGTGCCTGCAGTGCCTGAGTTGGAGGCCAGAAATCGGCGCAAGAAGCACGGCAGGACAGTGGGCATGGCAGCCGGCTGCACTTCGGCGTTGGCCTCCATGCCTCCGCCAAATCAGAGCCACGAGGGTTGAAGGGAACACCCCACCATTCGCAACCCCGCCAAAAGAGCTCCAGCTGCCTCTACGAGTTTGTGTTCAGCGAGTTGGAGACCAGCTCTCCTGTAAGACTCACTCGGCCTGGACGGAACTATGTGCGACTGTAGGTAGGCGGCCAGAAGAGATGACATTGAATGGTCCATATATAAGGGAAGAAAATGTTCGCCTTGTGCCATAAGATTGGTGTCTCATGAGTGTCGGAGATAAGTGGCATGACGTGAAGCTTACCTACACAGCTTCAGGTTCAGAACTGGATCAGATGAAGAATGGGGGGGTATGTCATTTACACTCAATGAGTGCTTGTAATCCTAATGCTACATATGTCGTTATATACAAGTTTGATATCTATGTCCAATTCACAAGGTATGTTCAGTCCACGCCCAACATCATACACGCGGCACCACGACTCTGCAGCAGACAGGATATTGCTGATGGCCATGATGTCGCCTGTTGTCATAGGTCGATCTCACCCTGTCCTCACTTGTACTTCTGCGCTTCCCAATCGCCCATAGCATCCTGCCAGCTCTGCCCGGAAGCACCGCATCTGCCTTGGATGACGTCCCACGTTCTGTTGCGCACGATATTCTCGACGGCTCGTTCCTGGCGCATGAGAAGGGCGAGGGACTGTGTTCGAGGTTCCCGAGGGAAGAATCGTCCCGAATATGGATCTAGGCGTTCGTCGACAATGCGCTCTCGATTCTTCTGAGTCTCCAGCGCTATCACGGCGGCCTCTGGGTCCGAGGGATCCGGGCTGGTTGCGACAATGCCACAATAGCTGAGCACGTCGGCTCTGGCCTTCCACGAGGGAAAAAGGACTTCATCTTTGAACTTTTGACATGCCTCGGGATCGATTTGCTCGGTGAACGACCGCGGGGTGCGTCTTGATGTCGAGTTAGGATCGAAGCCCGTCCGCGCCGGCGTTACCAGGGCATTGAGGTTCTGGGTGATGGAGTCGTCTATTGAAGCTCGTGACAGTCGCAAGAAATCTGACCAAGTCAATCAGCATAGATGCCAAAGAGAAGAAAGACCTGACGTATCACATACCACGAACCGTACCAAAGGAGAAGCAAAATTGAGGCGACAGGCGAGGCTGCTCGGAAGGCTGCGACATTGTCGGCTCCCGCTTCTCCGGACCACCCACAGCTTCCGCCGGCGGAGTGGCGCCTTTCCACAGAATGCCCGCCACAGTGAAGTGGGAAACGGAAGAAGTCTGGATGATACAAGTATTCTAGCAGTGTGACACGGCCTGTTGGGCTGTGCTCGTCACGATTGTCGCCGGGGATATCGAAACGAAATGGTTGCCTGGGTTGAAAGAGTGACGCGAGCACCTTTGAAGACGGATGACATCTGATGCGCCTCAAGAGGTGCAGCCGCCGTGCCGGGAGAACTGGGGCGAATCTCGGGCCAACATAGACCCGCCTCGCTGGCCTGGTGCTTCTGACATGGGGGGCGTACGAGTTGTTCCAATGTTATCAACAGCGGGAATACCTGGGCTTTAAAAAGATATAAGAGAGAAATGCTGCGCTTTCATGTAATCGCTCTAGAAGGCGAGGTAATATTGGCATTGTTTTTCTAGAGGTTTTCGAAATGCATCCTTGACAAGCTGCAGGGCACCTACGAGTTTGTGCTCAAGTGAAAGAGCTGTAAGGGTACGGCTACAGCTGAAGAAGGCATGCAGCCCTGCAAAGCGGTGCTGAGGTACGCGTAAATCCGAGCCGAGATTGGGACACTGCATACGGTAATCGATGGAACATGGCCTCTTGTGGAAATCATGACGAGCTCATGCTTGCTACTAGTAGTAGCCTCGTCTTCCATGTGAAAAGACGACGTGGACACACACTGATGCCTTGTTCCGCACATGTTGGCCATCTGTTCTTGACAGCCATGAACTGCCAGGCACCAGCAGCAGCAGCAGCTGTTGAGCCAAGAGATAGACCCTATTAATGATAAGCATCATCTTATGCGTCTCAGGGTCTCTTCAAAAAGATATGCATACTATCCCAAGACAAAGACAAAGAAAACAATGACCACACCAATCTCACCCACATGGAAATCCGCCTGCCTCCCGCTGCAGCTTGCAATTCCGGCTCGTACTCGTATTCATCCCGCCCGATCCCCCCCCCCCTAACAAGATGATGCCCTGAGCGCCGCCCAATCGCAGCGGCAGCAAGGCACTAAAAGCCCAGGTTAACGCACCCCACACGGACGGCGCGCAACCCAGACCGGGTAACATCGATCTCCCCTGATGACGATGGAGGCTTGTCGCGTGGCCAAAAGTGAGTGACGTGCTGGAAGCTGAGGCTGCCTTGGTATTACTGGTATCTGTTTTCTACCTACGAACCAGACCTGTTGGTTCCTACCGAAGTACTGTGTCCTGCATTGATTAAACGCCTGTAAATGGGCGGTCTCAATAGACTAGACACTCTATTCTTAATACCTTATGCATATAGACTCATTCTGTCCTTTAGTTCATCTCAAAATCGTGGCTTGCAACGTAATACTAACGCCTTTGAAGCACAAAGCAAGCATCAAACCAAGGCAATCTGGAAGGGATTCCTGGCGCGCTGCCTGGCAAGGAAGAAACTAGTCCCGAACCAGGATCTGCACGCACACACACATCCAGCACCCGGATAGTGGGCTTGCCTCCTTTAATAACAGAACCACCAAGTCTCATCTCATCTAAGAACCTCTCTATTTTTTTCCAAGACACAAGAATCCGCAATCCTCTTCCCTCCCTTTATCTTTTGGACTATCGTCTTCTTTCTCTTCTGCATCTTTCTTCTTCTGTCGGGTTGCCCCCCCTCGGAATCTTCCCTTGTAACCTTATAATCAACCCTCATTCGGTTTCATCATATCGACATACTGCTACCATCATCACCAACTGCTTTTTATCCTTTTCAGTCGCATCATCGACTCCGCTCGGCGCTCTAACTAGCTCTCCCGCTCTCGGGCCTCCTATAACCGATACAAGCGAGCGCGTGTCCTCTTCGCAAACCTCTCTCCTCTCCGACACAATCTCCCTCCCGCAACGCGCGACCTAACGAAACCTCAACAAAACACCGACAGCAAAGATGGCGGACGCACAGGCAAGCAGCGGCACTTGGTCTGCCTTCCTCAAGGTTTGTCGTCCCCCCAAGTCCTCGCAAGTCTTGTTCTTCTTCCTCTCCCCCGTACTAACAAAACCCCTGTGTCAAAGTCAATCGCCTCCTTCAACGGCGACCTCTCCTCCCTGACGGCGCCCCCCTTCATCCTCTCGTCCCAGTCCCTGACCGAGTTCTCGTCCTACTGGGCCACGCACCCACCGCTGCTCACGGCGGCCGCCGCTGAGCCCGACCCTGCGCGACGCGCCATGCTCGTCCTCAAGTGGTTCCTCTCCACGCTCAAGCACCAGTACGCCTCGCGCAGCGAGCAGTTTGGCAACGAGAAGAAGCCCCTCAACCCTTTCCTCGGCGAGCTCTTCCTCGGCACCTGGACGGACGAGGCCGGCACCACGACGCTCGTCTCGGAGCAGGTCAGCCACCACCCGCCCGCGACGGCCTACTGCGTGCGCAACGACAAGACGGGCATCCAGCTCGAGGGCTACAACGCCCAAAAGGCCACGTTCAAGAGCACAATTATTGTCAAGCAGATTGGCCACGCCGTCCTCACCGTCCCCGTCAAGGGCAACGGCGACGACGACAAGCAGCTGGAGCGCTACCTCATCACCCTGCCCTCGCTGCACATCGAAGGCCTCATCTTCGGCGCGCCCTTTGTCGAGCTCGACGGCTCCAGCCTCATCACCAGCTCCAGCGGCTACACCGCCAAGATCGACTACAGCGGCAAGGGCTGGCTCTCGGGCAAGAAGAACACCGTCGTCGCCACCCTCTACCCGACCGACAACGAAAAGGAAGTCCTGTACAACGTCACCGGCCAGTGGACCAAGGAGTTTGAAATCTACCAGGGCCCCGCCAAGAAGAACTCAAAGGCCACCCTCGTCGCCACGTACGACGCCGCGGCCACCAAGCAGACGGAGCTCGCCGTCGCGCCCCTCGACAAGCAGCACCCGCTCGAGTCCCGCCGCGCCTGGAGCAAGGTCGCCGACGCCATCCAGCGCGGCGACATGGACTCCGTCTCCGCCGAAAAGACAAAGATCGAGCAGGCCCAGCGCAACCTGCGCACCAAGGAGTCCGCCGAGGGCCAGCCCTGGGAGCGCCGCTACTTCAACGCCGTCGCCGAGGACGAGACGCTCGCCCTGCTCGGCAAGGCCGCAGGCGTCCCGCTCGACGGCGACAGGGACAAGACGGGCGGCCTGTGGCGCTTCGACGCCGAGAAGGCCGCCAAGGCCGACGCCGAGAAGCTCACCGAGGAGCAGATTGCGCGGATCGAAAAGGAGATGCTGGGCCAGTAAGATGACACGTGTGTGCTTTATAACCTACGATCTGGGCGACGATAGACGGCGCAAATGTTTTCGATTGATATACACGCAGGAAGAAAGAAAGGAAAAGAAGGAAACGGACAACAGATGGTTTATAAGGATAGTGCAATTGAACTGTTCTGTTCAGTAACTGAGCAGTCTCGGCGAATACAGGGGCCAGCATCGGATGTGCTTCCGTACCTAACACACGATGGAGGAAGGTCGGTAGGTATGGATATTGGAACTTGGAAAGATGGTATCAGGCGAAGAGAATGATGGATCAACTCTGCCTACGGGTATTCGAGTACGCTGACGGTTTACAAGAGTGTAATTATCCTTAATGTAGAGACGGAAGAGTGCTCTTATTTACTCTTTTTCATTTTGATCCTATGAATAGTGCCACTACTACTATGTTTCAATTGTAACCACTATTTGGGGTTTTTTTTTTTTTTTTCTTCATTCGTTCCAGTCGGCAAAAGCCAATCCGCGATCGTCCCCTTTCTGATATACCAATACCTATGTACGTCAAGTATTCCAGAGGGGATTTTTTTCTTTCTCATAGGATACTACAAGATGAGTAGTTGAAAAAGATGTTCAGCGCAAAAAAAGATGCAGCATCCTCAGATGAACCTCGAAAGCGAACCTCCCACGGCACAGCAGAGTAAATGGCGCTTACAGCTGGTTGGCGGTGTTGAAGTCCTTGAGAGCCTCGGCGACACGCTTGGACATGGTCTTCTCACCCTCGCGGACCCAGACACGGGGCTATATGGCAGTTAGTCACTAGCGTTTACAAAAATTACCTGGTGGTGCATTGCCAAACTTACGTCAAAGTACTTCTTGTTGGGCTTGTCCTCGCCGTCGGGGTTGCCAACGGTGGTCATGAGGTAGTCCTTCTTGTTGAGGACGTAGTCACGGATACCGCACAGGTAGGCGAACTGCATGTCGGTGTCCATGTTGACCTTGACGACACCGTGGCTGATGGCGTCGAGGTACTCCTGCTTGGAGGAGCCGGAGCCGCCGTGGAAGACGAAGAAGACGGGCTTGTCCTCCTTGGCGTTGATGGCGGCCTTGACGTGGGCCTGGTGCTTGCCGAGCAGCTCGGGGTGCAGCTTGACGTTGCCGGGCTTGTAGACGCCGTGGACGTTGCCGAAGCCAGCGGCGATGGAGAAGTAGGGGGAGATGGGGGAGAGGGTGTTGTAGATGTTGAGGATGTCCTCGGGCTGAGTGTAGAGGGAGTTGTTGTCGACATCCTCGTTGTTGACACCGTCCTCCTCGCCTCCGGTAATGCCAATCTCCATCTCGAGCCACTGCTTCATGGGGGCAGCGCGCTTCAGGTACTTGGCGGTGGTCTCAATGTTCCAGTCGACGGGCTCCTCAGACAGGTCGATCATGTGGGAGGAGAAGAGGGGCTCGCCGGTGGCCTTGAAGTAGGCCTCGTCGGCAGTGAGCATGCCATCGAGCCAGGGCAGCAGCTTCTTGGCGCAGTGGTCAGTGTGCAGGACAACGGGGATGCCGTAGGCGGGGGCGATGGATCGGATGTAGTTGGCACCGGCAATGGCACCGGCGATGGAAGCAGCCTGGTCAGTGTTGTCGACGCCCTGTTTTCGAGTTAGCACATGGGCTCGAAGTCGACTCTCAAGATGAGGCGTTTTCTTTTACCTTTCCGGCGAAGTAAGCAGCACCGCCCTGGGACATCTGCAGGATGATGGGGGACTTGGCATCGCGAGCAGCCTCGAGAGAGGCAACGACGGTGGAAGAAGAGGTGACGTTCTAGAGGAGCTCCTGTTAGCTGCGAAGCAATCTGGGGAGCTCATGGTCGATACGTACGATGGCGGGAATGGCAAACTGGTGCTCGCGAGCGTACTGGAAGAGTCTCAGGACGTCATCGCCGACGATGACACCAGTCTTGCGGCTCAAAACATCAGTGACACCCATTTTTGCGAGGTTGTGTGTGGAATTGATTGTCTGAAGTGAATTCGTAGGTTTCGGTTCTGCAGGCAGGTGGATGGAAGAGTCCAGGTCAGCAAGCTGAGGGGTCCCTAAATAGTGTGTCTGAGAAGCGTAGGAAGCGGTGATGGAAGGGAAGAAAAAAAGCTAGTTGCTGGATGGTAATGGCTACTCGTAAGAGCGCGGGGTTTTTTCAATCTCGAGGCTGAGCTTCGAGTTATCGATAAAGGGAGATGGGAAATGGCAGGGACCAAGGAGGGGCAGCTCCGTTCAACGGAACAGGGCAGGCCTTGAGAGATTTGCATCGAGTGCCGCGTCCCTCAGCGCGGTGGGAGTGGAGATGGCATGCCGCTGGCTGAGGCAGACCTGAGTCGAGCGAGCTGCCATTTGCCTCGTCCCGCCTCTGTCGTCATGGCCTCTCGACCCAATTCCACACCAACTCTCCTCCGGCATCGTCATGTTTCGCATCGTATCAACTCGGTCGATTCGATCGATTGGTAATGCCTCTCCCCTCTGGTGCTCTTGACTCTCCCAGCCTTGACTGACTGCTCGTCGCTCGAATGCTGGCCGTTCTGTCGCTGCTGCTGGAAGACATCATGGTGGGGCAGAGCTGCGTGGATGGAGGGGCAACGTGGGATGGCGGAGGGGCAGAAGGATGAAAAGCTAGAGGGAGCATGGCTGAGACTTACAGTAGTAGATTGGCTGAATTGCTGGATGGCTGGTATAAGGTACCTTAGGCAATTGACAAGTCGTTGGGAGAGACGCAGACGAGAGTTGAGGAATGAAGATGAAGGAAGAAAGAAAGAAAGAAAGAATCAACGGGGCCGGCAGAGGTCCTGTCCTTGTATTAATCTAGATGCAGCACGATGTGGAAGCCAAGAGAAGAGCGGGGCACCCCCCGTCAGAAGCAGCTCCAGCGTCCCAGGCCGTGTGACCTCAGCGCTGCTCCTGCTGGCCGGCCGCTGGAGCTTGGGGCCTCGGAAACATGCGGGATGCCGGAATTGCTAATGATGTGCGGTGATTTGCTGCCGGCGACTCGTACCTTGACATGGCCATGATGTCAATTGTGGAAAAAGACAGAACTGACAACCTACTCACAAGCCGGGGCCCATACATATGACTGTTTTTGCCTTGTGTTGCCTGGCGAGCAAGCAGGTTTGACAGGCTATGACAGGTCAACCACCGCCAACTGCTCGCTCACCTTCTCTTCTTACCTACTAATCAATGTATTATGCCATGGCGATGTGATGGATGCTTCCACAAATGCTAACATCATAGTGGATATAGCCATGAGCATCCAGAAGCAGTGGAGGCAATGATCTAGAACATGGGGCTCGTCCCGAGTTCTCCCAATGCAGGGACCTTGGAGCCGGCGCCGAGCGAAGCCATTCGGAACCTGGAGCCAATTGTGCCATGGAAACGACTGCATGGACACGGCTATGATGCAGTTCGGGTTAGACACACCGCCATGTTGATGCAGAGTAGGTAGCCGAGGAATTGGCTTTGACTTGTGCCAAAATCTGCTTCAACCGTCAGTAGGTACAGGTACTGACTGGTAGAGAGAAGAAGAAGAGAACAAGCACAGCCGGCTGGAAGTCTTTGCCGATGCTTCCCGCACCGTCTTGGCAGTTCGGGTCATCCCAACAATACGACAATGTCCTTTCGACCTGTGGCTTCAGTACGGGCAACAATCGCTCCTTCACCTGAAACTGAATGATAGTGAGAACATCTGGATAAGTGGTAGTATAGGTACTGGAACCAAAATCCCATGGCAGGTTATGTGAGGCAGATCATGATGGTAAGAGGGAGGCACCATCAGTACCTACCTACCTACCTAGGTAGGTAGTTAGCCGTCGGTCTACTGGAATATTAATGTCTACTTTTAAGAGAGCAGACCTTGATTCTGAGAGATTTTCAGCCAGAGGTTCAGTCTGCTCCAACATCAAATTACCTCTCTCTTTATATCCGTCCCTTTTCCCGTCACATGTCTTTCTGTTCCTGGTGAATGTGGCTGCTGCGTCGAGGTTTCGAGGTCGTACCTACCGTACTTGGCCAACAACCTGCCGCTTAGATAAGCCTTTGTCTGGGGCTCTCTGGCGGGGAACTTCACCTGTCTGATGCTTGATGTTGTTTACTTGACTTTTCTCCTCCATACCTCTTCCGTCTCTCCGCCCTCGTTCAGCAAAGCATGATCAGGCCATAATGCCAGCCAAGGGCGGACGACATCCTTCAGGCCCGTGGGGTCGCCTCAAGCCGGTTGAGCAAGACCCCCTCGAAAGTATCGGCCTTCCGTCCAAAGGCGACACCAGGTAAGCCGGCAGACGCCCTCACACGTTGCCCGTCTGTGCTACCCAGGACCTCCATTGACCGCTGCCCGTTAGATTGCTGGACTTGAAGACGCAAGAGAACTACTATACCAAGATAGTGGAGCGGTACATGACGTTTTGCTCTGATGCCGGCCAGCGGGATGAACTGCTTCGGAGGTTCTCGTCGTTGGTAATCTCACCTTCTGATCCAGCCCCGGCCCCGGCCCCGGCCCTCTCCAGCCCTCGCGCTCTTCTGCCCGCAGTCACTGATGAAGCATTGCAGAGTTCTGCCAATACCAAGGCTCTGTCCGATGTCATGGCTGCTCTCAGAAAGCTCAGGGAGGGCATCGTCGCCTCTAAGCGGGCCGACGACTTTGCCGTCCAGGCCTATCTTTTCTGTATCCGGCTGTCCATACTTGTCAAGCATCCTGAGTCATACCACCCAGCCATACTTCATCTGCTGCGCTCAATTCACCCGCAGCAGCCGCTCACGTCCGTCGAGCTCCAAGAGGTGGTGGCCTACCTCGTGCTGGATACGGCGTGCCGGCGAGGACAGCTGGCTGAAGCATATGCACTGCGGCGGCGATATGCCCTCACAGATACAAAAGTCAACGCCGCACTATCAGCACTGGCACACGATAACTACGTCTTGTTCCAGAAAGTGAAGAGGAGTGTCGACGGGCATCGGGCAAAGCTCATGGAGTGGGCCGAAGGCGATGTGAGGATGCACGCGCTCAAGTGTTTTGGGAGAACATATCTGTCGGTGGATCTCGACTTTTTGGAAAAGACGACGGGTTCCAAGTGGTCGGACCTGACGAAGAGTGATGGTGTTGGCTGGGACCTGGAGGGGAGCAGGGTGGTGATACGCAAGGTCAGGGCGCGATGAAGGCAGTGCACAGCTTCAAGACACATGGGAGATGGGGGTGCTTATGATGCTCTGCAATCTTATCTGGCTGCTACGCTCCCATGGTGCCGTGCTGGAGATGCGAGTAGCTGGTAGGCTCCTCTGACACCTGGCGTCTGTCTGCCAGCTGGCCCCCCCGACAGCGCTCGCTTGAACGCTCCGGCCAGGCGATATTCACCCACGACTCGCCCTCGAGGACCCATAATCAACCATTCACCTTACCCTCGTAACGGAGCAGGTAGCGGCAGCTGCATCGAGGCCGAGGCAGTCCGACCCCGGATTAGCGATCTGCAGGCAGATAAGAATCCATCTCAGGCACGCACGCACCTCAGCCCTCGATTCCACCGAGGCTCAACCTCGCTCTCAAGAGGCAGCGCACCTCTCTACTACCAAAGGGCTCTGTTCTCTCCAGCCCCATAACAGATTTCAACGTCTCGCCGGTAGTTTTGTACCGTCCGTACCCAGCATCTCTGCCGTTGCTGCTTGCCATGGCGCCGACGAGAAAGAGGACAAAAACTGCGCACTCGGATGATAGAGGCGCTTCGGTGCTTCTGGCAGACTATCGCACCGCTTGGCTCCTTGCGTATGTATCTTCAGGTCCTGTTTGCATCGAGTTGGCGTGTTGTTTTCCCATCCTCTGCCTGAATTTCGCAACGACTCCGAGTTTCGCTACGGGCTGCTGCTAAGCTCTTGATGCCTTGCCAACCGCTTGAGCAGCTGTAAACTAACGGACGAGGCAGATCCGACGAGCCATCGGCCAAAATCATCTGCAAGAATGAAACCTTCAAAGTCCACATGAGTGTCATCAAGCAGCATTCCGAGTATTTTGACACGTGCATAAACAAACCTTTTGCCGAGGCGGATGGCGTGGTGCAATTCGACGACATTGAGCCACGATACATGGCCTTTTACCTAGGCGTGGCGTACAGCTACTCGTCCATCTTGCCGCACACGCCGCCGGCTCCGTCCGAGAATCCAGAGGCCAAGGCGGTGCGCACGCCTCTCCGCGACTTCATCGAGGTGTACAAGCTCTGCGACCGGTTCATGAGCGCACAGATGGGCGACTTCATGCTCAAGTGCATCCGGACGAGCATCGGGGACGGCCACCGCGCGCTGTTCCGCTCGGCTGCGGATAAGGACCAGCAGAAGGCGCTGATGAGGGATTTCGCCGACGGGTACGAGGCGCTGGAGCAGGGGCACGCGGTGCAGAGGGAGCTGTCGGAGCGCATAATAGAGTACTTTGTCGAGGGCGTCTCTTATGATGCGTGGGACGAGTACATGGAGGAGGTGATGAACCGGCCCATGTTTGTGGCGCAGGTGTCCAAGGGGTTTGCGAGGAAGCTGGCGGAGGCGCTGGCAGCGAGGCACAAGGTGAAGCGCAAGGAGCTGGGCGGTCCTTAGCGGTGGGGAAGTGGTGGATGAAAAGATGGTGATGAAGATGAGCCGGGAGAGTCAGAGCCTGCGCTGAAATGGAAGAGAGCGTGTGTACTGCGGGTTTCCGAGATTTTGGACTGGTGGGTGGAAACCGGAGCGAGGTCCAAGGGATGAGAGTTGCTACACCAATTTTGGCCTGAGGCTTGCATGAGAGGAACAGCAAGACGAGCAATCCGTAGCTATCAAGCAAGGTAACGATGCAACATATCGCTAGTATTAGCAACGGTCGCCCTTGCTCGGCTACTGTTTCCCTTGCGTCAAGGTGTTTACAGAGTGCTAGAACCGCGAGTTGAGTAGACGGAAAAGGCAGTGGATTTGAGAATCGAGGAGATTGAATCATGAGCAGCCATCGCATTGCTGCTTTCAGTAGGTATGTACAGGTAGAAATGGATTAAAAAGACATTCAGAACAACTCCGTCCCATGATCCCTCTCATCCCCGTCCAACATAGAAAACCATCTAGGTGGATGAATCACCTAGCCATGCCCAGTCGCCAGGTATAATAACTCCCATGCCCGATATGCTTCGCTCAAGAGGCATCGTCCTATCATCAAAACTCCCAATGCAAGCAAGCAGTCCCCTCCCTTCTCTCTTCATCTCGACCATTTTGATTCGCTCTCATCTTTTGTTTTTCCATGTTTCGATGTCGAGGGCATTTACCGCCTCGCATACTCGGCAACGCCCCTTTCGAGATCCTCCAGGCTTTCTCTGCCGCCGTAGAGGTCCTCCATCATGCGCTGTCTGCGCAGGGACTCGTTGTCTTGTTCCTGCAGAGCGGCGCGGATGTCCTTTGCTGTGTGGCTGTGCTGCTGCTGGGAGGAGGAGGGATGTGAAGAGGAGGAGGAGGAGGAGGAGTAGCGGGTGAAGTCGAGGTAGGTTTTTGATGCGTAGACGACGGCGGAGATGACGACTGCTGTTTTGAACCTTTGTTTCACGAAGAGACGTGTTAGTAAGGTTGATTTTTTTTTCCCTTATATATGTGTATGTGTTTATATGTTGTAAAGTTGGTCCGAGTGAGGGGGTTTGGATTTGTTTACGAAGGGGGGGAAGAGGATTGTATAGAGGTTACTTACCAGCGTCGGATGGGCGCTCGGCGCGGCGAGGCGTGGAGGTGTGGCAAAATGGAGGGGTGCACTCTTGCGGCGGTTGAGAAGCTTCTGGTTACGGGATTCATTTTTGTGAACTGATAGTAATGTGGTTGCTGGAGGGTGAATGCGGTTCCGTGTATTGAGATAGTATGGCGAAGCGACCGCGTGAAGAGAAAGATTGAGTGCTGGATTTCTGTAGCTGGTGGTGGTGGTGGTGGCGGTTGTTGTCGGCAGGTAGCTTTTTGCTCACGATGAGGCGAGGGTGTTGGATAGTGTGAAGTAGATTGGAAAGCTTCAGGTAATGAAAGGGCTCTAGTATATATGGTTTGAGAGCTGCGAGCTGGGGCTGGGTGCGCCACCGGCTATATAAACTTGTCTCGAAAGGAGGACAGGGAAGGGAAGGGCAAAGGTGGTGGTAATGGTGGCTCAGCTCAAAGTCATTTGCCCATGCAATAATATCCACAGAAAGAGAAGCAGAAGAGAGAGACAATGGGGGGAATCATGTGAGTGAGGACCCCCCGGATGTGCCATCCGCCCTCCTACTACTGTAGGTATAACACACAGACCTTCAGGCCTAATACATAGTAGAGCCACCTGTCGAACCACTCGCCCTCTCTCTTCATATGCCGTTAATATGAGTCGAGAGGTGTCTTAGTCCACAACGGCGTCACACATCCACAAGGGGACAGGGATCGTGTGGATTAGCCGCGGCGTCCGATTCGACGGGACAACGCGGGGAGGGTTGGGACTTGCGTGGGGATGCCTGGGGCCCTTTGTTTTGTTAGTATTAGTACTACTAGCTTCTTGGTGTCTCTTCCGAGGTTATTCATGTGTTCTGTGCCTTGGTGGAACTTGGCTTGTGTCTGGTGGTTGGTTGGTGGTTTCATTTGGAGAGTACATACAAAGTGTTAAATACGGGGGAAAGGGAGAGGGAGGAGGGAAGCTGTGTTTGCGTCTTAGTCGATAGGAGGCACACTCGCAAGCAAGAAGTTATGGTCTGTCTGAGTCGATGCCCGCATGTGCGTGCATCATGCAGCATGCACGACTTGTCACAATTTTCTTGTCTTTTCTGCATCATACTTGCATACAGATTATCGGCAGTTGTCCCTTGTTTTGCTTGTTTGCCTCGTTGTCGGAAGAGGGCTCTGATCCTTTTTGGTTCTCACTCTGATGTGATGTGGTTTCATGGCTGGCCTGATTTCGGCTGGCGATGCGACAACAATCGTGTGACTATTACACACACTCACTCACACACACACACACTTGACATACCCCCTTTTCTCCCCTCCTCTTGTGTGTGTGTGATGAATTCTAGCAGTGTCTAAGCTGTGTAATCGGATTTGCAAACTTCTCTTTCTTTTTTTTTTTTTTCCTTTTGTAATAGTTTCTATTGTTTTCTTTTGCTTTTTTTCCATCTTGTTTGCTTGTGATGTGGATTATTACCTTGATAATGTTAATTTCGAGCCAGGGCCGTCAATTGCCGACTCCCGAACTTTGCCGCAACCGGGCGTCCCATCAACAAAACTTCCTCATAGCCGAAGACAGCTTCGTTCATGACAGCATCACTCACCAGGAAAAGGAAAAGGAACTCACAATGTGAATGACTCTCATAGTACTTCTCTCTCTCTCTTTCAGGGGTCAATGCTGCGGCAGCCCCTCGACGCCATGCCTCTGCCGCCCCTCGATCCATAACGGCCCCCTATGCGCCGTCCCAACGCCGCCAACGTATCCCACGTCCTTGTCCAGATCCAGCCCCTTGATGAGCCCGAGCGGCTTGGGCACCAGCTCAGGGCTCTTGACTGCCCTACTATTACTCTCCTCTTCCTCTTCTTCCTTCTCCTCCTCCTCCTCTTGTTCCTCCTGCTCATCCTCCTCACCACCATCATCATCATCATCACCATCATCATCGTCCTCCCCCAGCAGCGGATACTTGTCCACCCAATCCTGCCAAACTTCATCACACTGCTCCCCTCCGCGACACGACACCCGCTCAAAGCACCTCTCCCGATCCATCAGCCAATACTGCAGCAGCACCCCCGACAGCATCTCCGCCACTCTCCAGCGCCCTCCCCACGCCCATCCGCGCCGGCGCATGTGTCGCCCGTCGTGTCGTCGCCACAGCTCGGTCGTCAGCAGGAAGCGCATGATGCAGGCCTCGTGCGTCCACGGGAATGGCTGCTTGTCCCCCGGGTGCTGCAGCAGCAGCATCTGATGGTTGGGCTGCTGCTGCTGCTGCTGTTGCGGCGGGCAGCCTTGCAGCGTGCAGTGGACGAGCTGCTCAGTGTACGCTGGCATGTCGTCGGATTTTGCTGCTGCTGCTGCTGCTGCTGTTGCTGCGTCTAGTGACGCGAGGACGTCGCAAAAGGATGGCATTGCGGCAGAGAGCATGTCCCGGAGCCGTGACTCCGCCGTGAAGCTCAGGTTGTTCTTTTCGCAGAGGCCCCTGAAGTCGAGATACGCCGCCCTCACCGGCGGCGACGCGGCAAACGCCTCGATGGACTGCGCCCTGAGCAGCGCCTCGCTCTGCTTCCTCTTCTTGTTCTTATCACCATTCTTCCTCCCCTTCTCCGGGAAGGGCCACATCCGCGTGCTCGCCAAATAGGCAAAGTCCGTCCAGATGTCCCTTACCGGAACCCCGTCTGCGCTGCGCTCGCTGTCGCCCAGCAGGAACACGGGCAGGAAGCGCGGACTCGTGGCGTAGACGTTGCAGCAGCGCAGCAGACAGCTGTCGTTGCCGCAGAGGGTGTGCGAGGGCCGGGGCCGGCCCTGGGCGAAGTGCTCTGCTTGGCGACGGCGCTCGTCGCGGTCGCGGCGGCGGAGGGTGAGGCGCACGGGGCTCGGGGGGGAAGAGGAGGTGCAGTCGCTGTGATAGTTGACCATGATGGAGGAGCGCTTGAGACGAGGTAGGTTTCAAGACCAGTAGGAGCGTGGCGTAAAAGTGTATATCCTGTCCGGGAGTTCGTGATGCTTCATCTACCTAGCTTGCTTTATAACATCTGTAGGAGCCGCCACGTCGAGGGGGGGCGGGCGTGGACATGACGGGGACCGGATCCGGAAGCTGTGCGCTTTTTGTGCAAGTTCGTGGCGACAGTAAAGCTTCTCTGAAAGCTGTGGACTGGCTGCAAACAAAGACGATGTGATGTAACGGGATGTAATGCCGCCTGTTTGTAGTTTCCCAAGCGAGGTGAATTGCACGTCAGGGTAAGAAAAGAGAGGAGAGAGGGGGGGGTTGGATGATGCGGTTTGAGGTGAGGCCGGATGGCGCAGACTAAAGACGACCACAATCCAGCTCCCGTCGAACCTTATTAACACAGTGACAAGGAGAGTTTCTGTAGGGGCCCGAAATCCAGAACTTGGGATAAAGATTGTCGAGTGGGCATTCAGACGGGTATGGATATGTTGCTCTCTTTGTCAGTTTGTATAAGAGAGCTTGACCGGCATTGATGAGAATGATTCACTACCTCGGAAACCCGCCACAAGCGGAATACAAGGGGAAAACGCATTGTACTAGGCCATTAGCTAAAACCAAACAACGAGAAAGAAGTCAGAATAGAATCATCACCACAGATATCCCCTGCACTTGCGGCTCCCGCACAAACACTTGGCCATCTCGCCATGCGCCTCCTGCTCCTCCATCCCGGCCAAGTCCCCCGTCATCACCCCGTCGACGTAATCAAACGTCAGCTCCTCCCCCCTGGGAATGTCCCTGATGGCAAAGAGCGCCAGGTCGTGAATGTGCTTGTCGGCGTGGTCGCCGACGCGCGCAAAGATGCGCAGGTTGGGCTCGCACGAGTGGTTGATGAAGCGCGTCGGGCCCGACTGGAACTCGCCGTCGACCTCGAGCGGCGGGCCCCGGAGGCGCGCGTCCAGCGAGTCCGGGTCGGTGAACTTGTCGAGGGCGAAGAGGTAGACGTCCTTGCGCTGGGAGAAGGCGGCGGCGGTGCGCCGGCGGTCGGCCTCGGCCGAGGTGATGATTTCGCCGTAGTAGCGGTCGACGAACTGGCCCTTTTTGATGGCCGCCTGGGCGTGTACTCCTGGCCCAAGGGCGTTAGGCTTGATGTCTCCCAGCTTCACAAATGCTCCCCCTGAGAGAGAGAGAGAGAGAGAGAGAGAAGAGAACTCACCCCAGCCCCTATCGGGGGTGCGGAATATCTGCAGCGGCACGGTTCGCCCTCGCTCGACAACCCGGTTGGGGCAGCTCATGGAGCACGAGCAGCCGGCATGGCATTCGTACAGCGGCTCCTTGGAGTTGAGCATCTTGGAGCGCAGCAGGCCCGCCTTGGCCCCGTGCGAGTGATACGCGTACGCCTTTCTCTTCGTCCTGTCCTTCTTCTTCATCTTCTTCTTCTTTGCGGCCGCGGCCTCGAAATCATCCCCATTGAGCTGGTTGGCGATGTGAAAGGCGTCGTTCCCCTCGTCGTCGTCCTCGTCGTCGTCCTCGTCGCTGCCGCTGTCCTGGTCGTCCAGGTCGGCGAGGCACAGGCAGCCCGTGTACTGGCACGCGTCGTCGGACTCGCACGAGCAGCCGCTGCGGAAGCTATCCTCAGCGGGCTCGACGCCGCGGCGCAGGACCATGCGGTCGACGAAGCGGAAGTTGGGCGGGATGACGGCCTGGTCGACCTCGTTGACGATGGTGACGGGGATGGTCTTGTGCGCGGGAAAGGCGCGGAGCTGGCAGAAGTGGCAGGATTCCCTTTGGGCCGCGTATTCCTGGCCTTGAATGTCAGTCTTTTTTTTTTTTTTGGAGGGGGGATTCTTGTGTAGGTGTTCAAAGGGGGCCCTGTTGTTGTAAATTGTATGGGCGTACGTACCGGCTGGTCGTGGAAGAAAAAGTGCTGTCTCGTGACGGCCTCCATGGCTGGCTGAGTTGCTCACTTGACGGATGCGCCTGTGCTGTTGAGGGTTCTTATGAGATGGAGTATCCGGTCATCAACCATAACCTCCTGAATCAGTCGTAAAGATAAATGGCTGTTCAATGGTGAAATTGTATCAAATTAAAGTACGAGGCAGAACGGTAGTAACAGCACTGAGCCAGGACGCGTTATGAGAATGAAGCAGATATGAATGAGATGGCCACAACGCGCAAAACCTGGCAGATGGCCGGTGTTTTCGGGCAACTTGATACAGGCACCTACCCTGGAGCTGTGAGTATACCAGGTAACCATCGGTGGCAACTTGTAACCAGACTAAAGTGGTGCACTTCTCTTGCTTGTCTGTAGTTGATCTGTACATGAATGTGTAATCTATTGCTGAATATCGATCTAGCCAGCTGTGCACATGCAGACGCCTTAATCAAATCAACAGGAAGCTTTGTGAGGTGAGGATGTGTAAACTACCTACTACTAGACTTCATGATTTAGGCAATACGAGTACCCCGTCTTATGTAGGTAGATGCAGCACTCAAACAGCACTCTCTAAACACGAGATAATACTACTACAACCAGCTCAACGTGGGCATCCAGACAGGAGAGATTCCGCACACAATTCCATTCCTGCACAGCCCGAAGCATGATTACAAACGGACGCAGTTTACACAGCACCAGAGGCTTCTCGTCGCCGCCACTCGGGCTAGAAGCATCATCCATCCACCAACCATGGAATCCATTGATCCAATCCACTGAATCTGCAGCGCCATTAAACGCGCCATCTCCCCACGGGTTCCCTGGAGCTTCAGTGCTTTTAGCGGGCTCTCTTCAGTGGGCTCTGCCTGCAGCCCCCGCTGTAACTCTACCTTAGCGAGGTCTCACCTTAAGCTTTCCAACATAACCGGGCTGACTGACAAACGGTTCGCTTCCATTGCTTCCATGCATGCATCTGTCGGCCCTCGTTTGCTGCAGCTGACGAGCACGTGTAAATGGCCAAATGACGGACACTCTCTCCTCCTCTTGCAATGCGTGTGCAAGAGTCTCCCCTCTTTCTCTTGCATCCAGTCTCGTCGTTGTCTTCAGACTACAGTTGACTCCAGCAGACAAGACACTGCTCATCCATCATCTCAGTCAGTATCCAATACTACCATCGCCATCTGCCGAGCTTGATCCCCATCTCCTTCAGCTCACTCAATACGCAGCCAACCAACCAACCGGACTTGGGCCTCCTCCTCAGTTCCCCCGAACCCCGGCCCTCCCCATCCTCGACATAGTAGATAATACGCCTTTCAACACACTTCGGCGCGACATCCAAGCCAGAACCGCACCAAGATAAGCCTCGTTTTCTCTCTCTTCCCTCCACAGCCACACACTGTTTGCGCTGGGGCGCGCGCCAGTCAGCGGCGCCGCTTCCCGACCAGCTTCCCGGCCAGCTTCCGGCCAGCCAGCTGTCTGTCTGTCTGTCTGTCTGTCTGTCTGTCTGCCTGTCTGTCGGACCTGCGAAACCAACCCCAAATCGCCTTGCCATTCATTTGCCTTCACCCAACTCAGCCTGGAGCCTCTTGTTCTCGACGGCAGCTCGGCAAGCAAAGGAAAACCGGCCAACAGACGGCGGCGAGCTCGAGAGAGACTGCACGCACCGCGGATCCGCAGCGCCACCTTGACCGTCCTCTCAACGCCCCAGCTTCTTCCAGGCCTTCTCTCTCCCAGCGCAACAACTTCCTTTGTTCTCTCGCGCGTGTTCTGTTCTGGCATCTGCAGCCAGACCTGGCATGGCGTTTGGTCGCCGTCTCGTTGCGAAGCGCTGCCGTTCTGCCCACCAGCTGAGGCCCGACATCTGACAGTCGAAGAACCGGATCCCTCCATTGCTTGCATACCTAGACAAAGGCGGCGACATCATGGTGCGCTACTTCTTCTTCACCTCTCCTATGCAATGCACATGCTGACGATGCGCTCGGCAGGGCTGCTGCTTCTCCCGTTCCGCGGGCCCCAACTCGCCGTATCCCGGAGGCGCCCCCGATGCCTCCTCGCGCGCCGGCAACCCGCCGCCGCTGAGCCTGCCCGAGGGCATCCTCTCCAGCGGCCCGCCGGCTTCTACGCTGGGCCATCGCCATCGCCGCCGCGACCCGCGCCCTCTGGACCAGCACATCAACCGGCCGCTGCGCCGCCACCAGTGGACGTCGGCGCAGACGTGGACCCGCCGCGACATCGACAAGGAGCGCGCCGAGTTCTTCGACACGAGGGTCGTCTGCCGGCCTGAGATCTGGCAGACGCTGCACGCCGCGCTGCAGGTCCTGTGGGAGTCGGGCCCGGGCGCTGAAGACGGCGCGCACGACGACGCCCTGGCCACGGCGCAGTCCATCCTCACGGCCGCCGAGATCTCGCTGCCGACCGGCGACCTTGCCCAAGGTGCTTACGATGCCCTGGGCAACTTGTATGCGCTGCCCGAATGGGTCGTCTCCGACCCGGAGAACCTCGTCGACGGAGACATTGACCCGGATGCCAAGGGCGACACCACCGCCGGCGAAGAGACTGCTGGCGAGGATGACGACGACGACGAAGACTCGGAGAGGAGGCGCGAGGAGAAGGGAAAGGGCGTGCTCGGCGAGGTGGAGATGGTGCCCCTGTGCGCGCGCCTGAGCGAGACAGGCGTGGACGTCAAGGTCTCCGTGGCCAAGAAGGACAATGTACGGAGTGTCATCAGGAAGATTACAGAGTCATCATCAGTCAGTCATCTTGGTTTTTTCTTGTTTGGCCATCTTTCCACGCTGATCAGCTAACGCAGTCCACAGCTTCCGGCCGACAAGAAGATTCGTCTGGCCTACATGGGCAAGATGCTCAAGGAGAGCCATTCTCTCGAGGCCCAAGGTTGGCACGCCGGCCACGTCATCAATGCTCTGGTGTTTAACCGATGACCTCTGCCTACACTCCTTTCACCTTCACTTTCCCATTCCTACCCATTTTAATCTTTTGAACCCTTACTTCTCGATGCTTGTCGTCACCTCGTATATTCCTCTATTCTTGTTCACCTCTGGATAATACCCCCCCTCCCACATCTTCTGTCTTTCCGTGTCCTTGCTCAAGGCGCGAGAGAATGGAGTTTCAACGGCGCAATTTCTTCTTTCGATCTTGAGAGGTAATTTAATCCTTCTCAACGTTTCCACTCCCCCTTTTTTACTTATCTTTTAATGTCTGTTATCTCTTTACGCAAGAGCGTTTATATATACCCACATCATATCACACACACACACACAATAAATTGCACATTCTGCCTGTACATACGCTGTACATATCACCGCTGAAAGGGCGAGCTGCCCAAAAGGGGGAGAAGTCGGGAAACAAGGGGCTGGCTGATTGAGAAGTCCAATCGAATGCTTGACAGCTGAGGGCAACGAGGACGGAGGGGAGATAGGGACAGGACTGTTAATTCCACATCGCTGGGATATTGAAGTTTGAGTCTTGTCTATCGTGGTTGTTGGAGGCTTGCAGGATGAATCGGCTACTTTTTTTTTTATCTCTGAACGTCATGTTGCGTTTATGATATGTTGAGGGATACATACATCTTGTCATCTGCAGATGAGATGGGGCAACTATTGAACACAGAAAATGAAAACAAGAGATGACTCTTAACAAGGACGAAATAATCGACTCTGTTACAATGCTTTAGAGAGATTCTGGCTACCTATATAATAAACGACTGAACCTCCCACTAGTAGCCTCTTCGTCATGACTTTTTGCACATCCACTCTCCCCCTTTTTCCCATTTGTCTCATTCAACGTGAAGATAAAAAATCTGAGCGTCCTTATACCACCGCCATCTAGCCGTTTGTCTACAAACACACTTTCCTCAAGAAGAAGAAGGGAAAAAACCACGCGAAGAAAGAAGAAAAAAGAAAGATATATAAAGAGGAATTCGTAAAAATTATCTAGTTTTGTTTTTGATAATGCGCGCTCACGTCTCTTGGCTTGCGTTCCGACATCTAAGCGGTCGAGCCAATCTTATTAAGGCCCTTTAGTGAGCCCAGACTCAGCGCAAGGCCTTGCGATCTACTCCTTATCCGCACGAAGCCTGTAATGGGGCCGTCCTCGCCCTCCTTTTCGATGCTCAGGTTGGCCAGCGCGTCCTCGCCTGCATCAAGAGAGTCAGTAACGGTTCAGAGTATGCTTCCATCGGGATCTTGTACTCACCAAATACACTGCGAGCGTACAGGTTGGCGCTCAAGAACTGGCAGTCTCCCTTGAGACTGGCCTCGGGCGTCAGGCAGTTCATGTTGGTGCAGGCCATGAGCTGGTCCAGGAACTCGCGCAATGACTTGGCCTTGGAGTTGATGTTGACCTTGTTCTCCCACTCAAACTCGGTCCACATCGTCCGGAACTGGGTCTCGGTACACGTCGCCGGCTGGATGTAGTCCATAATGTCCACGTGCAGGTCGTTCAGGATCACCACGTTGGTGTCGGTCGAGTGCGCGCCATCGTACACCACGTTGCCAAAGATGACGCCCGTGTCTGTTGACGACACCTTGATGGTGCACTGCACGTTGTGAAAGTCGTGGGGTCCCAGGTTCTGCGTCGTCGGTCGCTCAACAACCTTGAGGTCGCCCAGCGTTGCAAACTCAACCGACAGGTTCTGGAGGGTGTCCGTCGTCTGGTTGACCAGCAGCACATCCAGGATAATATCAAACTGGTGCACTTTGACGTACGCCTCGGCATACACGGGGTCGGAGAAACCAGTCAACTGGACAACGCGGCTGAGCTTGGACGTGAGGTCCTCTGCACCGCCCTCGCCGCCAGTTGCCCTCTCCAGGTCCATCTCGATTTCGTCCAGGCCCTCGGTGGCGTTCTTCTTGGACAGCTGGCGAATGGGAATCACGTCGTCGACCTGAATGGCCGTCTTGGCCTTCTCGCGGGCCTCCTTGGCGGCGCGCTTGCTCTCCTCGACCTGCACCATCGCACGGAATGCCTTGCGCGTATCGTCGAGCCAGACTTCCTCCAGCTCCTTCCTCTGGGTGAACTCTGCAAGGGAACGCACGCAAGCCATGATTCTGTCGACGGAATCCTCGTCAATCGGCGCCTTGACGAACTGAGACTGACCAACTCTGATAATGGAGATCATGATGAGCATGGCCTCGGCCTTGAGGGCGTTGGTTCGAGCGTGCTCGGCCGAGATTTCTGAGTGGCGCATAACCAGTTTCACCAGCGTTGAGGACAGAACCGTTGACAGGTAGTAGTCGCCATCGAGGATGAGCTGTCTCAGGGGCGGCTTCTGCGCGGCCTTGACGGCCTCCAGCTTGGCGGCAGCGGAAGACTGGCTCGTCAGCGCAGTCTCGGTCGCATAAGTGCCGTCGGCGAGCACCTTGCGGGAGCCAGTGGGCGCCGAAGGCTTGGAGTGGCCGTTGGTCTGGTCGTCCTTGTTGTCATCGCCATCCTGCTCTTCCAACAACCTCTGCTCCGATGCCACAATGGGAATCTCTCCCAGGCTGGCTCTGATACCCTTCCAAGCATCTCGAATGTCCTTCTCCTCCAGCGAGTACTCTCCAATGATCCACAGGATACCGCGGTAGACCTTGCCCGCCCGCACTTCGCTGAGGGTGGAGACCAGACGGTGGACAATCTTGGTTCGGAGCTCGGGGAACTTCTCGACCACCTCCTTGACGAAGTTGATGACATCAACGGCAGAGGTGTTTGTGAAATCGGCGATAAAGTCCATGAGAAGCTCCACCACGCTGGCCGCAACCTCGGAGAATTTGATGGCGCACTGGTGGATCGAGTGGATGAGGAGGGATCGGTACTCGGTGTTCTTCTCGTACTCCTGGTCGACCGTCTTGGACAATTCCTTCTTAAGCAGCAGCACCACCTCTTCGACATTCTTGCTGGAGACCATGGCCAGGGCCAGCTCGAGGGCCTTTTTGCGGACGTCAATATCTGTGCTGCTGAGGACTCGGAGAATCTCCATGACGAGGTCATCGAGGACGCCCTCGTTCTTCTGGCGCAGCTGATCGACCCGGTCCAGGACAATGAGCTTGACGTTGTTGTCGGCCTCCTTGATGCTCAGCTCGATAAACTTGGACGCAGCAGCCTTGACGGCAACAGGGTTATTTGTCAGGGCCGTCAGCGATGACGCCGCCTCGTAGACGACAGTGGACGCGCCGGCTTCCAAGAGGTCGAATATTAATCGCAGGTACCGAGCCTATCCATGTCAGCTACTGGCCAAGGCTAGTCTTGCAAGAGTCCTACCTTGTTCTGCGAATTCTGGACAGCGTCTTTGCGGATAAATTCGAGCTCGACCAACTGCAGCAACTCCTCAGCATTGGGGATTCCATCAAAGACGGAGCTGAGATATAGAAGGGCAGCATCGTGGTTGATGCTGGCGAGCGCTGCAAAGGCGTTCCTCTTGCATGTGGCGTCGGTCTCGCTCTCCAGGAAAGTCGCAATCAGCTCCGCGGCGTCGGGGATGAGAGACGGCGAGTGTGTGTAGATGGATGCCACCGCAAAGACGGCGTTTTTCCTGACGTAGGCATGCCGGTGCTCGAGGCAGGATCGCGCTGAGGAAAGGAGAGGCTCGATAAGCTCTGCCTCCCTGAGCTTGCAGAGGAATCGCAGGGTGTTGCCTCGGATGTATTCGTTGGGGTGCTGAAGGTCGTTTCTGATGCCGTTGCTGCGGGGTGGTCAGTCGGCCCTCTGGCGTACGAATTGGCTCACAAACAAGTGCCAATGGCAATCATGGCTTGACTAACCAGACCAGAATCATCTCCTGCTTCAGCTTGCCGGCAGAGTCATGCTTGGGGCATATCTCGTAGTAGAAGTAGAGGAGCTTCTTCAGCGGCTTGTACTTGGAAGGCATGACGAATCGGATAATGTGCATGAGCAGCGACGGCATCGGGTCGCCGTTGAGCATGATGGTCAAGATACGCTTCATGGTGTCGACCTTGCTCTCGTCAGTGCCCTTCTCCAGCTGCATGCGCAGGTCGGAGAGCGAGGGCACGTCCGAGGCATTGTCCTGGTGCACCAGGCTGTACGCGTGCTCCAGGAACCCAGACATGGCGGCCGGCTGTGTGGTGATTCGGGGCGTTCGATGGCGTTCGGGGCGTATAAGGACTCGGAACAGCTGCGAGAGTTCTGGCTCGTCGAAGCCGCGGCGGTGGGGGGGTAGATGAGGAGGGATAAGGGGCCTCAAGAGAGCGCGGGAGGAGCGTCGAGTAGCGGAGAGCTCACCAGAGCCATGTGCCGGAGAGTCGCTACCGCACCAATTGCAGGGCTCGAGCAGCCAGAGTCGCCGGGAAGAGCGTCGAGAGAGGCGGGCGACTGGGGGAGGGGAGTGTTGCTGCTGTTGGGCTGCTTCTGCTTCAAGACAATCTGGCTCTTTAACTGGCGATGGCTCGCTGGTAAAGGTGGCACTAAGCAGCAGTTGGAGCGAGGCGTGGGGGCTCACGTGACGGAGCTGGTGCCTCAATTGCAGCAAGTTGGACCTGGTTCAGGCCAAGGGACTCGCTCACCGCCCGCTGCTTTCTGCCGCGCCCCACCATCCAGTGACGAAGCTGGCCTATGAACGACCTGGAGTTCGAACTTGCTCCAGCCTCGCGACAGATCTGGGTGCAACTCGACACGGCCTCGACAGCAGAGATGGCAGCACCAAACGACCAGTTTTACATCCGATACTAGTAAGAGATGCCCCTCGAATGTACTCTGCCACGATCGCCGAGTTCAGCTACTAATTAGGTGCTCAGTTCGGGCCACATGGGCCGATTCGGCCACGAATTCTTGGGTACGACCACAATCACCAGGCGTTCACCGAAGAAGCTCAGCGCTGCTTCTTGATTCGCAGTTTGGGTGCTGACGTGTTTGGCAGAATTCGATTTCCGCGTCGTTGGAGACGGCCGCAGCGCAGTCGCCCGATATGCAAACAACTCCAACTACAGAAACGACAGCCTGATCCGGAAAGAGAGTAAGGGACACTGCATCTTCTATGAAAGATATTGCCAAAGGAAGAAACGGAGACTGATCCTCGGTGTTATAGTGTGCGTTAGCTCCGCAGTCATCGACGAGATCAAGCGCATTGTCAAGCAGAGCGAGATCATCAAGGAAGACGACTCCAAGTGGCCGCAGAAGAACAAGGACGGTCGCCAGGAGCTGGAGATTAGGTTAGGAGGAGACCACATCTCTTTCGAGGTTTGTTTGTCCTGAAAGCCTTGGCAATGACATGCAATGCTAACCCCTGGATAGACAGCCAAGATTGGATCACTTGCTGATGTCACCGAATCCGCCGACCCCGAGGGCCTCCGAGTGTTTTACTACCTTGTGCAGGACCTGAAGGCGCTCGTGTTCAGCCTGATTGCCCTCCACTTCAAGATCAAGCCCATCTGAGTCGACATGGCATGCTGAAGACGCGGGCAGAGCAGAGTTATGATACCCTTGACCTTACTGAGGCATCGGCGGTTCGCATGATGGTGGGTTGACGGCCGCATCGTGCGCGAGAAGAGATTCCAGGTCTCGGTTGGCGCATGGGAATTACAAGAAGAAAAAAAAAGCGGCTTTTTGATTCAATGGGAGCAGCTACTACATGCGGACATCGCGAACAAGCTGAGGAATAGCATCCATGGAATACAGCTGAAAGGGTACCTACCTAGAATGGCTTTCTCGAGGCGTTTAATAAGGATAATCTTTTGCCCTAGATTCTTTGCGTCGGATTCCACGAATTGGACAAAGTAAGCACTATCAGACTTGTAATTTAGCGATACAGTAAGATACGTACGTTAGTATTATGGCATGATCCGAACGGAAGCCACAGATTGGCAGCATTACTAGCGGTGCAAACCCATTGAGTACGACAGAACCCCTTGCTTTGCCTGACGGTAAGACACCGAACCGAACCTTGAGCAAGCCGTGGCTTAACAGCAAGCGTGTTTGACACTTGGGTGGGACGTGGGCTGCATCCTTCTTCGTGGACTGATCCACATGCAAGTATGGTGGCTTGCTTGCTTTGCTTGCCTGTCGCTGTCAGGACTATCTTGATGTGCCGTGACACTGCGGTAGACGAGGGTCGATCCAGTTGCGACTCTGTTTCGGCTGTTCTACGACCATGTCCGACACCTTGTCATCAACTCATTGTTCCTTGCCTTGATTCATATCAATTCCCCTTGATCCATGTCAATCTCCAAGATGAACGTAATATACCCACTCATCCATCTGGTAGACATAAGGTAAGGTACCTAATTGTAGTATCGCAACTGTCTGCTGCCCAACTGTGCAGCAAGTACATGTACAGCAGGCTGTCACAAGCTGCCACTAGCACCTCCGCAAAAGCCCATCTCCATCCCATCTTCACTTCTGGGTCTGCCAAGTACCCGGTACTCACACATGTTTGCCCCAGCTTCCCCAATATCTCGACGCTCAATCAACGTCAAACAGAGACTCTTGCTCCTCTAATCAGTAGGTACATACGTCCGTCAAACTGTCACGTCAACCGCCTTGCACCAGTACTACCTCTCGTCACAAGAACTGTACCCGCCTTACAGGTTATCCAGGGTCAGCACTGAATGGCAGACAGCCCATGGATGCCCAGCAAGGCAAAACCGCAGCGATCCAGATAACAGCACAGAACCCTACAAAGTACCCCATACTTGGCGCTGCCCCAAGTGGGCGCGGGCTGGTCGCTGTATCGGATACGCCGCCTACATAAGGTAGGTTCCCGTCCTCAGCGAGCCTTGCACCTCTAAGGTAAGAGTCCAGCGCCCAACTTCAGGTTTTGCCTCCCGAAGAAAAGCCATCCAAACCCATCCCAATCTCTCTCTCTCTGTCTCCGTCTCTCCGCTGGTCCGCCTCTTCTGTCGCCATCGCCGCCGTCTCCCGTGTCTGTGGATTTGGGACTCGACAGCGAAATGCACGCTGCCTGCCATCCCTGAAGACCCTCGTCCCGGCCTCGTGGGTCGCCCTGCTGCTTTGTGCTTGTGCTTGTGCTTGTGCTTGTACTTGTACCTGTTGTGTGCTGCTCCGGGGGACTCAATCACCGCCATCCTCCCGCTCGAATCGCAACTCGATCCGCTCTCGGACTGAAACGGCCCTCATCACGTCAACGAGGGCTGAAGCATCTGCCATCTTCAATTACTAGCGAAGTCTTCTTGATAACCAGAAAAGGGAATTGACATTCTACATTCCCTTTGCTCTTCGTTTCCCCTCTTCCGCTGTCGCGCATTTCCTGCTCTTTCCTCTCGGCTTCCTGCACCAGCCTTGCCTGCCACGAACCGAACCGGCGCTTCTGTCCCATCCTCGTCCACAGCTTCAACAATGCCGACTCCCTCCTCCAATCCGCCTCCCGACCAGTCCTCGCCGCCTCCCTACAGTTTCTCGTCATGTCCTGAGGACCAGCCACACGTGTCTCGATCCTCCCGGCCGGCACAAGACACCACGCGACCGACGTCAGACATGGACACCAGCCAGAGCTCGTCCACAAGCATTGCCTCTACAGCTTATTCATCCGCAGCAGCTCGCGACGGCCCTGCAGCGGAAGAGACAGTCTTCATCGACGGCCGGCCGTCTGCGGGGGGCTCGCCCATCGACACTACGTCTCCCCGGCCGCCGTCCAGCGGGACGACTGCCATATCTCCCGCCCTGAGTGGGCGAGACGACAGCCTCAAGCACCAGGGATCTGGCACGAGCGATCGCCTCAGTCGGGAGTCATCCGCCGTGTCTGGACATTCACAGGTCGAGCGTTCGATCCCCGTCCGACGCGAGCCCGACGCATTGGAGTGGTATGAAGAGGATGCATACAGCTCGCCCGCCATGCCATCCGATTGCACAAATCTACGAGTAAGGGATACCGCTGCGGTGATGCCGTTGTTGCTGTCTAGGGTGTCGTTTGGCAATGCTAACGCTGGATACAGAAAATTCCCATCTCACCGTCATCGTTCCTCCGCCCCGGAAGCAGATTCCGCGGCACACAGCAATCCGAGAGACAAGTCTACGAAGTCCAGGTCGAGATCAAGCACGTCGACCTGCGCGAGTCTTTTCTCTGTGGCTACTTGCGTATCCAAGGTTTGTCACCCCAGGCTCTGCACATCTTGATCTCCATTGCGTCATAGGCAGCACCTGGCTAACCAACTCGACCCTCGCCGACAGGATTGACTGAGGACCACCCAACCCTCACTACCTACTTTGAGGGAGAAATCATCGGCACCAAGTACAACTTCTTCACCAAGCACGATGACTGGGGGGCCAACTCCAAGGTCGACCTGAGTCACTGGTCCAAATTCGGCGCTTTCCGGCCGTACCAGAAGATGGCTCGCAAGGGGCCCGTCACCATCACTGACCTCGCACAACGAGACCACATCTTTATGCGGTGGAAAGAGCATTTCCTGGTCCCCGACCACCGGGTTCGAACAATCACTGGGGCCTCATTTGAGGGCTTTTACTACATCTGTTTCAACCAGGTCAAGGGAGAGATTAGCGGCATCTATTTCCACTCCAAGAGCGAAAAGTAAGCCATACCCACGTGCCCTAGGCCTCCCTTTATACCTTGATGAGGACCATGAGACTGATTGCTCTGTGTGTAGGTTTCAACAGCTAGAGTTGAAGCATGTTCCTGATCGGGGATGCTTCAGTGCCATGGAGTTTCGGTGATGATGTCCATGTCAAGTGAGGAGTGTCGCACGCTGGTCAACTTAATTAGTGGTGGATATCTTCCTTAGGGAGACCAATGTCCACAAGGGGTGGCTTTCTTTTCTCTTATTTTTTTCCTCCTCCTTTTCTTTTACATTTTCGTTTTCTACTCTTTGACATACTTTCCCAGTCCTGTTTTGTATTTTGGGAGGATTGATTATGGATGTGGTGTTCTATGGGATACATAGCATGCGTGCAAGGTGCTCGGCTTTTTGAGTATTATAGGTACGTCGGGATGGCACTGCACAGGGCCTTTTTTGTTTCGGAATCGAGAATTCGTATTTTGGGGTTGTCAGAAGGGTTTTCGAGTACGGTTCTAGCTAGGTATGAATGACGCGTGACGAAGTATGGAATACAAGGGGCTTCATGACCATTGAACGGTGGTGAAAGGAGGTGTGAGCATGATATGCTAAGCAATTGTCGCCATGTTGCTCTTTGAGGCTCAGCATGTGGTCTGGCAGATTATTTGTGTCTTTCTATGGTATCTTGGAGTCTACTCATGATGCTTCAGCCTCGAATTTTCGAAAGTACCCTCGGCGGAAGGGATTGAGGTCATCTGCTGTTGTGCCTGTGTGTGCAGCAGCAGCCTCCCGCCTCCGCTTCTCGTGTGCCTCCAGGTCGGAGCTGGAGACTTGAGAATCAGGAAGCCGCTGATATGTGATCAATCTCCTTGACCCTAAGCGAAGGAATACCAAGTCAGCATCCCAAAAGTTCTATGCCAAGACTTAAGGGGGAGAATAGGTCAGGGGGAGGTCATCACATACACTTGTTGAACGTCTGAACGCAGACCACGACAACTTCCAGGCAGGGATGCGTCGGGACGGGAATCTCCTGCTCCTCGTCGTTGGCGGTGGGCATCCAGAAGGAGAGGCGGCCGTGATCGACGAGGGTGTCTGCGGCGAAGGCGAGGATGTCGTCGAGCATGGCGAGGAAGCTGTATGGTTTCTTTGGGGGCACGTAGTCTGGTGATCTATGCGAAGTTTGTCCCGTTAGGTCGCAAACCGATTTTCTTTCCTTTTTGCTTTGATACTGCATTCAAGTTTCGAGTTGGAGGTTGGTGTAGATGGACTTACTGCCATTCGTTTATGCCGAGTTCTATCAGCCATGTGGCGTTTTCAGGGTTCTTGAGGCCGAGGACTTTGAGGCCTTCTCTCACGCCGTAAGGGGGGTCGCAGACGATGCCGTCCCAGGTGCGTCTCCGCCTGATGGGCGTGTTGGTGAGATCCGCGGAGAAGAAGCCGCCCAGCTGGGCCTTGAGCCCGTACTGCGCAAAGTTGCCCGGCAGGCTCTTGGCCTTGTTGTCGCCCTCGCCGCGCATGCTCCGGCCGTCAATGTCGCTGCCCCAGCCGATGGCGCCGAAATGGGCGCAGGCGATGGGGAAGGAGCCCGTGCCGACAAAGGGGTCGTAGAAGAGCTTCCCCGGCGCGGCGAGGGCGATGTTTGCGGTGACGAGGGAGAGCTCGGCGTCCATGCTGGTGGTGGAGATGTAGCCGCGCTTCTTGAGGTCGTACCTGTGGATGACGTCGCGGGCGGAGCTGGCGACGAAGCGGCCGAGGCGGACCATGTCCGGGTGCTGGATCTTGAGGGGCACGCTGTTGAAGGGCCAGAACTCGAAGACGGTGAAGGTCTCGTCCGGGTTGGACATGCGGATGGGGCCGTCGAAGGGGAGGTAGCTGAAGGTGTCGATGATGGCGAGGCGCTCCTTGTTGGAGTGGGCGCCCTGGTAGGCGTCGACGACGAACTTGAAGGAGCAGTCCTTGTACCGGGGCCACAGGTGGGCGGTTTGCGACTGGATGATGGGGTGCAGGGCGGAGAGGGAGGGCGCGGTGCCCCAGAGCTCGTGGATGGAGTGGGCGAGGACGGAGCGCCGGAGGAGCTTCTTTGCGGCGTCGACGGAGGGGAGCTGGACGACGCAGAAGGGAGACTGGGAGGAGCGGAAAAGTAAGTAATGAGTATATGGTGGTGATATATGAGAGAGAGAGAGAGAAGGGGATGGGGTGAGGTTGGGGAGGGAAACTTACTTGGGGGTCGTATTCTTTGATCTTGAGGTCGAGGTTTTCGATGATGGCTAGGGCTTCGATTTCGGGCACTCTGAAGGATTCATGCTCGGAAGCAAACTTTATGAGAAAGTCCATCTTGGGTATGCACTCTGATGTTGTCATGGCCTTGTCTTGAGTTGGGTTGAGATGGATGTGGTGCAATCTCAGGGTATCATGAAGCCAGGACGCGATTTCCGTCTATATGAGAAAGGAGAAAGAAGAAGAGTTATATGAGCCGTGCTGTTGCTGATTTGATCAATGAAAGTAGTGTTTCTATAATTTCATCTTGAAATTAGCAACCACCGAGCCATTTTCTTGTAAACAACATTATACTTACCAAGTAGTTATATCTCATGTCGTGAGAGCGAAAAGTCTATGAGAGTTGTGTCTCATGAGTCGAGTGTAGGTATGTACATGAAAAGTGGTGGCCCCGCTATTCAAGAAAAAAAGGTTGAAGCGCCGACTCTGATTCGGCGGATTGCTTCTCAAAAGGTACATCGCCCTTGTACCCTGCGCTTCGTCTTTTTGACGTGCATCTTGGCTTCTCCCTCTTGAACCCGACATCATCTGTCAATGATTGAAGCTTCGATTACAACGCTTCTGAAGCCTCATTTTCTTGCCAAGTAATACAGCCCCTTGTGAAGTGATTCAGAATGCGGCACCAAGCTCCTTCAATATACCAATCGCCAAAATGCTTCGTCACGTACGGCACCATGGGGCACGTCGACCCCAAGCAGCCCCCGAGCAAAGGCAAGCCGTGGACGGCCATTTCAGAGCTCGACTTTGTCCACAAGGTGAGTCCGGTTGTTGGGCAGATGATATCTGTGTCTGATGCCTTGTGGAGCAAGATTGCTGATATAACTTAGGTTGACTTGGTTATCCCTCAGGACATATGCGATACCATTGTCCAGAAGATGGCTGAGCGTGAGGCGCCGGTCTATTACAGAGTCATCATGACACTGGGCCAGGTGCTGGAGACAAAGTTCCTCACTCAGTACATCAAACTAGGTGCGCCTATACAGCTGCCATGAGCTTGAGGGCAGCCATCCGCTTTCGTGGTCCAATGCTGATGTGCATCAGGGAACATCATGATGCTCTCCGAAGGCAAGACGACTATTGGAAATCTCTTCACCCTTCGGGAAGGCATGCTGGACCTCTACCTCGATAGGGAGACGTATGAACGCGCTGGCCTTGAGGGGAAACCCTACGGAAACAAGGGCAATAGAGGCTCCAAGCCTAGGTGGAGTACGTCTTGAGTTGTCTTCAACCGTCTGCAGAACGGGTTGCTAATCCACCTTACAGAAGTATCATACAACCTTAGGGAAGAGTCGATGCTGCACGGCAGGAAAAAGTTTGACAGATTGGCCTATGCATGCAAGCAGGTGCTGAACAAGCCCATGACATGGCTTGTCTGCAACGCCTCCAGCTCTGGTAGGTCTATGCTTGATTGATCATTGGCGTCGTCTCCATTGTCCAAGAGTATATACATGCTAACTGCGCTAATTATGAATGCAGATCTGCTGCAGAGCCTCAACGCGACGGAAAGAACGTCGTCGCCAAGGCTCTCCACAGATACCGGAATCAACCAGATTCCCCTCAACATACAACCCACCATCCTCGCACAGGGAGACCGCGAGGCCCTCGAATACTCCGCGACGGAAATCTACGAGTGGCTGTCCCTTGTCCGACTGGAAAGCCCTCGCGTCGTGGCGGGAGACAACATCGACCCCTATCTCTCACGATATGCACCGCCCGAAGCCGACGGCGAGGTGGCCCAGTCCCCAGTCTGTAAGCTGAGTTGGCAAGGTTTCTTCTCCTCGAGCTGGCTACGAAGCCTGTTCATCGACATCATCACCAGCTGCCCGTCGCAGTCGTGGTTCGCGCTTAGCAGCACCACGTTCTCTCGCAATATCCTTGGCGGGTGCAACGAGCTCACTTTCCTACGGCCGCCCGAGCGCTCAGGAGAGTTTCTCCTGTGGGAGATCAAGAGTCAAGACTGAACAGGGACAGAGCCTAGGCTTGCTTGGACCGCACATTTCGCTCCTCGGCCAGTCCTTGGTCAGAGAGGGCTTCCTCCACTAGCTTGCGCAGATCTGCCTGGCCCTCTGCCGTGTCAAAGTCCTCCCGCTGAGCCAACTCCTCGATTCGGCGCCGGAACTCGGGATCGACCTCGGCGGGAATGTCCTGCGTCTCGTCCATGGTGCCGACAGTGACCTTCATGCCTTCAGGAGCATTCTTGTTGAACTCAGCGGCGGTGGCCTCGAGCTCCTCTCCGGCCTTTGCCGACTCCACGGTAGACAGATAGGCGGCGACTTCGGGAAAGTCGGCCTCGCCCTCAATCTTTTCCCTCGCCGTGAGCCCCTCCAAGCTTCTGTGCAACACGTCCACGCCCAGCTCAACCAGAGCTTTGGCAGCGGCGGCAGTTTCGACGACGAATAGCGCGGTCTCGTTATCTTCGTCCTTGAGGTTGACATCGACCTTGAATTCCTCGATCAGCGTCCGGAGCAGATCCAGGTGGTTGTAGCTGGCGGCGGCGTGGACGAGCGAGTATCCATGTTCGTCCTGGGCCGAGGCCAGCGCAGGCTTTTCCCGGAGTAGAGGCAGCAGCGCGGGGCTGTTGTCGGCTGCCAGCAGGAATGGGTTTGACGATGCCATGGCGAGCTCGTATTATGTGTGTGATAGCTTATTCGGTGAAGCTCTCTGGTTATGCGAAACCGGGAGTTGGCTGGTATGGAGGGGTAGAATTTGTTCTTGGGAAAAAAATATCTTGAAGTTGCCCCTCCCCCACCATGACAATAATTGCAGGTGACATCCATCATTTGATCCATGCATCGATAAGGTAGGTACCTCCCTAGGTTTGGCTGATGGATGCCTTGGGCCCCCCCTGTAATTCAGGGCCTCGAACCGCTATAGTGGGCATTGCTGCTGCCCGAGCCCAGGGACCTTCAGGCGCCCTCAGGCGGCAACAGGCGATCTGCACAGGCCCGGATCTTTCGACTGCTGACCCACACACTCAGAGCTAAAATATCGAATCTCTCTCGTCGTCATTGGAAGACATCAGAACCTCGCCTTTCTCACCTATTGAACGCCTTCAAGGACTCCAGTCAAATCCTGGTCGATCGTCCCTTGTCAAGTCTGTACTTGCCCCAAGTCTTTCGGTGAGGAGTAATCCTGAGCTCACAGGCCGCGCTTAGTCTCCGTCTGACTCACCAAACTTACAGGGCTGAGTAAAAGAGGGCAGTGTTTTGGTACGACTAACCGGCTCGAGACGTGCTGCTGCAGGGAAAGCCGTGTGTGCCTTGCATCAACGCTGGGGGGCGAGCTGAAAGGGATTAAATAAGACGACCCAGCTGTGGCTCACAGCTGAATCACTGGATAGTCGTCTCTCGTTGTCGTGGACAAACCATCGAAGCAGCAGCCGGGGAAAGCTGGTGTATGACCTCTGCGCTACTGCCTGGGCATCGATTTTGCGACCTCATCTTTCACAGCTTCTTTCCCCTTACAACCTCCATCTCACCACTTAACCAGCTTGTTCCAGCTCTCAAAGCATACGGAGTAGAGAAAATGGAGGCCCCTTACGCGCCGCAGGATGTGGCTGCCGTCTCCCAGATGATCTCAGCTCTGGAGGCGGCCAAGAAAGACAAGCGACACGGCGGATTCTCCTGCAAAAAGACGACCTTCAAGGTCAAGCCGTCTCGAGACGGCATCACCGTGGACTCGTGGCGCATGCAGGATTGGGACTACAAGAAAAAGAACCTGCCCACTTACGCCCGCGGTCTCTTCACCACCAAGACCAGCAAGAACACACCGGAAATTGCCGTCAGAGGCTACGACAAGTTCTTCAACGTCGGCGAAACCGATGACACCAAGTGGGACGCCATCTTCAAGAACACAAAGGGGCCGTACGAGCTGACGCTCAAGGAGAACGGCTGCATCATCTTTGTGGCTGGCCTCGAGGACGACACGCTGCTTGTCTGCAGCAAGCACTCTACCGGTGATCGCGGCGACGTGGAGATCAGCCATGCGCGAGCTGGAGAGATTCGACTCGAGAAGCAGCTGGCTGCGCTGGGCAGGACAAAGGAGGATCTTGCGCGAGAGCTGCGGTCCCGGAACGTCACTGCCGTGGCAGAGCTTTGCGATGACTCGTTTGAAGAGCACATTCTTGCCTACGAGAATGAAAAAGCCGGCCTTTACCTTCACGGCATCAACCTCAACCTCCCAGAGTTTGCAACTTATCCGAGCAACCAGGTGCAGGAGTTTGCGAAGCAGTGGGGATTCCTCCAGGTGGACTTACTGTTGATGGACGACGTGCAAGAGGTCAAGACGTTCCTGGACGACGTCGCCAAGACGGGATCATATTCCGGCCGCGACGTCGAGGGGTTTGTCATTCGGTGCAAAATGTCCCGTAACCCTTCCCAAATTCCCTACCAGGACTGGTTCTTCAAGTACAAGTTTGAGGAGCCTTACTTGATGTACCGGCAGTGGCGAGAATGCACCAAGGCCATGATCTCTGGAAAACAGCCCAAGTTCAAGAAGCACGTCAAGATCACCGAGGAATACCTGGGCTATGCTCGGAAACAGCTGGCGGCAGATCCGAAACTGTCCAAGCTCTACAACCAGAACCACGGCATCATCAAGCTACGAGACGACTTTCTCGCGTACAAGAACCTCAAGGGAGCAGATGCCGCCAACCTCGACGTCCTGGATCGTGTTGTCATGACGGAAGTCACCAAGGATGTCATCTTGGCGCCCATTGCCACTCTTGGCTGCGGAAAGACTACGCTGGCTCTGGCACTGACGCATCTCTTTGGCTGGGGCCACATTCAGAACGACAACATCTCGGGCAAAGGACGTCCGCCGAGGTTTGTCAAGGCCATCATGGACCAGTTGAAAGACCGTCCCGTGGTGTTTGCGGACCGGAATAACGCACAGAGGCACGAGAGGAAGCAGCTCATTGGCGACGTCAAGACACAGAACCCTGAAGCTCGGATCGTCTGCCTGAATTTCCGACACGACGAAGAGTCGATTGATGAGATACGGCGGGTCACCCAAGAGCGTGTCATTGAGCGAGGCGACAACCACCAGACGATTCATGCCGCGACAGATCAGTACAAGTTCTTGGAGGTCATGGAAGGGTTCATCAAGCGATTCGAAGAATGCAATCCCAACTCCGTTCCAGATGCCGGCTTCGATCTGTTTATTGACCTGGATCCCACGGTTGGCAGCAGAGTGAATCTCGAGACGGTGGTCAAGGAGCTGCACCTGTCTCTGCCCAACGTGGTCAAGGAGATGCCAAGCCCCGAGAAGCTCGACGAGGCCATTGAATATGCGCTGAGCTACGTCCCCGACTTCAAGCACACTATCCCTGACCGAAGCGGAAAGAAGGATCACGCCAAACAGGGGCAGCAGCAGCAGCAGAAGGCCCAGCCGAAGAAGAAGACGCTCGAATACATGGCGATCAACACGGCGACGGATGCTATCGACAAGGTTCTGGACAAGGCATTCAAGGGAGTCGGCCCGGAAACCTCGCGATTCTTCTTCCAGCTCAAGAACACGAGGAGGGTGCAGCGCAAGTTCCACGTTACGCTGATGCACAGGGCCACGACGCCGATGCACCCGGAGCTGTGGAAGCGGTATACCGAGCTTCATGAGGCTGCGGGGGGTGACGATGCCAAGCTTGGAGAGTGTGATTTGGTTCTTGAGCGGGTAAGCTGATCATGTGTGGAAGTTTAAGTTTCATCAATCTAACGTTTGAAAAACAGGTTGTGTTTGATGACCGCATCATGGCGATTGTGGTCCGCATCGTCGACGAGGAGAACAAGTGGGAGTGCGTGAACCGGGTCGCGCACATTACGGTGGGAACGCGGGACAACTCGGTGAAGCCAAAGGAGAGCAACGATCTGCTGGCTAGGTGGCTGGAGGAGGGAGCGGGCGGTGAAGGAAACACGATCCAGGAGGTGGTGTTTGCGGAAAAGCCTGTCATCAAGGGGTATGTACAGGGCGTGTTGTCCAGGTAGGGTGAGGATGAGTGGATGTTTGATTCGAAGCATGGCGTTGTAAAAGTTATGAGCAAAAGAAGATTTGAGAAGAGCAAGACGAGCCGGAGGTTGGTATGAGACGCTGGGCTTTATATCGTAAATCGATGTTAAGAGACCGCCTATATGAGGTATGGTATGGTTGTATGTATGTAAATCACGTTAAATGAACAAGCATACCACATGGTTTATTCGGAGCCTCGAATGGCTGCAAACAGTTGTATATGCTCGCCAGAGAACAGGGGTATATAAGTGTAGTAGTAGGGACAGAACATGCATGCGCATCCAACCAGATGTCCAGCGACACGAGAACAAAGCCGAACCAGACCGAAGCCCATCCTTTTACATCCAACCCAGCCCAGCCCAGAGCCACATAGAGAGAAAAAAAAATGAAATGAAAAGCGTGCGCGCGCCGCTCTAACGTCTACTCGTCGTCTAGGAATCTGCTCGCTATCCTTCCGAAGAAGGGAACTTCGTATCTGTTTGTGAAAATTGTAAGATTTGAGGTTCTGTGATCCTGGTGTGATAGAGTGTGCTCTGGGGGTTTTTTTTTTCGTTACCTGTCTAGTATCTCTGCGTCTTGATATGCCTTCAGCGTGAGAAATCCAATCAGAACAATGTCCCCGAGGAAGAAGATCCAGCTCAGGAAGGACGACCAGGAGATTAAGACGTGGAAGACCATGATGGCTGTGAAGAGGAGAGCAGACTGCCAGGCGTGGAACCTATAACCAGACATTAATCCCGTCAGTTTCCCTCAATGCGCCAAAAACTCTCCAATCGCTAGCATAACGAACAGGGCATGGTATGGTAGGGCGTAAAATTACCTGACATAGTCGCTATTCCGCTCCAAGATCAAGAGAATCACCGCCCCTACAGGCGGAAACGCAAGATACGCCAAACACGCCTCGTAATCCAGCCTCAGCCCCAGACTCGTGTCAAACTCGCTGACCTCGGCGGGATACGTCCCCGGCATGGGGGAATTCGCGCCCGCGCTGCCGCTGCCGAAACCGCCCCATAGACTGCTGCTTGCCCGGCCGTTGTTGTTGTTGTTGCTGAAGAAGTTTCCGCTGTTGGCGGCGGCAGCAGCGCCGTCGAGGTCGCCGCTCCAGGCGCGCTGGGGCTGGGGGTGCTGCAGAGGAGGCGGGCTGCGGGCGATGGCCTTTGCGGCGGCCGTGACGGGGGAGAATGGGCGGCGGGCGAGGTCGGCGGAGGCGCGGGGGGAGGAGAGCGGGGAGCGGGCGTGTTCTGGGGGGGAGGATTGGTAGGGGGCAAAGTCCATTGCTTCTGATTTGGGTGTGTCTGTTGTGCTGTGGGAGAGAGATTTGGCGATGGTGGTGTTGCTGGTGGTGGTGGTGGTGGTTTCGAGGTTTTGGAGGCCGGAGGGGATCGGTTCGACGAGGTTGTTGTTCGAGGGCGGGCGAGTTTATAGGACTGGGGGGTTGGACGGCGGTTATGGAAGCATGCGGTTGTGTCTGTGAAGAGAGGTGTCGGATAAGGAATGCTGTTGGGCTTTTGCGAAGAGTTTTGAAAGAGGCGTGCAGGTGTCCTGGAGGAGGGAAGAAGTGAGGGAGAAATCCGAGGTAGACGAGAGGGATGGTTGCATATGCATGCTGTTTAAGGTGGAGGTTGCGATTAATAGCAAGGGCATCACATGAGCCTGGCGCGATTGGGTGCATGTGCATGTGCTGGCTGGTCAGGTCAGGGTCGCTTTAGGCTTAAAGCTGGGGTTTCAATGGGCGCTGGGATGAGCTACAGCTTGCTGGAGCTTAGTACAGGGCCTTGGGTGGTGCTGGGGATTGGTGGGATCAGGCCTGGGGGGGTTGCGTACGGGGGCGGGTACTTTTGCCTGGGTGGAATAAGGTAGGTATGGAGGATTGGATTATTGATGGATGTCTGTGTGAATCTGGAGAATGGCATCTCGAATTCAGAGCATTGGCCCTTTTTTCTCTTTTCATCCTTGCAACCTCTATCAGCATCCTCAATAATGTACATGTATACTACTAATACTTTTACAGCCCTAGGTATGTCCAAACCGCTGGCTCTTTTCTTCACCTCGTTCATTCCATCATACAGACATCTATGCAGACGCGGGCTCCTCTCCCTTGGACTCTCCCTTCGCCTCTTCCTCCAGCTGCCCCTTGCGGCCCTCCAATGCCAGCCACAAGCTGCGGCTGCCGCCTTCAAGCGTAGACGTAATGCCCAGACCTGCGCCCTGCAGAATGGCCACCAGCTGTGCGCGGAGACCGTCAAGGCCGCCCTCAATGCCACCAACCCACTGAACACCCGCCTGGTCAAAGACCTTTCCTTCGATCCGCCCTCCTATCAGCACCAGCTTCGCCAGGCCGTTCTGGAACGTGGGGTCGTAGTATCCGGGGTTCTTCTTCCGTGACGGCGCAGGGAACTTTCCGGGCACCGGCGCGAGAACGCTCAGTGCCGCTGCGACGTGTGCCGGAGACACGGCGGGGATGATGAGGCCGGCCAGGGGTCCGACCATGAGAGGCTCGATCTGGGCATAGGCGGAATTGGGAGGGATCTCGACGTTCTTGACTTGCTCGTAGGCGGCCTCGGACAGATCGTGGACGATGGGGCCCTTGGTCGTGCGCTTCGTGGCTTTTGACGCGGCTGCGACCTCGGGGTTGTAGAATTCCACCAGCTTCAGCGCCACGTTCAGCATGTTCGTCCTCAGCACCTGCAGCTGCACCAGCGGAGACAGGTCCACAGGCTCGGCGCCCGGCGCAGGCACAATCGGCGCGACGCCCTCGAGGGCCTTCTTCAGCTCTCTCCTTACGGCGGCCCACTCCACCGCCGTGAGGTTGCTGTGCTGGAAGAACAAGATGAGGGGCGTGGTGCGGAGGAGGGAGGTGTAGGTTCGAATCAGCTGGCTCTTTCGGGTATCAATTGGGCGAGCGCTGGGCGGTTTCGTCGCGGGGACGACGTCAATGGGCAGCGGGACGCCCTCGGGGACGGATCGCAGGCCGGGCGAGGCATGTTGGGCCTCTGATGTCGAGAAGTTGTGTGAGCCGAGAGCGAAAGCCCCTCGTACGGGTGTCGCCTCGAGGCTGAGCCGTCGCAGGCAGGGGCGAGCTGCCCGACTTAGTATTCTTGTCATTCTGTCCGAAGTTATTCATCGCATTCACATCGTATCGGACAAGCTGTGAGAAAACCTACATGTTATGGGCTTTTGATCGACTGACGATTATTTCGAACCAGAACCTCGAACGAGGCTCTCGCGAACTTTCAGGCCCCACCAGCTGGGATATCATCGGATCAATTACTGCCCGCCGCTCCGAGCTGGAATTGTCATCAAAGTACTCATAAGTACAGAGGGGCAGCTTTTCGAGCACGGCCATGCCGCATCATCACAGGTAGGTACCTCGCAGTACCTTGCCGCACTGGCTCCCCAGGCACCCAGACTGATTGCGCGCGACTCGACCTGCTGCTGCCCTGCAGCTTCAACCTGTTGAAGCTGGCCAGCAAACCACCAGAGCCGCAGCACACCTGCTTCTTCCACCGCATTCCACCCAAAGAACACCAGCCTCTCAGCCTTGCGACATTCATTGCAGTTTCTATCTGCATTTCTGCTCCTTTCGACATTCTCAGCCACAGCCTTACAGCAACCGACCTCTCCACCTTAGACCAGTCCCAGCCGAGGGCCTGCTGCCACCATGTCGACCCTCGAAGAGCTCGATGACCTCGACCGCCAGGAGAAGGAGGAGAAGAGAAGAAACAATGGCAAGAAGGCCACCGTCACCGACGGAGATGACGAGATGAAGGACGCAGAGGAAAAGGACGACATTCTTGACGACGAGATCCTGAGCCTGAGCACACAAGACATCCAGACCCGGAAGCGACTACTGGAAAACGACTCTCGGATCATGAAGAGCGAGCTTTCGAGGTTAACACACGAGAAGGCCGCCATGGGCGAAAAGATTAAGGAGAACCAGGACAAGATTGCAAACAACAGGTGAGTCCTGAGCACGATGCATGACAGAAACCGGAAGCATCTTCTTGGGTTGCGTTGGGCCCCCCGAATTCCATCTGTCAGGTTGCTAATACTGGACGGATAATCTACAGACAGCTCCCGTACCTGGTCGGAAACGTCGTCGAGCTGCTAGACTTAGATCCCACCGCGGAGTCTTCCGAAGAGGGCGCCAACATCGATCTCGATGCCACGCGGGTGGGCAAATCAGCAGTCATCAAGACCTCCACGAGACAGACCATCTTCCTGCCGCTGATTGGTCTCGTTGATTCGGACCAGCTGAAGCCGGGCGACTTGATTGGTGTGAACAAGGACTCGTACCTCGTTCTGGACACTCTGCCAGCCGAGTACGACAGCCGAGTCAAGGCCATGGAGGTTGACGAGAAGCCAACGGAGCAGTACACCGATGTCGGTGGTCTGGACAAGCAGATTGAAGAGTTGGTGGAGGCCATTGTGTGGCCCATGAAGGAGGCAGAGCGGTTCAAGAAGATTGGCATCAAGGCACCAAAGGGTAAGGAGTCATTACAGAAGCAAATGTCTTTGAGGGAAGACGAAGCTAATATCAACTAATTCAGGCGCTCTGATGTACGGCCCTCCCGGTACTGGAAAGACGCTCATGGCCCGAGCCTGTGCGGCCCAGACAGAAGCAACCTTCCTCAAGCTTGCAGGACCTCAGCTTGTGCAGATGTTCATCGGAGACGGTGCCAAGCTGGTGCGAGACTGCTTCGCTCTGGCGAAGGAAAAGGCACCCGCCATCATCTTCATCGATGAGCTCGATGCCGTCGGTACCAAGCGATTCGACAGCGAGAAGAGCGGCGATCGAGAAGTGCAGAGAACCATGCTGGAGCTGCTCAACCAGCTGGATGGTTTCGCATCGGACGACCGCATCAAGGTCTTGGCCGCCACCAACCGAGTCGACGTGCTCGACCCTGCGCTGCTGCGATCCGGCCGTCTGGACCGGAAGATTGAGTTCCCCCTGCCGAACGAGGAGGCCCGAGCGCAGATTCTTAAGATTCACTCTCGCAAAATGAAGGTCGACCCCGGCGTCAACTGGGGTGAACTCGCTCGAAGCACGGATGAGTTTGGCGGTGCCATGCTGAAGGCTGTGTGCGTTGAGGCCGGCATGATTGCTCTGCGGTCAGGGAAGAACCAGATTGGCCACGAGCACTATGTCGACGCCATTGCCGAGGTGCAGGCCAAGAAGAAGGATGTAAGTGGTCACAGATGTCCTACGTTGTCCGTCTCTCTGTTGTGTTTATGGGTTGCTAATGGTTTCTCACGCAGACTGTCAACTTTTACGCATAATCTGCTTCCGTACGCGGGGAGTCAAAGGTGGATTGGTAAGGGACTGCATGAGGAAGGGTGCTCAGGGCGGAGGGCGTCTGAACAAGGCGTGTTACGTGGTACTGGCATAGAAGGAAAGGTCAAGGCCGGGAGGATGCGTGTGACGATATTCCTGGCGGGGGGGCGTGCCGTTTCTCGGTAGATGAGAGACGGATGCGCTCGTTTGCAAAAGCGAATAGAGTACTGTGAATAACATAAAGAGGTGCTTGTGTTGTGTAGCCGGATGGATCATCATGTCAAGTCAAGTTGTTGAAGTGTCCCAGTATACGGACATCTAATACACCTTGATCCGGATTGGGATTCCCATTGTTACTTTAGATCCAGATCAATCAAGATTTAAGCATAAACACCCTGGCAATCAGTCTCGATGACTAGGAAGCAAGACAATTGCCGTGGTTCAAGACCGTCCAGAACATTCTGAACCTCCAAAGAGCCGCAAACGCCAGTATCGGGCTCCAGGGTAGGCAAACAAGGCAATTAGTGGCGAGCTGATGCCGGACCAGATCCTCCTGGTTGGTCGGCGGCGGCTTCCCCACCCAGCGCAAACCGGCAGCTACGTCATTGTGAGCGCAACCACGGCAGAGCTTCAGTGACGCCAAGTGGCTGCGATGCGCTCGATCTCAACCTCGATCTACAAAGCAGGGAACAACCTGCCTAGTTGCAACTCACGAAACAAGTAACTGCTGTCGATCGGGTACGGGGTGCAGGCAGCTACCCCGAGTGCAATTGGCAGGTTGCGCACGTGGAGGCGGTACTTGGCGGTACTTGGGCAAGCTGCAGAAGCTTGTGTGAATTGCGCCTTCGAGCTGGGCAAGATGGCCGGCTTCTGGTGTCATGGCAGTGACGTGATGGACGTGTTTGGTGCAGCAGGGCATTACCTCATCTTGTTTTGTCTTCTCTTTCTGACAGCTGGCAAACAAAAAGTCACCGTGGTTTCTCGTCTGCACGCCACTGCTATTTCAACTCTGATCCTTATCCTATTTCCTCCTTTCACGCCTGACCTTGCCTTTCCTGTAGCTGACCTCACCTTCACCCTTGAATATCAACACACCAGCAGAAAGAGAACACCGACTGTGCGTTCCAGCTGCGAGTTAAACCATAACGTCTAGTGGTAATACAGTCACGCTTCATCATGTGGCGCCTTCGCGATATCCTCGTCGTGGGACTCGCCGTGTCGGGGGCGGCAGCCAGCAACTGGTTCCCCGGTCACAAGACTGGTGAGTATCGACCTGCCGGCCTCATTCTGTCGCGACTGGTGAGGATGAGCGAGTCTGACCTCGAAGCTGACAACAGGTGACGCAGTCTACAACAAGTGGCACGAGACGGAGCTTGAGCGCTGGCTCTCGGACCAGAACATTCCCTATCCGACCCCGGCCGACCGCAAGGACCTGGAGGACCTCGTCTCCAAGCACTGGAACAACTATGTTGTCGAGCCCTACAACAGCTGGGACACTCAGCAGCTGAGCGCCTATCTGCAGTCAAAAGGCAACGATGTGGTAAAGGGCGCCCAGAAGAACAAGGACAGCCTGCTGTCCCAGGTCAAGGCCAACTGGTATGAGACTGAGGATGCCGCCAACTCGGCGTGGGCCAATGCCCGGGACTGGATTCTTGATACCTGGACCGATTCCCACCTCAAGGCTTTCTGCGACAAGCATGGCATTCCTGGTATGGTTGATTCCTGTCTACCCTGAGAATAGCAGCCTAGATTGCTAACAATTGTAACTCTGCAGTTCCCCAGCCGCGTACCCGTGACACTCTTCTCCAGAAGGCTCGCGAGGCTTACCAAACTGCCGCTGAAAAGGCCGGAGAAACCGCTGCCTATCCTGGAGACTGGCTGTACTCGACCTGGTCCGAGTCTGATCTCAAGGAGTGGCTTGACACCCACGGCTTCCCTGCCCCTCAGCCCACCACCCGCGACAAGCTGATTGCCTCGGTCCGCCGCAACTCTCGCCTCGCCTACCTCAAGGCCAAGAGCGAGTCTGATACTGCTGCTGAGAAGATCCAGGCTGCCTATGCCTACCTGACTGACACCATCATTGACGCTTGGAGCGAGTCCCAGCTCAAGGAGTTTTGCGACAAGAACGGCATCCCGGTTCCCCAGGGCACCAAGGTCAACGAACTGAGGGCTCTTGTCCGAAAGCACCGCGCTGAGCTTCTGGGCGACACCGTCGGTGCCACTGCCAAGTCTGCCTTTGGCGCCGCCACTTCCAACGCTGCCAACCAGTATGCCAAGGCGACTGACAGTGCTTCCCTTGCCGCTCAGGATGCTTTCGACCAGGCCATCAACAAGTGGTCCGACAGCCGCCTCAAGGCCTATCTGGATGCCCGTGGTGTTCCCGTCCCCCATGCCAGCAAGACTGACGAGCTCCGAGCTCTTGTTCGGAAGCACGCTCACAAGGCCTCTTCCGGCTGGCAGGCGTGGACGTTTGACGACTTCAGCTACGACAACCTGAAGAACTACCTGCTGGAGAACGGCAATGCCGCCGCAAAGGCCGCTGCCAAGAAGAAGGATGCCACTCGCGAGGAGCTTGTCACTGCCGCCCAGTCTGCCTACTCGTCTGCCTCATCCGCCGGCGGCTCCCAGTACGCCTCTGCCACCAGCTACCTTGCTTCCGTGACGGCCGCCGCCAAGCACAACGCCTTTGACACCTGGTCCGAGAGCGAGCTCAAGGCCTACCTCGACAGCTACGGGGTCCCCGTTCCCCAGAACTCCAAGATTGACGAGCTCCGCGCCGAGGCTCGCAAGCAGTCCACCTACTTCCGATATGGTTCCTCATCGCCCGGAGGCACCGTCCTCGCTAAGCTCGGAGAGACGGCTCGCGAGGGCTGGAGATGGGTCGCCGAGCAGCTGCACCTTGGCAGCGAGGTCGCTCGCAAGGAGGCTGCCGAGGCCTCGGCTGAAGCCAAGAAGCAGAGTGAGAAGCTGCGAAACGAGCTGTAAACTAGCCAGCAACGCATATCCTAATCTTTGCTGGCATAATCTCCAAGTAATGCAAAGGCGAGGTGAGGAGGAGGGCGACCGAGAGGGGAAGAGACGGCCGCCAAGTGTACGATGAGAGAGGTATTATGCGATGTTTCTTTTCCTATTTTATGAGCTACGGGCGATGGAATGGATTGGCAACAAAAGGCGGTAGGGGATGGCCACGATTGATGAATGATTAGTTAGTTATTAACGGCAATACCAACGTTTGCATTTCATGATATCCACACAACGTGACTATGTGATTCAGTTAACCTGGCCCCGAAGTAGAGCTTACTACAGTAGAGTAACGACGCTTGCAGGAGTTCTTCTCTACCAGTATTTGATTGCTCATATTGTATTTGATTCGAACTAGAAGGGGATGCGTTCACGAAGGGGTACCGTTGGATGAATGTCTTTACACTTCTATGCTTTATTACTACAATATCGACCCAAACTATAAGAGATGCATCAAACAGAACCCAAACACTCCCCCTAACTTTTCCTTTGGCCTTTTCCACTATTACGCCCACAGCCTGCACGTCATGTCGGCACCGGCACTGACGATCCAGGGGTGCTTGGGATGCCAGTCGATGTCCATGACGCCGAGCTTCTTGTCGACCTTGTGGCCCTTGAGCTGCTTGACGGGCACGATGGTGGCGTTCTCCATGAGGTCGCCGACGACCTTTCCGTGGAAGATTTGCAGGGTGCCGTCGTCGCTGGCGTCGGCGAAGAGGGGCAGGGCGCGGTGGAAGCGCACGGCGCGGATGGCCTCTGGGTGGAAGCGCATGGTCTTGTAGGGCCTGTTGGAGAGGTCGAGGTCGTGCCAGAGGAGGCGGCGGTCGTAGGAGCCGACGATGAGGTTGTCGCCGCCGGGGTGGATGTCCATGGAGGAGATCCATCGGGCGCCCGGCTGGACGACCTTTACGAGCTCCTGGCGCTGGAGGTCGTAGCAGCGGATCATGCGCTGGGTGGCGACGAAGAAGTAAGGGCGCGAAGGGTGGAACTGGGCCGTCTGGGCGAGGCCGGGGAGCTTCCGGAAGGGGACCTGGCTGAGGTGCTTGGAGAGGGTGTGGATGACGACGGAGGAGCGCTGGCCGGAGGGGGAGACGGTGCTGAAGAAGTCGCCGCGGCGGTGCCAGGTGAGGGCCTTGATGGCGGAGCGGACGGTGAGCTTGAGGAGGACGCCGGAGGAGACGAGGGAGGAGGAGGCTGGGCGGGACCACTTTGCGGGGGGTTCCTTTTTGGCGCCGCCGTCTGCTGTTGTTGTGGATGAGGATGAGGAGTTGTTGTTGTTGGCGGCGTAGCCGAAGCCGGCGTCGAGGACGTCGCGGCTGGCCTGCTCCATGGCGTCGCTGACGAGGGGCGGCGCGATGAGGAAGAGGTCCTCGCCGGCGGCGGCGGCCAGGATGAAGGTGTCCTTTGCGGGCCGCCAGCGGACGACGTTGACGGGCTCGGGCTCGTCCCAGGAGCTCAGCTGGGCGGACCACTCCTGGTGGCCGTTGAGGGCCCAGACGCGGACGGTGCCGTCGTCGCTGCCCGAGGCGATCCACTCGCCGTCCGGGCTGAAGGCGACGCTGCGCACGCGGCTGGCGTGCCCGCGGAAGATTGTCTGGCAGACGGTCGGGAAGGGCCGCAGCTCCTCGGGGCGCGGCAGCTTGGGCAGCAGCGAGCTGGGGTCGATGTTGAGCCTGTTCTTGCGCACGCGCGGCGCGAGGTACAGGTCCAGGCAGCGCTCGAAGCGCTCCTTGACGAAGTCGCCGTACGCGGGCACCTTGCGCAGGGCGTCGAACTTGGCGGGCAGGTACTCCTTCTCGCGCTCCTCCGGGTCGAGCTTCTCCCACGCCTCGCGCTCCTCGGCCGTGGGCAGGTACTCGGGCGGCGGGTTGTAGCTCAGGTCGTAGCCCGGCGGCGCCAGCTTGGGCGCGGGGATGTGCATGACGTGCCGCTCCTGGGGCTCCTCGTTGGCCCAGATGTCGTAGTACTTGTCCTCCTGCTCTGCCTCCTCGGGCTCGGGCGGCCGGTACGGCAGGATCCGGCCCTCCTTGATGGCGCGCACGAGCTTGGCTACCCGCTTGGCCTCGTGCTTGGACGGGACGAAGCGCCGCTTGGGCTCGGGGGCGGCGCTGAGGGGCATCTTTTCCTCGATGCTGGTGAAGTAGGGGATCATGTCCTGTTTGTGTGTGTGTGATGATTTCTTCATGTTAGCGGGCTGTGTATCTCGACAAGGAAAAAACAAAAACGTGGAGCAGAAAGGTCAAGATAGGGGATGAGATGGGATGGCAGCAGCCGGGGCATACCGGATAGGGATCGTAGTCGTCGCTGGGGACCTCGTCCATCTGCAGCTTCTTGAGCAGCTCCAGCTCCTCCCGGCTGAGGTTGAGCGGCTTGCCCGTCTCGGGGTCCGTCAGGCCGGTCCAGCCCTCGGGCAGCTCGATGCTGTCGAGCAGGGCGTCGAGGGCCTCGCCCGTGGCCGGCCGCATGATCTTCTTGCCGTTGATGTCGTAGCCAATGTGCGGGTACGAGTCGTAGAAGGAGAGCGGGATGTTGCCAATGGTGTTGACGGGGCCCTGGGCGTCCGTGTCGTCGCTGTCGTAGACGGGGTCAATCTCCTCGTACTCGTAGCGCACGCCTCCGTTGGCGTCCTTGACGACTCTGTAGTTGGGCTTGTCGTCGTCGTCGTCTTCAGCCTGTGCGTCGTTGTTGTTGGCGCCGTTTGTCTTGGTCTCGCCATTGGGCTTCTCGGCCGGCTCGCCGTCGCTCCTCAGATCGGCCTCCTCATCGTCGTCTTCATCCTCATCGTCCTCGTCTTCGTCGAGTCCGGGCTCCTCGCCTTCTGAGCCTGTGTCCTCCACGTCGCTCTCATCGTCTTCGCTCTGGGACAGGATGCCCTCGAGTTCCGCGCCGCTGAGGTCGTCGTCGGACTCGACGACTTCGGAAACTTCTTTCCGCTTCCGCGAACGGAGTGACGGAGCCATTGAAGCGGTTAGAATGCCTGATATTTGTGGTTTGCGGTGGGAGCGGATCAGATGGCGCTGGAAGCGATCTTACGGACAGACTCGCAGCAACACAAGTTCCAGATAGTGTAAGTTTTTTTTTTTTCCTTGATCGCGATAAGCAGCTCCATCAAAGCGCGGAATAGTGGTGGTTGGTGCGCCCCACCTCGCGGAACAGCCCCGCTACAGATGCCATCTTTTGTAGGTACTCCGTACAATCGCTTGGGTCGTGTGAGGGAATACAAGAGACAAAAGCGTTGCATTACGGTGATGATAGAAAATTGCAAAGAAAGAGGCAAGGAGAATGATTGCCAATGACTGATGCTCTGCCAATATGTTGACTAATCGATTCTACAGATATCTCCTGTTTGCTGCATAGGTAGCTGCGTCGATACTTACTATTCCAACTCCGCACTCACTTTCATGGGACTTGAGCCGCGAAAAAAAAAAAAAAAAAACCCCCCATGATTGAGGAGACTTGGGTTCGGAAAAGTCACTATAGAAAGAAGACGGGATGGAGTCCGAGTTGACCAGTCTTGTGATTTCCAATTGATGTCCGTAATCGGTCTATGCTGGCCAAGAGCCTTGCTCGGCTTGGGCTCTAATCGTTTCCGAGAGCTGAGAGCTGAACTTTAGCGGACCAGCCGCGATGTGGAATCTGTGCCAATTTTGGGTCCCTTTATGGAGATTGTCTTTTACAGTGCTGAATTTGTCATGAAGAATACTTCCTCGATTGGTAGACAGACCTGTGGAGTTTGTAGTGCATGTACGAGTACAGCTTCGGTCTGAGTCACTCCGATGAGCAGAAAATGGTTAATTGTATGCTTAATGCCGCTAGCCTATCAAGCTACCCATGCACGAGGGGAGAGAGAGAGGCTGGACAACTGCTGCAAGTAATGATTCCCATGCATGGACACGTAGCCTGTTTGTACCTAAACCAGAGAAGAAAGCACCATGGTACCTACATACATCTGATCTGGACGTGGATGTGGAATCATTCCGTATTGTTCATCATGGAGATACGACAAGTCACCAGGCTCACCAAGGAGGACATTTCCGGCCGCGACTTTTCCTTTGAGATATCGTCACAAGTGGCCAAGCCGTACGAGGCCCTCGCCCTTGGCGCGGAATTTGCGACTACGCCTGTCGAACTAGTCAAGAAGGACTTTGGCTTCGATGAAGCCGAGTTTGAAAATATCAAAGAACCGGACGGTGTTGTCTTTGCTGTGGTGGAAGACGAGCAGGTATATGGATATGCCCATGCAGCAAAGGCTTGGAACAACATGGTAGAGCTTCGTTGGATCGCGCTGGATGTGAGCATTCGGGGACGCGGCTACGGGAGGATGCTGTTGGATCAAGTGGTGGCATGGGCGCGGAAGCTGGGAGTTGCTGGCATTCGGCTGGAGTCTCAGTCCAACAATGTTGCGGCGTGCATGTTGTACAAGCGATATGGCTTCAGGTTTGGTGGCTACGATGAGTATCTGTACAGAGGGATTCCTGAAAACAGCCACGAGACGGCTTTCTTTTGGTACTATATGCTAGACTAGGTAGGGACACAGCTTTGCACTTGTATCAAGGCAAACATGACGAAGTGATCACTGAGGATGAAGGGCAAAAGAACTCTTTTCAAACTCCAAAAGGGTATCTATCCTAGCTATCTCGATGAAGATTTGAGCTACAATGATGTAGCTAGTCTTCCCATTATATAGCAGGACTTGCGCCGACCAAACTGAGCAGCCTCTAACCGAGCACGCATCCATCGTAAATCATAATTAGACATTGAATCAAGCGAACAGAAGCCAAAGGAGGAACGAAATCAAATAAAACACCGAGGTTGAATCTGCGGTATGGCGTGCTCGACTCAGAGCACGCTATAGAGACGCGCCTGTAGAGATGATCAGCATGTTGCAAGACGCATAAATGCAATAGTTGCCAGCTTGACATACTTACTCGAGCTTCCCAGTTTCGTTCCTTTTTGCAGAGTTCTTGTGCCTCTTTCCATGACATCTTCGCGTGCTTGGATGGCGCTGCGGGTGACGGTGTAAGTTGACTGGCCTGGAGGTATAAGGTATGCGGCAGCAATGAAATCGGTTACTAACCAGCTGAAGTTTTCTTGTTGACTGGTGTATTTGAAGAGTCGACCAGGGTCAATTCAGACGACATTGCTTCGGGCTTGGTGGCCACAGCTGAGCTCTTTTTCGATGAGAGTCGGAGAGGCATGATGATATGTGTGTGTGGTTGTTTATGGGTGAAAGGTATCTTGATGTTGTTGAGAAACCGACTATTCTCGTCGAGCGGCCGGTGATGAGGGAGTCGTTGGACTTGATCGATGGAAAATCCTGGACCAGTATGTAGTGTCGAGGTGGTATTAGAGCTCAATGTCGGCAAGGAAGCAGGGGGCAATCCTGTAAGGCTGGTGTCTCAGAGGAGATTTCAACTGAATGTAAGCTTATTCTGTTTGCTGTTTCAACCAAGAGCAGCCGGATCAAGTGGAGGGCAGAGGCTCTATATATATATCCATCTGCTACTAGCATACACGACGACATCAGACACGCCCAATTCCAGTCATCCCGTACAGAACTCTATCCAGCCTGCTGATCGGGATGCTCACCCCCCCTGTGTGGGTTCCTGAGTGCCACACAAGCTCGGAATCACCACAAAGTCGGCTGCTGCCTGAGTCATCGACCCGACCGGCCAGCAAAAGCGTATTTGAGATCCTACCTGGATAATCAAATCAGATGGCGTGGCCCCGTGTAAGTCAAAAGTCATCACTAAGTGATGAGTCGTCAGGCTACTAGTATTTGGGCGATAGTCGTCATACCGATTGGCTCGGCATCGCTTGTCTCGGTCCACTATCGCGCCCTTGTCTTGTCGTTACTACAGTACATAGATATGCTTGGGGCGTTTAATGCTGGACTCCCTAGTCTAGTGTTTCCGAGCTGGACTCAAGCCGAGCCCGAGCCCGAAGCCGTGTGAACTACAGTATATCGATTCCCGGCTTCGCTTTGCAGTTGCTGGACGGCAAAAGCGATTGAATCCTTCAGCTTGCGCGTCTGTTGCGATTGCTCGGCATCATTGACCATGTTCTTCTCTCTCAAGACGCAGTCCTTGAGAGCAGACTGAACTGACATATGATCGCATACGTCGTATCTCCGAGCTTAAACCCACGATGGCTGCATCGTCAGCATCGCCAGTGTTGCTCCGGAGACCGAACGGCCGCCCAGTGGCCTGCGACAACTGCAGGGCTCGCAAGGTTGCCTGCGACCACCGACAGCCCGTGTGCAGGCGCTGCGAGGACAGAGGCCAGGAGGCCGAGTGCGTTTACACGTCGTCTCTGCCTCGCAAGGGGCCATTCACCAATAACAAGCGGGCAACCCCCCGTGAGGCCGGGCCCTCGGCTGGGTTGGCGTCGTCGTCGACGAGCCTGCGTGAGGATGGTGCCAGGGCTGCGACAGCTCCGAGGGCGGCCGGGACGGGGCCGATGGCTGCCGAGGAGCACAGGTCGTCACTGCGCCGTGCAGAGGCTCGGCGGCAGGCCAGCGTTGAGATTCACGACCGCAGAGCCAGGAAAGGATACTCTTTTGAGTCATCATCGTCGTCGTCACCGTTGAACCCTCCCCCACGGCGTCGCGAGGCTGGCGCTTCGACTACGACGACCCCGGGGGCCCATCTTGCCTCGGAGAGGGCGTCGAGTCCCCTGCACCAGGCGCCGGGATACCTAGGCTTCACGAGCTACTCGTCCGTCTTTGAGGAGACGAAAAACAGCCTGTCGATGCTTCAGGGGTTCCACGCCTGGTTGCCGCAGCCGATCAACGATGGGCTACGCCAGGGGGTTGCCGACGAGCTCTCGAGATGTCTCTGCTCGCCGACAAAGGAGATGTGCCTCGTGGTGCTTCGGGCCATTCCCGCGCCCAACACGTGCTACATTGAGCTTGTCCAGGAGTCTCCCTTCTATCGGGATGGCTGGCAGAGGGTCATGGCTCAGCGTGTGCTGGCCGACTTACATGAAAGGTTTGGGTCATATCTGGGGCCGTGCCGGTTGGACTCGCAGCTCGAAGAGATTGCGCTCTTTTTGAGCGACAACACGACTAGGCCTTTTCATGAGCTAGAGCCTAATCCTGAGAAGTGGATTGGCCAGTTTACGGGATCGAATCTGCGATGGGAGTCTCTCGGATTCGTCTTCAGCTTCAACGACCTGGTCTTTCCAGATCACGGCGGGCTGGACAGCAAGTCTGCCCTGAAGGAATGGGTCGAGATTTCGCGCGTCTGTCTTGGCCTCTGCATGGATCTGAGCAGAAGATTTGCTTCAGCAAATGGCCTTTTGGCTCAGCTCTCTCACCGGCGAGCGACGCTCGAGTCGATGCACGCTGGAGATGCCAGTAAGTGGAAACGCCCTCCCCCCCCCCCCCCCTCCTCCTCCTCCTCCTCCTCCTCCTCCATGACTCGCACCCGCAATCTGGGGCTGGCTCCCTCATGACTCCCAGCTCCGATCTGCGGTGCCGTTGTTATTATTAGAAAACAGATTCTTGCTGACCAAAAGGCGCAGGCTATTCCACATGGAGGTGCACAGCAGAGGCCGTCGCCCTGGTGACGTTCCTCGGGATGCATGCCGAATCGAACTCGCCCTCGTACGAACCAACGCTGGCGTCCGAGTCGAGACGGCGCCTCTTCGCACAGCTGTTCGTAGGAGAAAAAGACGGCGTCTTGTTCACGGGGCGGCCGCCTCGACTGTCGCACCGATATGCCTTTACGCCGCTTCCCCTGGACCTGAGAGACGAGGATCTGCTGGCGGGCGGAGAGGCTCTTGAGAGGGCTGTGGCAGGGCTGGATGAGAACGGATGGAACACGGGCGGGAAGATTTACTCTGCGACGGTCACGCGGGCGAGATGCATCGTTGCCATGATACGGGATGAGCTGGTTGAGATTGGCATTGGCAAGCCGAGGCAAAAGGTTGCCAGCGCTCTGCTCCGGTGAGCTCCAATTTGAATGGTTCCAATGTTATAGAAAGCTCACACTGATATCTCCTATATTGATACAGAGACCTCAAGGAGCGGCAGCTTGAGGCCGTCAAGGAGTTCCCCCCTTCTCTCGCCTACAACTCCTCTGAGATCCTCGACCCTGATTCCAACGTCAATCTGATCTTTGCGCGGCTCCTCCTGCAGCTCGAGCAGCTCCAGAACCTGTTCTTCGTCGAGAGGCTGCTTCTGAAGCACGGGGAGCTGGACGAGGGCGCTATGCTGTTGATTTCCTTTCAGCTCGTCTCGCTGACGCTGCTGTTTTGGACGCACAAGGATCGGTTTGCGCCTTTTCGGAACGACTTTGAGTGGCTGGTGAGATATACACACATAGAAGCCCCCCCCCCCTCTCTATACATCTTCTTTCCTTTCGACGAGCAAGTAAAAAAAGGACAATGCTTACAACGCTGTCGTTTCTTCCTTCTAGGTCATGGCCTTTGCAACCCCCAGCGGCGGCATCCTCTGCATGGAACTCCTCAACCCGACCCTCAAAGGAAGCCACCCCAAGGACCCGTCCATCACCCGCTCCAACATCATCCAGCAGCTGAGCCTGCTCATCGCCTTCCTCGAGTGGATCGATCCGTCGCGGCCAAACGGCGACATGTGCGTGACGGCGAGCGCGGTCATGAGGCGCGTGCTCGACCATGTGCTCAACACGGCCAACCAGGGGCTGAGTTGGCGGGCCGAGGAGCGGGATGATGTGCAGCTTGATTTCAGCTTGGAGCTGTTTGATACGTTTGATTGGATGAGGTATGATGCGGTTGCGACTCAGGGGCTGGATGGGTGAGGAGAGGGGTTGGGCTTTTAGGGGGTTGGGCGTTGGAAGGGGTGTTCACTATCTACCTAGGTACATTGAGGTGAGTATCTGCTTGCTCGGCTTTCACTTTGGGTATATCTGTTGCACATACGCACCTGCCTTTTCTTGCTCCATCATGATTCTATTGATCCGGATTTAGACAAATACCATGAACGCGTAAGAAGAAGCCAATAGACGCAACATATCCAACCCCCTTTCTCCCAACTCCAGGTGAAAGCAACAAAACACTCGGCAAAAAGAGAACTTATATAAATCCAAACCAGAACCCAAAACATGCATCAGACGCACAATCAACAAACCAATCCTCCTATCAAGACGCAAACAATTCACCCCTTGACAAACCACTGCTTCACAAACTCAAACGTCAACCCCCTCTCGCATAGCCTCCTCCCCCAATCCCTCGACTTGCCCTTCGCCGCCACCGCACGATCCTTCCCGTGCGTCCTCGCCAGCTGAATCGTCTCCCCCTTTGGCAGCGCGCTATGCGGCCATCTCACGTCTACCCTGCTGTAGCTCATGTGGCTCCCCCCTCGCCCGACCTCCTCGTATCCCAGAGCGCTCATCATGGCTCGCAGCTGGGCGTAGGAAACCGCCGCGTTGGCGCTGCCGTGGATTCCGTAGATGGCTTCCATGGTGGCCCATTCGCGCTTCTTCATGACGCGCTTCGGGCGCCCGTCGGGGGCTTTGGGGAGGGGCTTGGAGGAGGAGGTGCTGGATGATGGGGTCGGTGCGGGTTGTGCTCCCGAAAGGGAGAGGATGCGGGTTTCCGGGAGCGAGGGGAGCTGGAACTGATGGAGCATGGCATGGAGCGATTCTTCCCATCGCGGATCGTTGGGTGCTGCTGTGCTCGGTGGCTGCTGTTGCTCGCCTGTCATCTCCTCGTCTTCATCTCCCTCCTCGTCTTCCGACACAGGGTCGCCGGATGCCAGCTTTCGCCTCCTCGCCTTGTCCTTTCTGCGGGCCTTCTTCTTCTCCCTCTTCTTTGCTTTTGCTGCCTCCTCCTTGGACGGCTCTATGAGCTGCTCAATGAAGGCGTCCTTCTTCGCCCGGCGCTCTTTAGCCAGCTGCCGCTCCCGAGCCGCAATATTGCGATAGCTCTTCGGTTGGTCCACAAGAGGCACCGTCACTCCAGAGCCTGCTTCCTCCTCGTCCAAGTTGAACGGCTTCTCTCGGTCATGGTAGATGTACTCATCTCCGGTCACATTCATGGCCCTTTCCAGCCGGGCAATGGCCTCCTGGTTGGCCTTGTTGTCCTTTGCCGCCTCGTTGACGGGGTATATCAGCTTGCGCAGCAGCGAGGCCCCGAATCTTCTGAGATCGCCCTTGGCGTGTCCCACCGAGACCGATTCCTGCTTGAAGCCCTGCAGCTCGTCAAAGAAGAGAAAGAGCCGCTTGAGGCGCTTCATCGGCACCTTGCCGTCAAAGTCAAAGGCGTCAAAGTTGAGAAAGTTGATGGACACGCCCTTGCTGCCCGCGTCGAACCATTTTCGGCGGTCGGCCTCGGTTGCGTCCGCACCGCCGACCACATCCATGGCTGGCCAAAGATACTCTAAATGGTCGGCGAGCGTGGAGAGGAGGTCGAGGCCATCGATGGTATCGTCCAGGAGCTCTGTGAAGATGTCCTTCAGGTCTTCGTTTTGGATCTGCGATACTTCTTGGAGAAGGGCCGCTGCGTCCTTGATGCCGGTATTTGTGCCATCGAGCGCATTGACGATGAAGTTGTCAATGGCCGCAAACATGGTGCCTCGCATGGAATTGCCTCCCACTTTGCTGAGATCACGCCACAGCTCTCGGAGCTTCGACCGATGCTTCAGGTCGGGAGCTCCGTAATGCTCCTTGACAATGTTGCAGATGCGGTCCGGGGTGGGTTTCTGGGCTTGACCAATGCTGTAGACAAAGTCCCTCATGTGAGGGGAGCCGGCGTGGATTCCCTTCTTGCGGAACTCGTTGACGAAGAAGACGGCGTGATAGCGGACCATGACAATCAAGGCCAGGTACTTGTCTGATATGGAGCCGTGCTGGAGCTGCTTCTGCGGGGAGAGGAAGACTGGTGGCTGCTGGAGCAAGTTGGTACCGTCCGAGTCGGAGTCGTCCCCCTTGCCGTAGTCTTCAAACTCGTCCTTCATCGCGTTGTCAAACTCCAGGAGGCGGCTGTGGATCGAATGCCACATGTAGAACTCGAAAATGGACCGCCTCACCACCCCTCGGATCAAGTCAAAGTAGAGCACATGGCGAGTCTTTTCGTCTGCATATTGCTCCAGGTACGATGCCTTCTCATCACTCTCATCTGGGTTTGTCGCGTCATTCTTCATCCCGATGTGTCCCCAATGATGGTCCCACAGCTCGTGGATGCGGTCGAAGAAGTATCCAGGGTCGCTGAACAGGTCCTGGAGATGCGTCTCGGCAATCTCAACTTTGTTCTGCAGCTCGCTGAGGAATCGGTGGTCGATTGCTGTCGGCGGGGAGATATACAGCTGCTGTCTGGTGTAGTCCATCCAGCGGTTCAGGTATCTGCTCTGCTGGGAGGCTACGAGCTCCCTGGCCGCGGTGAAAACTTGCTGCTGCTCCTGAGGGGGTCTTGGGGTAAGGCTCGTGCGAGGGTTCAGTTTCAGTTCGGTGGCTGCTATGGCAGTGAGGAGGTTCCACAGATAGAGGTACGTGGCTCGCTGGCCCTGAAGCATGACCCAGGCCTCCGCCGTCCCAAAGAGCTGTCCTCTATGCCAAAGATCGGCGTATTCTTCTGCAACAGCTCGATCGCACCCACGGTCCGACTTGCCGCCCCATCCTCTCCACAGCCTTGGTTGGAAATCTCCTGAGGAATCCGAGCCGGAGTGTTCAAAGCTCACCATGCGGTTCCCAATGAAAGGGCCTGTCAGAAACGACGTTCTCCTGCCAATGTACGTCATGTCGTTGTCTGCTTTGGCAAACACGGAAGGGTGCTGCCGGCCGCGGGCATGAATGAAGGACAGCAACCGGATAGGGTTCTCCAGCTCACTGAGGGTCAAGTTGGGGACCAAGAACGAGAGACGGAAGCGCCTGAACCATGCGCGCGAGTCAGGATGGTTGTACATGTCTCCATTCTTTATGAACATTTGATGCTCTGTGGGATGAGGCCAGTCTTTTGATGCTCGATGGTCAAAAAAGTTGAACGGAAGGCGATATACGGCAGCGTAATGTTCTCGAGTTGGTATCTGCATCTGACTATCGGCTTCGCCAGACTTTTTGAAGAACAGGTTGATGTACGAAAAGGGAAACTTTGGCGGTAACCTGCCGTCAGGGGCATCGACTTGGAAGTCAGACTCGACGTTCCTGTTTTCCATGAACTTGCGGATGTCTGGGTGGCAGTTGTTAAACTCCTGGACCGTTGGTAGCCAGCTGGCCTTTAGGAGGTTGACCAGGGGGTTCTTTGCTCTGTCAGTGCCTGAGCGCGGATAGGCCCCTACCACCCAAGTCTGGATTTCATCTTCGTGATTCCTGACCAGCGTTTGGATTCTTTTCCAAGTCTGGTATACCTCAGTGGACATTGCCTTCATGGCCTTCTCGTAGTCGTTCAGTGACGGGGCTGGGCCGCCTGGCGGAAGCCTCGAGTGACGGCCTATACCCCATATCCACGCGAGTTCTTGTATGTATTGCAGCCCTCCATCCGGATGCTCGTCTACTTCACGAGCCACCATCCTCTGAGCCATCCCCAGAGTTTGTTCGAACGGACCAGGAGCCGGGAAGAAGACGGGATCGGCCAGCCGACGATTCTTCCCAAGGTAGATTGCATGGGCCTCGCTGGCATAGTGCGCGAAATGCCCTCCGGCAGGAATATCTGGCATGGTGGGCTAGATTCAGTAGGAAGATCGGTAGTTCTGGCAACGAGAATGTCGTTCAAGCGTCACCATGGGAATCATGAAGGACATGATGGGATCTCTGACGATAAGAAGCAGATATAGCGGGTATTTGAGAGGCGAAAAGCTCCGTGACAGCCACGGAGAATGCAACGGTTTGGCCGTCATGCCATCTCAGTATTGTTCATACAATGCCTTGTACTCGGGATAGGATGGTGAGCCAGTGAGTGCCTCGGCGTGGACATGGCTTTTGCCGCACAAAGAAGACGGGGCGATGCAAGTAGAGCTAGATGTTGAACAGCTTGATACCTTCATCTTCGTCTCATATTCTTCTTTCATATTCTCTATTTTTCTTTTCTTTTTACTTCTTTTTATTTTTCTTCTTTTCCTTCTTCTTTGATTCGGCGAAGCAGCTTCTTCAACTTGTAAGAAGAGCAAGGGGCATTGCCCGAGCTGACGTTGGCAGACAAACATCGCCATGAGGCTCAACATCGAGGTCAATGACTAGCAGAGAATGTTAGCAAGATGCTCTCGAGTAAAGTAAAACAATTCTTTTTCCTTCTTTTGTTTATTTTCTTTCCCATCTCTTTCTAAACTCGCTGTCCATCATGTCGGAGTAGAACGCATTGCCAAGTATAGCTACAGGTGATTGATTAGTCATCACATCAAAGAGAGTGTCAACACTTGGGTCTTCTTTGAGCATGAGTGAACGACTTCAAACCTTGTTCATCTCACAAAACACTCCGCCTTGTTCCCTCAGTGGCTGGTCAGCGCGTTGATTCTTTAAGCCAAACATCCTCAGAAATCAGTCTTTGTTCAGTGTCTTTAGCATTTTTTCCCACTGAAACGCGCTCTGAAACATGGCGCGCCAAAAGGCTCAGACTTCGGCTCAACGACAACACAAGGCATCTCAGCGAGAGCCAGCAAACCAGCGGCATCAAAGCGCCGAACCCGAAGAGATGGCCGTCCCGCAGTTCTTCAACACCACCTTTTCGACTCACCGCGTGTCTCCGCTCTACATCGGCACACAGAAGCTGGACCAGGCTCGCCTTGACCGACTTGCTCACCGGCTGCGCGACACGCTGGTTGGCGATGTCGTCCGCGGCGTTCAGATCGGGCTCGAGGCCACAGACACGCCAATGGGACAGGTCGGGCCGCTCAGGGCAGTGACTTTTCGCTGGTTTCGGGCAACAGATGTCCTCGGTGATAGGACTTCAGAGCGCGGCGACGGGCTGTCGGATGAGCAGAACAAGGGGCTGTGGATCGAGATGCGGCATGAGAACGCAGCCTACGTCGCGCTTTTGTTGCCCGGACTGTCACAGTCACAAGAAGGATCCAACAAGGGAACCGCGTCTTCGTGGAGCATGAGCCTTGATCAGCCTGACATTGGCGAGGCAGACAGCAGCCAGTTTCTTCACTTGCCTCTGCTGCTCCTTCGAATGCCCCAGCCTCTCAAGGCAGTCATTGGCGAATGGCTGTCGACGACATTCGACTGTCGCGTCACCAAGCTCAGCCTTGGTACTCGAACACTGGTCAATGTTCTCGAGAGCTGGATTCAAGAAACTGGGCTTTCCCGAACGGACTCGGATCTCGTTTTGACTCTGGCATTCAACGCTCCAGTGACAGACAAAGGCCGAGAAGCTGTACTCCCTTCAAGCGGAGATGCTTGTGGCGATGACGGAGACGAGATCGAGGTGACCGAGCCCGGATTGAGGAGCATGGAAATCAGCATTTCGGCATCGGATCTGAGGCGCTTCCTACGAGCCGGAAAGACTTTGCACAAGTCCAAGCGGGCAGCTTCGAATACGGCTTCGAGTGTGTCTTCGAACAAAGCATCATGGGAGCATGATGACAGAGAACGACGCAGGCTAGCTGGCCCACACATTGACGATGGGTGGGGATGGCTGAAGAACAACGACGGACCCGCGTATCCCCTGATGGAAGCTGTGGCACATCATCTAGACCACCACATGGCCTTGAATCTGTTCCATCCGGGCGTGCGAGTCACCCAGGTCTCATGCGGCGGCTTCGTCCTCTCGCAGTCTCGGATCAAGATTGTCAAACCGGGGGACGTAACCGAGGATCTATCCAAGGCGGCCTGGATGTTCGTTACGCTCCTGGGAGAGAGACTCCAGAGTGATGGATTGTCATTGGTGACGTGATTCGCAGGTTGATCACTACAGTCTGAAGCCAATCTTTGTCAGTAACACCCTGACTATCCGTCGGCACGTATCAAGCTTTGAGATTCAAACTATCATTGCCACAGAACACGCCAAAGTATCCGTCGGGTCAACCACAAAGCTACCTACTTAACCACACTACCCAAGCCAGACGTTGCTGCCTATTCAAGGACGCCTAGTACTTTCGAAGACCTGGGCTCAAGGGACATCGAACTCTTCGAATAGGGTTCGAAGCGGCGAGTAAGGCGAGCCGCTCAAGTAGATGCCGGTGATGCTACATCTCGGTGGGTCGTGCCTTGGTACAACCACCTCAACGAGAGCTCAGCGTCGAAGGTGTTGCGTCTGATTCGGCCAAATATCATGGTGGTTTTATGAGTTCATCACGATGTTGCTGGGGGGGTTGGCAGGGTGGATGCCGGCTTGGAAATCAAGGGAGGGGGATTGGTCTATGTAGTGTTGGATCACGGCTTTTGGGTGCACGACGTTGAAGATTGCACGGCGAATTCCGGGCCTCCAACTCGTGAGCCAAATCTCGTTCTAGTACTACCAGAAGCAGTACGAAGAGGTGACTCGATGCTGCTGCGAGTATGACTGAATTCGAGCTGCATCCCGAGCTGCATTGCGGACTATTCTCTCGACAATTGGCCGAAAGGTACCCGTGATTGTGTGCTCGAGTTCGGCCGAATCCCGTAGCTCAGCCTCGCCGTTGTCCAAAGTGCTCCAGGATGGCCCGCCTTCAGCTGATGGTGTGTTACATCGATGCTCCTCGGCTGCATGCCGCTTATGACTGAAACCGGGCCAGATTGATTACCCTGTTGCACCGAATTCGAGAGGGTAGATTGAGAGGAGACGATGAGGTTGTCACTGCTGCTGGATGTGAGGTCTCAACTCCCTTTGTCCCTTTCCAAGCTGGTCAGAAGATGCGTGTCGAGTAAGCGCATATAGTTTCGTAGTTCGATGAAGAAGGAATAGGTAGGATTGAATCAACGGCTAAACGCTTGTGCACTCGTGGTCGCGTTGGTGATGAAAGCATGGGGGGAGAAACACCATGGAATCTACGCAACAAATTCTCACGATATCCATCATCTGTAGTTGCGGAAAGAGCCAGCGTCTCGTCTCGCCTTCCTGCATGCAATGCCAAGATGTTCCAGGCCAGCGGCCAAGACGCCAAGGCGGGAGGCCAAGCCTCTACTGGTGAATCCCGCGGATCCCGTTGGTCCTCGTCCTTGCCCGCCAAGACCCCAGATTCACTGCTGAGGAACGACCCAGCGATCGCACCTGCCAGATCCAGGGTCTCGGACCTTTGGTAGCTTCACCATCTTTGGATGTACTAGGTAGTATGTAAGGTACCTAGGTAAGGCAGATACTCCAAGGATTTCTCGTTCCTCTCGCACGTCAGCTACTGAAGATGGCTTCATTCATTCAGCACGAGCATGTCCGTCAAGTCCCTGCTCGCTCCGAATGCCACCGCGTCGCCACTCGGAGCTGCCGCACGACCCGTCTTTATCTGTAGAACGTCCTTATCGACTTTACCGCAACGCATCGACGGGCCAGAGGGTGAAATGGCGGCATGAAGGCAGACAGAGCTGGACGGAAATACGGCATCACAGCTTCCTCTGATAGGCCCAGCCCGGTCAGATCACCCCCAGTCCGGTCGCAGAGCCGCGCGAGAAGCCGCACAGTCCCAACGTCCGGCAAGAGGAGCAAAGATGCAGAGAATCAACGAGAATCTTGGTGCTGAAGAATTTCACGATACGAAATACGGAGACCGATGGGCCAAGCCTAATTTCTATTGCTTCGTATTGCCTGTTGCCTGCACTATTTCCATCTCGTCCTACGTGCGCCGGTATCTAATCAACGTCTTTCTGTCAAGTGCTCTTCTCTTCTCTTGTCACCGCAAGACGCGATCCGACTGAAGCGACAGTTTCCGTACACAGACATATCGCATCCTTGCACGGAGCCAATCGAGATACGCTTGAACCGTGTGTCGGACAAGATGGAGCACAGGGAGTGATGCCCAAGAAAGGAGAGCCACCCAGACGGCCGACCAGGGTCGCTCGCGTGGGCACACTCTGATGGTGCAGAGCGGCTGCAGCTTGCGGGCTACTAGCACAGAGCTGCTGGCATGGGTGGCGGCCGACGCCAGGCCCTCTCCGCACATCGCTGCCTCGTCTCATCTCACCTCAGGCCGGATGCTGGAACCGAAGACGCCCATCGAGCTCGAGCTCCTGCTCCTTTGCCGACTGATTCAGGACCAACGACTAACGTGACACTAGACGACCGAGCCAATGGCTGGTCTCGTTGATGACAGTGGCAGCCAGTCTCGTGCCTCGAAAAGATTCCTCCTCATGGGAGGGAAGTGCCGTGGCCAGACTTGGGAGTGCGGAGTGCCATTAGCATATCGTTTCTCGAGACCGGAGTTTTGGACAAGCCCCAATCGGCTCCGGCGCAAAGACGCGCCACGAAGCTGTCAGATCTGCCACCGGGCTCTCTGCTCTCTTCGAGCTCGCGCCATTGTCGACAGGCCAGCGGTCCGTAATTCCATGCTACTACCACCACCGCGGCTCTCAACCCATGGACAAAGTGTGCACCAACAGAGTCGAATTGTGTCGTCTCGACCCACCCCGGCACTGCTGCAGTCGGCTACACGGCTCGGTCCAACACTAGGACCCTTGCTCTGAAAGCTTCCAAGGCAAGAAATATTTAATTTACTCGGTGCTAGTTGCTCGAACTACCAGGCGATCTGCTGTCAACTGCCATGCTAATATAAACCAAGCGAGCCCCGGTCAGCCCGCCATTCACTCCCACCCTTCCTCGCCGTGGCTCGAGAATCATGCTGCTTGTTCGATATAAATAAAGCTGGGCCCGCTGCCATAGCGAGAGCTGGACGTTGGGACAGAACTTTGCAGGCCCTGGGCCATCATAATCATCGTGGCCTCTCTATTCGCCGCCCATACCGACGGGTCGAGCATCGCCACTGAGACGAAGAAGCTACCTATACCAAGTGCACGCCACAACCCGATCGCAAATTACAGACAATCAACAGAGCGAGGCCCGGCGGCATTACAAACATCGTCACCATGAAGGTCCTTGTATTTGGCGTGACTGGCAATGCCGGCAAAGAGATTGTCAACCACTGCTTTGCAGACGAGCGCATCACCAAGGTCGCCATCGTAACGAGGAAAGCGGTATCAATCGACATTGAAAGTCACCCCAAGGCCGAGGTCGTCATGCATCAGGATTTTTCCCAATATCCCGAGGACATGATGCGCCGGTTTGAAGGGGCCGAAGCATGCTTATGGTAAGGACGACTCCTGGTCCTGGCATATAGGGGGGGTGGCGACAGAGGAATGGCAACACACGAACAACGGGCTTACGCTTGATATGGGTGTTGCCTGTCTGACTACTTGGCAGCTTCTCGCTGACGTAGACATCACAGGGCGATTGGCGGAAGGGTGAACCAGTTCAACAACGACAAGGAGCTGTGCCGCAAAGTGGGCGTTGAGTTTACGCTGGCGGCTGCGAATGCAATGTTGAAATACCTTGCCGACAAGGTTCCCCAGGGCAAGAAGTTCCGCTTCGTCTTCTGCAGCGGCAAGTACTCGGAGTGGAATCAGAAGAGGCCTCTTCTCTTCTTGGCCGACTCGCGCCGTATCAAGGGGGAGGTCGAGAAGGGATTGTGCGAAATCGCCGACGAAAACGCCGACAAGTTCGAGACGTGGATCTTACGGCCATCCGGCTTCATCGAACCCAACGCCCCCTTGTCCAAGAGGCTCGTCGGCAGCCTCTACGGCGCCATCACGACCACTCAAGTCGGCAAAGCAATGGTCAAGGTGGCTTGTGAGGGGTGGAAGGACAGGATCATTGAGAATGATGTGCTTCTCAAGATGTAATTCGGTGGTGCTGCCTTTTGTTGTTCTTTTAGACCAAATTTTGTGCAGCCGCGCAGAAGCAGCATATGCTTTGAGATACCCATTTGCCATGAGGAGGAGGATTTCAGACCGAGTTATTCTTACATATTTTGTTTTGTTTAACGTCTTTTTGGATGACATTTTGAGATGAGTAGCGACGGGCGTTTGACGGATAAAAGTAGGAGGTGGGATAAATGCCGGGCATGTGGTGGCAATCATCAGCCGGCATATCCCTCTGACGCGTTACACGTTTGTCCTTTTACCTCGAAGTATTTGTCTAGTGACAGTCGATTACCACCTAGAATATGAGATGGCCCTGTTGAGGAAGCCCCGGAGAAAAGGGGTGAGATGATTGTGCTGATGAACTTGGAGTGCCGCAGTAGTGAATCCGATGCTGTACCTGATGGGTATGGGAACGGGAGAAAGGGGGGTGGGTTCGAGGGTCCCACGGAACAATGTCATGTTCTTTCATATCGAAGCTTTACAAAAATGCAATGACTGCGGATGAGTCTACCTATACAAGAAACAAAAGACGTCAAGTGTATATAGTCCCAGACATATATATATATATATATATACCTGCGCGTATCGACCGGTTTACCCAAGCAGAAACCCACGCGTTGCAGGCAGTGATCCCGTCCGACTCCTTTTACTCTTTTCCTGTCCATGTGCAGGACATGCAAACTGATGAGAAGCTTCTTCTATGCCTCCACAATCTTGATGCGTCCCTCGAGCACCGGCGCAATCACCCTCGTCCAGTCCACCGCACACTCGGCCTCCTTCAAGGGATCGCCGCAAACCCCAGCCTTGATGCCCGCCCTGCGCGCCCAGCGACCCCAAAACTTTCTCATGAGCAATATGTCGAGGTCAATCTGGCTATCCGAATCGCTCCCCGACTGATCACTACTACTGCTGCTGCTGTTACTGCTCTCCGCCGCCGTCGGATCAAAATGATGGTCGTCGTCGTCGTCATTGTGCGGCTTCTTGCTGTACCCAAGCCGCCTCCGCAAAAACTTGCGCCACGGCTCCGATTCCACAACGGCGCCCTTGTCCTGCTGGAGATCGCGCCGGACGGCATCGCCATTGCTGTTGCTGTTGTTGTTGCTGCTGCGCACCTCGGAGGGCAGGTGTGTGTGGTTGCAGTCGTTGACGATGCTGGTCCAGTTGGCGGACAGCTTCTTCCACTGGCCGACGGTGCGGAGGGCCATGAAGTATTGGCGCAGCATGGTGGAGATGAGGATGCCGGCCTCTTCGTCGACGATTTCCTCGGCTTGGCCGCCTTCGGACTTGACGAGGAGGCTTGTGAAGCCGTCTGTTTGGATTTGTGCCGCTTGTCAGCTCATAGCCCAGCCTGATGATGAATGATGATGATGATGATGATGATGATGATGATGATGATGATGATGATGATGATGATGATGATGATGGAATATTCAAGGGGTGGGTTTGCTAAAGGAAAAAGAGGAAGAAAAAGGAAAACGTACCCTTTCCACGACCCATGTAGCCTCTCGTCGCAAGAGTATAGTCCTTTTCAGGCTCATACGTCTTGCCGTTGATCTTGACCGACAGGATCCTCTCGCCCGACGGCCTTGACGGATTGAACTCGTACTCGATGCCCGAAACCTGCGGGAATCTGCCCTCCAGAGCGGGATACAGCGAGACGCCATTCTCCAGCGCGTCCCAGATAGCCTGTCCCTTTACCCTGAGGAACACAACGGGGTCTTCAAAGGGGAAACAGGTCGTAATGTCCTTGATGCGGATCGCTCCCGGGGGATAAATCTGGTCTCCCCGAATGGTGCCTCCAGCCATTATCGAACAGTCGGCATTGTGGTACGACCGCATGATATCGCACACAAAGTTGCCCATGTTGGACTCCTTCAGGCGGGCCGTGACGAAGCGGGCGTCGAGCGGCATGGCGGTCCATCCAACGGGCTTGGAAAGCGACTTTTGCAGCTTGGACGTCAAGCCGTGCACCAACTCAGCAGTGGGCTTGTCCTCGGGAACCTCAGAGGTGACGTCTCTCCGCCAGAGATCAAAGTCCCAGCGCGTAGGATCGTCCCTTTTCCGCCGCGCCTCAATGTACGTGAGCTGCTTGAAGTCGGTGCCCGAGCGCAGCACATGGGTCCCGTTGCGGAAGCTGTGCGCATAGTAGTGGTCGTGGCCGCCGAGGATGATGTCAATGATGCCGTCGGTCTGGTCGGCCAGCTTGTTGTCGTTTGGCTCGCGCATGTGGCTCAGGCAGATGATGATGTCGGCGCCCTGCTCGCGCAGCTGCGGCACGAGCTCCTTGGCCACGGCGCTGGCGGACTTGTAGATGATGTTGGGCGGCAGGCTGTTGATGGTCGCGAGCCACTCGCGCTCGCCGAGGCCGATGAGCCCGATCTTGACGCCGTTGGAGGCGGTGATGATGTGCGTCCTCTTTGCGTTGCCCAGGGGCACGTCCTGGCCCAGGGCGGGATCCAGGATGTTGGCCAGCAGCCAGGGGAACTCGCACTTTTCGGCCAGGTGCTCAAACTGCTTGACGCCAAAGTCGAGATCGTGGTTCTTGTAGTTTTTTGAGTTGGGCACTCGGTCAGTCTGATGTGCCAGGGGTGATCTGGACTCGATTATCAAAACTTACTCCGACGCAAGTGGCCTGCGTCCCTATAGCGTTCAAGACAGGCACCATATGAGACCCTAGAAGATGACAACAAATCATAGCCAACAGTAAGCAAGACTCTCCCATCAACTCAAGCCTCAACAACTGAGTAGGTAAAATCTACTAACCCTTGGTCACACTGCTCTCCAAGCTGGGATTGAACGCATCGCCCGAGAAGAGCGTCACCAGCTCCGGCTGGCCGCGGTACTGCTCGCCGTCCTTGTACTGCTTGCACAGCGTCATGAACCTCGCCAGCCCGCCCACCGGCTCGGCACTCGCCTGATCGACGTGATAGACGTCGTTGTAGTGCAGGATCCGCAGGTCCGGGGCCTCGGAGGCGGCGCCGCTGCTGGCGACTCGGCCGGAGGAAAAGGTCACTTGAGGCTCGGCCGAGGGGGCCGTCTGTTCGGCCATGGCTGGGATGAGATGAGATGAGATGAGAGATGAAGGCTGGTGAGGCGGGGATGAGAGTATGTATAGATGCTGGGTTCTATGTAAGTGAGATGATTTCAATTGTCTATGTCTTCTCGCATTTATTATGAGGTCAATTGGGGGAAGGAATCTGGTCGTGTCACCGCCTCGGTCAGCTCGAGGCCTGCAGGTCCGAGTTTCAACCCAATGCCTGTGCTTGGTGTTCCGAGGCTCACGTGATGATGCTTCATGCAAAGCTGGATGAACCTTTTTCACTTCAGTCGTGACTTATGAAGACGCAGCATTTGCCATGAGCAGAATACGATACTAGATGACTGGATGGTTACATCATGCTCGTGTTTCAAAGGGGGCTTCCTATGGGTATTTCACAGCATGGCATGATTCCGTTCCAGGTACTCGTATGTAGTATCCGCGTTTCCCCTTTCCTAGCCGCCTCAACTCGGCTCCAATTGTCTTTTTTTTGGTCCCCTGATGAATCAAAGATCTCCAACCAGGGCCACCGTTTAGAGTAGCCAATCGGCAGCCTCATATTGACAAGCCTCATCACTCAGTACATACTACAATGTATGAATGACAGCAAACCAAACGATCAAGATTTGACTGCACATACATAGCAGTACTTTCACGGAACAACGGCAAATGTCTCTGTAACCAACATCTGTGAGAAACGGCAAAAAGAACAATCACTCCGATACTGGGAATCGAACCCAGGGCTGCTCGGCACTCGTTGGATGAGAGCGAGCGATGTTAGCCACTACACCATATCGGATGTTGAGATGCTGACTAAGGTGTCAAGCTCTATCATAGAGCCTCTCAGGGGCGAAGAGGCCCCAAAAAAACACACTTCGAGAGAAGGAGCAAAAAAGAGAGAGTCAGAAAAATAAAACTCCGATACTGGGAATCGAACCCAGGGCTGCTCGGTTCAGTAATGAGAGCGAGCGATGTTAGCCACTACACCATATCGGATATTGGATCTTGTTGACGATGAGACCCTGGCAAATGGTACATGAGGGCATCATGCATTGCCATCGACGAGATATCTCAACTCTGAACTCTTGTAGAGAGAATGATGGCGCTTTTCACGAGACCTTCTGGGATCCTTTCAACACCAAGGTAATACTCCAAGTGGGCTTTCAGTTGTGCCAAACGCAACATAACCATGCATCATAGAAACTGCCTCGCCCAGGGTATCACTTCTCTCCTCGCTCCTCCTTCACACACAAGGCTTACAACTAACACCCACACTTGTTTTGGTATCTATATACAAGCACTCTATCCAACATTTTGCCCCCCTTGACTTTTCATGTAAGCTTCTACAGAGCCGCCTTGCCTCTTGATTCAAACGGCAGGAAAAGGGTGAGAATGCCGGCTGCGATGAACAGCGCACCGCTCGTGTACACTGGCGCAGACGTCTCGAGGTTGGCAAACATGGCGATAATCGGCTGTCACAACCAGTTAGAAACTCATGCTTCATCCTGTTCAAAGAGGAGTCAAAAGTCAAGATCGGGGAACACTTACAGCCATGATACCAAAGATGCGGTTGGCAGTAGCAGCAATGGCATTGCCGGTACCTCGCTGAGGCGTCGGGAAGATCTCAGGGGTATATCCATAGAGCACAGCGTACATGACGTTGCTGCAAAAGTTGTACGCGCAGTTCCATCCGAGGAGCGATTCGCTGCTCTTCGCAGTCGTGGAGCAGTACAAAAAGACACCCGTCAAAGCCGCAGACAGAGCGAGCGTTCCCTTGCGCCCAATCCTGGGCAGCTCGACGAGCAGGCCTCCAATAAGAGCTCCGGGAACACCAAGCACGGCAATGATCAGGCTGTTGCGGTATGTGAGGTACGTGCTTCCATCGCCGAAATCGACACCCTTGTTGGCCTGGATAAAGGGCAAAAAGGCATTGTACAGCGGGAACCCGAGGCCGATGAGAGCCCAAATGGCGGCGATGAGGCCGGTGGACAGTCCGAGCTTGAAGGTGGAAAACAGAGCCTTGACGTGCGTCGTGTCAATCTGCTCGACCAAGTGTCTCTTGACAGCAGTGGAAAGGTCCGTCTGGGCGACGTAGCCCTCGGGTTCGCAAGCCTTGAGGTCTTCAATGGTCAGGGAGCTCGTCTTGCCGTTGCGCCTGGCAACCTCGTGCACAACGCGCACGGCGTCCTCATCCAGGCCTTTGCCCATCAGGTACTTTGGCGATTCGTACAGAGAGAAGAGCAGGAATCGAGCCAGGAACATGAGCAGCGTCAGTCCGCCCATGGCGATCAGGAAGTAGCGCCAGCCCATGTTGTTGTGCTTGAGGCAGGGCTTCTCGTCTTGCGCACACGTCAGGTTGCCCAGCAGAGGCCAAGCCACCAGGTTGGCGACGACCTGGGCGACGGCCCAGTCAACGGACAGGATCGTCAGCAGATACTGGTGCGTCTGGGGCAGGAACTCGAGGAAGATGGCCGAGTCGACGGGCAGGTTGCCGCCCACGCCAAAGGACCAGAAGCAGTCGAAGATGCCAATGGCCGCAAAGTTGGGCGCCCCGGCAGCCACCAAGCCCCAGAGAGCAGTCAGGCCCAGCGTGAAGTTGAAGGCAATCTTGCGGCCAAAGATGTCGCATCCGAAGCCCCAGAAGACGGCACCGGCCAGGAGGCCAATGTTCTGGGCGAGCGTCAAGAGCGGCGGGCGGTTGGGGGAGAACTCGTTGTTGACGGGCGTGAAGATGAGCGACGTCACAATGGGCCACAGGTTATCCGAGGCCCAGCCAAAGCCGACGACGGCAAAGAGCTGCCATTGGTACCATCCCATGCCGATGTCTTGGATCTGGATCCATTGCCATCGCCGTGTCAGTTTGGTTGACAAACAAGTAGTAGTGCGGCATGCCTAAGGAGAGATGGGACTTACAGCACGATTCAGCACCCTGGCCTTTGCCTCGTACACGGGATCGAGGGCGCCCTTGGGAATGACATCGTCGTCGCTGCTGCTGGCCGAGATACTATTCGTCTCGACGGGATCCGGGGCCGACGCCTTTTTGCTGTCGTCCGTCGAAGCAGCCATGGCAGCGGTCGTGGCACCAGAATATACTTGGTAAAGATGAGAGTGTAGATCAACTCAAGCAGGGAATACCTGCCGTATAAATAAGGACGGGCCTGCAGTGCAGTCCGCACAAAGACAAGCCTCAACTCTAAAGAACGGGGGAGACAGGAAGCTGGTGATAAAGAAGGATAACACCAACAGCAACAACAATAACAACAACAAGAGTCGCAGCACGGAGTGTCGCTCTGCTAATATCGATCAAGAAGCAAAAATAAAAACGCGACGGAGCGAAGATTATGTACGCGGGCAGAGGATCCGCGCAATGTAACCTCAGCACACGATCAAAGCAAGATGGTGGTGCTGCTTCAGCAACTTCAGCAGCCCGGACACAGCTGATGCTACCTACTATCCTGTCTGTCGTACATGACGCTAGGCTTCTATCACCCTCCCTTGGATGCCTTGATCTCGCAGACGCTAAATAAAAGACGCGGCCGAGAATGGATCCCGGTGACAATACGGCGGGCTCCTCCAGCCGGAAAAGTCTCTGCACATGCACCTGTTTGTTCTCTTTTCTCGTGTCTCCAAGGTCAAGGTCAAGGGTCTCACCGGCTGCTGTTGACAATACCAAAGACAAAGTGATGGTCTGGATTTTATTACAGAATGTCAGTCCTCCCAACTTCGAAAAAGGCAGCTGAGCTGGGATTGTCACTGGCTGATGACGATGGCGCAATATCGTGCAGCTCTTGGTGATTGCCCCGGGCACGAATCACGATACAGATGCCCGTGCAGGGACCACCGAGGAGGGAAAGGCGTCCCAGGGCTGTCTGTCTGTTGGTGGATGGGATCGGCAGCTTCTTGGGGGGGCAGCTTCGGTGGCTTGCGGGAGAGTTGGGGGGGGAGGAAGCAGGCGAGGCGTCGGCCAGGCCGTGCTTTCAGCAGGGGACGGACTCGTATGTATTTGCAAGTAATAGTTCAACAAGTCAGAGTAAGGCAAGGCAAGGCAAGGTAAGGTATGCTTGATGAGGAGGGGGAGAAGGCTCAGCTCGTGGGGTTTGTGCAAGCAGAGGAGACAACACAAGTCTAGCAAAGCTGTTGGAAGCTGGGGAGGAGGACGGGATGCATGTGATTGTCCCGAAAGGTACGAGGAGAGCAGCGTACGAATAAGGACTTTGATTGTTGTACTCTTAGATTACCACTGGACAGGACACCTACCTATAGGTACCTCTTTGCACGTATGTACCTACACTCTCCATGGCTGCTACTCGCCCAACGTAACAATTCATCATCATCATCATCATCATCATCATCATCATCATCATCACAAGTCGCCGGCAGTACTTGTACCTTCTGTGCTCCTCCAGCAGGCGCGGGACCTTGCCGTGAGCGCTGATGCCGCCCCGTCGCAGATCGCCAGGGCCCCGGAAGTCGAGAATCTTACAGGTACAACATGGACCATAGTAGTACGTGCGTGCGTGCAGAAGTGAGCCCCATACCCTAGATGCCTGCACTCAAAAAGCACTACCCAATATCAAACGCGGACCCTGCTTTTCTGATTTCTCATGTCGTTACGTCTGGACATCATTCACCTTCCTCTACGGACCAAGGTATCCGCCTCTCAGGTCAATTTTTGATGTACTCTTGTGATGATACACAAGGCGACCAGACGAGGCCTTGACCATCATCACCGGAGTTGCCGCGCCAAGGAATGAGAAGAATGGGGGGCACAACTACCTACATACATGTATTCTGCACGAAGCAGCTCTTCCAAAAATTCTCAAAGCTTCCCTTTTACGCCCGCAATTGACGTAGCATGAAATGAACAGTAGGCGACGTGAAAACCCATTTAAAATGTCACCGAAAGTGGCCAAGAGAAAAAAGGCCAACCAAATAGTGTAGGTAGGTAGGTAGGTAGAAAGCGGAAAGTTGTGGCGTTGTGGCTCTTGAGCCGGTGTGCTCTCGGCCGCCTCCTGGTGACCGGATTCGGCCGCGATTTGGAAGCCGAGTTTTCAATTGACTTTTCTGATTGGAAGAAGGACTCCGATCTGACCGAGAAATTGTTGTTGCATCCCTTCTAGGCCTTCTAGGGCGTGTCTTGCTCTATAATCGAAGTGATGTGTTGTGTGTGGTATGGAGTGGCGGGGGGGATAACGACCTATTCGTTGTGACGACGAGGACACGGGCTTGCTTCGCGTTAGTTGTGAATACTTACGATGATGACATGGATACAGAATGCGTTTGGAGGTACCATTTGAGTGCTTATACATCTGTACTACCTATCCCAAGAGCCATCGAATGTAGGTAGGCTATTAGTTCAGTCTGGCTACCTTGACATTGCCTAACAGCGTCTCGGGATAATATCAACTACGCTTCAAGATAGTAAGTAGATCCGGAGAGAATGACTGATGCCTCTGATATTATTATTACTACTCCATCCATACGAGTATCAATGCAGTGCTCTCACGGCCCGTCTGAGCCGCTGCATCAACACAACTCCACTACGCATGTATTGTCGATCCATGTCCACCGTCGCCTCGACAGCCTAGCGCATCACGCAATTGCGACTTTCATGCCATAACAGGACAGTCGTTTGGCGTCTCGATGAACGTTGGGCCACTACTTGTATTACCTATCCTTCAAGGGCCACGCCAAGGTAGGTTCCCATACGGCATATGCACTATCAATACATACCTAACTAGTAATAATATGTGGTGGAAAGCAAAACATGGATTCAAAAGGAGAAAAAAAAAGGATGGCGTGACTGCATGGGCTTGCATGCAACAAGCCAATCGGCCAACAGACCGAGACGTGAGCACACGAGGAACTTTTCTGCGTGCGAGACAAGAATGCTTCTAGAATTCTAGCCCTGCGATGCATATGTACATGCCCATGTGTGGGCGTCTTTATAGCCTGCCTTGCCCTGACTTCGTCCTGAAGGCGGGTGCCCAGCCCATGTCACATCATCTTTACTCTTTCAGGTACCTGAATATTCCGCTCTCTGAAGGTTGACTAGGTACATTACCATCTTCTCACATTAAACATATTAGCTGTTACCGAATAACCAAGAGACCACTCTTTAAAAATCACCCCATCCCCCTAATTCAGCTCCAAAACCACCTCCCGACTCACCGACGACCCAGCCAACCCCCCCGTCGGCAACCTCACCCCAAATCCAATCGCCCCATCGCCCCTCCTCTCAATCCCCTCACTCAACTTGCCCATCTCCCTCACCTTGTGCTTCTGTCCCGAAATCTTGATCGAGTACGAAGCCGCGCCGAGCTTCTGCGTAGGATCCGCCAGCGTCACAGACAGCCGCAGGCTGCCCTTGTCCTTGCACTTCGCGCTGAGCAGATACACCGCCGGCTGATCAGAGGTAAACGTCAGCGTGCCGGCGCTCGCCCAGCCCAGGTCCTTCAGATCCAGCTCGACGGACTTGGCGCCGCCGGGCCAAAAGGCGAGACTGGCCCTGTCCTTGCCGTAGATGCCGGAGATGCCCTTCTTGGTGATAGGCGTCCAGGTCGGCTCCAAGAGCTCCTTGTTCAGCTTCTGGGAGGAAATGGACGGGAAGAAGCCGTAGGTGAACTTGTCGCCCTTGATCGTCGTGTAAGCGGAAAAGATGTCGACGGTCTCGACGCCCTGAGTCGACGTGGAAATCTCGGACCAGTTGCCGCTGCGCTTGCCCACGGACAGCGTCAGCTCGAAAGGTGTGTCGTAGGCAAGGTAGCCGTTGTTTGCGTAATAGAGCGTGTCCGTGGCAACGTGCTGTACGGCCCCCGACTTTGCAAGGGGGCCGTTCTTCACGAACGCCTTGGTCTTGGAAGACTCCGCAGCGCGATTGTCGAGCACCGTGATGACGGGGGCGTTTCCGGCGGTCGCGTTCTTCTTGATGTCGGTGGTGATGACAATGACGCCCTCGTCGACAAAGAACCACGACTTGCGATACGCCAGATTCTGCGTCAACGGATCGACGTAGTCTTCTACAGCGGCGCCGAATTTGCCGTCGCTGACAACGCCCACAAAGTCCTTCAACCCGTCATACTTTACTTGAGACGCCTGAAGTTTAGGCTGGTCAAGCAAGGTCGTCGTTCCCGGAACGAGGTTCCAGTCCCACGCCCCCATGATGTCCTTGTACTCGGTGCCCGTGACGTACGAATAGAGAGTGCCCTGGCCCATGTGATAGGCGTACGGGTTGGCCCCGTTGACGCTCTCCGAGTTGGCAGACCGGGTGGACAGCATCTTGTTCGTGAGGACAAAGTTGGGCCTGCGATGGACCATGTAGTCGCTTGCCCAGAAGCCCTTGTTGCCCGTGAGCTTCTCGGTGCCGTTGGAGAGGAGGCGCCGGATGGTGTCGTTGACGGCGTACGAGCCCGTGAAGTCGGCCACGGCGGCGGCGAGCTTGGAGACGTTGAAGTTGATGTCTGCGCTGGCCTGCAAGTCGACGGTAGGGAAGGACACGAAGCGGCCAATGGCGTTCTACCACGGTCAGTACCAGACTATTTCTGACTCTTGTTCAGAGGAGTAAGGGTGCTTACAAAGTCCCAGTGCTCGGTTTTGGTCTCAGAGTCTGTGTAGATCATCCACTCGTCGCCCTTGATGTAAGTAGACATGGCCTCTCGGGTGTCGTCGTCCGCAGCAAACGAGGTGCCAATCGCCTCTCCTTCCAGCTGAATGAAGGCATTCAACTGGATATAAAGTCAGTATGAGTCTAGAACTCAAGGCCGAGGTTCATCTTACCAAGTCCTTGCCGTAGTTGCCGTTGTACAAGAGGCCGTCATGCTGCAGAAACGTGCCGTCTCGATGGATGCCATCTGCACCAGCAGTATCCTCAAACTAGCGCACGGTCAGTTGACCGCGTCCAGCCAGATATAATTCACGAAACTGCACTCACAGTCATCACAGACATGGCTCGAGTCATGGAATCCGCCAAGATCGTGCTGTTATCCGTAAACAGGGCCAAGGTGACTGAGTTTTGCATAACCAGGACCATCTACACAACACGTACATAAGTATCACGTTCAACCAACAAAAGGGCCGTCTAGACTCACATTGGCTCCTGTCATGCGGCCACCAGTACCATAGGTGCCGTCCCTAAGAGCATACGCTCGATACGGGATACGCTCACAGCCGGCTCGCTGGGTCTCGGTAAGATTTGCGTCCTTGACGAGGAGGCATGCAGTTGAACACAGCTGAGGGATCAGAATAGCCTGATCGTACCAGTTCTATTGCATGTGTCAGCGGATATTCCATGAAGCTGCCAATCTTGATAATAGTAGATTGAAACATACCGTATTCCACAAACCAGGCGTGCCACAGGGACACCCCTTGGATCTAAGCCCACATTAGCATTGACTCCCCTTTACCAAAGCACAATGCTGCATGCACCTCGCAAACTTACGCGTCTCCTCCGTCACCCATGCAGTCAGCTGGAGTATAATCATTGCTGAACCAGTAATCCAGACCCTTCTGCACAGCAGCCAAAAGCTTCGGGTCTTTGGCCCAGCTGCTCGAAACCACAGGATTGACACCGCTCCACGCAGCCCCAAAGGTAATCAACCTGTTCCAATGCTCCTGGATCGGCCAATTGGCACGTTCTTTCACCCGCATCCGTCAGCACTCCTTCACAAAACACCCATCATCTCCCCTCCATAGGCTCAACAAGGTGTGGCTTTCCCAGGGCCAACTTACGGGCAGGACATCCAGACAGATAGTTTACATCAGACCAGGTGCCATCATCCTTTTGCGAAGACAACCACGTATCAATCTTGGCGAACCACGTAGGATCGGGAAACTGCGCGAGATCCGCAGTCCTCCGCTTCGCAAAGAGCGCGAGATCATCATCCGACGACGACGCCGCTCGCGCAACTCCCGCAGCTGCAGCCGCAAGGCTCACCAAGGAATTGACCTTCATGGTTTGTGCCCTTGTCAGTCGAATTGTCCCAAATGTCCAAGTCGAAGGCACTTGTCGCTTGTCAGGGGGGGCCAGACTAGCAGCAGCAGCAGCCTCTTGACGATTGAGACGCAAGCAAGGCCGGTTTTGGAGCTGTTGCTAGATCACGAATAATAGATCTATGCTCACAAAAGGAGATTTCCTCATTATATCCATTGCCAAAAAGGAGATCTCCTTCCCAACTCGTCCATGCTGACAGGAGCATGACTCGTCCCATTGGCGGACAAATGCTTCGTCGGCCTGATTGGCGGATATTTCGTCCATACCGAATCTCCTCAGAGTCCGGGGTAAATATGGGGACGCCCTGAAAGGCTTGTGCCTGGCGGCTGAAAGCGACATTTCCCCCGCATGTTTGAATGCAATATACAGTATTCCAGCTAGCAGACTGTAGAGACACTATCTGCGGTCTAAGATGCTTCGAAATCGAATGGAACAGCTTGCCGAGCAGGATGGAGGAGGGTCACAGAGCATCGCCAAGTTGAGGGGATCGGGAGCATTTGGCTTCTGACCATCAGCCCGCAAGGAAAATTCTACACCAATGAAAATGCCGGTTCGCTGTGGAAGCAACATCTCATGAACCAGGTTACACGACAGCCTTGTTGCCGTCATCACGGTAAAGACCAGGCTCTGTCACGTCACCGGAAATAATTGCAGCTGAGCTGAAGGATAGAGCTTGGCATTCGACTTGCTCCAACATGTCATTGGCATTGTCAATCGCTGTCAAAGCAGCATATCGAGCTTAGCACCGCTTCATCTTGGTGCCGTTACACGCTGGAAACCGGACACGATCCGAGGTCTCGCTTCTTTGGTTCGGCCTCGAGAGAAATGTCAAAGTCGAAAATGTCCATGGGAATCCCCAGTGTTGTGCAGACGTTCGGAATGTCCACGATCCCCGCAATTGACCCCTTGATGGGGGCGCACGATAAGAGGAGGTACAGTTGCTCTCCAGAATATCCTGTGCCATATTATGATGATGTTGTCAGTAGCTATATCATATATGGAGACCGATGTTGTGTAAAGGCAAGGTTCCCAATGACGTACCGAACTGTTTGAGATACTCAATGGCGCGAAGACATGCCTGCCGGTAAGCCACCGTTGCATCCATAAAGTGCTGCTTGCCATGCTCATCTACCGAGAATCCTTCAAATGTCAGATACCGTCCGGGGCCAAAATTGGGGGCTACATCGCCCGGTCGAAAGACGGGGCTCTTGATGGCTCGCGACTTGACGCCGTTCTTGATGAGATCAAATCTGATCGTGATGGTCCCTGCTATCTCAATCGCACCGCAAAAGCTAATCTCTCCGTCGCCTTGGCTGAAGTGGAGGTCACCGACTGAGAATTTGGCCCCCTCGACGTGCACTGGAAGATATGTCGTCGATCCTCTCGAGATGTTGTTGATGTCCACTTGATGGCTGTTAGAGAGCATCACACATATTCTGCTGTTTCTCTCAGCTACATACCGTTTCCTCCGTGCTCCGGCCGCCCAGGAATAGTCCTGGCCCCCTCACGGGCAATCTTTGCTCTGAGATCCCCGGTAGCCTGTCCAGCATGTGCATTCGTCACAAACGGCGGTTGTGCGACCACCTTATTAGGATGGCTGTGGACACACGAGGAGATGAGGTCAGCCTCGCGACGATTCCACTCAGACAAAACTTCATGAGATGGTGCGCAGCCAAGGATTCCGGGGTGAATCAGGCCGGCAAATCGCACTCCAGGGATGTGTCGGCTTGTGCAATAGATGCCGTCAAAATCCCAGATGGCCTTGGCAGCCTTGGGATAGTGATCCTCAAGGAACCCTCCACCGTTGTGGCGATCAAAGATTCCCGTGAAACCCCATGGTGCGTCTTCAAACGGTTGGACATCCGTGATGTTGACCACCAACAGATCCCCTGGTTCGGCGCCCTGAATCTCGAATGGACCGGTCAAGTAATGAATCTTGCTCAAGTCTACCGTGCGTACATCCTCGGCGCTATCGTTGTTGCCAATTTGACCGCCGGTCCAGTCGACGCATTCAATCTTGACAGTCTCTCCAGGCTTGATCGTCCCAATTGTAGGGACTATCGACGAGTTAGCATGCCTTAATGGTAAGCCATCCTCTGGCTCCATACCAGCCAATGGACGTGGTTGGGAACTGACTGTCTGGGTGCCATCGGTTATGCAAAGCTGGTTGCTCTGCAGCTGGAGTCTCTAGAGAGACGGTCTGCGCGATTCGAATCTTGCCCGGCATGATGTCCTGATCTGGTTGGTGATACGACTTGAAATGGTCTCAATGGTTTGAGTCGATCTGGATGCTACTTGTGGCAGATATATGTGTAGAACTTGTGGGATTCTGCAATGCAACGCTCGTGCAGAGGCTGATGACTGGTCGCTGGTAGCCGGGTGCTGTTTGGCTGTATGTATTTGCATGGTGACTATCGCCGTCACCAGGTATATCCGTATCAACAGGCATCATCCAGATGCGCATCCCCCGCCATGATAAGCGATCGTCCCCGCGTTTCCAGCCGTTATCACATCGTCTTCACCTTCGGATTCAATCCTCCTCGGACGTCCATCGGAATGATTGTCGTGCCGAGGGATTCCGTTGCTGCTCATCCGCTCGTATCGGGCTCGTGAGATAGACGTGGGATGGAGGGTGTCATAGCAGCCTGTTTTCGGATCTCCCGTCTCCGTCGACAAACTTGGCGCTGATTGTATGCCAATCAAGAGTCGCTTCTCCGCATCACAATCGCGGGGAAGGATGAATGACAGATGGTGAGAAGGCTGTTGGTGGTGGTTAATGTGAGTATGGCAAAGAGGATCGATACTGTGGGGAGGGATTATCGCTAGGTTGGAATTGGTGAGAGCATGAGATAGACACAGTGTGTTTACAGTATGCAGATAACAGCTGCTAGATTGGGAAGTGATGCTATCGCGGGTGAAAGGGAAGCCGCCATGGCCGCAGCTGCCGCAACTGTACGAGTCGCTGATAGCAGATAAGGACAAGCTGACGAGCAGCTGCTTAGTTCGTTCTATGACCTGAATCTCGCGGAAACATCACCAGCAACTGGCAACTCTTTCGGCTTCACACGAGATACTGCAGCAGCTGCGAAAAGTCCGACTGCCTGACACCACCAATCCGAGGCCGTCGCGGGGGGGGGCGGAGGCGCCAAGCCGCGAATTTACAGGGCATCGCGTCGGAGATTTGGTTTGAGCTCCTGGCCTGAGACGTTACATGGCAACGCCAGACATGATGCGATGTGAGCAGCAGAAATCTGATGTGAAACTGAAGATGAAGAGAAAAACACGACAGTTGCGAAACTACGAAGTCGAGGTCACTCCAGGTCGGCGAGGCTGCCACAGACACAAAATGTCCGCAAGAGATATCACCATCATCGATCGCATCGCCTGCATCTCGTCCTACCGCAGCAGTCGAGCACATCGAGCAGCAGATCATCAGTGTCGCGCATGATACCGTACAGCGAATGGCTACGAATCTCACGCTGACGAGGGAGGGAAATCTCTTGGGTCCTTCTCCGACCCAGCAATCGAAAGCCAATTGTTCCCTTGCCCAGGGACTCGAGCGCCTAACAGGCAAGATGAAGCCGTCCGACTGGCTGCGCAGCCCGAAACCCCCACCAGCCCGAGGCGGTGCCACTCCTCCCAAACAGCCAGCGTAACATTAGCAGCGCTAGCGAAACCAGGCGACTGCTCAAGCTGGGCAACCGAAAGGAATGCATGAACCGTCGTATTGGCTCGGCCGACAGGGCACCGGGATATGGAGCTCGAGATGGAACACCACACAAGACACCGCTCGACGCCTCCCGCGAGTCCCGCGCGTCTCCTGTCTGTACGAAGCTGGAGCAGTAGTGCTGCTCTTAACAGAGGCAACATCCCTGGTGGTCAGGCCCCTGAACGTTCTCTAACGCCGCCTAGAAACCCACCTGCGACGACCGGGGCGAGTGGACGTCGCCTTGGCTTCGTGACTTACCGTCAAGAGCTGTGAAAAGCTGTTGCGCCTGTTGCGATGGCCTGATCAAGGCCGTCGACAAGGGGAAAGAAGGGAGCTGTGAAGCTAATCCTCTGATGGATCTGTGTCGAGTCGGATCTGAGAAGTATCTTAAGCGAGGCCTTTCGTTTCACGCCTCAACCGTGCATCTCGGCCGTCTCCTCTCTCTTTCTTCTTCCTTTGCTCATATATCCTGTTCCGTTTGTTTAGTTTCTTTTGCTGTTTGTCAACTTGCTTGGACGAGCTCAAACGAAGCGACAAACGAGTCACTTTCTCTTCTATTCGCCGCTGGACGGGACCACCTTCTAATAATACAGCATTTTTTCTTTTTGCTGTTCTTTCTGTCGTTTCAGTTTCGCTTGTTTGCCTCGCACAGCTTGCTCTGGAAGCAACCACTCACAGGCCATCGATCTCGTCTTCAAAATCCATCATAAACCTCCAGAACCCCCCCTTTCAAGATGTTCTCGAGACTCACGCTGGCGGCAACTCTTCTCGCCACCACCGCGCTCGCTCAGAACGCACTCCACGCCGGCTCTGTTCTCCGCACCGACGATGTCCTTTCAAAGCCCTACGCTTCACTCCTCAGCTTCTCAGAAGAAAGCGCAGCTGTAGCCCGTGACTTGGACGCAAGAGCTGCAGCAAACTCCAGCATACCATCCGACGTCAAACTGCTGCCCAACGGATCGCTGGATTTCTCCGCTTGGAACAACCTCACAGATGTGGCGTGTAAGCAACGCCTGTCAACCATCACCCGCACATCGAACCCCTCGGGAGACTGCATTTGCTACAACCTACCCATGCTGGACGTCACCACCGGCATGTTCGAGGCCGATCTGCGGCTGTATCGCATCTCGGCCCCCAGAGACGACTTTGTCGGGGTGCCGCCGAGTGAGATCCAGGTCGGCGTGGTATATAAGGGCGCCAGCGTGACGCCCATGAAGCCGGCGGACGCAAATTCTGGGTCAAGCCCGTCTGTCAACGTCACCAAGAGAGCCGATGTCCAATCCAGCTCCCCGACTCTGCTGCAGTCGTACATGCTGGTTGGCCAAATTGACAAGGACCGCATGAAAACCAACTTGTCAATGTAAGTCTTGAACTCCCCTCTCAATATATATGCCTACACATTGTGTCATACGTGTCTGCACAACTCGACATGCAATCCACACATCATCAAACTCATCAAGTAAATCATGGTACTAACACTCAGTAGCGCCGACCTCGAGGCCCTCGTCCTCCCAACCCTCACCCTCTCCGCCGAAACCCCCAACGGCCGCATCAGCTCCAACGTCTCCCTCAACGAAGCCGTCTTCCTCGTCGGCGTCTTCTCCACGGACGTCGTCCTCTCCGACTTTGCCGCCGCCCAGCTCGCCGTCACGCAGCAGCACGACGCCCTCAAGAACGGCACCGTCGCCTTCATCCTGCCCGGCGTCAACATCCTCATCTTCCCCGTCGGCCTCATCATCACCTCCGTCTGGCTGGCCATTGGGCTCGCGGCGTACGGCTTCGGGACGTATGAGCGCATCCAGCATGTTGCGGCTTATAAGCGTAGAGCTATGCATGCTTCGAGGGATCCGGCTGCTTACCGGACTTTTTAAAAAGTTTGCGCACCCGCTTGGAAGGATGGCGATGAAGGATGAGATTCCTGGTGAGGTTTTTTGGTTAGTCTGAGCGTTATTTCTTTGGGATAAAAAGATTGGGATTTACGGGTGAGAATGGTAATGATTCCCCAGGCGTACTTGGCAATTTTACACTATATATCTTTTTACTATTACCTCACATATGCGCTCCATATAACATGGCATTTTTTTCAAAAGAAAAAAGCTTCACAATCAAAAGATTCAGGAGTCGAATAACGGCGTTAAGCAAGGGCACAACTCATTAGTACTCAGTGAGAACTGTATATGTATACATGATATCTAATGAAGATCTAGCTATATAGTCTAAGGAAAGTGAAAGTCAACCTCATAGGGTATATCCAGCAGGCGTTCATCGCTCGCCCAATACTCGAACAAAAAGAAACAAGAGATGCAAAGAGGGCGAGAAAAGGTAGTAAGAGGAAAGCCATGGATCCATCCTCGCCACAAGTCATGTATCCGTCGCATATCTGGAAAATCACTCCATAACAAATGAAAGTCTATATCTAACACAAATCGTGTGTTACGATAAAGGAAAAGGGAGGGACAAGCAGGGGAGAATGAAGAAGAAGAAAAGACATATGAAAGATGAGATATCGCAGTAGTCTCGCATGCAACGCGCCCTAAACACCGGCGCCAGTCCACCCAAGTCCATAAACCTCAAAACCTACCAAATCCCAAAGCGAAATTATCACACATCCTACCATGACTGACAACTCAATTCGCAGGCGCAGACTTGCGAATCCGGCCTTTGGCCCATAGCAAGCCTTCAGAGAAAACAACATACGCACCAGTAACGACCCAGAAGCTCAGAATGACGCCCAGGCCGCCCATCAGCCTGGCATCAACGACGCCGCGCGTGACAGTCTCCCGGAGAGCATTGTTCATCATGAGCCAGCCGTACACAGGCACCAGCTGCTGGGCGGTCGTTGTCACGGCCTTGGCAGGTTGCGGCTTGAAGCCTTGCTCCCTCTCGCGCTGGGCAATGGTGTCGGCCATGCGCCAGGCAACCTTGTTGTTGATCTTGTCCCAGGTGGCTTCGCAAGCAGCGAGACGGGCATCCTTGGCCATCTTGAAGCGCAGCTGGTGATCCTCGGCAAGCCGGACGGCCTTGGCGACGAATCCGTCCAGGTCATCAGGGGGGATCAAGTAGCCCGTCTTGCCATCGGCCACGATATCCGAAGGACCGCCTTCGTCGCGAGCAACCACGGGGACACCGCTGGCCATGGACTCGAGCACAACCAGGCCGAATGTTTCCGTGACGGAGCAGTGCAAGAAGACATCGCCGCTGGCGTAGTACGTCGCGAGGTCCTCGCCGACCTTGAAGCCGGCAAAGCTGACGGTGGCTTTTTCCCTGAGAGGGTCGAAAAGCTCTTGGACCTCCTTTTCGACATCCGGGTTTCGATTCCCTCCGACAATTACCATCTTGAAGGCAAGGCCCCTGGCGTCTAGCTCTTTCGCCACCTTGGCCAGGAAGTCGAAGCCCTTTTCCCCTGCAATTCGCGAGACTGTGACAAAGATGATTTCTCCATTGGGCGCAATCTCCTTTCGGAGGGCCTCGCTCCGGCGGCTCGGGTTGAACATGGTTGTGTTGACGCCTCTCGTTAGGATCTCGAGCTTGCTAGGCTGAACTCTTTGGCCTTCCAAATACCGCCTGACGAATCGGGACGGGTAGAAGATGGTCTTGATGGATGAGTGTCTGAACAGGTAGCTCTGCACGGCGTCAAAGGCAAAGACGGCCGCGTAGCTGAGAGGCGCAGGGAATAGAATCGAGCAGTAGCCCGCCAGATCAGTCTGAAAATTGCATATGATGGGAATCTGCTTCTCTTTGGGCTGCTGTCTCAGCTGCAGCATGACTTGGAAGCCCAGACTAGCCGGGGAAGCGAGGTAGATGAGGTCCGGCGGCGCATCGCTGCCAAAGGTGCGAGCGTAGAGCGTCGAGTTGCGGACGGGATAGACAATCGACAGCTCCGGGTTGAACGGTAAGGGGTAGCCCGTGAGGCGGACCTCGGGCTGCTTATCCACAGGAGAGAGGCTGGGAGACGGAGGAGGCGAAAAGGTGTTGTGGTTGGTGTGGTTGTGAGGAGCGACCACTGCAACCTGGACGCCGTGGTCGCGCAGGTGGTTGACCAGCATGAGGGTTGTCCGGCTCACTCCGTTGACGGGGCCAAAGGACTCGGTGCAGAGGAGGATGCGCTTCCCCTTGAGGGCGACTGGGAACTCTGATAGATCATGCTCTGGATACTGTGCCTGTTCGGACGCAGCGAGCGACGTTGACGCCATGATGGCTCTGTGTAAGAGAAGAGGAGACGTAGGGAGAGCAATAGGGAGGTGAATAGGTAGTGACGGCTCTGCTTCTAGGGAGAGGATTATAGGTGATGAGGTGGAAGCAGATGGATGCCTACGAGGGATACCACGAATGAAATATACACACAACGGTCACAGGGCGAGTGAGCTTGCTTTTTGTCTTGCCCCCCCAGAGGCCTCAAGTAGGACGGCCGGCGAGGTCTGGACAGGGCAAGTTCCAGTCCCACGTGGATCGGCCTGATATGTTGCGCATGACGGGAGTGGCTTCGGGGTCAAGGGAAGCTGCAATAGGACGGCGCGGGAGTGGGCACGAGGAACGGGCTGTGGACGCAGTTTGTCGAGACGGAGGGACGACTAGTGAAAGCGTGGGGAGAGGAGAGGAGAGAGAGAGCCAGAGCCAGAGTCAGAGTCAGAGAGGCAGATCCTTGTGTGATTCTTGCCCTACCTACCTTAGATCTTGATATGGCATGGGCCAGCCATCATGTGGCGAGGTAAGCGCGCTGCCAGTTCCTCATGCCTTGGGGCGCTTTGGCAGCCTTTGGTCTCCCCTTTTCTATATACAATCTTAGTATATACCTACCTACCTATTCGTTGTCTACTGGGTAAGGCTGATCCTGATGCCGCAGTAGATGCCTATTGGTGAGGCAGCGGCCCAGTAGTTGTGCAGAGGCGAACTACATCCTCATCCTCATCGTCAGCTGTGTATAGTAGGTTGCATCTTTTTGCAACTCTCAGGTGTACTCGAACACAGGCAGTCTGCCCCATGTTCCGTTCTTGTGGCCCATACCATAACCGGCATCTCCTGTGAAGGATCATCGTACATGTGTAATAGCACTCTTCCCACTTCTGCAAGTCAGAGACAAGCATCAACAAGCGGGATATTCGCGAGATCTCCCGCAGCGTCCAGATGGACGAATCAGCGACGGCAGAGCAGCCACATTGCTAGCGCTGACCAATGGAAGGGCGGCTGAAGGACGGTGCGATTTCCAACTGCTGTGGCGGGCTTAAACATGATGGAACTACGAATGACAGCCTTGGGGACGGCCCTCGTGTCTTGTCTGGTTGGCCATGGGCGAGTCTGATGCAACAGAACAGGTTGTGGGAAATCGAGGGCTTTTGAGAGTCTTGGAGATAGAGGCGTTCAAAGATGTATCACGTGTGATGCCTTGTATGTACAAGTGACTGGCGTCTCTGAATCAGCGAAAACTGGTGAGGCGAGCCACGAGAGGGTTTGGACGCGGGATGGAGTGCAGCATGTACAGTACGATTCTCGTGCCGCGCATGGGGTGCATTGATTGATGGACTAGTAGAGCCTGAGATTCTCTGGGGGTTCTGGTCTTCATTTCTGGCCTAGCATGTGATTGCTGATGAGCTCTGACCTTTGCTGATAACGGCTTCGTCGAGGCAGATTGCTACCTGCTAACCTAGAACGAGGAGGGTGTAGCGTTTGATGGATTATTAGGTAGGCAAGCACCTCTATGTACCTGGCATCAAGGTGTAGACGGCAATCATAGAATAACAAAAGAAAAGGCTCTTGATGCTCGATATTCGTCTTGGAGATGGCGAGAGTTCTGCTTCATTTGACAACTCCGTATGATTCAATTGTCTTGGGAGATAGTGTATGGCGGAGCAGCTTTTGGTAAGACAACGTGTTTTACAAGCTTCACGCCTTGTAGCTTGTGTGAGACACTGACTTGCGACAGCCCAACAGGCTGCTGGAAACGAGAAAAGGCCGGAATTTCTCGCATCTCAGCTTGACAGAGTCGTGTCGCGTGAGCCCTGTAGCTGCGGTGCTACTAAGGTAGCGGTAATGGGCGCGTTCGCGCTCCTCCATATCATGGCATGGGTATGGACATGCAATCTTCAAGGCGCGCACGGTCGTTGCGCTTGATAGGCGTAACCGGTACGGGGAGGCAACAGGGGTCCTACACGATGGTGTGGGTATGTAATATCGGACGGGATGCGGGTACGCAGCTATTACTCCCGGTGCGTGTGCTTCGTACAGGTGATTACTCGTGCGAGTTCTCACAGAAACCATCTTGATGCTCTCCTCTGTCTGGCGCTGGTAGGCTGCCAGGCCTCGTCGCGAGATGGAGTGGCAGTCTTGCTTAAAAGAAGCATGTGCCCTTGTCGTCGTCGCACCTGTGCAGCCTTGTCATGCCGAGCGACCCTCCATAATGAGCTCCCTGAGCCACAATCATCCGAAAGCGCGCAAGCCTGAAAGCGGCAACGCAGGAACCACGTGTGTATCCGCGGTGCGTGGGCCGGGTTTATTGGCGGGCAGGCAGATTGGTTCGGATGAGGCTTTGGCAGCTGGTCATCGGTCGCGAGGCGACAGGATGTTGACTGGTGATGAAATCGCTGGCAAAGTCAAGAAGGATGAAGCTGGAGGAGGAAGAGGTGGTTTGGCGTGATGGAGAGATGCATACACGTACATGTACGGATAACACGTTGAAAGCAGAATCGTTGGTTGAGGCTGCTTGATCCGGGGCTTGGCAGTATACTCACCGCTTTTGTGTGGCATCACGGATATTTTTGGACGCCGGTTCCTGATGCGCACCTCGTACCTCGTACTTGTACCTGGAATGACAGACAGCCACCACGCAACGCAGCAGCCAACAGCCACCAGCAGTTCGTACTCGTAATGCTCTACTACTACCTTAGTACTACATACCGCGGAACCGGGTACCAGCTTGGCCACCTTGTTCTCGTAATCCAGCTCGACGCCTTCAGCCTATTGCGTCGCCCAGTTCGGGGTTGAGTGGCTTGCCCCTCCGTATTGCCTAGCGCGACGGCGTCCCTGAAGGATCCGGACACGGCGGGGACGAATTTGCACATGCTTGACGCACCCGGAAGTGGTTACGTGTGAGCGCCTGATTTGCAAAACCCGCAGTGACGATGCGCTGAGTGGTGGATGATCTTGGCATCGCTCTGTGCTGGCATTTGATGCTTTGGCGACTACTATATCTAAGTGACTTGAGTTGATACGGAGTACGGTTCCAATTGCATTCACATGTCACGGATGGTCCGATTGCGTTAGCATCAGGGGTCTTGGGCTCGAGTTCATCACCACCATCTGATCATCACATCGACCCCTCCAAAGAGATAAAAAGTCTAACGACGCTAGGTAACCAGTCCTTCTACAGTATGTACTAAGACTCTACAGGGGCTCGTACAGGGCTCATACAGGGCACTTATAGGGCACTTACGGGACCCTCCTCAGGGGGTCCACGCCCATCGATAACGGCCTGCTACCAGATCGGACCTAGCGGTGCGTGCGAGTCCTGCTCTGCTGATTAATTCGCACCCAACATGGCCCGACTATTGCCTTTCCCGCCAAGCCGCGACTTTGCGATCCCCAACTCCTTTTCTTCTGCTTTTTATTAGTGCCAGCATTGTGTCTTCGTTTATATCTCGCACAACCAAAGCCAGACGGTTCCCGGGCTCGATCCATATACCCTCATTCAAGGATCCCCATTCCCCTCGTTGAAGCCATTGCCTGCGTTTCTTTCGTCTCTTCCCTTCCTTTGGCCCTTTGATCCACCAAGCATACACCATGGCCTCCCTTACCGATGCGGTCGTCGACTCGGTCAAGTCCCTGAGCCTCAATGGCTCCGCAAAGGAAGTCAACGGCGACAAGATTGCCATTCGCAACATCTGCTGCGTCGGCGCTGGCTATGTCGGTGAGTCACCCCTGCGCCTTGCCTCGCCTCTTGTCCATGTGCCTTCGGCTGTCTAGGTGGACGGAGCCTTGCGAGTCTTGTATGTCGACCGCCTTGGTCACTCCGCCGGGCGAGCAGAGGACACGTCGTGGCCGGCCGGCTCTGCACAACTCTGCCGAGATGCCAGTTCATTCATCTGTTCATTTATTGCACGGTCATGTCCCCTGAACTGCCCTCTGTACTAACAGGCCGCGCTCAACAGGTGGCCCGACTGCCGCGGTCATTGCCTTCCAGAACCCGCACATCAAGGTCACCGTTGTCGACCGAGACGTGACCCGTATCCGCCGATGGAACTCGCGCCATCCCCCCATCTACGAGCCCGGCCTGCACGACATCGTCCGCATTGCCCGTGATGGCGGCCGCGAGACGAGCATCTCGGGTGAGCCCAGCGAGGGAACCGCCTCCGAGAAGGGCGACGTCAAGGTGGCTCGCCGCGAGGGCAACCTCTTCTTCAGCACCGACGTCGCTGGCCACATCGCCGAGGCCGACATGGTCCTCGTGGCTGTCAACACCCCTACCAAGGAGCGCGGTGTTGGTGCCGGCAGCGCAACTGACATGACTGCCTTTGAGGCCGTCACTGGCTTTGTGGCCCAGTATGCGCGCGAGGGTGCTATCATCGTCGAGAAGAGCACTGTTCCTTGCCGAACCGCACAGCTGGTAGCCGACACGGTAAGCAGCAGCAGCAGCAAAATCCGTCTCTCACGGCTCAGTGGCCTAGAGGCTTTGTCATGATATGATGCTGATGTCCGTTGTTCGTTTATAGCTCGCCATGCACCGTCCTGGCGTCCATTTCGAAATCCTGTCCAACCCCGAGTTCTTGGCCGCAGGTACCGCCGTCAACGACCTCCTCTACCCCGACCGAATCCTCATCGGCTCTGCCCCCACCCCCTCTGGCAAGCGAGCCGCCGAGGCCCTGCTCGAGGTCTATGCCGCTTGGGTTCCTCGTGACCGTATCCTGACCACCAACGTGTGGTCCTCTGAGCTCGCCAAGCTGGTCGCCAACTCCATGCTGGCCCAGCGAATCTCCAGCATCAACTCCATCTCCGCCGTCTGCGAGCAGACTGGCGCTGATGTCGACGAGGTCGCCCGCGCCATCGGTGTCGACCCCCGTATCGGCAACAAGTTCCTCATGGCCGGCATTGGCTTCGGCGGAAGCTGCTTCAAGAAGGATGTCCTCAACCTCGTCTACCTGGCCGATACCATGGGCCTGCCAGAAGTCGGCGAGTACTGGAGACAGGTCGTCAAGATGAACGAGTACGCTCGTGATCGCTTCACCAACCGTGTCATCAAGTGCCTCAACAACACCCTTGTCGGCAAGAAGGTCACCATCCTGGGCTATGCCTTCAAGAAGAACACCTCCGATACCCGCGAGGCTCCTGCTCTGGAGATGATAAAGACGCTGCTGGAGGAGCGTCCCCGCGAGATTGCCGTCTTCGACCCCTGCTGCAACCCATTCGTCGTCAAGAACGAGATCAAGGCCCTCCTCGGCCCCGAAGTCGCAGCCAGCGTCCACGTGTACGGCAATGCCTACGACGCCTGCAAGGACAGCACGGCGGTCGTCATCGCCACCGAGTTTGACGAGTTCCGCAACCAGCCTGTCGCCGTTCCCGTTCCCGCCCCTGTGGACCAGGTCGTGCCCAAGATGCTGGGCCGCAAGCCCAACCCCAAGTCCGACCCCAGACCGTTCAAGGAGGCGACCCCCACCGAGAACGACCTGTTGGCGCTGCACAAGCACCTGGTGCAGCGCGACGGCCAGACCTCTGACGATCCTCTGGATCGATTCAACGTCGAGCCCGACTGCCCCGAGGACTGCCCCGACTGCATCCAGGCTCGCGAGAGCAAGGACAACGGCTTTGCCACCGGCATGGGCAGCGCCGAGGAGTACAAGCCCAAGGAGCGCCTGGACTGGGTGCGCATTGCCGATACCATGGCCAAGCCCCGATGGGTGTTTGACGGCCGTGGTGTCATTGACTCCCGCGAAATGGTGAAGCTGGGAGTTCGCGTCGAGAGCGTCGGCCGCCAGCACCGATTCTAAGGGTGTTGTGATAGCACGGTGACGGGTTTTTCTTTTTGTTAAAGGGTGGCGCTGCGACTCTTTGGCTACTCCTTTTTTCTTTACTGAGGCTGTGCAGCGGGCCTAGAACAAAACTACCTTGTATTTGTTTTTTAATAAACATTGGGATGACATTGTACGGCGGCAGATGTGAGACACACTGCATGACATGGGAAGGGATATGCGTTGCTGGCTTTGGTGGCCAATTTGGGAAGAGAAAAGGAATTATTGATACGGCCACCAGACACGGTTGTGACTTGGTCATAACCTTTAGAGATAGATTCAACAATCTAGACAAGAATACCTGTTATACGAGTTTTGATTTCTGTATGGATGTAGACTAGCGAGCAGTCATCAAGCTACCTATGTGGACAGGGTGATGAAATGAAGAACATTTTTAGCAGCCTCCTGCGTAACCGTCTCCAATTCCTCTTCTTCCACACCCTCCCGGGCAACAACTCCCCTATCAGGCGCGATCGAGAAGCCGGTGTACAAGTGAGCGAGCACAACGACGTACTCTGGCAGCAACGCCATGAGGGCGAATGCCACGGCGTTGCCAGTGACGGGGTTGAAGGGCGATGAGGCGGAGTCTTGGAGGGCGACTTCAAGGAGGCCGAAGACGGTGCGGATGATGAGGAAGGGGGCTGCGAGGAGGCCGCCGCGGAGTACGATTCGACTGCTGGGAAGAAGAGTGTCCTTCTTCCTCCGCCAGTAGAAGCCCATAAAGGCAATGAGCACGACGTGCATGGCCGCGAAGACAACGTATCCGACGAAGGTGAGCGTGCGGCTGAGATATATCTCAAAGGGGGTGTCGAAGGAAGAGATTGCGCCGCCGGCGACGAGGAGGCAGATTGCTATTGCGAGGGCGCCGCGCATGAGGCCTGTGAGAATTCTGGCGCGGGAGGGAGAGGTGTAGTTGTCTAGCAGGCTTTTTTTTTTTTTTATCACAGGGATTAATACTCGACTCTATGTTCTTTGGGGAAGGAGGAGGATAAGGGATAGAAGGGAGGAGGAGGGTAGGGGACTTACATGATGCGGACGAAGCCTAGTGTTGCGATGATGAGAGGCACGGCGCCCACGTTGAGGAGGAGGATGGCGGCAGAGTAAAGGCCCATGCCGGAGAGGAGGTAATCGTGGTCGGGGGAGGAATATTGTTCGAGGGCGATTGTTACCGGGCCGCCTGCGATGCGAACTGTTTTCATTCATCACGGGTCAGTGTTTTGATCAACGTATGCCTTTCTCTTTCTTTGGTGTTTTGTTGCTGGGGGAGACTTGAACAGAGGGGAAAGAGGAGGTCGTAACTGAGGCTGAAGGGGATGAGAGGCCACCAGGCGAGTCGAGGACGGATTTGACCGTTGCGGTACATGAGCCGTATGGCGGCCGGGACGATGGGGACGTAGAAGGCGATGAGGGCTATGCCCAGGGATTCGTGGGGGCTGAGCATCTTTGCCTTATTGCTTTGATGAGGATTCTGTAAGGGGTCCTTGGTGAAGACAGGATGGTAGTTGTAGAAGTGCTGCTGCTTCGGATGAAAAGCTCGCAAGTATGGAAACGCTCGGATAGCATCTGCAAGAACTTGAACGCATGGACCAGAGAGAAAGGGCATCAACCCCCTTCTTAAAGTAGACAGCCAACTACGTACTAACTATCCATTATAGTTGAAAACCCAAAGCTCAAGCCATAACACTGACGATGAGCCCACCGCCGACATAGTCATCGAACAGCATCATTCAAGGCAGATCATCTACTTCCATCTAGGGAACGCCTCGTGGCTGCGTCCGAGAGGAGGGGCCAACAGCCCCCCCAAGACTACGGAACATTCTTCCTTTGGATCTTCATAGGAGAATTCTGCACTGCCGGGCTCCCGGGCGGACGAATCACATACGTTGAATAATGTTGTTGAAGTTGAGCTGAGTGCCTTAGAGTTGGGATTTCGGGAGGGCTGGACGGGAGATGTAGTTGAGATGCGTGACGGCGGCGATCAGCTCGTGGTATAATGCTCTAAAGGGAATAGATTCCCCTGTTAGAACTCTCAAGCCGTTACTAGTTCATCTGGAACAGAATAGGGGAGATCCAACATGATTCACACTTCCTCTTGAGGTTGATGTTGATTGGTGTTCCTGGCGGGCGATTTCGTGGCATAAAGCCGGTTTGGGCTTAACCTTGGGCACTTTGTTTCTTCTAGTGCCTGGAGGCTTTTCTTCTAGTGCGAAAATATCAGAGTTATATTGGCGGATTGGGAGGTGGTCTAGTTTGGTGACACCTGAGCCTCAAGGGGGGCTAATGGTGTGCGAGATGATGCTCTTCCTCAAGACGTCAAGTCTTGCAGGAGTGCTTGATTTCTGTAAGCGATATATAGTGCGGGGAGGAAATGGACCAAAAGCTCGTTGACTGCTAGACCAAACGCCGGCCTCTGGCAGCCTCTATTGTCGCCATGAGGTATAGCATAATAGCTGAGGGTATATATATGCACCAGTCAGAGTTCAAAGATAGCTAAGGACTTGAACTTGCACAAATTGTATTGAAGTGATAGCAAGTAGATATCCTTCCCAAAGACTTAAGACCAATCCCATTCTGCGTGCTTGCGAGAGTATTCTCATGTGCTTAGTCTACAGCAGCCACTGGGGCCTCGACATGAAACAGCTTGGTTACGAACTCCTGCTCGTCGATGCAGGCAATAGCCGGGCCCGTGGATAACGGTTTATCACTGAGGAAGTTCCGGATCCCCGTGGCAGATACGACGTGGTCCTGGATCTTGATTGCCAGTTCTGGCCATTTCTGGGTGATCTTGCCCTGGCTGTCCTGGACATCTTTGCGGACCTGCTCAAGGTAGACCTGCCGTGCGACTTCCAAGCCGCATTCCAAGTCTCTGGCACAGTTCAATATGTGACCATCGGCTTTGGTACGGACGGCCAAGAATGGTTGTTTGCGGTAGCTACACAACTGCAACAATCGAATGTCGGACTAAAGAATTGTCAGCCGCCTCAGCAGGCTACTTATACAGACGGAACCCATTAGTAGCATCACGCACCATGGTCAAAGTTGTATCGTGAACGAGTACGACCAGGTCAAAAGCATACAGCTTCTGGTCATAATAGTATCGAAAGGCTGGCACATCTTGAGTGCCTGCACCAGGAGTGTCGAACAGCACCACACGCGGATGGTCGGGGGTCTCGTAACGCCCCAGGTTCATCGTCACTTGGCTCGAGCCCACGGGAGCAGCACCAGAATCCGCGGGGCGCATGCCGCAGAGGGCGTTGACGAGCGACGACTTGCCGACGTTTACGTTGCCAGCAAAGACAATGTTCTTGCGCTTGTGGACGTAGCCCACCGACTCTTGCGCTCTGAGGGTGACCTCATCCGTGATCTCTGGCTCGTCCGCATTACAACCTCTAGCGATTGGAAAGTCAGCAAGTCCGCTCAGACTGCACAGATGTGAAGAGGGGATATAGGTCTCACAGTTCTTCCAGAAGTGCTCGGAGATTGTTTTCGCGCTCCTGCGACTTGGCCAGTTCCCGCCGCGCCTCTTCCTCTCGTTGCTCGGCTTCACGTCTCTTCCTCTTCTCTCTCTCTCGGCCGAGTAAGTCGTCGACCAGCTTGACGCCGGCGCCGATGACTATCGGTGCAATAAAGGGCAGCGCCATGACGCGATTTCCACGCAGGTGGATGATTTGTCTTGATGCCTGGACCCAACTCGTGCTCTGCTCGGGATAGACGAAGAAGAGTCGCTCTATAGCAACACGACTTGCAGGCAACCAAACGTAGCAAGACAGGCGAAGAAGGGGGACGTAGACGAGATGATGAGCAGCTGAGTTCTTTTAAAGTGCGGGGTAAGCAGCCAGCTGGCGATTTGCCATTGCACAGCCATTGAGCGTCTGCCTTGTTGTTCTTGCATGAAGCCACTTCTCAGCCTCACCACATGCAGTTGAGAGTCAAGTTGATCCCCAGCGACCGCTGATTCGACTGCCACAGTTATTCAAGCGTCATGGCGTGAAGTAAGCATACGAATAAGCGTTATGCTGTAAATTATGCTCTTTCACATCGAGGCCTCAGGTTTCATATCAGTTTGCCGGCGTTCGTGGTGTTCGTGGTGTTGTGGGCTGTGTCTGTGTAGGCCGGTTTTTGTTGTATTAGTTCAGCTTCGTACGGTTCACTCGACAACACCAGATCAAGCTCCAATGGTACAAATGCATACTAAGGTACCTAGTAATTACTTATCAGTAGATACGGTATTACTCCAAGGCCATCCTATTCTTCTTCTTCTTTTCCCTTTTTACAAGATGCAATGAACCTTGTACGACTCCTCCCCAAAGGGGCAAACGGCCGGCGCGATCTTGTTTCGCATGGCGTTTCGCCCTGTCACGGCTCTGTCCCGCTCTCACCACTGGCAGCTAGATTGTTTCAAAGCCCGGTCAAGGGGGCCTTAGCCATCGTGTTGCCACCTCTGAATACCTGCATCATTGCATGCTGCTCAACTGTCGATGCCGCAGCCGTCAGACGAGCCATCAGTCTCGCTCAGCTCGATCAATTCCACGTGGTGGGAAATGACTCGTGTAGTAGGCTATTGCATCTGATAACAAAGTCATATTTGGGTTGTCAATGAGGCAAGCTTCTACAGAGTAGTATCTCAAATCACTGGGGTATTCAGTCCCGGTACATGCCGGAAAAGATGGCTGTATCAAATTAATTATCCATATCGAGCGATGCTGGCCACGTTTCAGTAAAACACTCTCCCTGTGAACCTAACGAGTAATGGAGCTGTCATCACGTCCCTTGCTATCTAAAGACAGCGTCACCTGGATAGCAAGCTAGAGAAGAGAAAGTCTCGTCTTCCCTCAGGATGTTCGTGAACTTTCACCAGAGCGACGGCTTGTCCCTCCTCTCTGGCTTTACATTACATGCATGAAACGTATCTTGCTACGATCAATACTAACCCCACGATATTTGACATCTCGCGGTTGGCGATTTGGAGACTGATGAGAAGCAGAGGGTTGCCATGAGGCCAATCTTATTCGTCCTCCTTGCTGTAGCCGCCGGCGAGGCGCTTCCTCCTGATGCAGTTCCCGTCATGTGTGCCGCCATCTGCGGGCCAATTGTTGAGCTGAGTTCGATGTGCAGCCCAAAGAGATCGTTATGGGACTTGGACAGCCACAAACTGGAAGTGAGAGCACACGCCGGTCATGCGAAGAGACACAATGGGAGACATATTGAGGATGAGAGGAGGGAGAAGCGCTTCTCAGTCATTGTCCCAGCTCCGACGACGTTTCCCCCCAATCTAGTAGGAGAATCGTATGTCCCGGCATCGTCTCCAGCATCATGGGAAACAACACCAGCGCCGGCCCAACCGCCGGCACAGAACTACGCTCCCCCGACTCAGCCTCAATCTACTCCGGCTCCGGCTCCGGCCCCGACTCCAACAACGACACCCAGCAACTGGTCCCCGTCACCAGCTTCCGTAGCATCATCATCTACCACGTCACGGAGCGTACAGCAACCGACCGCATCCATGGTGACAAAGAAGGAATCGGCTGCTTTACCCGCTACTACCTCCAGGCATCGCACATCAGGCATGCCAGCCGAGACAGTTTCTGATGGAAGTGGAGGTGGAATGACCGATGGACAGGAGGAGATAGAAAACGCAGAGGAGAGATGTGTATGCTTGAACACGAGCTTCAACGTGGCAGAGATTGCCGGGCTATGTGCCAGCTGCATCGGGATGGTTGCAGATACGCAGAACAGTAAGTACAAGACGAAGTTTACGGTTGTTATGCCCGGCCGAAGCTGACCAAGTAATGCAGATATGCAAGTCATCATGTCTGTATGTGGCTTCCCGTCGCAGCAATATAGCCCGGACAAGGACAAGCTGGCGAGCAACATCTGGGTCAAGGCAACGAGGCCGACGGCTGGGGTCAAGACAAACGGGGCTTCTCGGTCGACTCGGCTTGCAAGCATAGGGGTAATAGTAGGAGTGGGCTTCACAACTGGGGCCTTGATGATGCTATGATGTGACTTTTACTTCTGATGAGCTTCTCTTCTTCTTTCCATTTTTTTTGAACTTTGTACATATATAGCTCATATACAGATCGAGGCGAGTATATAGGGTGTCTCTTATCAGAGTAGGTATATACAGAGAGAGAATGATTATCTGGGCACGCCTGGAAGTCGTTGGACGGTGGAATAACCGGATGTCAGCACCTCAACTTCAGGTCGTCTACATCACGAAAGCGCCCGTGGCTTGACTGCCGATGTCTTTGGGCTGGACACTTCTGCATTCATGCCGGACCAAAGTCCTGCTGCAGTATCTGATGACTCAATCCGATAATATTCGGATGGACATGGCCTACAAAGACGGCGGTAAGATAGCAACGGATGAGGTACCATATCTGGTCCATGTAGGTTATACGCAGACTGCTCAGTGATTGCTGGGACGAGCTACTGCACATTGCGTGTTCGCACGCATAGCCGAGACCAAGTTTACTAGATCTTAGCCTACAGACACACTTGACGATGACCATGAATTGAGTTCATGTGGGTAAGACTTTCGGGCCTCATGCTCCGAAAAGCCATGCTTGCAAAGGTAGACATAGGTAATATCATTCACAGCCAAGTAGGTGAAAGCGCCAGCTAAAGATTCATCCAAACGACAGAATCGGGTTGATCAGCAATGTAATACAATTGTCTTCTGCACAACACCACGCGAAGCCCCCATGGATTCAAATATCATCGAGTAATAGCTCATGGCCCAACTAAGTTGCGATAGTATCAGCAACCCAAACAGCCCATGCATCGCTTGAACCCCCCCTTGCAGGGAACAAACTGCTGGCGTCCGGCAACGGCTTAGCCGGCTGAAGTCGACGAGGCCGCGAAGAACGGGCTAGTGATTGCTCAATGGGAATCCAGGTGAGGTTATTGGCGGATCGTGGCGATAGTCTCGCATCTTACAGCGCTTCTTCGACCTAAGGGGCCGCACTACTGAAAAGTTGGTGAAGAATCTGCTCCAGGTCATCAGAGTCCAACGCATACAGTATTACCGTGGAGAAGCTCTCGCAAGCATCGGCTCACTCCTTACATGTACTCATGGTTCATGATCCCGCGGCGCAGTTCTGGTCGAGTAGCAAAGAAAGAGGAAACTGCTTGTGCGTGTACATGTAATACATGTAAATTGACACCACAACCGTGAAGGGCTCAAGTCTGTCACCTGGCATCCTTATGATCATTTTCGCCTCATGCGCGTATCAAAGGCCTAGTATGAGCGTCTCCGGCTGACGCGCAGGTGGCCATCTTTCCAGAGGTTGACCTGTCATATGAAGCTGACATCAAATGGTACATGTAATCGCAGTTGCTGAGCGCTACGAGATATAGTACATGTATGGGGGTTTGCACACCATCTTTTCGTTCGTATTAAAGCAATGCGGCTACTACTCGTCAGAACATGATGGTTGTGCCCGTGACTCTGCCTGTCCGCACCTCCATCCGCAGCTATTAACCCCGTTGATGCCCAGTTCCAGACCGTTGACCTTGTCTTGAAAGCTGGGCTTGGACATGCAGTGGCTTGACTCGGTCTGAGACGCTGAAATTGCGCCCAAACAGGCGAGAGTGGACGGAACTGCATAATCGGACCAACAATCAGAGACATTTCATTCTCTGCGATAGCCTCTCCCTCGACTATCGAGCGTCTGTCCTAGCGTGGCTCAACGTATTAGGCCCCCTCCGATTATTGCCTTTTAGATACCCAACCAAGCCAACCATCGCGGGCCATCTCGCCACCTATCACGACCACGCGGAGCTATTCCAAGGCCTCCAGCTTGATTCTTGCTCTGCAGCTCCTCATTAGCCAGCCTTGAGGAGGCTGCACCGCAACTCGCTGGTCATCACCTGACGAAGGCGGATGAAGACCGCTGTCCGCAGCTCGGCGGCCGACGAGGCTGCCTAATTCTATGAGAGGCTGCGACTGATCGGCCGACGCCTGTCCGCAATCAAACGAGTGTCTCTGTTGTTGGTGACTGAGTCGGACGGCACATATCTCTTCCTTGGCGGGAAGTGACGGCAGCTTGCAGAGGCATCAATCTCTGCTCTTCTCCCTTCTTTTGCCATAGTACTATCATCTTTGTCGTCTCGTTCCGTTCGACATATATAATTGTTACCTTTAGTTGCCGTTGCTCTCTTCCATCATCTCCATCCCCCTATAGCCAATCTCACCACATAGACTTGTTCCCATCTGCACCAAGACCAAGATCCTCATACTACATACATACCTACCTACCTTACCTAGACCCCAAACGTTGTCGCACGTCATTGTCGGCACATCATGGAACACAGTCGATCAAACAACCGGCAACTCGCCGTACCACAAGCTCCTACTACATCTGCAACACAGCCATCACAGCTCCGCCATCGACTGTCCTTCCGGGATCGCTTCTGGACAAGGACCAGCGCAAACTACGACGGCGAAGACGATGTCATCCACGAGAGCCAGCCCAACCCCGTCAAGAAGAGCCCCTACGTCCCGCAAAACGCGGCCTCTGGCTTCTCGAGAACATCATCATCGCTACGCGAGCAGAGCAGGCGAACTCTTCGGCCGGACAAGCCATCGCCGTCCAGCAAGCATGACACCAGCTTCAACCCCTACGCTCCATCGCCGTTCCGGGACCACCTCGCGCCAGGCCATCTCTACGTCCACACTGAGACCGGATCCGACGAGCCCGAGCCCGAGCACGAGCACGAGGCTGCGTCGTCGTCCTCCCAGACTGGACGGGATACTACTAGTAGTACTACTACCACCGACTTTGCCGCCTTTATCGCCGCCGCGCAGAGCGAGGAGCGCGTGCGCCGTGCGGCGTCCCAGACGCAGGGAGGAGCTGCGCGCAGCAGCCAATATCGCGACAGCGGGTACTATTCGTCGTCCAACGGCGGGGGAGGAGGACGCCACGATTCGGATCTCGAGCGCAGGCCTTATTCGCCCTCTTTGCCGTCGTCGGCCGGGGTGGCGAGGGCCAAGGGGCAGCAGCAGTCGGGGAGGTCGTTTGGGCAGCGCATTGCAGAGTATATCAAGCCGCCGAGGGATGAAGCTGTGGCGGCGATGCGGCGGTGATGGGGGGGGGGGGAGACGGGGATAGTAGTATGCGGATGTAATGTTAAAGGTTCAGTAATATCATTGAGAGGGCATGTGGTACTTGGCGATGGAAGACGCCGAGATGTCTTGCCTCGGGACACATGGGTAATACAGCGTCAGATACTGTACACAGCATTAGGCGTTTGGATGGATGGATGGATTTGCATATTGATTTATTTGACATATTAATGACACTTTTCTTGATTTGATAATTCCTGTCAAAGACTCTACATACAAAGACTTTCTGCAAACCAGCCACTTACTGTACATCCATGGAGCCCTTGTTCATCTCCGTCATTTCTGCCCATCAATCAATCACACGCACGCGCCACAACCCCTGCCGATCCGCAATCAAAAGCCAAGAGATATGCTGTAGTAGCGGCGGCAGTGTCAAATTGAAGCTTAAAAGCCAAGAAACGAGGGCTTAAAAAGTCCCTCCCCCTCCCCTTCTTTCGACCTCCTTTTCCTGGCCTGCATCTCCGACTACTACTACTACTACTAACTAGTAGCTCAACCCCTTGAACCCGCGCGGCCTGCCTGTCTCAGAAAAGTCGTGGATCTTGTACACACATACGAGAGACAATTTGCCCGGGATGGCGTGGAGCAGCGGCTACCAACAATCTTTGTCTCTCCTTACTCACCTACCTTGTCAACTTGTTCCATGGCCGGGCGACTCCGTCTGGCTGAGGTGTCATTGATGGAATGCTTGGAATGACGAGCAGAACAATGGGTTTGGGATATGGACGTGATGCTAGAGTATAGACACTATGACTTTGAATATTTCTCAATAACAAATGCATCGTTTCTTATTCTTCTCCTCCTGCCTGTTGACAGAAATCGTTCAAACGCGGCGAGCCCACATTTCATTTCGCATAGACGCCATTTAAGGAAGCAATAAAAATCTCCCAAGATAGGCAGCTTCCTACATGTGATACTAGTATCGGGCCCTGCCGATCTCTCTCCGTCTGATGATGGTTGTCTATTTGTCTAGGTAAATACAGTAGTATGTAGCTACCTATCCAACCTACCTAGGTAGGTATGATATAGTCCATCATCTAGTACTATCGCGGAGACGTGCTTCCTGGGGTAAAATGAGAAAAAGATCCGGCGTAACCCAGCTGGGCAGCTCGAAAATGGCCTTTCTCGCCTGGGAACGAACCAATCGCGAGACGACCTTGAAAGATATCAAATGCACTTTTGGTCCTACGACTATTACTAGTATTAGCATGCCTTCAAACGTCCCCAAGAAGCAATACTAGTATTATCCGTACTCCGTTCCGTTCCTTAAGACTTGCAGGCCGTCTATTGCACAAATCAGGGTGACATGGCGCCCTTCCAGGGTCGCAGCCGAGCATGTTTGCATCGTCCCGTGAGATGCACCATCGGACGCACACAAGGTTGCTCCTCCTCCATTGGCTTGTCCGCGCCGTCCAGCCGCATCTCACCAAGGGCAAGGGTGATGCAGGGTAGGGTGGCATCGGCTTGCATCTCGACATCTGCTCCTTCGTGCCCCCCCAAGACTGCCATGCCTGTGACTGGCCAAGCCCGGCAATGCCAACATTTGCTACCGCGCTGCCCGTCTTCCTTGGCAAACATGGCCCTCATCACGACCTGCCCTTGTGGATGTCTCACATAACGCGGGCACACAGGTCATGATGTAGGTACATGCTGCTAGGCCGACCTGCTAGTCATTGCGCGGAACACGGGCTGCCAAGCTCGCATTCCCTAGCAGAGGCAGGAAGGGGGAAGGGGGAGGGGAGCCAGTTTCGAACTGAGCAATGACACCATGTGGTCTGGTCTCTGGACGTCGTCGTTAATATATTACCTGTCCCTCCTACCGCATCTTTGTCCTGCTCCCTCAGCACTGCTTCGTGAAGCAAAGCAAACATGAAGTCGGCATTGCTCTGGGCGGCTCCCCTCTCGCTGCTGGCGGGCCTCGGTGCCTGCGGGAAGAACTTTGACGAGCTTCTCGAGGTCCCGGAAGGATGGACGCAGCTCAACGATGCCGTCAATCCCTCGCAGCACATACGGCTGTCGATTGCCGTGAAGCAGCCATATATCGACAGCCTGGAGGCCAGGATGGCAGAGAAAGGCAACCGTCTGTCGATGCAAGAGGTCCGGGAGCTGCAGACTCCAGCCAAAAAGGACATTGACAATGTGCTGCACTGGCTCTCGCAGAACAACCTCTACGGCGTCGTCGAAAAGGACTTTATTCGAGTCTGGACGACCGTCGCCAAAGCCGAGCCGCTGCTCAAGATGAAGCTCAGCCGCTTCTCGTACGAAGGCAAGCCGGCGGTGCTGCGAACGACCAAGTACACCATCCCCGACTCCGTGGCCGACTCCATCAGCTTCATCAACCCCATCAACAACTTCATGTCGGCGCGCCATCGTGAACGGGGCCTGACTTTCCTACTTCCTCCGTCAAAGGGCGCCGTCCTGCCAGGGAACACGACGGCCTATTGCGCCGGCAGCGTGACCCCGTCGTGTCTTTCCAAGCTCTACAACATCAACTACTCGCCCGCCAACACCAGCTCGCCCGTCATCTTTGGCGTGGCTGGCTTCCTCGAGGAAAACGCCAACCTCCAGGATCTCCGACAGTTCCTCAACCAGTCGGCGCCCGAGGTGGCCAAGACGGGACGCACCATCAATGTCGAGCTGGTCAACGGCGGCGTCAACTCGCAGGAGCTGAGCGAGTCTGGCATCGAAGCGGCCCTGGACGTTGACTATGCCGTGTCGCTGGGCTTCCCCACAAACGTCACCTTTTACTCTACCGGAGGCCGCGGCGTCAAGCTCAACGACGACGGACAGCCCATCGAGGGCGAGGACGACGACAACGAGCCGTACCTCGAGTTCTTCCAGTACCTGCTGGCCAAGCCCGACGGCCAGGTGCCGCACGTCCTGTCGCTGTCGTACTCGGACGACGAGTTGTCCGTGCCCCGCGACTATGCGAAGCGCGTCTGCAGCCTGTTTGGCCTGCTGACGGCCCGCGGAACGTCCATCATCTTCTCGTCCGGCGATGGCGGCGCTCGCGGCGGCCGAGCATCGAGCTGCCTGACCAACGACGGCACGAAGCGTCAAGTCACCATGGCGACCTTCCCGCCCACCTGTCCCTGGGTGACGTCGATTGGCGCCGTCACCAACATCGCAGAGCCTCCCAACGGCGCCAGATTCAGCACCGGCGGCTTCTCCCAGTACTTTGCCCAACCTCGATGGCAGAACGAGGCAGTCGAGGGCTACGTCAAGGCGCTCGGGGGGCACCTGGACGGCTACTACAACGAGTCCATGCGAGCCATCCCCGACGTTTCAGCAGTCGGCACCGCCTTCAGCATCATCTCGGGCGGCTACCCGCGCTCTGTTCAGGGCACCAGCGCCAGCGCCCCCGTCTTCGCCGCCATGATTGCCCTGATCAACGACGCCCGCCTGCGCGCCGGCAAGAAGTCGCTGGGCTTCCTGAACCAGCACCTGTACTCGAGCGAGGTCAGAGCCGTGCTGCAGGACATCACGGCGGGACAGAGCGCCTCTTGCATCTGGAACGACGCAGACATACCGGGAGGCTGGCCGGCGGCCGAGGGCTGGGATGCCATTACGGGGCTGGGCGTGCCCAAGCGGTTCGACAAGCTGATGGAGGTGCTGGTGAATGTATGAGTTAATAGTTTCTAGTGAATTGAAGTGGCAAGATATGCCTCTGTACAATGGGCTCCATCATAAAGATCAATGGCTCGTATTACATGATGTCCATGTGTGTCACAAGTGATTGATGTGAGGCATCGAGTTCAGGTTCCAGGTCAGGTTATCAGATCAACGGGCAGTTCCACATCAGCCATGCCCCAACTGCTCTAGCGCTGTCAACCGCTACTGAGCCCAGCTCCAGCGGTGCCCACAGGGCCTTCCCCGACCAAACCCGCCGCGCCTTAGCAGTCCAGGCCCGCTGAGGGCCGCTAACCACGCGCTGCAGGGCGCCGGACGGCCACTGACGGCGCCTGCGGGCCACTAACCGCCGGCGCCGCTAAGCCCGCCTCGGCAATGGACAACACCCGCGACCTGTGAACCTCGAAATCGCTGGCGCGTCTGATGGCCTCCAGTGTTCTCACCGACATCGACCGGGGGCTCAGCTCGACCTCGTGCAGATTCGCGCGTTTCTCTGGCATTCCGTGTCGACAGTGACTCCAATCTCGTTTCTGCATAGCTTCGGCATCGTTTCTGCATAGCTTCTGCATCGTTTCTGCATCGCTTCCTATTCTTCTCTTTTTTCCGTTACAAACGACTCTGCACTAAAGATACGGGCTAGCTCTCGCCTACGACATCCACGCCTCTCGGTTCGCGCGCCTCAAACACAAATATTACTATCACCTTTGGCCAATTTTCCCTGTCTGCATATCAGATCCTCGATTCGTCCTCAACAAGTTCCACAGCCGAAGCTGGGGATCCTTTTCCAGAATCCCAAGTCTCCCTCGGATTAACGCCTTACCCGAACACTCTGGCCGGGCGCAGCTGCAAGGGTCTCGCACAACCGCCAGCCGCCTCCTCTCCGCACTTTCGCAACCGCCATCACCCGTCACCACGATGCCGATTCCTGCTGTGCGCTCGATCAACTCGGTTCAAGTCTAAAGCCTCGAGAGATACAGCCACAGGGCGCGGCTCCGGGCTCTAGTGCTCGGACAGCCTTGAAAATCTGTGGCGCTTTGATAGTACTACTACCTTGGCTGAAGCTCCCGCTTCTGCCTCCCATCTCGTTTCTCCCTCCTTCTCTTCTCCTGATAAGCATCTTCCACGCCTGGCGACTGGCTTCGCCCGCTTCAAGATGCCCACGCAGCACGTCGAGCCCGAGTCTCACGCTCTGCTCCAAGATGTCGCAAACTCTCTGCTCAAGGCGCGAAAGGTGGTCGTGGTTACCGGCGCGGGCATCAGCACCAACTCGGGCATACCGGTTCGTCCTTGAACCAGGCAAGAGGTGCTTGGGATCTGGCGCATGCTGACTGCTCATCAGGACTTCCGCTCCGAAAATGGCCTCTACTCGCTCATCCAGGCTCAGTTCGACGCTGCGAACCAGCCTACGCGACCGGCCGAACGAAGCAAGGCTGACGGCACCGCCGACAGCGGAGAGGAGCCTCGCCCGACGAAACGCGGAATGACGTCGCGGGAGGCTTCCCCAGACCTGGACGAGGTTACCCGACAGCTGAGAGACGACATTGAAGCCCGCGCCGAGTCCCAGAGGCCCGCTGCGTCCAGTCGAGCCGCCGGCACGCAGCCAGCCGTGGCCGCCTCGGATGCAAACGCGTCGGCAGAGGGCGTTTGTTTGAGCACTCCGCGTCGCAAGCCCGCGCTTCCCTCCACCCCCCTGCCGACGACGTCTCCCCTCTCTTCTCCTCCCCGAGAAGACTTTCTGATTCCTTTGCCGTCATGGTCTTCGTCATCGATCCTGCGAACCGAAGATCGTAAGCGCATCACCGACGCCTCTCACAATGTCGTTTCGTCTCCTCTCTCCTCGCCGCCGCCGGTCCTCTTCGATCCCTTTCACCCTTCCTCTCCTTCCGACGAAGACAGGAGTCGCCGTAGTAGCACCACGCCGTCGGAAGCGGGAGAGAACCCGCCCAACGCGATGCCCGCTTCCCAGACATCCAGCTTCGGAAAGGCAAACCTGCCCAACATGAAGGGCAAGGACCTCTTCGACGCTTCGATATGGTCGGATCCTACGAGGACCTCCGTCTTCTACCAGTTTGCAACGTCTCTACGGCAAAAGGTCCGCGACGCCGAGCCTACAAGCTCCCACAAGTTCATCAGCCACCTGAGGGACCGCGGCAAGCTGGTACGATGCTATACGCAAAACATTGACCAAATTGAGGAGAAGGTCGGCCTGTCGACGTCTTTGGAGGATGGGCCGGGCAGTCGAGGACGCTTCTCGCGCAAAGCGACGGCAAACGCTTCGCAGCTCAACAAAATGGTGCAAGAAGTATCCAGCGGTGAGGGCGGCGCATCCAGCCATGTCAATGCGTCCAGCCAATCATCGAATGGGTCGAGTGAGCAATCATCAGCAGAGTCATCACAGGCCAATGATAGGACGGAAGAGGAAGACAGTGCTGGCAGCAGCAGCACCACCGCCGCCACCACCACCACCACCACCACACCGCCAGATCGACCCAAGCCGGCCCCGAGAAAGGAGCCGCCGCAATCGGGTGTGGAGTGCGTCTTCCTGCATGGCTCGCTGCAGCTTCTACGATGCTTCCTCTGCGGGCAGGTGTGCTCTTGGGACGACGACGACCGCGAGGTGGAGACGCTGTCCGGCCTGCAGCCTGAATGTCCTCACTGCGTTGGCGCCACGGAAGCGCGTCAGGAAAGGGGCAAGCGAGCGCTGGGCGTGGGCAAGCTGCGTCCCGACATTGTGCTCTATGGCGAGGAGCACCCCAGCGCCCACCTCATCAGCCCCATCGTGACGCACGATCTTGCCCTGTATCCGGACATGCTCCTGATCCTGGGGACCAGCCTGCGAGTCCACGGGCTCAAGGTCCTCGTCAGGGAGTTTGCAAAGACGGTGCACAGCCGTGGCGGCAAGGTAGTCTTTGTCAACTTCACCAAGCCGCCAGAGAGCTCCTGGGGCGACATCATTGACTACTGGATCCAGTGGGACTGTGACGCGTGGGTGAGCGATCTCCAGGTGCGCATCCCCAAGCTCTGGCAAGATCCGGAGCCGCCAAAGCCCAAGAAGAAGCGCGACTCGGGAGGAGCCGCCGACGACAATCGCGAGGAGAAGAAGAGACCGCCTGCACAGAACCCGGTTGCCTTGCGCGACACAAAGGTGAATGGCGCGTACTGCACGCTGAAAATTCTCAAAGAGCTGCGCAGAATCACATACACGTGCCCTCCGCCGCCGCCTCCTTCTTCCCTTTCCCTTGCTGTCGCCCTTGCAGGTGCGCCTCCCTCTTCATCCCGACCAGTCACTCAGCCGCCGTTGAGTCGTGACTCGGCCGCCATCGGGAACCCCATCATCACCGCGCCCGAGCCCCCGACTACCACCGAGGCGATTTCTCGAGCTGTGGCCATGGATTCTTCGCGCACAAGCACGCCCAGGGGCAAGTCCAAACGATCGCGTAGGTCTGCGACAGGAGCCATAGACAGGCCTAAGCGGACGCCATCGACACTGAATCCGAACCATGGCCGGTCCAAGAAACCCACGGCAGAGGCCAAGAAGAAACAGCAGGAGGAGGAGGAAGTGCCTGAGACGCCTAGCCAGCCGCCAGCTAGCACGGTGGAGGAATTCAGCTCGATCCTCCACTCTGTCAAGTCTAACCCACGCATACGGAAGCGGAAGATGATTGACGGAGAAGAATTTGTATTTCCCGCGGTTGGGAAGAAGCGCGGCGCGGTGGATAGCCTATACAAGGGGCCGGGGGACGACACAAAGGAGCTACCACCTCTGCGCCCTATGCCGGAACCTATATCAGCATCCCCGGTGGCAGCCCTGCCTACGGAAGCAGAGGGCTCCGTGGACGAGCCCCTGGCATCAATTTCGGTCAATGTACGAGCAGCAACGACGTTTGCGCGGCCGGAGGCCTTTTACATCCAGGATCCGCTCGTGACACTACTGGAAAAGGCACCGCAGTGGAAGACGCTGGAAGCGAAGCAGGGCGAGTCGAAGCGCGGCAAGCGGCGCGTATCTAAGAGATTCCTCCCGATGCAGATGGAGACCAAGGCGCAGGCTGAGGCAAACGCGGCACTGGCACTGGCGGGCCTGAAGACCAACAGCCCCATGATGGCCGAGGTTGCTCATTCAGTGTCTGGCGGCGGCCTTCCGGAGCTGGCCAGCTGGGCGGCCACTTGGAGCTGCAAGAAATAGGATTGCAGGTCGTGTTGGTGTTTCTACTGCGGATGACTTTGGCCTCTTTTTCCTTCATTTCTCTTCCTCACTTTACGCCCAACTTCTTTCTTTCTTCACTTATTGGCCTTGTTTCTTTCGATAGGGATTGTTGTTGTTTCGATAGACACCGACAGCGGAGAGCGGTACCATAGGCAGCCGACATATGATGAGCATTTACACCGGTGTTGGCGGTTATCACGATGTTTGACAGGACCAGGGCTAGGGATACAGGAGGTCGTACCTTTTTCTTCGTCTTTCTCGTGTTCATGGGGCACACAGGCAGGAAGTCATGAGGTATAGCAGAGGTATTAGACAAGGTTCTGAGCGTGGTGCATATATTTGCACCCTTTTTTTTTTCTCCAATTGTCCTTTCACCTTCTCATAGGTGTTTACAGATGGCATAGACTCGACAGAATCCCGACTGGACCCCATCTGGTCTCACGTTTTCACATGTCTGATGTGCCTTTTACGCGTGCTGGTAGCATACAATCGGTTAGTGACGGGCTATGACTCTGGCCAAGAGACAAAAAGTCGTTTCCCCTCACCAAAGGGCGCAGATGCTTGTCTCTTTGGGCCTTAGCCTTGATGTTAGCGAGGACGGTCATATGCGGGATGAACTGGTTTACCCGTGTCTGTCATTCAATGACAAAGTGCCAGAAGACACGAGCGGGCGTGAATCTGCGTAATCTACATGTACTACCGACCCGTTCCCGTTCGCTGTGCCTTTAAGCTCTGGTGGGGAGGTGGGATGTAAGGCCGAAGCCGCTCCCGAGGAGGCGGGGCAGAGAGGATTGAAGATGCGTGAGATGCAACAAGAGTCAGATTTGTCAATGCAAGCAAGCAATTGAGTGAGGTGTGAAAGGCTGACTTGTCATTGTTTTCTGGCGTGAGACCTGGTTCGCTTGTTCAGAGAAGGATTCATCTACTATTGATTGAGACACCGGTGCCGGAAGGGGAGTGAGTCTATTCGCCGAGCAAGTTTGAAGAGGGTGAGTGACGCATGGAGGAGTTGAGACTGTGGATTGTGGATAAATACTGACTGCTGCCGCAGGCATTTACCAGTCTGGGGTCAGACGACACAGCAGGCATTCTTTGAGAAACTGCGTTTAGAAAAGACTTATCTTTTTGATCAAGATATGGCGTCTCTGCCGGTTCGTCAGCGAGAGGAAGGAGAGGCGAGGGTTGGCGAGGATGGCTTCAAGGTGTTTGGCGGCGAGATGAAGAAGGACTTTTTGTTTGCTCCCGGGTGGACGAACCTCAACCACGGTCCGTACCATTCCTCTCTCGCATACACATGGCCTAGCTGTTGAATCACCCATGCTGACGCCCCTTTCCAGGCTCGTACGGCACCATCCCCAGGGCCATCCAAGCAAAACTGCGCAGCTACCAAGACGACATTGAGGCTCGTCCCGACCCCTTTATCCGCTTCGAGCACGCCCGCCTGACGGACGAATCCCGCGCCGCCGTCGCGGGCGTGCTCAACGTCCCCGTCGAGACAGTCGTCTTCGTCAACAACGCGACCGAGGGCGTCAACACCGTCTTCCGCAACATCAAGTGGGACGCCGACGGCAAGGACGTGGCGCTCTGGTTCTCGACCGTGTACGAGGCGTGCGGCAAGGCGATTGATTTCCTGTACGACTACCACGGGGACGGACGGCTGTCGAGCCGGGAGATTGAGATTGCGTATCCGATCGAGGACGACGAGATCCTGCGGCGCTTCCGGAGCGCGGTGGAGCAGGTCCGGAGCGAGGGGAAGCGCGCCAAGATTTGCATCTTTGACGTGGTGTCGTCGCGGCCGGGCGTGGTGTTTCCCTGGGAGCGCATGGTGGCTGCGTGTCGCGAGCTGGGCGTGCTGAGCCTCGTGGACGGCGCGCAGGGGATCGGCATGGTGAGGCTGGATCTCGGGGCCGCGGATCCGGATTTCTTCGTGTCGAATTGTCACAAGTGGTTGTTTACGCCGAGGGGTTGCGCGGTGTTTTACGTGCCTGTGCGGAATCAGCCGTTGTTGCCGTCGACGCTGGCGACGAGTCATGGGTATGCTTCGTTGACGGGGAAGAGGAGGGCGCCGGCGGGGAAGCATGAAGATGATGATAATGATGACGGTTCTTTGAAGAAGAGCGCGTTTGTGAGCAACTTTGAGTTTACGGGGACGAGGGACTATACGCCGAATTTCTGTGTCAAGGATGCGGTTGCGTATCGGAGGGATGTGCTGGGTGGGGAGGAGAGGATTTTGGAGTATCTGTGGGATTTGAATAAGAAGGGGAGTAGGCTTGTTGCGGAGAGGCTGGGCACGGAGGTGTTGGAGAATAAAGAGGGGACGTTGACGAACTGCGCGATGGCGAACATTGCCATGCCTCTGTGGAAGGGCGAGGCAGGCAAGGAGGGGGATGTTGTTGTGCCTGAGGAGGATGGGGATCGGGTGGTTGTGTGGATGATGAGCACGATGGCGAAGGATTACAATACGATTGTGCCCATGTTTTGGCTCGGGAAGAGGTTCTGGGTGAGGATCAGTGCGCAGGTGTATTTGGATTTGGGAGATTATGAGTATGGCGCGGAGACGTTGAAGAAGTTGATTGAGAGGGTTGGCAAGGGGGAGTATAAGGGTGGCCAGAAGATTTGAGAGAAGAAATCCATAGAAAGAGGTATATAGGGAGTGTTAATAGGGTTGAGTTTCGTTGCTCGTGTTAGTCTGATGCTGGGAGTCGTGAGGAAGCATGCTGGACTCGTGAGAAGAAATATGAGGCAAGCTGGGATATGGCGGCAAAGTTTCCTGACTGAGAAACAAGTCTTTACCTGGTTCGTATAAGAGAAACCACATATGAAGTACTTGTAATGAGATAGCTCAACAGTGTCGTGCTCATAGTTGTGCATGCTTCTCTCAGGCTGGCCAGGCTGGGATGAAGCACGCTTGAGCTTGGAAGGGAACTATGAGGCAAACCGGAATATTCTAGCACGGTTTATGGACTTTGACCCACGTTAGACGACTTGTCTTGGCAAAAGAATGATGCGCAAAGTATACATATCACGTACGAGTATATAACCCATTACTGGCTCAGCTCATACATGCACACGGTCCTGTTGAGGCTCGCCAGACATACCCTGCATTCTTTGTCAACCCCCCGTGGACACGATAGAAGGAAACAATAGCGAGGTGAAATGCAGGGTCATGTGAGACTACAATCAAGATATGCGGGATCATGATTGATATCTGCAATATACTGCATCGAACTGGTGTTCCGACGTCTTGCTCCAGCGGTATAGTGTAACCAGCCGAGGCTGATCTAGGTATACATAGCATCACCACCGTTCTAGGGGGGTTCATATTTCTTTGTCCCCTCGGCATCATCAATTCGTCCGAAATGAAAGAAACAATATAATTAAGCAGCAATCAATCGAGCCGCTGCATGAACAAGCTTACTTGTCTCCCTCTTCCGAAGTGACAGACTGGACAACTCAATACCTTGTAACCCACGATGCATGACAATGATCACCGGCTTCAGGGCCCCTTCTAAGAAGGTTGTATCCAACTCAAAACGACCATGTCTCCTAAGCTGCCTATTTCGATAGAACCGTTTACTAGCTAAGACAAGATGATCACATTACTAGGCAATTCTACGGAGTCGTGCCGGGAGTACTACACAAAGGTGAGGCGAGAGAGGCTCTTGGTGATGGTGGTTTATTACCATGTCCTCGTGTGTAATATCCCAAGTGGGCGCTACGTTGCCCGTTTCAGAAGGACAAGGTTTTTGTCGAACCGCGAAGCGCCGGGATTCGCAGATTTTAGGCGCTGTTTCAGCCTCTCTGAAACAATCCGGGACAGCATTTAATAGGAACGTTGGGCTCCGTGGAAGCGGGTTGGTTGGCTGGGGAGGCATTTCGGGGATATTCCGTAGCTGGGGGGGTTTTCCATCGCTTGGCTTTGAAACGTCCCTTTGGAGAGAGAAGGGAATTTGGCTGAGGGTGATGAGGCGTCTCGTGAATGCGTATGAAGATTGAAGTTTGGTTCTCGTATTAGTTGCTGGATGTAGGGTTATGAGATGCGAGGAGTTCAAATGTGGTTATGCTTGCTGCTCTGGTTTACACTGTATGCCAGATTGGCCCGAAATTTGAGCATGAACAGCCGGAAATTGGTATGATGAGCCGGCTGCTTTTCCGATAGTATTCGCAACTCTGCTACTGTGTGCTTATACTGGGCTTACACGCAGACTTCAGTAGCAGCAGTAGCATCATCATCATCATCATCATCATCATCATCATCATCATCATCATCGACGACAATCACATACTGCCTCGTCATCTCGCGGTTGAACTGCATCGTCAACAGGCCATGCTCGTAGCCACACTCACCACACAACCCATCTCCAGCCTCAATCAACCACCTCGTCCGGATCCACGGCACAGACAGCAACCGGGCCCATGACTCCGTCCCAGGCTAATGGAACCAGGATTCTCCAAGGCCAGCCAGTTGCCAGCCCAAGGCCCTCGCGGCCCCACCCATTGTGAGGCGTCCTTTGTCTGAAGCTTGGCTCTCTCAGGGCTTCTTTCTCCACTGTGGCCGTTGACGACGACAAGGGACGACTTACACGGCGATACGGCCATTTGTATGTATGGCTTTGTTCATGCGAGGAAATGAGGCGACGAGAGGCTACGGGGCGTAAGCTGGCAAGAATGGGCAGATCGAGGCTTGTTAGTGGTGGACAGGGGAGAGAGGATGCTGGTAGATGCTGAGACTGTCCGCGTCTCCTCCTGCTGTGGTGCATCCCCTGGTTCCGATCGCCCATCGCCAAGTATCGCCAAGTAAACATGTAGATATATATATATATATATGTCAACTCCTCTGTTCTTTTCTATCTCTTCTTTCTTCTTTTTTCTTGGCCAGACCTCTGTGAGGGACCAAAACAACAAAGTCTTTTTTCTTCGTTTCTTTCTTCCCCATTCTTCCCTTCTTCTTCAGTTCTCTTCAACAACCACCTGGTGTGGTTTCTTTTATCCCCCCTTTTCTTGTATAAACACGTCAAATCAAGTCTCTCCATTTTCTTACCTTATTGCCACGAAACCCATTGATTGTATATCCTACTCTCAAGTCAAAAAAAAAAAAAAAAAAGGCCACTCACGATGCACTCACGACTCCTCATCACGGCCCTCTTCCTGGGCCTCATCGCCCTGGTCTCGGCCTCGGCCATCCCCATCCACCAGAAGCGCGGCTCCTTCAAGGTCGAGCGGAGGGCCAACCCCAACTTCACCGGCAATGACGGCCTCAAGGCCATGGCCAAGGCGTACCGCAAGTTCGGCTGGACCATGCCCCAGGACCTCAAGGACGCGCTGGCGGTGCGGGAGGCGGCCGTCAAGGCCCGCCGGGCTGCGGCGGCTGTGGCTGCGCAGGAGGCTGCTGCCAAGAAGAAGAGCAGACGATCGCTGTTGGATCTCCTGGGTGAGCTTGGCCTGCTCGGGGGAAACGGAGGCAATGGATCAAACGATGATGCCAATGCCAATCCTAACGGTGGCAGCGGAAGACATCACCACGGCAATGGAAATGGCAACGGCAACGGCAACGGAAATGGTCAAGGACAAGGCCAAGGCCAGGCTGGAGGAAACCAGACTCAGCCTGCCCCGGCAGCCCAGCCCGCCTCTGGCCAGGTCGGAAGCGTCACAAACACGCCCGAGGGCAACGACGTCGAGTTCCTGTCCCCCGTCAAGATCGGCGGCCAGACGCTCAACCTCGACTTCGACACCGGCTCCTCTGACCTCTGGGTCTTCAACACGGCCATGGATCCCTCGCTGACGGCCGGCCACACCCTGTACGATCCCACCAAGAGCAAGACCTTCAAGCAGATCCAGGGCGCGCAGTTCCTCGTCCAGTACGGCGACGGCTCAGGCGCCGAGGGCGTCGTCGGCACGGACGTTGTCGACGTTGGCGGCGCCGTCTTCGACGCCCAGGCCGTCGAGATTGCCACCGCCGTCACGCAGCAGTTTGTCGACGACCAGCAGAACGACGGGCTCATGGGCCTCGCCTTTTCCAAGCTCAACACGGTCCAGCCGCAGCAGCAAAAGACGTTCCTCGACAACGTCCAGAGCTCCCTCGCCGAGCCCGTCTTCACCGCCGACCTCAAGAAGGGCCAGCCCGGCACGTACACCTTTGGCGCCGTCGACGCCTCCGCCTTCCAGGGCGACCTGACCTGGGTCGACGTCGACAACTCGCAGGGCTTCTGGCAGTTCAGCAGCGAGTCCTTTGCCGTCGACGGCGGCGCGACCCAGCAGGCCACGGCCGGCGGCCAGGCCATTGCCGACACCGGCACCACCCTGCTGCTGGCCGACCCCATCATCGTCCAGGGCTACTACGCAAAGGTCCAGGGCGCCCAGAACGATGCCCAGGCCGGTGGCTTTACCGTGCCGTGCGATGCCCAGCTGCCCGACTTGGACCTGGATGTTGGCGGAAAGTATGTGGCCCGCATCAGCGGTTCGGACCTCAACTTTGCGCCGGTTCAGGGAAACAGTAAGTTGCTACCGTATCATCTTTTTACTGAGAGACGACTTCACAGGACTGACATTTTTCGACAGCTTGCTTTGGTGGTCTTCAGGCAACGACGCAGGGCGGCCTGGGTGTCTATGGCGACATCTTCTTCAAGTCGCAGTTTGTGGCGTTCAACATTGGCAACAACACGCTGGGCCTGGCTCCTCATGCTTAGACGAGAAGGGCGGGATCAGCAAGAGAAGGCTGAGAGTAGAAGAGAAGGATAGAAACAAGCATAGAAAAGGAATGATGAAAAAAGACTTTGTCCAAAAAATCAGCAGAACCGGACTATTTTCAACACTCTCGTGATTTGGCGGTTAGCCAAGTGAAAAGGCTTCCGTGATTGCATTGATTCTGTATATTGTTGGGAAAAAAATGAGTTTGCTAAGAGTGAGGCTTTGCTTGCTTGTTGTGGAACTCTTTGACTGCGTAACCGATGGAAACATTCGCCGTCTTCCTTCGTAATTCCCCCCCTGACTCTACCTTACGTTATGCCGTAATGGGCAAGACATGGGTATTGCGTTGCGGATGAAACTCAGTGGGTTAGAGCGATAGGTAGTACGCCTAATCGAGTGGTTGAGACGAGCGGAATTGGTTGATGTGATAAGCCATCGGAATTCCACTTACAGGGACTTATTAGAGGAGGAGGAGGAGGAGGAGGCTTAGTATTGCCACGGTATAAGTAAATGGTTTCCCCACACACAAACCGGCAGGGTTATAATCAACCACTTACCTCTGCTATTACTTGTCCTCTTGAAATTGACAACGGACATTGACACTGCATCACAGTCTCGCGCTGTTACCGTTGATGTACATTGACATCTGTCACACTCTCTTCTCAAGCTCATCATCATCATCATCATCACCAGCATGTCAGAGGCAGAGGCAGAGGCATCCAGACGCCCCGACACAACGCGCGACCAGCGACGCGACTGCCAGCTCATGCGCCGCCTGGGCTACACGCAGTCGGCCATCAGCCGCGAGCTGGGCCTGTCGCTGGGCCAGGTGCAGTACGCCCTCTCGCACGCCGAGACGCCCATCACGCGCCCCGGCCGGCCGAGCAAGCTGAGCGAGGCCCAGGTCGAGGAGCTCAAGGCCTTCATGGCCGCGTCCCCGGCCAACGAGCGCATGCCCTTTGCCAAGATCCCGCAGGCGCTGGGCTGGGACGTGGGCGAGTACTGCATCCGGCATGCGCTGCGCAAGCTGGGGCATAAGCGGACGGCCGGGGCAGGGAGGCGGAGGTCGGGCGTGCAGAGCGTGACGACGAAGAAGAGGAAGAAGACGACGACGACGACGGCGGCGGCGGCGGGTGAGGCTGCTGAGGCTCAGGCTGCGGCTGTGTCTGCTTCTGCATCGCCGCCTGCATCTGCTTCTGCGTCGGCGGCTTCAGAGTCTGTGCCCGTGTCGCCGTCTGCATCTGCATTGGCTGCTGTTGCTGTTGCTGCTTCTGCCTCGGCGGCTTCGGCTGCGTCGCCGACTCCTTCGCCAGCCGCTTCATTGGCTCCTTCACCACCAGCTGCTCCGGTGCCTGGGCCGGCACCTGGATCCGGGCCCGGAGATGAGGCTGAAGCTGAACAAGCATGAGGCGACTCGTGATCCGAGGTGCTGACGCGTTGAGCAGTTCAATGTTCCGCCTCATGCTGGCCAATGGCAGTACTATCTGATGCTCGCGTCAACGAATAGTCCTCGAGAAGACGCGCCAACCCTTGGCGGATCCTTCTCGATAATAATACGTGAGGCTGAACGACTTGGTGTCACAGGCACCTTTTGCCTTGTTCTTCGGCCCGTCTGGCCCTTGACCCCGCATTTACATGATCAGCCTTGAAGGAGCTGGGCGAGGCGAAACCGTGTTGGATGGCAGCTGATCCAACTGCTTTGGGAAGCAAATTCCGGAACATGCTATAATAAAGAGGATTGGAGGGACGATCTGGGGCTGAGCTGGATGGTTGACAGCATCTAGCGTGAGGCTGTGGGACATGCAGACACCTACATAAGTCGGCCATGGATCTACCCTTTTTTTCGCGGGTGCTTTTGGTCGTCATTATACATACCTTACCCAACGATGCCGGTTTAGCATCAACGACTATAATCGTCATACAACTCGCACCAACTACCCAATACTTACATCACAAGAGTAGACAGCAACAGCAATGGGCAACTCAAACTCCTCCCCAGACTCGTCCGCCAACACAGATAACAACAACAACAGCAACAACGACAACAACGACAACAACACAGACAAGAAAAAGAGCCTCTACCGCCGCTACGAAGACAAGAAGCGCGGCCCGGGCCCCACGGACGAAGACATCCTCAAGTACACCGGCAAGACGCGCGACCAGCTCAACGCCTGGGCCGAGACGCAGCCCGGCGTGGGCAAGAACCAGGCCGCGGGCAAGATCAGCGTCGGCCCGGCGTCGGGCTTCGCGGGCGCGGGCGCGGCCCAGGGGCTGGGCGGATGGGGGGCGGAGGGGACGAGGAAGATGAAGTTTCCGCCAGAGCAGGCGGCTGTGAAGAGCGTCGATGGGTCGGATGATGAATAGGGTAGGGAATGATGAGATGATGTTGATGCTTAATGTCTTGTGTGTCTGGGGTCTCTACGCTCTTTGAGGATTTGGTTAGCTGTGATTGAGATTGTGGTAGGTTGCGGAAGGGGGAGCAGCGAGCAAGCATGTCCTTGAATCATTCACAGCTCTGATAATGACACATCTGATTGACAAACTATCTCCTTTCCTCCCCCGTCAACCCTGTCCCGAGTCAAAGTCCGACTTCCTCGTCACCGGTCAAATCAATCTATTCCCACAGGTGTTGGGCTTCGGTGATTGCCCAGTACAGTCGCTGAGGAATTCCTTCAATGAATTCATCCACAGCAGGCTTTTCAGAGAGAAATTCGTCTCCAAATTCGATGACACCTCCGTCTCCGGTGTCAGACAGGTCCTCATCCTCAGCATCGATAGCCATCTCCCATGCCGTGTCCTCATCAGCTTCGCACGCGTCCTCCATTGTGATCGATGAGACGTCAGAGCCACACTCGCCTTGAACATTCTGACACGCAATCGAGTTCTTGATTTCGTAATAAGAGGCATCTTCTGCGTCAAAGAGTGCGGTCTCTGGGAACATTTGCATGCCCTCATCAGAGCCTTCTTGTTTCATTACCATGGGCTGTAGTGCGGGAGAGCTCTGACAATCACCTTGAAGTCCGGCCTCATACCATATGGACTGGCGTCTCCATTTGTCCAAGTCATCGCCGACTTGGAAATCTACCACATCTCCGCTGTTCCAAGCTGTGTGTTCGCTTTGACGTCCGAATGCTTCGTCTGTTGTTTGAGGTGCCAGAGTAGACGGATAATCGATACGCTGATCGTGATGCTCCCAGTTTGGCGTCTGGGTAGCTTCGTCGCAATAGTGGTGATGCGGCTGCAGATTGCGTGCCTTGAGCTATTAGCGGGACAGTTGGCTGTTGGTGATGTGCTTGCAAAGCCATACCTCATGCTGCAGACAATCTTGCCATTGCATGGACTCTATTAGGACCTCGTCGACCTCGTGTGGGCCGGAGACGAGAAGCGAAGTCTGGGATTTGAACCTGAAGCCGTACAAGGAGTCTTCCATGTCTGAGGTGTCTGATGTTGGGAGGACTATGGGTGTGATGAACTGTGTCCACGCTTGAGGCTTGAGCGTTGCTTGGATATGCTAAAGCTGAGATGGAGGTTGGAGAGGTCAGTTATCAATGTCTGGGACGTCTAGTTGCTTGACGCCTGTCATTCAATGCATTGATGATCATGCTTCTATGCTGTCCATGATTTCGCGGGCGATTGCAGTCACCTCTTTCATTGGGCGGAATATCTGTCTCTGGCCCATCGTGTTATATGTGCTCATGTAGGGCAGTGACTAGGGCTTCGTAGGAGATAGGCACGTCACCAATGACTTACACCCAGAATGAATCAAATAAATTGTACTCAAATCTTAAGCTATCGCGTTACGCTTCAATACATTGAAAGAGAACCACCCGCGGTCATCTAGTCGCTGAGTGTCTTCTTGACAATTGCCTTGACCTCCTCCTGGGTCAACTGCTTGATGCCCAACAACTCATTGTCCAGCTTCTCAAACTTGGGTTCGTACCGCTCGTCATTGATAGCACGCAGGATATACGGCGTAAACGTCTCCTGGTCAAAGAGCCCCTTTGCCAGCCTCTCATCAGCCGCCTTGGTGAGATCATCCAGCTTGACGACCTCCGGCTGCCAGTCCCTCTCGGGCGCAACCTCCTTGGCAATGTCCAGCAGCTGCCTCTGCGAAATGGCCACGCTCTGGAACCGCACCGCCCGGTTCTTGGTCTCCTCCGGCTTGAGAAGGACGCCGACGACGGCCTGGGCAACGGCGTCGAGCGTCGAGCTGCTGAAGACGGTGTTGCCGCCGTCGTACAGCACGGGCTTAGATCCAGCACTCTTGAAGATGAAGTTGTACTGTAGTCCCCAGTCGAAGAAGGGCCCGCTGTAGACGAGCGTGTACGTGAGAGGCGTCGTCTTGGCCTTGTCCTCGAGGTACCGCGTGATCTCGACCTTGGCTGCGAAGACGGGCAGCTTGGCGGGAAGCTCCTTGGTCAGGTCGCAGCCGAACTCGGAGGGCAGGAAGCGCTTGACGCCGGCGGCGACGGCGGCGTCAATGAGCCTCTTTTGCTCGTCCTTGAGGGCGGCGCTGCCGACGGTGGACACGACGGCGTCTTGGCCGGCAAGGGCGGCCGTCAGGGACTCGACGGAGCTGAAGTCGACGTCGACGACGCGGACGCCGTCCGGGAACGTGGATGGGGAGGAGGAGGCGCGGCGGAGGACGGTGACGGTGAATTTGTTGGCGGCGAGGAGGGCGGGGAGGACGACCTTGCCGACGTTGCCGCTGGCGCCGACGAGGGCAACGTTTTTCAAGACGGTGGCCATTGTTTGTTGCAGTTGAAAGATAGAGGCGTGCTGAAGCTGTTCAAGTAGATGCTGTGTAAGTGTATGCTGTGGATGGTTGGTACAGATGCTTGAGGGTATGTTGTTGACTGGACTCGAAGCAGCTGGATCAAGGCATGGCAGCCGTCTTTATATCTTCATCTGCCCCCATTCTCGAATCATATTATATTACACATTCGTCTGCCAACCTCACGACAAAATAGCCATGATCTCTCCCACACTGATTTCCAAGCAGCCTTGCATTGCGCTGCATCGATGCTCCGATCTGCTTGACGTTCCCCGCCATTATGCAATAACCAACGCAATCGACACAATCGCCTGATCAAGATCCTCCCAATGATCTCGCCACTCTACCTCGATTATCTGATCGAGGCCTCTTATTACACCACAGTTATGCGCTTTCAATGGAGCATCCATATCCATATGCAGCTCCAGTTCCATTGTCTTCCTCCCACTCGTATCAACCCACCTCATCTGCCATCTCCACCGTCTTCCGTCGTAACCCTGCCCCCTAGTCGTTCGAATGTGGACGCTTCGGATCCCTTCCCGAGAGCGTCCATCTGTTGTTTGTAGAGGATCTATTCGAGCACCTGAACCAACCTCAAGCCTCTCTATAGTGTCCGTCGGTTGAGCTGCTTAGCCAACCTGGAAGCTGACAATAGTATCAGATAGACATGATGTAGTACTAGGAAAAGTAGCAAGCTGAGAGAACTGGCCCTGACTAGCCTCGATCGGGAGTGGGAGACGCCGAGAATGCCAGCCCTCACCGAAGACAGCTTTGCAGCCAGATCCCCAAGTGGGATGGCCGAGGCTTCCGTTCTCTCTTTGATACATACATACTACTGCGTGGAAAGTCGCTGAAACAGTGTGTAAGCCGTCAGCGAGTGCCGGGGTGGCAGATTTATCATCCCCCATCTGCCTCCCGAGGATCCTGGGCCGGCATCCCACTTGGCAGTCCGGTGTCTCTCTCTCTCTCTCTGTCTTTTCTCCCTTTCTCTTCATTTCCTTGTTGTTTGTACTTCGTATTACTCGCAATTCGAGACCTTTCGTGTCCTGATCGACATCTAAGTCTGTGCTCTTGTTCGGTTCTCCAGTTGTATAGCCCTCGTCTCTTAACTCCGTTGGCATGTGTATCACCGGCTTGGACCGAACCAGTCAGTCGCCTCCAATCCCATCGTCCGCATCCCACCGCGGCTCCGATCCCGCCTCACCACCACCACCACGATCCCGATTGTAGTGCATCTCGCATCAGCCAACTGCACGTCTGCATCGCCAACAGTAGACTTGTGGCTGTAGGTTGCATTGCTCCCCAAGCCATATCAAGCCACCCATCGTATCCCGTCAATCTATTTCTCAACCCGAGATACCTTGGGCATCCCACGGTCAATTCCGCTTTCCGGGTTTAAATCATTGATCTCGGCGCCGGTGGGAGAAGTACACCAACGACCGCATCGGCACATCGCCAACATATCACACACACACACACACACAACACGCAAAGATACCCGCTTTTGCCTATTACGGCTTCTCTCCAATCATCACCGCATCTCCCGAACCGCATCACCATCTGCACAAATCCCTGGCCAATTTCTCTCTCGCTCTTAGGTAACGCGGAATCCAAACGAGTCCACCCTCGGACGGGAAGTGGGAGAATCAGATCTCTCTACTTCTCTCTATCGAGCCGGACTCAGGTAGAAGATGGGGCCCCCCTCGGGCGAGCGCCATCTGTGCCATTGCGGGAGAGGCTTTCTCAGAAAGGAGCATCTCCGGCGGCATCAGGCAGTCCATGGCAGCCCATCCTTCACGTGCCATGTGTGCTCTCGATCCTTTAGCCGCAGGTAAGTGGAATGAGGATCCTTTTTCCTATAACCCTTCCCTATCCCTGAGACTCTTTCCCCCCCTTTCCCCATCCATATGAGTAGACAAAATGGAAAAGCGAGGAAATGAAGAAGAAGAAGAAGAAGAAGAAAAAGTCAGAAGAAGTAACCACAAGCTCCTCATGGGACACTCAAAAAGACACACGCTAAATGCTCGAAATCTCCGTCGTCACAGTGATCTCCTCCGTCGCCATCTGACACTTCACGATGGCCCTGCCCCTTCAGACTCGAAACGAATCCGCGCCTGTGATGCCTGTCACGCAAGCAAAATCCGTTGCGACGGTGGTGCTCGATGCAGCCTCTGCAAAAAGAGAGGCATCAACTGCGCCTTCACCAGAGGGCCCAGACCTAGTCTCGCATCCGATATCCGGCAAGGACCAGCAGCATCTTCCCTGCGCTCGAGCCATGGATCGCGCTCACCAGAGGGTCCACGGTCCTCCACGGGGACTTCGCTCTCTTCCGGAGTTTCACAGCCCGATATGAACCAAGCCGTACCGGTGCCTGATGATCTGAATAGTGCATCCGTGAGCCAGGAACTGCTTCAGCAATTAGATCCGTCCTCTGCCTCCCACGAGGGCCTGCAACTCGTTCTCGAAGCCGTCTCGAGACCATCATCATCAACATCATCATCACGACCCCAGCGGCAGCCATCCCCTGAAGTGAAGAAGTGGTCTGCGGCATGCATCGATGCGTACTTTGGCCGCTTCCACGAACGCTGGCCGGTGCTGCATGCTCCCACCTTTGAGAAGGAGGTTGTATCCGCCAGACTGCGGAGTACCGTCCTCTTGATAGGATCCTGGCTGCGGCACGAGAATGAGGGCAACAATCATCTCATCTTCGACATTCATAGTATCCTGGTCAAACGCCTCCTCGACGAGTTGGTTAGTGCTTGTGCTCATGGATGGGAGAATTTTACATACATGTGCTTTGCTTACATTTGCTCGTAGACGGATAATGTTTACGATCCAGCCGGCGTCTGGCCAACCCGGACGCTGCAAAGCTCCCTTCTGAACATCATTTTCGCCTTTGAAAGCGGAGTACGTTCCACTTCCCGTAGCGAAGTGTATTCGACCTCGCCGGCTAATGCATCTGCAGCGTGATAAACACATGAAAAAGGCCCGTCTTCTATTCAGCCTCCTCGTCACCGTCTTCCGACACCTCGGGATCTTCACCACCGAAGCCATCGACCATCAAATAGGGATCCATTTCAGCGGCGATTTCCCCCCTTGGAAATTCTCCATGAAAGAGAAATGGAAAAGGTAACTCATTCAACCCCTTTACTCTTCTCTAAGCCAGTTTATAGAGTTAGTCAGTTACTCACCTCTCAGACTCTGCACAAGCATGTTCAAGCTCGATTCATACATTTCCCTCCTCACCAAACAACCCCCCCTTTTACAGCGCGAGGAATTGAGCCTCAGCTTGACATCCACATTTGGCCAATGGAACGCCCACGGCCTGGACGTCTTCTTCCGGAGATGGCCCTCCGAACCCCTCGAGCGCACACAGTATCGGATATGCGATCTGGCGCTGGGCTCGCAACAGCCAATCCCGCCAGTCATCCTCATCGAGGACCTCCAGATGCGCATGATGGGCGTGACAAACTACGTCTGGATCCTCAACAAGATGCGAGGCAGCCACAATCCGGTGCTCTGCATCTCTGCGGACCAAAATGAGCTGATATCGGCTCGTTTGAAGCGCTGCAAGCTGCAGCTCGACAGCATGACGTCCCTATGGAAGGAACCGGAGCAGCACAAGATGCACATTGAGTTCCTCCTGAGGGCATACTCAGCCAAGGAGGAGCCCTTCCACCAAGGCTGGGAAGTGGCCGCCCGAAACCGCTTCTCCTCCTTCGTCTTCAGCACCACCATGTTGTACCACCTGCTCAACATGCACATATACGCCGACGTCCACAGCTACATGCAGAACCTTCCCGTCCTCTCCCCTGCGGGCACCTCCACCGCCAACCTCTCCTCATTGACAGCAGCCGTCAACAACGCCCAGGTCCAAGAATGGGCCTCCTCGCCAGACGCCCGCGTCGCCATCTCCCACGCGCTCTTCGCCTACCGCGTCTACGGCTCGACCACTTCCTCCCCATCGGACCTCAAAGCCGAAGTCATCGACCCCATAGCGCACATGACTATCGCTGCCGGCGCCGCCATCCTCTGGACGTGGATTCAGAATTCAACGTCCGCGTGCACGTGCATGAGCACCATGCCGCTCCCGGGCGAGCTCGACTTCGGGTTCGTGCCGCTGGGGGCGGGACAGAGCCCCGAGGTGGACCATTGGATCTTGACGGGCGGCAACGTCTGGCTGCACGGGGTGCATCTGTGCAAGTGCAACGTGGACGTGTGGCTGTCGCCTTTTGCGGCGATTCTCTCCCACGGGGCCAAGATGTGGGAGGCTGGGAACGTGTTTGCGGAGAAGCTGTGGTCACAGCTGGGGCTACAGAGGTCGGTTTGATCCTTGGTGTCAGTGTTTCTTTTTGGGCGTTCAGGAAGCGTAACTCGGGAGGCGTGAGATAACCCCCCCTTGCCAAATCTATGCGTCTATTATGTTTCTTTGTAAATCTACCAAGCTCTCCAATGCGCCGTGTAAATGCTGAGAGGGAGCTGAACATAAATATGCTTACTGTACAACTTATCCATAGAACAAACTCGACTGGTGTATGACAGATCCAAGCCAGAAAAGATGTCCATGAACTCGCTCTGGGTTCACAGCGTCTGGCCTGTTCCGTTTATATGCGATAGAACGGGCGCCTCGCTCCCTCGCAAAATCGTGGCCGCCTGTCGAAAGAAGGAATCCAACCTGAGCCTGACAGGCCGGAGAAGAAGCCGTCCAGGGGTATAAGTGGTTTCCCCAAGTCGCTTCAGAGAGTGGTGGAACTCTTGCAAGAGTTGATATGCAGCCTCAATGTGCTGCTGGTGAGCGGCCAGAAGGAAGAGGTAGATGAGAAAGTTGCCACACAAGATCAGTTGGGATCGAGCATCTGGTTCCCCGTTAGTCAAAGTTGTCATGTACAGTCAAATCCCAGGGCCAGAAGACCACATCGAGACAAAAGGAAGAAGAAGAGGAGCAAGACCTACGACGACACCAAAAGCCACGCAGATCTTCCTCAGTAATGGAATCAAAGAAGCACACAAAGCTTTGAAACTCGCCAAGAGCTGGAACAAACCACTTGCGAAGGCTTGACTCGGGATCGGCTTTGGCCTCTCTGGTAGCAGGATACATCAATCCTCTGTACAGGAGTGCCTGGCTCGCGTAATAGGTGAGATGCAGGGGGCCTTGGCGACAAGTTAGTGCTTGTGTCCGAACTTCGGTATCAGGTTGCCGATAATCTCACAGTTGCTGATCCCGTCTTGGCCTCTTTCGGAATCGACGGTAAGGCATTGCGGAAGAAGGCCATGCCAGTCTATGAACTTCTCTCTCAGAATCACTAGCTGGGTTGCCCTATTGATGAGGGTTGACGGGTTAGGTCGAACCTGACTGTATCAAGAAAGTCGTGTGAGCAACTGCCAGCAACAACATCTTATGCAGGGATTGCTCGGACTTACAAGGTGCAATCTAACACCTCTCTCAAGACAATGGTCAGATTGATGTAGTGCAGGAATCGAGCTCCCACCGAAGCCTGAAAGATGGCATCCTCGGGCTCGACCAGGTATCGCAAGTCTTCAGGCACAGTCTCATCATCCCGAATGTCGTCCATGTCTGGTGGGATGGTGCTGAACGAATCTGGGCTGATATGGGTAGGGTTCCCGTGGCAGATTGCAGACCAGCAATCCGAAGCGTATACTGCCCACCACAGCTTCTTCCTAACCCTCTTTTCCCATGGCTCAATACTCCAGCGGGTGGGATCTTGATGGAGGCCCATCGTCTGGGCACAGGCAGTGGTTTGCGCCGTCATGGTCCACATGCTTGGTGTCTCAACGCTGTCGATTTCAGGAGGCGTGATGTGATGGAGCAGAAGACCCGCCTGAAGGCTGAAGAGATTGGGATTCTCATGCTCGCGCCTCAAAGCCTCGTGGGCGTGGTCGATGCATTGATGCTGCTGGAAGGGGCATGGCTCTGTAACGGTTGAGTCACGGTCCCAGAAAACGCATGCCAGGCCGTAGATGGCGCCGCGTAACGAGGCGGGGATCCTCATCCTGTTGGCCTTGTATTGGCGAAGGAATCGCGCCTTGGTGACGACGGGGTATATGGGATGGACGTGCTTGAAGTATAACCGTATCAAGCGTTCACCATAAGGCCATACAAGCCTCTCTGTTCCGTCTGAGGCAGCTTGCTTTGCCTCATTGGTAAACTCGGGATTCTCATTTTCCAGGAGCAAGAAGTGAACTGGACGATCGTCCGCCGACTGGCCACCATGATACACCTGGATGATGTTGGCATCGATCTCGTCCTTTTCGCTGATTATGAGACACCTAAAGGCATCTAAGAGATACGTGTCCTGCTCGGCCGACGGGCCCATAGAGTGCGCAGTCCTGTTGAAGTTGTCCTCGAGCGTATGTAGAGGGAGGTTTGCTGCCACAGGGACCGGGGGAGAGGCGTCATATGGGGATTGGACCAGGCCATCCGCAGGCGGCCCTGACTGGCGAACCAACCCCTGGTGTACCATGGCCGAGGGCACAGATGGCTGCTGGCTTACACTTGCATCTCCAGCAGCACTGAGGCCCGCAGACGACTGAATCGTGTCTGCAGGGCTGGAATGCGAGACACTGCGGCGTGTAACGCTCGGCGAAGAGCCCATGGCCGGGGAATTGACAAGCTCGGCGTCGGAGGCGGCATTGCCAGCGACACTTTCGCCGGCACTCTCGTGCTGAGGGGGTACCTCATCAGGAGTCGATGTAGATTTGCAGACCAGACCCCTGTTCTTACAGAAGAGACCTGCAACCACAGTTTTAGCACTCGGCGGCGCTGCAAGACGGGAGCTGACTATAGTATGTGCAGCGCGGTGGGACGGAGCAGGAGCCGTAGGGGGCCAGAGACGACAGCATGTGGGCGGATTATCGACCATCAGGCGGGATGGAACGCTCCGCGAGCTCCCACTTGGAAAAGCAGCGCACGCCTCCGTGGTGCCAGTGACGCTGCTCGAGCTCCATAGCTGCCCAAAGCCAGACGATGGAGTCCTTGATGGTGCCAGCCAGCAACAACGGTGCCAATCATCCGAGGTCAGCGACGGCTGGACACGTGCGACCCAGCTGCTGAGGAGTACGGGAAGTGCCGAGGCTGGTTCCCGACATCAACCCACCCTGACGCGCAGCAGACACGCGCAGCATAAGGTACATGCCGGTGGTTCTACGCGTGAGGCTCAGCGGCTCGGCTTGACTCGACGTCCACTGGCAACAGGTCGATAGACAAAGGGGCACACACAGCAAGGAGAAGAGGGGAAGCCCGAGCAGTCGGAGGGCGATGGGACTTACAAGGAGGCTCCGAGGTGATGACACAGGCCGTCTTCCGCTTCCGGCAGGCGTCGCAGGGCCGATTCTTGCGGCTCCGGGGCTGTCGAGGCCGGCCAAACTGGCTCTGGATGGTGAACTTGCGGGGGCGGCCCTGGGCCGAGTCAGCGCCGCTGAGCATGGTCTCGGGCAGCGTCGGTGTCTCGGGGGCACGGAGCAGCTCGGTCTGGCGAGGTGCCTTTTTGCGTCGGGTCGCCGTGACGGGCCTTTGCCAGACAAGGGGCTGGCTGGCTGGCTGGCTGGTTGGCTGGGTTGGTCGGTCAGTTGTTCGCCGCCGCCTCACCGTGGCTGGTGGGTACATGTACTCGTAAGTATGTGGTTGCGCAGTCGAGAGGCAGTGCAGTGAAACGGTGTCTCGTCCAGTCGGTTCGGCGTAGGTCGAGTCTGTCGGGTGGCTATACCTCAACTAAGGGTAGATAAATAAACTCACCTGTAGGTGCCCCACTTTAAACGCGCGTAAATCCCTATTTAGCTAAGTGTGTAACCTAACGCATTTATTAGTCTATTTAATTCTGCAACATACCGCTTTTAAATAGTATATTAGATAAGTTTTTTCTGCCTATTTATTAATAATACATTCTCCCTCCTTTATCTTTTTTTCTAACTTCCTTTTATTATTATTATTTATTATCTTACTATCCTCTCTGCCTTTAAAATTATTATTAATTAATTACTAATATATTCTCTATTACCTATGCTTTTTTTTTCTGCTAAAAAACGCCAGTTTTAACTAAAAACCACTAATCTATTACTAATTAATTACTAATCTATTATAACTATACCTATAGTCTTAGTTAACCTTATAAATCACCCTGCTCTTATTAAGTATTAAAATAGGCCTTTAGTAAATAGTAAGCCTTTATAAAAGCGCTAGCTAAATATGCTAAAATTTAGTAAAAATAAAGTAAAGTATTTTAGCTAATTTATTAATAATCTATTACTAATGCATTATAAATTAAAGAGATTATAATTATAATTAGTAAGATTTTTTATTAATTCTAAAAGGTAAATAGTAAACTTTATAATAATATAAGGAGCTACCTATTTATAATTAATTTATAATATATTACTAATATATTATTATAAAACACTAAGTTCTTAAGCATTAGCAATCTTAAGGCTTATATTAAAACGCATAGCACTCCTCTTATAACTATATATAAGGGCTCTTCCTCTTAAAATAAGTAATAAGCTGCAATTAGTATATTAGCTTTTAAGTAAAAATCTATTATAAATAACTTACTAATAAATTATTAATAAATATTTAGCAGAAATAAGTTACTTACTTAAAAGGCATATTAACTAAGTGGCTTAATAATTATGCTAAGATAGCTAAAGGCTAATTTTTATATAAGTGTATATTATATAGTTAGCAGGCTACTACTTAAAATAAAGATAATAATAAGGAGGAAGATAAACTTAAGCCAGGCTCTCTAGTTAATAAGGTTAATAAAGAGGATCTTACTTTTAAAAGCCTAAACCTGCCTAAGTATAAGTCTATAAAAAAGGGCTTATATAAAAAAGGTAATATAAGTATTATACTAAGTTATTTATAATTTATTACTAATGCATTATAAGTTAATTAGAATTAAGTAATAAAGCCTTTAAATCTTACTACTAGCTAGCTATACTTAAAATATAAAGAAGGTAACTAAGGTAAGAACTTATAATATATTTAATAATAATATATTACTAATATATTATAAATAAATACCTACCTAATATAATAAGAACTAACTATACTATTTAAAAGTATTAGGTTAACTAAGGCATTAAGTAAAAGTAATAGATTATTAATAAGTTATAAATAGATTATTAATAGTGTTTTATATTTTTTTCCTTTACTAGTTAAGTTTTTTATTAAGTATTAGAATTAATTATTAATAAATTACTAATATATTAGTCCTTATCCTACTTAATGCTATATTATAATTTAAGCTGCTATAACTTTATTACCTTTATCTGCTCCTTAAATTTAAGAGCTTCTGCTTTAGCCTAAGCAGTATTAGCCTTAATATAAGCTAACTTAACTTATAACCTTATAATCTTAAGGCCAGAACCAGTAGCTTAAAAAGTAATAGAACTTCCTTTAAAAAGCATTAATGCATTAATAATGCATTAGTAATATATTAAGTATATACCTTAGTATACTAGATAATATTACTAATATAGCGTGCTAGGCTATAGTAGGCAACCCTTTTATAATGCTAGAGGCAGTAGGTAATAATAAAATGCTTTTTAAGATAGGTGCAAGCTTTAAAATACAGCTAATAAAAGACTACTGCTTTCTCTTTTTTACCTAGGTATTAGCTATAATATATTAGTAATACATTTATAATATATTAAGTTTAAGGACCTCCTTACCTTAATATGCATAGCCTTATAAAAAACGCCCTTATAAAGTAGTATTTATATATATTAGCCTAACACTAGTTAAGGTAGCCTAAAAGAAGTATTAAATCTATTACTTATTAAACACCTTATTACTAGCATAATTTATTAATAATAGATTATTAATAAATTAATAATAACTTATTACTAAATTGCCTTTATAAATAATATATAACAGCTACTAGTAAGGTATAAAGCCTTATACAGTACTTTAATATAATTAGTTAAATTAAAGTAACTATCTTACTGCTTTTAATCTATATTACTTATTATATAATAAAGGCTAGCTGCTATAATAAGGCATAGCTTATAGTTAACCTAATTAATTAAAAAGGGGGCCTTTATAAATATATTAGTAATAGATTAGTAATTAATTAATAGGAAAGATATACCTTATTTAATTAAGGCGCTTAAGGCAAGATAGGCCTAGGGGGTTTTAGTAAGTAAAAGACCTTATATTCTATTAATAAGGTCTTAGCTATAAAAAGACTAAATATAATAGTATTTAATAAGGTAGTTTAAAAAGTTATTAATATATTACTAATATATTAAGGTTAGATTATATACTAATTCCTTATATAAAGTAAATATAATATAAATATATATAGTATATAGCATGCTATCTCTAAGTATAAATAATAGACTTATCCCTTTTTTATAAATATTTACTAAAAGCTAAAGAAATATAGTTAGTAACTATAATGCATTAATAATCTATTAGTAATATATTACCTTTAAATTAGCTCTAGTCTTAATTAACTATTATGCCTTAAATTCCCTTTTTATATAAGTAATACTACTAAATATAAATATTATATACTTAAGTAAGGCAGTTAAAGACTATTATAAATATAGCCTTATATGCCTTTATAAACTAACCGCTTATAATAATATATAAAATAAGTATAGCTAAATGCATTAGCAATAGGTTATTAATAAATTAATAATAACTTACCTATATTACACTGCTAGTTAAAATACCCCTAAATAACCTTATACTTGCTAAACCTTTAAATATGCTTAAAATTTATATTAATTTAAAAGCTATAAAAGTTAGGGTCCTAAAAGACTTTAACCTGCTTATAGTAAAATAAGATAATTATAAAGTTAATACTATTATTATAGTAATTCTAGATATATTAGTAAATGCATTAGTAATAGATTAATAATAAATTAATAATAACTTATATATATAATATATATGCAGTGCTTTAAATACCACTTAAAATAAGCACTAAGTTATGCAGAGCTTATAGGATAATATATAGCTTTATAAGCCTATAAGATCCTTTATAAAATGCTATTATTAGTAAGGCTTAAATAGATTTTAAAATAGCTAGATTTCTTATACTTATAAACTAGACTTTTAATCTTTAATAATTTAAGCTATATATCTATAACTTATTAGTAATACATTAGTAATAAATTATAAATAACTTATATATATTTTATAAAATATTACTACTTTTAATAATTATTATATATAACTTTAACTAAATATAATTAGGAAGATATATAAGTAGCGCTAGTAGATAGTTATAAATACTATATAATATAATTAAAAGAAATAGTATATGGTTTTCCTTTAGTAGAAAGAAGTAGAAAATAACTAGGCATTTATTTATTATTTATATTTTACTATAGCTAGTAAAGATATAAGTAAAGTCTATAATTTATTAGTAATATATTACTAATATATTCACTATATATTAATATATACTGTAAAATTTACACCTCCTTAATATTTAATTAATTATAATACAGCTGTTATAAAATATTACTACTACAGCTTCTTTATTTTTAAAAAAAGACTTTAAAACACTAGTATAAGAGTGTAATTCTTATAAAATTACACTTATATAATATTCTAAGGCCTTTACCTTATTAATACAGTAAATATAATATTACTAGAAATAAGGCTATAATATATTAGTAATATATTATTAATATATTAAGGGTTAGTAATAAAAAGAGTATATATATTATTAGCCTGCATAAGCTTTAAGTAATAAGTTAGTAGCTAGCTAGTCCTTACTAGCTTATAAGCAAGCCCCTTCTTAAACTAGTCTAAAAGTATAATGCCTTAATTATTAAAAGGTTAGTATAATATATTATTAATGCATTAGTAATAGATTTTACATACCTATATGCTTTACACCTTTTAAACACTTAGAAGAGCTCCTTACTAAGTTAGCTTTATTAAATCCAGTAATCCTTTATAACCTCTATATATATAATAGCTTTTAGCTATAAATAAAAGTATTTATAAGCTTAAATACTTATATAGTTATATTTTATAAATAATACAGGCATTAAGTTTAAGAATGTAAAGGTAGTATAGCTATATAGCTATATATAGGCTTTATAATACTAAATCTGCAATTTATTAATAATATATTTATAATATATTAGTAATTAATTAGCATCTTACTAAGTCTTATAGCTTCTTTTACTGCTTAATATATAGCTAGTCTATATGCATTATATAGCCTATACTATTAAGTAATATTTTTAGCTAATTTAAAATAGCATTAGTATAATAAATCTTTATAATAAAAATAGCAGATTCTTATACACTAAGTAATTATAATATAGTTAGGGCTAATAAGAAGAGAATAGGTTACTAAACTAAAGCATAATTAATTTATAAAAGTAATGCATTAGTTATGCATTAATAATATATTAGTAAAATAGTAAATAATAAATACCTTATCTATCTCTTCTACTATATACACTATTTTAAGTAAATAACTAATAATAAAGTTATTTATATCCTAATTAATAAACTCCTTTATATATACTAAAGGGCTATAAGCTTAAGGGGGGGGGGAGATAATAAATAATATAATAAATTATTAATAAATTGCTAATATATTAGTAAGAGAGAAATATATTATAAAAGAAAAGATTTAAGTTATATAAGACTATTATTAGTCCTATAGTTAACCTAAGGGTAGCCCCGCTTTTATAGCATATACAACTAATCAGCGCCTTATAGGGGTCCCTTAGATAAGCAGGGGGCCGGCCTTATAAAAAGGGGTCCACCCACAGGTGAGAAACGCGTTACACCCTCAGTTAAGGTAAACCCTCGTCTGTCGGCCAACGCTGCGGCGAAGCAGCCCCAGCACTGGCCAACGAAGGGCAGCTCGTCATTGATCCAAGTTGGCCGACGGCGGGGAACGAGCGACGGTGCGTGTGGGAGGCCATCGCCAGATGCCGCCAATAGCAGCCCTGCGCGCCAGTAACGTGACCGGCACGGGGCTTGGGGCTGCCCGGTTCGCCGATAGGGTCCGGCAGCTAAGGTCTGGTACCAGATATCAAATCCAGTACCTAACATAGCCCTGGAGCGCGAGTATTAGGCTCAGGGGCCGACAACCGGGAGGCTTTCAGGGGCCGTCGGCTAGCGTTTAGAGGCTGTTATAGTGGAGAGCGAGCCCTATGCAATTCTGATGTATGTACAAGTGCTGTAGCACTGGAGATGGACCAATTGGATGGAAGTTGATGCATACCTTATGTACATGTAGGAATCAACTCGACTTCACTATCGCAATGAGCACGGTCAGCAACCTGGAAGCCTTCCCTACAGACTACGAGATCCGGACTGAGATGGTAAGTGACTGAGCCCGGGCGGTTGACGGCGAGCAGGTGGATATATAGTCATGTTTGTTGGAGCAAGGGAAGGGAGTTCGGCGAGGAAGACTTCGCAACCTCGTGATATCAGGGCTCGTCTACCTATTCTACACCCAGTACCCTTTGTATATATGATGGATATCAAGGTTGGAATTGATTTTGTACCCATGCAACTGCTCGCTCGCATGGCGCTTCCAAGTCAACCCTACCTATACCTGGTATGCCGAACAAACAGTCCGTTGTGAAATCCTCCAACCCACGTCGGCATCTGATCGCCTGGGCCAACACAGGACCTAGAAAAGACTGGAAACACCATAAAAAGAAGAAATAATCGACACATTTTGCCCTGCGTCATCACAGCATCACGGCAGGTTCAGGCTTGGTGCTCATGTCTGTTATTTGAATGACGTCCAAGCCATCGTCGTCTGACAGCACCTGGACCGCCTGATCCAAGGCCACCTCCCAGCGGTCCGAGTAGAACTGCTGCACTTCCGCTGCGCTCGGCGACGTCCTGACGAACCTGTCGACGTTTCTGGCCGGAAAGATCCAGTGAAGAAGAATGTAGACGCCGGCGCTCGACAGAAATCCGTACAGGTAATTGAGGTAAAAGAGCTTCGTCATGCCCTCGGGAAGCATCACGGATCCATTCACCGCCCCGATAAAGCCGGGCAAACACGGCGCAACTCCCACCGCCCACTGGCAAAAGAGAATGTACATGTTAGTAGTCAGTTTCAACTTTCTCTCACTCCCATCTTGATCGAAAATACACCGTCTGGAGGCTTCTCAATGACTCACCGCAACCGGCGCGCGGAAGTTGACGCCATGTGTGTACCAGTATATGCTGCCGCCGTGGCCCTGGTACAAGTCGTCGACCTTAATCTTGCGTCTGTTCACCACGACATAGCTGGCAAACATCATGCCCGTCATCGGCGCGAGAAAGACGCTGTAGCTCGACAAGACGGACAGAAACGTCGTCGCCGTGCCCACCAGCTGCCAGGGGTTGACAATCGGGCTGAGCAGGGCCGTGATGTAGGCTCCTCTGCGGATGTTGATGTACCGCGGGAACACGGACGACAGGTCTATGCCGCCCGCCAGCGCATTGCCGGGCACATTACTGCCAATCTGAGAGATGCACAGGGCGACGCCGGCAAAGAAGACGGCCGCCCGCGTCCCGGGGCTGTCGTCCTGTTCCAGCAGGCGAACAAAGATGGTTGGCGGGTTCCAGACGGCCTCGCCACCAAACCGCTTCTGGGTCGCGGAGACGACCAGGATCCCGATGACGGACGTGAGGATGCTGTATACGCCATACGGGATAAGCTGGCCCCAAACGGCGTCCATTGGCTTCCGTGCCAGACGCGCAAAGTCGTTCTGGTTCAAGATGCCGGCCGCAATCGCCCCAATGGTGCAAACGACCCCATACACCATCAGCCAGGCAACACTTGCTGGCCCGCCCGTCTTCGGGATGGAGGTAGACGAGTCCATGGTGCTACCAAAGCCTCCCTCGCCCATGGTTGCCAGTGCCCAGATGAGGACGACCACGAAGAAGACGATGGTCACGACGCTGGAGAATAGGAACAGCTTCTGCAGACGATGAGGCTGGATCCACAGGAACGGCAGACTGATGACGAAGAAGATGATGTACGATACGAACTCTGCTGTTGTCATGCCCGTGCTTTCGGGCATGTGGTTGGGAATCCGGGATGCATACTTGGGATCCCACGACAGCAGGATGAGCTCGAAACACTGGCCGCCAACCCATGTCTGGAAACCGTACCTATGAACGACGACTATCAGCACAAAGAAGCCGGCTGTAAAGCGGAATGTGAACCTCCAACGAACCAAACTGCGCATTCAAGAATTAGCCAGAACACCATACTACAACGGTATGCAATCGGAAAGGCATCATACCAAGAGACAAAAATATGCGGTTCCAGACGGCAAACTGGGATCCCCACATGCCCCATACAGCACGACTATAGACGGGAAAGCCAACTGGAGAAGGATCGTCTTTAGTATGTATGCCCATCTATTGCTCTTGGTCGACGTGTAAGAGAGGAGGGGACTCACTGTGATAGTAGGCACCCGCAAACGAGCTAATCACAATCGCCGTGGCGGCTATGATGTTTCCCACCACGATTGCTATCATGAGCAGCAGACCGTCAGCCAATCGACTCAAGAGCTTCTATCAAATAGGGATAATGGGCGTCCATACCAATGATGGCTTGCCACCAGTTAAGGCCCAGCGGTATCAGCGCACTTCCAGTTAGGAAGGTCGCGATGTTGCAGTTGATCAGCAACCCTGGAAGCCGGGCAAAGGGAGGATTCGCCCCTCGTCAGCAACCTGGCTCGCTACTTCGCCTATGATCCAGCCTCGACGTCAAGCTCCATCCACGGGCCACTCACAGAAATTGTGAAAAGTCCAGAACGTCCATGTTCGCCTGGCCGACTCTATGGGTCGGATGTCCTCATTCTATGACACGCGGGAGGGTGGTGTTGGTTAGCCAGCTGCAGAGAGCCTCACGCGGGTGGACTTGTCGACAACATGAGTGGGCAACGCAACATGATGGTAGGCGGTGGCATTTTCAGCCAAGCAGCATTCGCACACACAACTTACGATCCATTGCGAGACACAAGGCAGCCTTGCGCGCTCAATGAGTTTGCCTAATCCCATTGTCGCAGATCATCAGAGCGCGCGCGTTTGCTCGCACAGACCTGGCGAAGACTTCCACCCTCAAGATTCGAAGCCCCAGGCAGACTCAGACTATTGTATGCTCGGTTCGCAGCTTGAGACGCGATGGTACAGCCGGCGCTGCTGCTCAAATCTGACCCCAGTGGATCAGCATACACATACGCAATGCTCACCGAAGACCCTTGTGCCAGCGATGAGAACCGGCGCCTGGACCATCACAGGCTTCAAGGATCCAACAGTGGGGTGAGATCCGAACAACAGAGAATATCGACCAACACGGTGCGACTCCAATAGCTCGGTCTGACAGGCAGCAGAAGCGGCACGATCGGGAGGAGCCGTCGGCCGTTGAAATGATGTCGCCGTTGAACCCAGTTTGGCTAGGTGAATGGGTCCGTAAGACAGCTCGGCGGCGCGGTTCTCGTGGAGGTTGAGATGGAGAAAAGGGGGGGACTAAGAGTCGCCCAGCAGACCTTTGGCTTCCCGACCCCGCGTCAAACAACTCAGTTACAGTACGTAGGTAGTACTAGGTAGTCTTGCTAGTCCACGAGATAAGCCCAGCTGAGATAAGGAGAGATTTTACAGAAAGCATGTGCAAAGGTAACCGCACCTTTGGCTGGTGTAACGTACCTATAACGAAGGACGAGGACAATATGTACATGTACTACCAGTCAAGTCTCGGCTTTCAAACCATCGACAGGGAGCATCTCTCGCTCCCGCTTTTAGTCAGCGCGGCTCGCCGCAACAGGGCTTGGTCAGCGGACATTTTGGACGAGGAACTGAGCAAAATCAACAAGCGGCAACTTTCCGTGCTTTTTTGAGTTGATATAGCCCTGGCCCGTGAGCTTCATGCGTGTCCATCGTCTTGCTGACAGCCCGCTGACCCGATGACTTGGTACGCTAGAGGGCTTCAAGATGTTGGGCTCCGGGTGTTTGAGGGAGTTCAATGTTGGCTCCAGCTGTATGCTTATTTCGTCCTATGTCGGCACACGCCCCGTCGCTCTCGAGCTGCCTTGGGGCCTGAACTTATGGCCAATGCTTCCCTGGTCAGACCGCATCAATTGGAGCCGACTCTTGCTCTGGATCTTCGATTTCTAATACCGCCCTGGTTCTCGCCGTTCTAACGCCGCATCTCGAGTTGTTCTGGCGACTAAGTGATCGGCACACTGCATAGTGGCCCCCTTTTGCAGCATGGTTGGCTTATATGGAAAGTTTCCAATGCTACATGTATAGAACTGCACCCTCTGCTTCCAGGTGGTGTGGCATGGATGGTTGGCTTTTCCGGCCGCGTATTCATCTGCAACTGATGCCATGTCCGTGGGCGACTTACTTTGTATAGACGTTATCCCACACAGCGCATAGAATTTGCCGTACCCTGTGAGAGAGAGGGCGCAGATTAAGTTCGCCACGCTCGAAATACGCACTTCGTGCTCAAGCATGAGCTTGCCACGACGTCGACTTGTTTCTTCTAGTGCGTCTTCATGGCAATCTCTTCTGAGGTGCCGATCCAACAGAGGCAAGTGCTGTGCTTGTTTTACTGTGGAATACGTTTCCTATACCTACCTGACCAGGGTACAGGAACCAAATCAGAAGATCACGGATGGAATGAGAACGATTATCTTGAGTAATATGCTGCAGTTTATTCAATCTGGTTCGCAGCGTGATCATGCTTTTTTTTGGTCTTTTGTACTTTTACTGCTTTACATCAAATGAGTGACCAGTCATGCAAGTACACTATCAAATGAATGACGGAACAAGGTCACAGAGCTCATTTACTGAGCATTCTCCTTGCGGCGGGCCTCAAAGACCTTGAGAGCCTCCTCGGCAGCCTTGACACCGCTGAGGGCCATGGCACCAAAGGTAGGACCTGTACACACACACAGGTTAATACATGTTCTTGCGAGAGGGAGATTCAAAGAGGGAACATACCCATGCGGTTGGCTCCGTCAATCTCAGACAGCTCCATTCCTCCGACAATCAGGCCGGGAACAACCTCACGGGTGTTCTTGACAATGGCATCCTCAGCCCTGCTCATGTCGAGGCCGCGCATGCCGCCAAGCTTCTCGATGCGGCCCATGCTGACAAGGCGCTTGACGCAGAAGGCACCCATGGGGCCGTCGTGGCCGGTGGTGGAGATGACGAGGGGCGCGTTGATGGTGTTGGGGTCCATGCAGGACTGGTCGTCGTGGTGCATGGAGACGAGGGTCCAGTTGGTGACGACACCGGCGATGCGCACGCCCTCGGCAGAGGGGCGGGTGATGAGGTCTTCGACGCAGGTGGCGTTGAAGAGCTTGACGTTGGGTAGCTGCAGCACCTTGGCCATGATGGTGGAGGTGAAGAGGGCGGCGTGCTTGACGACGACGTAGTTGCCCTCGTCCTCGTACGGGACGCCAATCTCGCGGAGGAAGGCATCGGCAGGCTTGCGCATGACCATGGCGGAGAAGAGCTGGCCGCCCAGCCAGGCACCGCCGCCGGGGGAGACGGAGGCCTCGATGATGGCAATCTTGAGGTCCGGGCGCTGGGTGCCGAGGACGTAGGCGGTGCTGAGGCCGCAGGAGCCGGCGCCGATGATGACAATGTCGGACTCGGCGTAGCGGTCGAGGTCCTCGAAGTAGCGGCGGGTCATGGCGCGCGACACCTGGGACTCGCGGATGGGCGAGAAGGTGAACGAGTCCCACTGGCCGAACATGTCCGAGACGGACTTGGCCTGGGCCTCGAGGTGCTGCTGCGGCTGGGCAACGGCCATCTTGGACGGGGTGACGAGTTCAGCGGTTCGCTGGGGGGGCGAGACGGCGGCGGGAGGGCTCATGATGGGCCTACAAGGGTTAGGGATTTGGACGGGATTGAAAAGGGGGAGGAGCATGATCCTTTCGCTGGTATTATCCAGATCAAGTTCAGGGCCGTATATTCTCAGCCCGAGCCCCCTCTTCCTTATTTCCACACAATCACCTTCTCCATCTCATTGGGTGTGTTTCCTTGTTTGTAAAGACAAGCAGAGACGAGGGGAGAGGAGTGAAGTGGGACAAAGGAAGGGGGGGAGCCCGGGCACCGGCTCATGCGATACACATTACCTGAAGATGAGGAGACAGAACCCCGTCTGGACGGACTACCACCGAAGGACGCCATGGCGACGGACGAGGTTGTACCGACAGGAGAGTGTGGTATTTGGCCTGCTGTGTGTCAGATGCATTGGAGAGAGGGGGTTGGAGGGGGGGTGTGAAGTATATCACTGAATACTTTTATTTGGATAGGTTACGATTGAGTTGACTTTTGATTCTTTCTTGGTGGAAGAACGATGAACGAGATGTGAAAAGGAAGAGAAACGAGCATTGACTTCTGCGTGATTTTCATCCCAATTTATAGTCGACCGGATTCTCACCAACCGTCACATTTAAAAAAGGAGGGGTAAGGGCCAATTGATCGGCTCTCGATACAATCATAGTGACGGCGATGTCGGCAGTTGGAAGCAAACATTCAACGGCCAAAAGCCGGGCGGGAAATGATCCGGTGGTATCCGGGCGTGTGATTTTAGCCATGAGAGAATTTAGGGCTGTGTGTGTGTGTTATCGTGAAGATATTATTTGCTAAGAAAGTTGTGGTGGACTCGGGGATAGTTGAAGAGGACCCTAAAAACTTGGACGGATTGGGCCATTGTGCCACTTGTTTGGAGCCGTTGACTGGATCATGGGAGTTGAGGTCAATGCTGATCCATTTCATTCTTCTCAAGAGAGGATCTATGGGGGATGGGCAATTGGGCTTCGCTCTGAGTAATGGCCTTTGTGTACCTAGCAACAATCAGCCTTGATGAAGAATTGTAATAGTAGTACTTCTTCGTACATACTGTACCTATCATACGGAGCAGCCTGTCATCACAGCCATCCCAAGAGATAGTTCATTGCTCTCCCTCACGCTTCAGCTACTTCCTGTATCGTCTTGACAAACTGCTCCGGATCGTGTCCGAACCGCCCCAGGAACAATCCGTCCAGTCCGCTCTTCAACTTCTCGTAGAGCCCCGGCCCGGCACTCCCCCCATACAAAACCCTCGTCGTCCCCGCCCTCCTCCCAACGGACTCCAACCCTCTGATCCCAGCAACAACATCGAGGATGTGCTTCTCTCCAGCAGGTTGACTGGCACCAATCGCCCATACAGGCTCATACGCCAAAATGACCTCTGCCTCGGCGGGCACAGCATTCATGACAGCATCAACCTGCACCCGACACTCCTCAACCGCGATATGCACGTCGCCTTGAGTCTTTTCTCCAATGCACACAAGCGGTATCATGCCATTGCGACTTACAGCGGCAGCCTTATTCGCAACCATGGTGTCGTCCTCGCCAAAGATGCTCCTGCGCTCTGCATGTCCGACTTCCACGAGCTTGACGCCTGCGCTGCGCAACACGGAGGGGCTGACTTCGCCGGTGAATGCGCCTTGGTCTTCCCAGTGGCAGTCTTGAGCGCCGGTCCAAATGGCAACGGAGCTGGACTTAAGCTGGGCGATTGTGGTGGTCAGGGAGACGAAGTCGGGGATGATGAAGATGTCAATGTGGGAGAGGAGCTCTATCGGGACGTCTGCCAGCTTGGATAAGAAGCTGTTTGTGAAGTCTCTTGTTTGCTGGAGAGAAAAGTACATTTTGGTCGAGAGGCCGATGAGGCGCCGCGTGGGCGTTGAGCTGGACATGTTGGCTGATGATGAAGATGGAGAACGGAGGTGGATGATTGCGCTCATTCACACAACTGTTCGTCCATGTAAGTGGTGATGAGGGGATGACAGCTCTCAGACACAGTCCAGGAACACTACGAGAAACGGCGAATAGCTGTCACAGTTATCAAGAGCTGCCAAAGCTAAGCTCCTCTAGTAGTTGAGACAGCTCCCAGCTATCCGAAGGGCCTGCCACCCAGCTTACTTCCCCCCGCGCACCAGCTCCGATCCGCCCATTCCACTTCTGGGATGCCGGCATGGCGCCGCTGTTCTGCCCATGAAGCCCAGTTGCGGCCTCTCCAGGGCCCCCGAGTTTACAATTCCGCCTAAATATTAACATCTGTTTGAGAGCGAGGGTTATACGATCGTGGCTCCATCTTACGGAGGGTTGATTCGTTGGCCCGGGCATCCGAGCTGGTCTCGTGAACAGTTGGTCGGAATCACCAAAGCAGCCACTCCGTTCCACTGTCCTTGGTGATTCTCAAGCCACGATCAAGCCGTGTCCTCACTGTACCTGCTTATCGCTAGCATATCTATGGAGCTTCAATGCCACGAGCTGTATGATATTCAATCTGAGACAGCAGTTCATCAGGTACGAGCTGTTCTCTCCTGTACGTGGCTCTGCCACTTTCAGTGCTACACCTCCTTCGTCATCACTTAGGGAGAACGCAAGAACAAAACAATAAAGTTTCGATTCGCTTGTCTACCGTGTCATCCATCATGCCTCAAGATGCCCAATCTCTTCCACCTTCTTCGCACTCGCACTCGATGGATCAAACTCATACCCCAGCCACTCAGTAGCCAACCTCCTCGCAACTTCCAGCCCAACAACCCTCTCCCCCATACACAACACCTGCGCATTATTGCTCTTTACACTGCGCTCAACGCTAAAGCTATCATGTGCCGTAACCGCTCGTATGCCCTTGACCTTGTTGGCAGAAATGGCGACGCCTAGACCTGTGCCGCAGATGAGCAGAGCGCGGTCCGCTTTGCCCTCGGCGACGAGGCGGGCGGCGGCGGCGGCGCGCTGGGGATAGGGTGTCTTGTCGGAGGGCTCGTCGGATCCTACGTCGATGACTTGGTCTACGCGGGCGTCGCTTTCAAAGTCTTTTTTGATGGTGTTTTTGTAGCTGACGCCGGCGTCCTGCGGAAGCGTGAGTGAGCTCGTGTCAGTGACTGCCCGTTCTGATGACCTAGATTATGCAATCTTGACGATGAAGAGACCGATAGTCATGAAGACTTATGAAGTTGACACTTGATCTCGTTGTGATATGAGATGTGCTGGTTCTGGCAGCCGAAACAGAAGCACTTACATCGCAGCCCATGGCGATTCTCCATTTCGGTGCCATCGTATATGTCTATCAGTGATGCAGCTCTTAAGTCACAAAGAGATAGAATTGAACTTTTGATTCCAATATTAGACTTCGTATTGACGGCCTACTACTGAGGAGCAACTTATTATAGTACGAGAACCTTTGGTCGAATCTTATGTCTTCAAGCCAGATCCGGGCTTGTTTCAAGGCACCATCTTCTCCCCGACTTCATTACAGCCCATCACCACATCCCCCGCACTTCCATATGGAATCACGAATCGGAATTCTCCTGTTCCACGAAATCACATCCGGCATCATAGAAATTAATTTGTTTGCGGGGTGAGTGACCGTTCAAGTTGGACAGGAAGCAAACATCGCCAATGGCTTATACGTTCGGCATTTCCCGATTAGGAAATCCGGCCAGCATCAGACAACGGTTGACGAGACTTTGAACACGCCAGCCCAAAGCGAATGCTCTGGAATCTCGGGATCTGTCCAAGAAAAGAGACAAGGCAAAAATGCGGAGTAACTGCTTCATCATACAATCACTTGCATTTATCGATTTACAGTAAATCCGGAGCTCAGCTCACGAGTTGCGGAGGCCGAGGCGGAGGCAGCTAAGGGGGTATCATCAAATCCATTGTTCTCGACCACGAAATGATGAACTTGGATGGTGGCACAGGCTCTTGGATGAGATCACGATGATATGGAAGCCTTGTTTTGTCTTTCCGTGGTCGGAGAGCCCCGATGTGGGAAGATGTTGATTGTGTAGGCCTGAATGCTGCTTATATGCCCTGCTTTTTGCCCTTGGTTATTACAGTAGAATTCAGACGGCACTTTTATTCTATCCCTCAACACATTCTACAGAATAGAACAATGTCAACCAGACACATTTTTACGTCATGTGACGGCCTCGTCAACAAGGCCATCCGAGGCATCATTACCTACAACCCTTCTCTCAGCCTAGACGAAAGCAACCGGGTCGTCTATGACACCACATACGACAAGTCCAAAGTCGTCATCATAAGCGGAGGCGGCTCCGGACATGAGCCTGCGTGGACAGGCTATGTCGGTCAAAACATGCTCGCAGCTTCGGTTCAAGGAGACATCTTTGCCAGCCCCAGCACAAAGCAAATCCTTGCAGCAGTGGACGCTGTTCCGAGTGACAAGGGCACCATTCTGGTCATCACAAACTACACTGGTGACTGTCTGCACTTTGGGCTGGCCAACGAGAAAGCCAATGCCAAAGGCCACAACTGCCGGACCATCATCTGCGGCGACGATGTCTCTGTCGGCAAGAACGGGAGCATGGTTGGTCGCAGAGGTTTGGCTGGACAGATGGGTGTCCTCAAAGTCATGGGCGGAGCTGCTGGTGCTGGAGGCTCGCTGGACGAAGTTTACAATCTTGGTGTCGCATTCTCGCAGCAGATTGTGTCTATTGCGGCAACCTTGGATCATTGCCATGTTCCAGGACGTGCTGAACATGGCATGCTTCAAGAAGGCGTTGTTGAACTCGGCACCGGCCCTCATAACGAACCCGGATACAAGAAACTATCCCCTGCGCCATCTGCGTCTGATCTCGTCTCCCAGATTCTACAATACTGTCTGAATGAAAAGGATCCGGAAAGAGGCTACGTTCACTTCGCCCCTAGTGATGAAGTCATACTACTTCTCAGCAACTACGGCGGCATATCGCACCTGGAGATGGGCGCTCTGGTTGACGAAATTCTCGAGCAGCTTGCAAGAGACTGGAAGATTGAGCCGGTGAGGGTATGCGCCGGCTTCATCGAGACGTCACTCAATGCTCCAGCCTTTTCTGTCTCCGTCATCAATGTGACTGCTGCCGCAAAGAATTGCAGTTACTCTGTCGAAGAGATCAAGTCCTTCTTTGATGCCAGGACGACGACGTTTTGGGAGTCCATGACTGGGTCGCAGACACGGCGGAGGACGAGACAGCAGCAGATTGTTCAGCCCCCGGAGGAAGAGGTCAAGGCAGTTGATGAGTCAAAAGATCTGACTATTGATCCCACGCTCTTAGAGAAGATGTTGAGGAACGCTTGTGAAGCGCTCGTCAAGGCTGAGCCAGATCTCACCAAGTGGGATACCGTCATGGGTGATGGAGATTGCGGAGAGACGCTCAGGACTGGAGCCACATCTTTGCTCACGGCCCTTGATTCGGGATTGGCGAAATCTGGGTCAGTTGTGAGAGTACTATTGGAACTCGAAGACATCGTGGAGAGCAAGATGGGCGGTACTCTGGGCGGCATATTGGGCATCTTTTTTGTCTCCTTGCGTGCAGCTGTCGAGAAGAATATTGGACTGGCCCAAAGCCCGGTCTTGCTCTGGGGAACAGCTCTTGCAACAGCTCTGGAGAGTCTCAGGAGGTATACGCCTGCCAAGGTCGGAGATCGTACTGTCATGGACACACTCATCCCGTTTGCTACCGTCATGTGTGAGTCGGGCTTTGATAACGGCGTCAAGGCGGCACAGGATGGAGCGGATGCGACCAAGACGATGAAGCCGAGACTGGGAAGAGCAACGTATGTTGGCGTGTCGAGTGAGAACAAGGAGTTGCCTCCTGATCCCGGTGCTTGGGGGGCCATGGTGGCCATTCGCGGTTTGCGACAAGGTCTGGTTGAAGCGATCTAGTTGGGGACTCGAAATATACTCAGGATGTATTTGTGCTCTGCAATGGAAACTTGGTACTAAATGATATGGAAATTCTCACTGATCCCAAGTGTTGCATTGGGTTTGATGAGGGTGATTGTTCTGGTGCTCGTGCTCTACATCACGGACAAGAAGACTACCCAGTTTCTTGTCATATAAGAATAGATGAACTGAGTATATCATTTCATAGGAGCCCTTTGTCACCTTGTAGCACCGCCTGCAAGTTCGCCAACTCAATGGCATGCAACGAGACACACTAGAAGTAGCCTTTTCTCTCCATTTACCATCACTCACTCGATCGCAGCCAAACGAGTCCTGAGCCAACTATGATGAATCTACTCGCCCCTTGTAATTATGTGAGAGTTAAGAAGTAAATCCATCGTTTTGTTTACAACTTGCGAATCGGTTTCATCATGCGCAAAGCTCGAGGTACGATGGCTCACTTCACGATTGTCTGTAACTCGTATCTAAGTCTTGCCATTGGCCCCTTCAAGTTTGCTTGCTCAAGTCTTACAAAGAGTGGTGGCTTACATGCAACTGCGCATGCCCGAACCCTTGGCTCCGCTGGCTATTGAATGGCCAAACCAAGCCTCGTAGCACAGCGAGCAGCATAGACAGTGCCACCGATCCCCAGCCGAATCTCGACTCAACTTGAATTCCTCATCACCCGAAGCCGGTGATACAGAACACTCCGCGCTCGCTGTAGCCGAGGCCACAATTCAGAAGTTTTGTCATCATGTAACATGTACGAATCCCAATCCTGCGCTTTACGGCCGATGAAAGCATGCCCGCTAGCCAAGCGCCCTACATGCCTCGCCCTGCCTTGCCTGACGTGGCATAGCTGAGAGCGGTGCTTGTTCGTCGTCTTGGAGGTTCTTTGTTTACATGGCATGCAGTCTGTCGGAGCACTCCCTCGTCATGCTCGGCCTTGCTGAGTCGGAAGTTACCGGGAGTGTCTCCCTTGGCAGAGCAGACCCTTTGCTTACTCGAGGGCTTGTAAGTTCGAATAATGAGCAGTGATGTTTACAACTCCAGATGTCCCATTGGAAGAAGATGCTTTATGTTCCCGTATTTCCTACAAATGGAGGTTGTGCTTCTACGATCGTTCAGTTGTTTTTGCCAGCAATGGAAAAGATAGATACATCTGGCACCAACCAATATGAAGGGGTTCATATTCTATTTCTCAAGCAATAGAGTGCATCATGTAGTTCCTACAGACCGCCTTGGTTTTATCGATGCTTAAGGTCCTTAAGATGAACAGCTGACAGGGCTGAAGCCGCTTCTGTTCGCTTATCCCGTCATCGCTCTGCGCTCCCGAGGCAAGAAATTGACGCCTTCAATCCCATGTGGTTGGCTGCAGCCAAGCCATGAGGGGTGTCTTGTATGTTATGATGACAGCATCAGACCTGCTCTGTTATCATCGAGTAAGGTAATGGAGTCACATGGTCATGGTTTGATCATTATGCGAGATATCACCTCGACCGCGTCCTAGCCAGTTGATTCCAAGATCCCCCGGGCCGCACCGCTTCTTCCGATCAAGTGGCACGCAAGTTGGACTTTATTGGTACCTTGTCCAGGGTTTCCACACGCTGTTCATGCATCCATTCACCGCCAGATTATTCTTCACGGTATGTGGGATTCCGTCTTCTTTCTGTTTCTGTCTCTATTGTCCTCTGTCTCTGTTCTCCTGTCTCTGTTCAAACCGCTGCAGACGAAACAGGCATAGAAAGGCCATCCAAAAGGCCAAAAGAAGGGCTCTCAACAGCCTACCTCGGGCATAGTGTCCATCTGGAGTTGCAGAGATGGATACTGCAGAGCTCAATTTGGGATGCCCCTCTACTCGAGTCAGTCTCAGCACTTCCAATCTCGTCATCTCCCCCCTTAGGCGCCGTCTGTAAGAGCCGTATACGCCGGTAGCTCTGAGACAAAGTCCCTTCGCTTCGTCTGGCTGCCTTGTTTGACAGTTCCGTGTCTCACTCAGGCGCGGCCTCTGCCGCCGTAGGGCAAGACATTGCTACTCGAACTAGCACGAGCTACTATCGCTTTTCCCCTTGAGGCTCTGCCCTGGATGCCTCGAGACCCATCTTCATCTCTTCATACTACTAGTAGGTACTAGTAGTCTAATGTTCTGTCACTATTCCTCCCTTCAACTGAAGGGGACTTGAGATGAACAGCAGAGAAATTGAGGATGCCAGTTGTCACACACACCCTCCTTTGGTCCCCAGCCGCTGAAGTGGACCAAATGACACACCCCTCTCCCCCCTTGCCAATTCATCCATCGAGCCTTGGCCACCCCCTGCTAGTCCAATGTCAACAGACCCGGGCAGACATGCGGAAAAGTCATCGTATCCAGCCCGGATACCAATGGCCTGGTCCCAACATCGAAGAGCAACTCGCGCTATAGCCGGCTGTCTCCCCCCCGGTCGTCATCCGCAGCTCGGCAGGGATCGCGCAGGCCTCTCTGCCGCCACGAGCGTCACCCGGCCCAGCTTTCCCACAGATCACGACGACAAAGATCGTGCGCGTGCCCGCGCCTCACCGGAGAGGCCCCTGCTCAGTGCACTCGAACGGGATCCGTGTGTAGCGATACAATCTTGACGGAGGCAGACCCGACACGGTAGGATGTACCAGTACAGGCGATCATGCTCTGTGCCGCCTCCTGCAAAGGTTCCCTTTCGTACGCGGACCCTTGGCAATCGTACGTCTTTCTCCGCGATTCCCTCTCCAGAGCCAGCGATCCAATGGTCCGATCGTGGAAAAAGAAATTGAGGCCCGGGACAGCGAAAGCCCTATCCTCCTGCATCGGCGTTAACACACCACAAGCCCGCAAAACGCGCAGTTCATGGTGCTGCTGGACATGCTTTACCTCTGCTTCCTCTCACGGCCGATGAGCGGCGGCCGACAGCTCTGCACCCCCAAGCCCCCCTTCCCTTGCCTATCGCCGATATTTGGGGGCGATAGGCGCTCCAGGGCATACCTATACCGGACGTGTCCGAGCACTGCTTGGTGCTCATCTTTGCTCCTCAACTGGCCCGTCGAGTGCTTTCATGTACCGGCTCAGTCCGTGTCAATGACGTAGAATCCCATGTACATACCCTCGTCCCTGCAGAGCACCCTTCTCGTCCAAGTGCATCTGGCGGTGTTGGTCCTGCTGTAGATGTATAGGACCAAGGCATACGAGTATGGGAGAACAGGCATGACAAATTCTACCCGGTTCCTTTCCTTCTCCTCCGCCGCCGCCCCCCCTGTACGGTGTCCAATCAGTCTCCTCCGGAATAGACCCCGAGATGCTTGGTTGGCGAAAACGGGGAGCGATTGCATGATGGAGCTCAAACTATCACGAGGGCGTCTGAACTGTACATCCGGAGGGGAGTGACTGGCAAGGAGATGACATCCGTCCCGTCATTAGGACTGCATGGGGGACAGCCTGGGTTCTCGCCGATATCCGGATGACACCTTGGGTTGCTATGTATATCCCCTTCCTATTCTTGCCGCAAGTAAACCTAGTTGAACCTTCCGAACATCTTCGCATCTATCTTCATAGTCTCCATACCCGCATCTCATTGTTTGCTCCCTACATGTGCATGAAAATGCCCACTCTGTCCTACTCAAGAGTTAATACTACAGCAAGTGGCATCTCGGCTCTCGCGGATTGGCCTCCGCGGACATCTTGTTGTCTGCATGTGTGTGTGACCGAAACCCTACAGCAGATCCGTGCCCCAGCTGCTCCAATGGTACTCTGGACTATCTGTTCCCCCCCTGCATGGTCGAATGGGCACAGCCGCTCCCTCTTCTCTCTCCCTGCATAGGTGTTGGGCCAACCTCTGCTGTTCTCAACGGCAATGAATACTTATCACAGCAACGCCAATCGTGACCTATTTCGTAATATGTAGTAATATTGGGGTTCCCATAATAATTGACAAGATGGAGTGCAGAACATCATGGGTTAGAATGACTGTGCCCCCCATGTATCCGTACGCGTACGTAGAGTACCATGCCCTGCAGATTGTACATAGTCAGGCTTGACAACCCATGTCCCGTCAATCACGATCCGATCCCCTCATCTGATCCGGGAATACCTCCAAGAGCTGGCATATTGCAGGTGCCGACCGTCACTGTTGCAATGTCGATCTTGGTCGGCGGGCGAGATTGCCTTGAGATGCCCGAGCGAGCAGGCAGTGCGGCTGCGGCCGACACTGGAGCGGGAGGGCGCAAACAACGGCACGAATCAGGATCTTCCGTAAGGTACCCTGTTCTTGCACGAAGGCAATCTATCACTTCTCTTCTTCTTCAATATGATATATGACGAATGTCAGCTGCAGAGCACTTCATTTGTAGCCATTTGCTGCGGCCTTCCACATGCCTGCTGGACTCCAATATAGTTCGTGGGGTTCAATGTTAGATGACACAGGTAGGTTATTCATGGACGATCAAAGCGATGCCTTGACAGTGCTTGGTGCTAAGGAATCCTTCGTCGCAGTGTTGACCGGTTACGGCGGGTGTTGTGTAGAGCTCCGGGGTATTGGATGACCGCTACTCCAACAGGGTGATGAATAGAATAGCCAGGAGAAGAACCATTCTAAATATGCCGACAAGCGTAGTGTCTTCGCGTGTGGCAAGCAATCGTGGGCGACATTCAGAATGCCTACCCTGTTCAAAGTGAGTGACTCGCCAGAGCAGAGCGTGTGGCGTTACTTGCCATCTTGCAGCAATCTGTTGCCAGATAGAATATACCATTCGACAGAATAGACGTAAAGAAATGGCATTCTATTGCTCATATGAGTCCTGTCATGACCATACGACCTTTGTGTTGGCATTAGCTTATGTCCTTCCATGTACTGGCTTATATCAATTCTCCCCCTCATTTGACGTCGTGGGAAACTTGATTTTGATGTCAACAAAATGAATGAAACTACTCAGTATCAGAGCAACTGCCTCTCTCTCGCTTGGACAAGTATTGACCGGTAAGAAGCTCATTATGA